ATATAACCTTTAAAATAGGTATTTAAGTAATTATTTATATTTTTAAAACTTTACTTTATACCCTTTATTATATTTGGTCCCCTTAGGTAAAGTTGAAAATAGGTTTTACCCCGCACTTGACCTGATTTTTTTATTTTCGCACTTTGTGGTAGTGGCCCACCGTACAGGTGGGCTAATAGAGACGAGAGACAGACAGCATACATGTAAACGGTACCGCGTATGGCCCATCCCTGTTCAATCTTGAGCCTTGCAAGGAGTACCTGCTAGCCACTCCATGCGACTATTAGCCTCCCTTCATTGCCTCCAGCCTTCTCTTTGAACAGTCTAAGCACTGCTTCTTCATCGAATTTCCCCAATAGTTTTCTAACAACCCCCTGTGTATGATATATTCCAGGGCTGTGAGCTATCTAGTTCTGGATTTCATCGCTGGGAACTGGGAATTCAGTTTATAATGATCAACTAGGGCTGCAGTAGTCCTTGACCAACCAACTCCTTCTCGGCTGTTGGTGGCTTGACTTGACTCTATACACAATTGGTCTGCCAGCCCAGACCGCCTAAGTCTCTAGGGTCTGTTTCAAGAAGCGAAGTCTGTATAACCTCACTTTCCAATATTGCCCAATATTGCCTGCATGTATTGAAAGATCATGAACAGCCTGCAATGGTTCTTCGTACGGCCGAAGTGCAAGGCGAACTGCATATTTCAGCCGGTACAGGGGTTACACGTGTAACACATACAGTCTCCATTAGCGTCAGCTGTGGCGACAAGGTCTACTTGGACAAGCTCCACACTCACGATAGCATGACTGGTCTCAGCAAAGCTGCGTCTGGCGCTCAGCAGAGCACCTTGGAGGAAACCCAGCTGCACTCCGAAGCCCACGTCAAGAAGGTAGGTAGCCCAGGAGCTGGAGGGGTTGTAAGGGTGAGATTGAGGTAGAGTGCATCAAAGTGCCCCTATTCGCCGCTCATTCAATGCCACATGTCTCCGGGACACTCGCCTCGCCAGCTTTACACTGGCAGCTCGCTTAAAAATATGCAATTTAGCATCTTCGTTACGGCGTGCTCTGTGTCTCTTGCCAACATCTTCGAGTCAATTGAATATTCATTTACCTATTAGTGGTGAAGTGGACGGTAGCATAAGATATTGTCATTCATACTACCCTTGACTGTTACATACCTACTGCATACACAGGGGCACAGTGCCATGCCATGCCAGACCTGTTCCTCATCGGTTGGTACCTAGGGTCGTATTGCAGTCATAGTCAGATTTCACTGCATTTTTAGCCCAACTCGCGAGAGCAAAGCTGTGAGCAGTTCTTACTTGCCATACGTCCTGCTGACTCATCATACGATCCTCTCAACCACACGCTGAACTTCCATGCGCCATCTTCTTATACACAATTTGCAACAAACTCCAATACATACGACCATAGGATCTGGAGAACGCGGGGTCCCGTCCGCTCCCCCTTAGCTAAGCCAGATACCGCCAGATTAGTAGTTGGGTCGGTGACGACCAGCGAATCCCTGGTGTTGTATGTATTTTTTTTTTTTTTTTTTTTTTTTTGCCTTTTGCCTTTTGGCGTACCAGGAGTTTCAAGGATAGAGTTATAGGTAAATACAGAAATAACAAGGTCCGAAGATGCTGCACTAGGTTAATTTCGGTGGGTATGTAGGTAGTGGGCAGGGCAGGCAACTCACACATAGGTAGGTACCTTGGCGGGTTGTATGTGTAGTCGACACGCCTATAAAGGCTTTAGGAGGTCAGCCAAATGCTGCCTCCAAGGTCACGCTCAAAGATAACTAGCTTGGTTTTAATTATATCATCGCTGTACTAAGAGTACTTAGAAGTGTGTTTCTTATCATTGCCACCTACCTTGCAAGGCGTCGTTGGGTGGTTCCAACACCGATTAGCAAGGACAATGGAGGACGATACCAAGAGATGATGACTGCGAGTTCTCATGCCTGTTGCCGCACTAGGCGTCATGCTGTTGGTCGGATATGGCTATCTCTGTCTGATCTTGGATAGAAGAAGGAAATATAGAAAAATTAGGAGGACAGATAAAAGGTAAGATGAAGAGACGGGAGAGATGACGAAATAAGGGTGCAACCATGGTCAGGAAATGGGGTCGGGGGAAAGGATCTAACTGCCTGTTGCATCCAACATGGCCAACAAGCAGCAAGTGCTAAGCTCTATCATACGACTGAGAAGATATTACCTACGATGTGCAACAGCACCGGATATGATGTAATCTGCATTTACTGCAGTTCAAGAGCAGCTTCTACAACTGTTTCGAGCCGAAGCCATGGAGCTTATGTGCGGTAACCGCGCAGCCAAATCGGATTCAGAAGCGTCTACCTACATTGCAAGAAACCATATATTTATTCCGATTGATTGATTAAGTTTAACGTCGTGAGGGGCGATTCTGCCGCATCTCTGACCTCCCTGGGGGGTTCTAGGACGTGGAAAGCTCTATCTATCTAGTATGTCCGCTACAACCCGATCCGCCGAGCTGAAGGGTGGTTCCCTCTGTCTCCTTGCTGGGTTCGCCAGTGTGTCTGTAGGGTCCGGCTGCTGCCTTCACCTGGGGTCTTGGAGTGAACATACCGGAAGCTGCCATATCTTCTTTGGCCTTAGCTATCACATTTCAATAGCAAGATCACAAGTGCAGAAAAAAGAAGCGACTATAAGAACAAGAAGCACAGTATGATATTGCAACTGTGCGTACTAGAGTAGGAAAAGGTGGTTTTTAATTCCTTTAAACTAGGTAGGTAAGGTAAATAGCACCACGTTTTATTAAGTTATCGGTAGCGTTCTATTCGTGTTGTTAAAAGTACTCTATGCTGTTGCTAAAAATAAGAAGAAAAAATCTACATCAACAAGGACAGAGAGTTTCTCGCTAAACGATGCCGTTATTGCGGCTTCGCAATAGTAGCATATATCCACTTCTGTACAACAGAATGGCTTAAGCTATCCTAGAGACTTACCACGTGGACTGGATTCCTCGTATTAGAGGTACGAAGCTACCAAGTTAATATGTTTTTTTCATTCTCATTTTTCTTCTCCCGTTTCATTGCTTCCTTTTTATCTTTTCTTGAAAAGACAATAGCGTTCATCACGATGATTCCCAGATCTTAGTCCCTTGCGTAGCCTCGATGGTAGAGAATGGCTAGGTGATGCGCCCCCTACACCCGAAGTCAAAGCCTGGATCATGTAGACCCAGGGAAGGTGGAGACAGTTGGCGCTCTAAATCATGTGCAAGAAGGAATGCATGATGTACAGGCTGTATGATTTGATCTTCGACTATCTACTTTTATTACCTGCTAGCTATATAGCGCCAATGGTCCAAGTCAGTAAAATGAGCTGGGATGGGACACTAGGATAAGAAACGAAAAGCAAATTGGAAGAGAGTTCAGATATCATGAATTCAAATTCGGCCTCCTTCTATTCTTAGGTCTAAAAGATGCCCCCCAAAATCTGATACAATGCATATAAGCAACCAATCAGACCGATGCGGTGTTGCGCCGAATGCTTTATATACAAATTTCCTCCCGTCGCCTGCCCATTGGATATACACAGTGTTGTTACATTTTTCTCGTAAGGCGTCGTCTTTTCCAATCCTCTCAGCCCACTTTCGCAAAATCCTATGGTTGAAATACCCGGTACGCCGTCAAATGCATTCGCTGATGACCATGCCTATTGGGCGGCCGTGGATATAAAAACAGCCCCGCCTATCTCACATCATTAGTGTCTCTCATTTCGTTTCCCCTTCTATTTTTTCCCGCTCATGAGAAGAAATATTTGCTGCTCTTAAGCTGCTTGACATCGAAATCCCCCTTTAAGATGACAAAATTAGTTGCTGAACATCCCACTTGCCAATATGAAAGTGACTGGTATAACGGGATATACATACCTTTGCTGGAATAGGAGGGAAAGTGAGAGGAAGCCAGACGCTGATATATTCCACCGGTTTCCTACCGCTGTCGCTTTGAGACTCTGTGGCGGCGGTCATTTTCTTCAAAGTTGCTTCGAAATGTGACACTTTCATTAGCTCCTGTACCTTGGACGGATTTTCCGTCGATCCCACTGCGATATCCAAGTCTGCTGAAGCATCGTCCATATCAGGCTCGTCGAGTCCATCAATGGGCAACAAGACCTCTGACGATGACATCTTTTCGTAGATGCTGGCGGGAGTAACCATTTCTTTCCCTTTCAGGATATCCGCAGGATCTTCAGAAGCCAAAAGCCTCTGACGCTCCCTCTCTTCAAGCAGCTCTTCACGCATGTTTTGACGATTACCGCGTCGATGCGCGCTGATCTCTCTCTCGACATCCGTAGATCGAGCAACTTTAGCAAGGTACAGAGACCCGCCATACCTAGCATTAAATTCAGAGGCTAAACGACCGATGACGTCCTCGCTGTGAATTCTGATGAATGCGTCACGCAATACCCGATTCATCACATCGACGTCGGCCGCATGTGTCCAGAAGGAGTCATGTACAGCAGCAAATGACAGACCTAGAGAATCACACTCTAAGGCAGAAAGAAGCATGTGGCTCGCATCGAGCGAGTGAATGAAATTTGGAGGGAATGCTTGCAATTGCTTTCGTCGATTGACCGGGTCAGATCGCTCAGGAACCTGCAAGGTCAGGTCCTGCAAGCAGGTGGAGATAACCCGATTGGTACTCTTCCGGTACGGCTGAACAATGGGCATACGTAGCGGTGTGGTCCAAACAATGGTGGATCTAAATTGGTTGAGGAGGTCTTCCAGAGGGTCAATTGCCTTGGGCTTCCTCAAGACTGCGCGTGATCTCTTAGCCTTTTGGGGTGGGCTCTGGTCGCCAGCGGCGCCAGCGGCTACCCGTTCGAGTTGCTCTGGAGTGAGTGCACGACAAACTCGGCCGGCACATTCCCCAAGCCAATACTGAATATCATGTGCTCCACGAAACATTGTAGATAGGGCCCTGAAAATTTTCGTGGCAATGTACGATGCAAGAACCGTTGAAGGAACCCCAGTTTCACTCTCAATATTGGGGTACGCGGCGTCGATTTGCTTCAGTACTTGAGCTTTGGCACCGATGAATGTAACGCCGTAAACGTTAGTCATGACAGTTTGCTTCACAACTTTCCGGGTTATTTTCCCATCAACCGCTTTGGCCATGAAATTATTAGCCGCTAGATCTTCCTTGATACCTGCCTTGACTAGGTCCGCAACCGCTGAATACACATCAGCGGGTCGATCACCAGGCAGCAAATTCACCTGCTCAGCTCCCCAGCGATCACCACCCAATGCCGCGTAATGTTGCAACCCGTTGCATGTACCATCCTGGTGAACTGGGAGACGTGACACAAATTTTGAGGGATCGGGAGATTCGAGAGCCGCCTTCAGTTCGAAGCAAGCGGCCAGACATTGCCATGGATCCTCAGCTTTGAGCCACCATCGTTGTCCGGTCAACGGATTGGTGGCGGAATCGAATATCTCTGTGATATGATCCGTCGCAAACTTCTCCCTTTCGTCGAGGCTAGCCTTGTCGAAACCAAACACGTTGGCCAGCTGAACCTTCAGCCAACGAAGCCCATTCTCGCCGAGTTCTCTTCCTTTAGCGAATCGTAAGAGGCCTCGCACATGATCAGCACCCATGTGGTTAAGGTAGGCAGGAATAGGATAGGCACGTCCTCTGAAATCCATGTTGTGGGGGAAGTAGAAACTCTGGTCTTTGAAGGCTCTAGCAATATCGAGCTGGAAATTCATGAAACATCGTTCCGAATGCAAACCAGACTTTTCATTTTCGGCGAGCTTAACGAGCTTAAGCCACTGCTTTCGAACCATAGGGTCGTCTGATGACACCGGTTCCTCAGGAATGGGAATTTTGGGATCAAGTGGTGGGATATTGGCTATGCCCTCTCCGGTGTTCCACGCCTCCAGCATGACTTTAAACACTGACTTGTTGACCTGCCAAGCAGTACGACCTAGCACGTCCAGTCCCTTGCTCACCTGATCTAGGTCGCCTCGTTCAAAGGCAGCATCTGCATAAATTCTTTGGTCTCGCTCGCCATTCTTGATACGAACAAGTTGAGAAGGATATTCGAGAAATCCCCCTTGCTCGAATTTCGTCCAGGGCTGTGGCTCAACTAGCATCGGCAGATGCCTCGCGAGATAGTCACCCCGAGGCTCTTTCTTCATAAGGTCTACTAGAACTCTGTTTGGCACGATAATCCCGATCTTCTTGCCTTTACGGTGCACACTGGTGCGTGCTAGGGCGGGCTGCGTCTGGCTGACCAGTTCTCCCGTCTCAGGATGGTTGCGAACGACCTTTATCTTCGCCGTATCGAGCAAAGCAGACAATAGCTGGGCACCAACTTTCGCCTTGATAAGAGCTGGCCATGACGTGTTGTCGTATACGGGTACGTTAATAACTTGAGGATTTGGCGTGGCAGGAGAATTTTCGTTCGATTCTGTAGTGTTGCTCACATTGGGACCTGGGGGCTTGCTCATTCGCTGACGGCGTGCTTGAAGGAAGCTTTCCTTGCGGTTTTGCTTATTCTTAAGCCGAACCAGCAACCTTATGTCCTCCTCTACAATCTTCGCGAGACTGGTGAGAAGAGTTGACAAAGGCACACCCTTGTCAGCACCATTATGTGTGATGCAGCTAAGCACACCCATGATTGTTACCGCCGCCAACCTGGTTGGGTTAGACTGCTTCATGAAAGGGGCATACTGGCAGCGGTCTATATCCTCCGTACTCTTCTTCTCCTTCTCTTCGGATTCATCAAATAGAGAAAATTCTTTCCTTAATTTCGATTCGAGATTGAGGTGCCAATCGTATAGCTGAGAGTTTAAAGCTGGTTTGGACATGGCAGTGCTCCGTCCCATCTTGGCTAAGGCTTGGTTTTCGTCTCGCCAACGCGAAACAGCAGCTTCCACACAATCATGTTCCAATCGTGACTGAATTTCGCGGCGTTCATCAATCGAGAGTTTACTCAGGTCTTGCCCTTCAATTTGATCAAAAAATGACAGGATACCGCGCAATGTTTTTAATCCCAGGCCTTTCTGGGGTACTGGACGAACCTCTGGAATAGATGTGGACTTGTTCTCTAAACTTTCGGTTGCCGTGGCTTGGGCTGATGAAATTTCTTCTGTCTGGTTGTCGGTCATGGTGGAATCAAACGCATCCACCACAACCTCCGAAACCGGCTCACAGATGGTGGCAATGGTGCCAAAGTCTTGCTGATTGAGAATCCCACTATCCAACAGGTCCCAGGTAGAGTAACTAGGTAGCATGTCGAAATAACGGGTCACAAGTCGATTCAGCCGTGCTCCTTGGGAGGACAAGAGAGATATCTTCAGCATGCAGGCGATCGTTTCGGAGGTAAAGGGGAGCTCATTCCCCCGGATTTCTATTTCAAACCAATGATGCAGTGACTGGGCCCACTTGAGTTCGGGCTGATCGAGGCAAGCGTCAATGCCGGCGCGCAAATACATATTGTGAAGGGCAACCAGATCGGAGTAGGGTAGATTGCCTAGGGTGCGAAATCGCTTGAGTACATGAGCGGCTCGCTCTAAGTGATTGACTTGCAAGCAGGCGTCGAACACGGATACCATTTCGTCGACACCACCGGGAACGCCGGTCGACGACACCCGAGCGCGCGGCAAAATATCATTCTGGACCTTGACATGCAATGTCGAAGCAGGGTCGAAGGTTCGAAGATGGTAGACTGGGAGATGCGAGGGCGGTTGCATGTAGGAGTTGGGAAGGGAGTGGGCGTGAAGGTGATCGACAAAAGGTATCTCGTCTGGGCGCATCGAGTCATCGATAGCCGTGGCTAATGGCCGATGCGCAACGACACAACCGAGCGGCGTGGGGGTTGTCTTGGGTCGCCATGGCGCAAGCTTATGCTGCGTCACCAGGAGTCTGCGGCCAGCTGTGGGTGTGTCGGCGAGGTGGGGAGAGGGTTGCCTCGACGGTAAGTGTGGTCGACGCAACGTCTGGATGTGCGGTAGGGAGAGGCTCCTCGAAGCAGAGCGGCTCCGAAGAAGCATTGTGCCAGTACCGAGGCGGGTTGGCTGTTTGAGAGAGGATGTGAATGTGGGAGGAGCCGGGTCTCTGCAGACCAGACGCAGCCCAGAGATGGGGGGGGGAGGAAAATGGACTTTGTGCTATAACATCTAACGAGAGAAGGATGTAATTACAAGTATTATGACGATGTGAGGAATTTACGAAGGAGTATACTGTAGATGTGGGCGAATTACAAGAAATGATTAGAGAAAAGAAGTTCTGATAAATGCATCAATTCATCCCAAATTTTTTGCCATTGGGGGAGCAAAAAGAGCAGCGTGGACAGGGGTTGGTGAGTTCTGGGCCTTTTGATTGGCCTAGAGCTACCAGGAGCCCCTCTATGTTGACCTCGGCTCCAATCAGCTTCTGCGATGTCTGCTCCACACACGCCCCCCGGTCTGGGTCTCTCCAGAGTCTCTCTCTCTCTCTCTCTCTCTCTCTCAAAATCTAGTCAAAATCTAGTCAAAATCTACACAAGTGTCGACTCGGGATCCACGATGGCTCCAGATAAAGTCGTGGCACTGTAGCCCTCACCATCATACACTTATGTACTTAGTCAACTGTATAAATATTCTCAACTCTTCTTTTTGCCACCCTATCCAGAATATCTAAGCAGTAGTCTAACCGCCTAGGTACTACTACTACTACTACTGGGAGTCAGAGTCCAGGTGTCACGCCCACATCTCTTCTCGCTTCTCTTCGCTTGTACTGTGTGTCCATCCGCGCTCGCTCTCGACATGCTTTCGAAGTCGTTCTGTCTCTAGTATTCTGTCTCTAGTACTCTGTCAGCTATACAACCCTCGAGACCCTCCGAGCAATCAACACCGCCATGGCTGTTGCCCGACCCGCTCTGTCTGCAGCCGGCTGCTCGCAGTGCCGTTCCATGGTACTCAATCTCTTCGCCAGCGGCATCCAGCGATCTCCTCCAGTCGCGCGACGCTCTTTGTTCTCGACGCGTGCCCAGGTTGCTGGTGCCTTGTCCGTCCGACCCTTTTCGTCCCTGCCCAAGCCGAACCGTCCTAGCTCTGTATTCGACACAGAACATGGACAGAATCCCAGCGCATCGGAACAGGAACCCAAGAATGACGGGCATCATACCGTAGAAAATGAAACTGAATCCGTCGCTGTCCCCTGGTATCTTCAGGTTGAACCTCCCACATATATAGCTCCTATGCAACTGCCACCACTACCAGAGATTCCCACAGACTCGCCCCCTTTAATAGCCTCTCTTCTAGAGTATGCATCCGAGGAAATGGGCCTGGATGCATTGAGTTTGTTAGATCTACGGAAACTAGACCCGTCGCCAGCCCTCGGTCCCAACCTGTTCATGCTGTTTGGTACGGCCCGTAGTGAGCGACATCTCAACGTCTCCGCTGGCCGCCTGGTACGGTGGTTGCGCGCGAAGCATCGCATTCACGCTGCTGCCGACGGCTTATTGGGCCCGAATGAGCGGAAGACAAAACTGCGTCGAAAGGCACGACGTGCCAAGCTCATGGGGACAATGGGCACCGACGACACTGACGATGGCATCCGCACCGGTTGGATATGTGTCAATCTTGGTACAATAGATCGCAGCGGTACAGAGTCGGCTGTTATCGATGAGGATGGGCGAGTCTCGGGTTTTGGCGTATCTCATGCTGGCTCGACTGTCATTTTCCAGATCATGACCGAGGGACGCAGAGCCGAAATGGACTTAGAGGCGTTATGGACGCAGGCTTTGGATCGCTGCCTCTCTCCACACTCGGCATCGGTCTCTACGCAGGGCGAAAGGACTACCACGCCTAAGGGCAAGCCTGAGAGCAGCTTACACCCGGTAGAAAAAGCTATTTTGAGCAATTTGCACCGCCCCTCCGGTTTCTCGGGCGGGCGCAATGGGCAGTCTCTTGGAGGCCCCCTGTCAAATCATGTTCGGTTCTACTCCAATCAGCAATCCTCAGAGCCAGTCGCTGCAGAAGTTGATCTCCTTAGTACGTCGTCTCCTACAGAATTAGCGCGTGTTCTCACATACGATGCTCACCAAAAGCAGCGTCTCTTGGAGCTACTGCAGACCCAGCTAGAAGAAATGGACGTAACAGCAGCTCGGCAAGCCTTGGATCACAAACCTGATGGTTCTAAAACATCATTCATGGAGCTGATGGATCTCGCAATGGAAACACTACCTCCAACGCGCACATGGAAATATCGTCTTGCTGTTCAATACAAAGCCAGCATATCAGGAATCCAGGGTGCCGTTGTACCATTAGGTAAGGTAGGGTTATTGATAGGAGAGCTGCGTATTTATGCCATTGAAGCAACGAGACACCAATATCTCCAACTTTTAACTTGTATATTCAGTTCATCGGATAAGGAATACACACTCGTCAACATGGCACTCGATGTCATCAACACTATGCAGCAGCGAAATGATCCAATCATGGCAAGTGACGTGATAGTGTCTATCATCGAAGGAGCTTCAATGGGCGACAGGACACGGGCAAGAGAGCTTACAGCACGGCTCGAGAAGCTCCTCTTCCGAGTCGATACTCCATCCATGAAAATGGACGAGCAGCTGCTCAAGCGGCTCATGACTGCCCATGATAGACAATTCAATTGGGAAGGCGTCTGGAATGCCTGGGGGGTTCCGGCGAGGAATTTGCGTCCGCGATCTGCACACTTGTACATCCATATATTCCAACTAGCCTTGGCATCTAATAGTCGGAGGCTCTGTGAACAAGTACTCCGTCGATGTGTTCCGGAGGCCAACAGCGAAGATCCACCCGTGCTAGCGGATGTTGGCCTCCGACAAGCTGCTCTAAAGTGCATCGATCTCGCAGATCCTTCCGCAAGGGAGTTTTCTGAATTGCCAGAAGATAGCTCTGGGCATATGGCTCGACTTCGTCGAAGAGAATTCGCCCAGCTTTACCGTACGCTTAGGTTGGAATAATATGTGGATGAGTCGAAACCAAGACCACAGTACCTAGGTAGTTAATATAACCAACCGTACTACTACATGACGGGCATCGCGACAATCCGAGACCGCCTATATAAAAGTTTTTCACCATGTAGCTTTTCCTAAACGCATGTTCAAGACGATTAATACGAATTAAGCGCGTCATCAGGATTGAGTTATTTCCCCGGGACGCCTTCCAGTCCGGAAGCTGCTGTGCCAAGCCGGACCACCGAAGACGAATAAAAATGATAGCCGCAATGCTCGAAGCAAAGCAGCAGAGTTAGCCTTTATTCCACGTTGCAACCAGCTGAACACACTCGATTCGTAATAGAAATACTCTTCATTAGTCGTATCCCGAGAGAGAAATAAGAAACGTGCTCCAAATGATTGGAGGACCAACAGTCTTCAAACCTGTAGTAGGTAGGCAGGTAGGTATACGCCTCGATACAGTAAGGCGTGGAGACGCATTCGAGGGGGGTACCGTACCCTTTGACGCAGGTTTCGCCATTATGCATGTCTTGATCTGCGACCACACGCAAGGAACCAAAAGGCTTGTTTCCGCCCTGTCCTGGCCCTCGGGAATGTCCTTCCTTCTCCCATCCAGTAGACACTACACTTCCATGGAGGATCCCAACACCAACTTCCGCATTTCGCTATCTGGCGTGACACCGCATGGGATCGCCTCCCCCCGCAGAACGCCAATGATAAGCTTTTGTTGCCGCACGAGATTTGACGCGCAGTACAGCGCGGAATTGAAAATGGAGTTTTATTGGCGAATTGAGTTTGCGCCTTGGCTATGGCTTGATTTGTTTTGTTTACCTACCTACCTATTGTAGTTAAGTGGTGATCTACATATCGTGCATGATATGGCTACTGTATGGCACCCCTTGAGATTTACGGCGGTATGAGATACCTACCTAATCAATGTGTATAGCAAATAGGTAGGTAGTACCGTAGTATCAGGAGGTAGAGAGGTATATATGTTTACATCTAGAGCTTCTGTTCCTACCTTGTCTTTCCTTGGCGACTTCTCGTTCCTATCCGTAGATCAACTGCTCCTATAAGACTATCACATCATATCTGTAATCCCTCATCCACCATGGCATACAAAGCAGCAATCCTCGCCCTCCTCGCCTTGCCCAGTGTATCAGCATGGGGCGCCATGGGCCACGAGGCCATCGCCTACGTCGCGAGCAACTTCGTCTCAGCGAACACGAAGGCGTACTTCCAGAGCCTGCTGGGCGATACCTCGGCCGATTACCTCGCCACCGTGTCGACGTGGGCCGACAGCTACCGGTACACGACAGCGGGGCGGTTCTCGGCGCCGTATCACTACATCGACGCCAACGACAGCCCGCCGTCCTCGTGCAACCTCGACTATTCGCGCGACTGCGGCTCCGAGGGGTGCGTTGTTAGCGCGCTGACGAACTATACGACTATTCTGCTAGACGGTCGGTATTCGCAGGCGAATCATCAGATTGCTGCCAAGGTATGACCTGATTCATGAATGGGTGGGTGGATGTATGAATCGGGCGGGACAAGGTTGGCACCAATCAGTATCAATTGATGATCATTTGACAGGGGTTTCTTCACTGCAATTTTAGCCTCAAGGGGGTTGGCTGGCTTCTTATTGCCCATTTCCCATCATTGATAAGCATCAGGCTGGGTTATCGCCAAAAAAAAGACACAGGGCATAAACAGAAGATGGAAGACAGCGCTAATTGGTGTAGAATGCTGACTTCAGTCATTTAGATGATCATCCACGTATGTTACTAGTCTCTCAATGCTTCTCATTTGAACCAGACTAGTTCGAGAAGACCCAGGTCAAAAAAACTTCTATAAGAGAGAATACCTAGTTAAGGGAGAAAGGAGAAGAGAAAATCGATTCAAATCCTTTCCCCCTTCTAAGAAAAGCTAACACGCCAGCGCAACACCTAGTTCGTCGGCGACATCGGCCAACCGCTGCACTGTGAAGCGCTCGACGTCGGCGGCAACGACATCGACGTGCTGTACGACGGCGAGGATACAAATCTCCACGCGATATGGGACAGCGACATCCCTGAGTCTATCTCGGGTGGCTCGTCCCTGGCTTCCGCCAAATCCTGGGCTAACACGCTAACCACTGGTAAGTGAATACTCGACTGGCCTACTATCATAGAGAGAGAAATTACCCCTACAGTAGTATTCCAAAGGTAGAGTTAAACTAACGCACAATCTACCTTGTGTTATTCCAGCGATCAACTCGGGCGAATACAAATCACAAGCAGCAGGCTGGCTCACAGGCCTCAGCGTCTCCACGGCTGCAACGCGCCAGGCGACGGCGATGCAGTGGGCGGCCGAGGCCAATGCGTACGTGTGCTCGACTGTGCTGAAGGGCGGTCTCAGCGCTGTCGAGAACAAGGAGCTGAGCGGCGCGTACACGACGACTGCCGATCCCGTGGTGAAGCTGCAGGTTGCGAAGCAGGGGTATCGGTTAGCGAAGTATTTGGATGCTATTGTTGCTGCTATTTAGGATGTGCTTGAAGTTTGGGGTTGAGGAATGGGTTATGTAGTGCGAGGACACGACGTTGAAGAAGCTGTTGTGTATATTGCTTCGTATTGAGAATGCAGTTCTCGACCTCCTTATTCTCGCTACATATGACTTGCAGGTAATACGTATCGAGCATCGTCGTAACCTTCACTCGAGGTCGTACTAGGCAGAACACGATATCACCTAACCGTCTTAGACATTCGCAGCTTGCTCTGGCCATTCTATTATCACTTCCATCGCCAATCCTCTGTCTTCTGAATCATCATCGACCAGCCACCTCCTTAAGCACATCCCGTAGCAAAGGCGCAATCTGCTTCCTACTATGCTGCACAGCGCCCTGCATCCAGCACCGCCGCCACTCGCCCTCACCATCCTCATCCAACGCACCATCACCCCAGCTTTCCAACCTCAACTCGCCCGCATACTTCTCCTCAAACAACTTCGCAGCGCGAACCCCCATCTCACTCCGTCCCCAAACAAGCAACTCCCTGTGAAACACCTCGTTCTCATCCTGGAACGCCGTAAGCAGCATAACGACATCCATCTTGTCCTCCAGATCAAGCACATCTTTCTCCTTGCCCCAATCCACCAACGCCTTGACGAAAACACCCTTATCACCCTTCGCCTTCTCATCCACGAGGTATCCGAACCCCCGCGGCACAGAAGACGTCCCTAGATCCAAGCCCGCCACGCTCCACTCCTTGTAATCCTTCCGGAAGACGTCGCGAAAGGACATATCGGCGATATCCTCCTTGAGCTCCGCGAGTCTCTTGAAGAACGCCTCGCGATCGTATTTCTCCCCTCCACCCCCTTCCACGGCCGCCGCAATCTTCCCTTCCGCGAGAGCCACGGCGCGCTCGTCGTGCTCCGTCGTCTTGTTCTTGTCCCCTAGGTTAATCGTATCGATCAAGATAGGCGCGAGCGCGAGACGTGCGATCTGCGCGTCGACCTTCTTCGCGTCGTCTTCATCGTTTCCGCTCGTATTTCGATTTCCATCGGTTGTCTCGTCGGGGCTGAGCGCCTCCCATATCTCGGCGCAGTGCTCGAGTACCAGACTCGCGCAACTCCCGCTCTTCTCGATGACGCGGGGCTGTGCGTCGCGCGGTATGGTGTTCTCGTCGGCGTGGTGGTCTACGCATCCCGTGACGCGGGATGCGAAGGTATTCGCCAGAGAGCCTGTCATAGCATTGTGGTCTACAAGGAGCCAGTGGGTATCCTCGGGGTTCATTCCCTTCGTCGTTGTGCCCGAGGAGGGTCTATGTGTTGAATCTTCCGTGTTGTCGGATTGAGACACGCCATTCTCGTGTGGTAGTACGTCTTCAAGCGTGAACACATCCTCACCCTTCACACCCGCGTCGCGCAACACAGCAGTGAACTCCGGGCGCAGCGCGAGGTCGGCGCGGAGGAGATGACACACGGGAATGTGCAGTGTGTTAGAAGCTAGACTCCCCTCCCCGATTGAGGCCCGTCTCTTAGGAGGCGCGTACGTGTTAAAGTAAGCTAGCAGCAGCGCTGAGCAAAGAGAATCAAGATCTATAGTTCCATTAGCGGATTAGTTTCATATTCATTATGGGTTTCTAATCTCGTAGTCCTGAGACATGGCGTTATTAAGTGAGATGTAATATGTAAGGCTCTAAAGCGGGGAACTTCATGAAAGCTTCTGGGAATGGGAACTACCATTCATGAGAAGAGAAGAGAGAATAGAAAGTCAAGTGGTGTAAATGAAGCAATAGCGACGATAATGAGCACTAAATGAAGAAACACAAAAATTCAATTACCAGCTGACTCGTTGCCCACAACAAAGGTAAGAGGCGTAGCCCTCTTCGACGACTGTGCAGTGAGCGCTGCGCGTGCCGTGGCAAGGAAAGTTTTCAGCGATGCGCGTGGCGGCATCTTATGAAAGAACAAGATGTCAATGAGCGACCAAATGACATGAAATGAAACTCGATGGGATGAGATGAGATGAGGTAAGCTACTAGAGAGTATAGCAGCTCAGAAACCGGTAAAGGCTCGGTTTGTGATGCGATAAGCGCCAATTCGAGGTATAACTTTAGCCTCAATTTGCCAGCAACCCTTCAATTAGCAAATACCATTACCATAAAGCCGGAACAGAGCGTACAATGTGAGGGAACTAGGGTCGGAATGAGTTTACCCACTGACGTCGTTTTTTGCGGGCGGAGCGGCGGAAGGCCCCGCGGCGCCCGCTTCTTGGCATTCCGGTCTAATGGGCTGAACGTTCGGCGGCTTCACGAGTGAAACTCGGCAGTTTATAGACGGCCAACAATATCGCAAACTGAGGAGGTCAATTGAGAAACTCTAATCTGCATGAAATCGGATACTAATAGAGATATTTGTATCATGAATCATCCGTATGTGTATAAGATATCAAGACTCTAATATACTATGATTCTCGATACCGCGCCGTTGGTCGTCATCTCTACAGTAATACCATCGACCATCTACTCAACTCCGAGGATATCTTCCTGCCTAGATAATACTATTCACAAAAAACAATAACAATATGTGCCCGGTGAATATACGAGCGAAGGTCAAAATACATGTGTATCGTTACTCTCCTGCGCTTCCCACTCTCGCTGCGTCAAGTCTCATTCCTACTGGAAGACAAAGATGACACCCGACCGGTCCACGCTAACCGTCATCGTATAAGGTAGCTCGAGCACAGCAACATCGAGGATCGAGTCCAAGTGACTTCTAAGCAGTTGGGCCTGTTCGTTCGATATAACTGTGTGGCGCGGAGGTTTCTCCCGGCTGCTCGTGCTCTTGCTGCCCTTACTTGAGACACTGCCTGCCCTTTGATCCGTGCCCCGATCACTCTTTGGTAGCCGCTCCACGTTGAGGCTTAAGCCCGGATGGTTGGGCGTGCTGATCGTTGCGAAGACGGGTCGAGCATCCTCGCTCTGTAGACCACTGAAAACACATGAATTTTCAATGCGAATGAGGTCCCAGAATCGAAGCTTCTTGTCAGAACCGCCCGTCAGGATATAACCGTATCGCACGTCGCGCTGATCCTCCATCGCGCCCGCGCCGACTACCATTGCCCGTACCCCGTGGTCTGAGCTACTGGCAGAGGGCTCGACATTGGTTGCGAAAAAAACCAAGATATTCGAGGGTTTGTCGTCGTCCACATCCCAAGGCTCGTACACTTTCGGTCCGTCCTTGACACTTCCAGCACGATATATCTCTCGGCACTGTGTCTTCTCAAGATCCCAGACCGTAATCTCGCCGAACCCCGTACCGCCAGCTACGCAAACCCACTTTCCACGGCCTTTGACAGGGTGCAAGCTGAGACGATATATGGCCGATTTACCGTCCAAGCCCCAACTCTTCAGGCGGACCTTGAAACGTAGGTCCCATAGGGATAGTATTCCATGAGAAGTGCCGAGAAGAAGCCAATTTCGCTTCCGGTCAATGCAAAAGCAGGTTGGCGTTCCATGGTGAACTGGATTATCAAGTATGTACATAAGAGTCATTGTACGTAAATCCATAGCAAGGATACGAGACCGGTTTGTGGCGAGTATCAAAACCGAATTAAGCTCCTGTTTGAAATGCTCACACCAGACAGCGTGCTCGTCGGCTGGAAGTTGATATTCACGAAGCAGACGCAATCGGATATACTTAATTGATCCGCCTGAGACAGCAGTGTCAACTTTAACCAGATGCACTCGCCCATCAGTAGCACAGCTGATAAAGGTGTGGGTGTTCTCAACAAAACATAGTGCAACCACTCGAGCACCCGGCGCATGTTTATGAGTCTGCCGAGCGCGGTGCGTGACATTTCGCTCGAGCCGTGATGAGTCCCAAACTTTAACGCACCCATCATCACTACCCGTGATGAAGAATTGATGGTCAGGGGAGGGGATCACGCGATTAATAGCGCCGCGATGCTCTGAGAACGTTGCTACCAGTCTACCAGTCGGTTTCCACGCCTCTTCACTGAGTTGACCGGCAGTTTTGCTAGCTCTTCTCCTCGTGACAGGTGAAACTAGGGGACCATATTCCATGATATCGTGGGGATAGTTGTCAACGTACATATTATCAAGCATCCGGAGAATATTAGGGTCATTTCCTTCGTATGTATGAGCGGTACGCTGCCTGTTCTCTTGTCGGTTACTCTCCCGGCCGTCTGGTTCAGGAACAGCCAGACGAGCAGGTGGGCCCTGTGCGAATGGGCCCCCTACCTGGCCAAGCACGTTGGCTTCAGTTGTGCTTGTTTCAGCAATGGACCTACCACTGTCTTTCCTGTTAAGCAGATCAAGAGCGCTAGATTGGTTTCTGATGGCTCTCCTGGACGAATAGGGGGCGTCCGATACTGATGATGCATCATCATTATTTCGTCGACCCCCAGCGATAGAGTCTCGTGGTGAGCTACTGATAGGTGAAGAAAGAATCGTGTGAGATGGTGATGCTGCCCTATCATCTCGAGTCCTTGGTGAGACTGCGCCTCCCCGGCTACTCATTCGTGGTCTGTGAGTATTTGCAGCAGCCCGACGTCTTCGGCCGACAGGTTCGTCAATTGTCATGGAGGCGTCTAGAAGGGCGTCAGCTATAGTATATGGGCCTTTGCCCTGTTCGGATCCCGATCGCTGCTGCTGTTCTTCGTTTTGTAACATATAGTCGTCTATACCAGCCGATTCGTCAAACATAATGTTCTGCACCTTGACATTTAAATTTCTTAACTTGAGGATATTGTTCAAATCCTTTGCAATGTTATCTTGGGTGACAAGGTCTCGGTTCTTCATCTGACTAAGGCGCCATATGAATTCCCTGAGAACCAGGAGCTTGAATTCGTCTTCCTGAGACATGCCCATATTTCGTAACCGAGTTAACCAATGCTCATCCTCGTCGTTTCGCGGAACCTTGTTAAGCGACCGAGGTTGCAACTCCCGGGAGGATCGGATGGACAGTGCTGTCGAGGCAACCGTAAATGCTGACTGCTTTTGCTGTCTGATAGCTTTCCAGAATAGACCTTTATCGGTCTTCTGTGCCCATGACAAAGCCAAGTCAAAAACCGTCCTAGACATGGGCTTTTTTAAGGCGTCAAGAAGACTGATCTCGGAAAAGGTTGGTATAATAGACGGCTTCAAGAATGGTTTAACCAGCGGAAGGACAATACATCTAATATCTGCAGGGGATAGAAGCTTGGTGGCACTCGAGATATACTCAGTTGCGGATTCCCGAATCCAAATGTTAGGATGCATAGTAAACCGTCCGACGACGTCAATCAGCTCCCAAGTTTTCGCCTTTGATAAGAGGCCTAGCTTTGCTAATTCTGCTAATGAATGTAGAGCCGCTTGCACAACATGCTCTTCAGGGTCAGTAACAGCTTGGACCATTAGCGGAAGACTGAACTCTTCTAAACTTGTGCTACCTAAGAAAGCAGCAATACCGACGATAGTGTCGAAGAATGCGCATTTGAGCATCCAATCCCGGTCGTTCAAGTAAGTATTCAAATGGGTTAAGAGAATATCATTCGATTCGGCGCTGCCAAAGAACACACATAGTTCAGGAACTGAAGTAAGAAATGCACGACGAACGGATGCATCGGTGTCTTCGACGAGAGCCTTTGCATGAGTTTCGAAGAGTTCCACGAGTTCTTCCTGTGTATTATCGAAAAGCCCATCAAAAGCAGCATCCGGATCGCTCTCGGCTTCTATCTCAGGGTCTGCAGTAGTAATTGAGCCCTCCGCTCTAAGAATAGCGGTGAGCTCTAGAAATTTGGACGCAGTCGTAGCTAAGCTACCTAAGCAAGACGCATAGGTTGCGCGTACCAAGGCGTTAGGTTCTCTGCGTTCCTTCCCCATGATCGGTTGTCGAGAAGCGCCTGATAAAAATACCTGCATTCGAGGCATGATGTATTCTGGGAATACGTGTGCATTGACTGGAGTTACGACGGTAACTAGAGCTAGAAGTTGCGTGATTGATCTCAAAGCCGCAATAGCAACGAGGTCAATATCATCATTCAGTAATGTCATCAAATAAGGTAACACCCGGTCGAGTTTTGCTTCGTCAGTTAACTTTTCAGAGAAAGCTAATAACAAGTCGCACGCCCTTAGTTTTGATGCCGCCCGGGCCGTATTCCTCAAAGAGCCAGCTATTAGAGTAAGGAAGATGAGCGTTCCATCATCAGTCAAAGGCTGTGTTCCTATAGACGTGAAACGCTCATTATTTGGGATGCTCAATCTGACAGGAAAGAGCCCAAGACCGAGTCTAGGCGTAAAACGAGACAATTGGGGCGCATTTTTCTGGTCTTGATATCCTAAGAAGTAAGCGATCTTATCGAAGTCGTAAAATACACGGTCTATCCGGTCATCCGCTTCGCCCAGGTTCTTAAAAGAACCAGTGACCGGTGCTCTTCCAGAGGTAGGATCGGTGACCAGTTCCATGTATTGATGGAGGAAGCTGTAGAAGTATTCTGGAAATATCTTGCCCTTGTAGAATTGAAGATACTGCTCAGCAGAATAACGCTTTTCCGGGTCTAATTGAACCATGCTCGATAACATCTCCCTTAGTCCCTGATCAGAGATCCTACTCAAATGCGAAATGACGGGATCGTACTCGCCACGGCGGTACTTGAACATCTGACTTAGACTGAAAATGGGCGCTTCCAGAAACACTTCGGCAATGACACACCCAGCACTAAAGATGTCCATCGACCATGTGAGATTGTGTCCTTCGAGTTCTTGGGGGTTCTGAATCTGCTCAACGAATCGTTCAGGCGCAATGTAGCATGTTCTTCGACCCGACAAATCGAAGAAATATGAATAAGTAGCAGGGTTATTGTCAGGCAGCTTGGCTGGCTTAAAGGAGCCCGTGAAGTCCGTAAGATATAGCCAGTTCCACGATGTTACCATGACATTTTCCGTCTTGATATCGCCGTGATATATATCTCGAGCGTGGCAGTCGCGCAGGGCACAAAGCAGCTGAAAGGCCAACCATTTCTTTTCAATATCTTCAAGAAAGGGCCTCGTAGACATTCGATCATAGAGGGAGCTGTAGATGTATTGTCGGACTAGGTAAGCATTCGTCTGTGTTTCGAAGGCGCGCTCGAAGCCCAAGGCGTTGGGGACATGGCGTAGCTTGTCTCGTTCCTCTTTCTCAGTGTTAGCGGGCGGGCATGGACTAGAAGGGCCAGCGGAACGAGAGAAAAGAGGGCGCAGGTGTCTCACCTAGGATCTTATCGCCGTACTGCTTCAGGGAGCAATCGCTATAGGGCTTGACAGTGACCTTGGCGAGAGCAACGCCGTCCCGGTGACGGGCACGAATGCTCTTCATAAACCGGGCATTTCCTATGGATCTCTCATGGACCAGATCAGACAGCTCCGGTATGTCGATGCCGGCCGAGCCGGCGTATGGTGTTGAAAGAGAGTAGCTATTACCCATCGTGGGGGGGCATGCGATAAAGCTACCTGGGCGGTAATCCGGTCGACTGTGGTGTCATTTTTGATGGACCGCGTGGGTGGTGATGATGATTTGCTGCCTGTTCGATGCGACCAGGCAGTGCTTCTAGTTGTTCAAGACGCTAGACAAAGAGTTGCGATAGAAAGAAGTTGATAGCAACAGAAACAGTGCCAACTCCCACTTACTACCTTGCTGGTGTTTGATATTTCACCATGCCACTCCCAAAGCTGCGTGACCTTGAAGCTGATGGGCATCCCCGGGAGCATATGACATAGCTCAAGCAGTAGGTACCTTTGTAGGCATGCGTTCATGAATACTACAGCAGGAATGAGCAGATACCTACACAGGTATCTTGGAGCAGATACGCTAACCTTTCAGGGCTTAGCTTTGACTAAAATAGCCTAGATAGGTAACATCATATACTTAGGTATATGCGAAGTACACATGCAACTCATCTACCAAGTACAATCGTCACCCCCAAATCACTACCTAGGTTCCTCTTACACACTTACATAGGTAGCTACATACTCAGTAAGTACCTAGTAATCGTGCTGTTACTTTGAAAAGACCGGATAATATAACTGCAATAAAGGCAAAGGTTTAATTAATAATGCTCATGGTTATGCTCCAGGCGGGTGTAGGGCGCAAGCGATTTCTGCCAAGTCTGTTTCTGACACGAAGGGTGCAAGTTCAAATCTGATATCAAGATGCACCAAACAGACAACGTTTGGGTATGTTAAGTATTCCGGGGTAAAGGTGAGAACGAGGGTGGAGAATGCCCTCGTCAACATCGTTCAAATCTAGGAATAACGAATGCGAATGGTCTTGGGGGGGTCGCAATAGTGTCGTGAACTATGTGGCTATAAACTAAATTGCATGCTTGTTATCTCAAGATAGTGATATGAAACGTAATTTAATGTCTATGCTTTTACTGGGGTAGCCAAGACAAGGTTGGAAGACGTACATGGGAATGTTCAAAGTCCCATGGGATGAGCACTCTGTAGCCCGCAAGAACCATGGCTCGACATTACCAACATACATAATGTAACCACAAGGAGCCTTAAGCGCTGTAAAACTGTCAGCAGTTAAAGTGTGACTAGATGCCACTCATGTCAAGACTAAGCATTAGGTATAAAGTGACCAGGAAGGAGGTATACTTATATACCTCGTTGTCGAGCCTCGAACCAACTACTGAAAACAACCCGCTCGAGATTTGCATGGTCTATCTGCTATAGCCGATTCCAGCATTACGTTCTAATCAATGGCCGCTGCTCCCCAGTCTATCTCAGTCGCAGAGGCGCGACAACTCGTGGAAAGTATCCAGGACAAAAAGGGGTTTCTCTCCGAAGATGACCTCGATGCTATTGACCCTCCAGGTAGCAGCATTCGTCGGAAGGTTGAAAATGCCATGTTACGAAAGGATAAGATCATAGGGCAAGGCGTCCTAACGTATGTCCATCTCTTCTGGCTTTAATCATCCTTACACGGCCAGCAGTTGACATTGGGTTTATAGATACAGTTTAGCGAAAAATCTCTATACATCCAACGCGCGATTCGTATTCGAGCTACTTCAAAATGCAGACGATAACAACTACAGTAGAGCTACGGCTTGCGCACGGGGCGCGAGACAGCGGGCATTGTTTATAAAGATGTCAGCGGGACATTTACCGAGTTGCTGCTTGACACAGGCTCCCTCGATAGCACTGCGCGAGTGATGTGGGAAGTAATAAGACCAACTTATTTGATCGAGGTCAAGACAACAACACAGTCCGTCAACGCGCCGTTCTTCGTGAGCGGGCGGCAGTTCCAGCATGTACGTCTACCTTTTCCGCCTCTCTTGTCCAAGCCTACTTCGCTACTGAAATGATGTTAATTACCAGACTAATCAATTGACGGCATATATGAGAGAGCATCCACCTACACTACCAAATGCACTGCCATTTCCCGTGTATCCAACCATCTACGTTATCTTTCACGTATTCAACGTCAACGAGGACAGCATTGGGGTCAAGATATACTTAGATCCCGATACACTGAGACGCGATGGCGCCCTCGTATTGACCGAACAGGTGTATTCTGTAACGCCTGGCATCGAGAGAATATGAAATGTTGCGCCCTATTGATTACAAATTAGTATCGCACAACTCGGCATATGTAAAGCTTGTCGCCAACATGATGAATAGTAATAGAATCTTTCTATTCAATTCAATTCAAATAAGTCTAAAATCCGGAAGAAAATACCTTAATCAACTAGCACGAATGTCCTCCGTCAAGTCAATCTCGTAATACTCTAGAGCAACTTCGAGCTGCCCCAAGTGTTTCTAGATCGGCAGAACAACTTGGCACCTGCACTATGCCGAGTTCCAACAGCGTCGAGAAAGTCCAATTTTACAAAACAAACTGATCGCGGCTATCGAGGTCAGAGCGTGAGAAGAGAGAAGAGTACAGATGGACAACAGAGGAAAGCTAAGGGGACATAATAAGGGGTTGCTATGTTGACAGATGATATAGCATACGATCAGATAAGATATCCCTGAGACTAGGCAGTGGTCAAAAGTCGCCTATAACCCTCTCAAAATAAATCTCATCCAACCCGCATAACACTTCACCTTTACAGACATCATCGCAGACCAAGTGACTTTTGCATCAATCATTCACGAATTACTATGTAGGTAGGTAATTGGTATCAGCACAAACAATCAGCTCAACAAAGGGCACTGACCACGACGCAGCCAGTCTCACCCCGTATTAGGGGGTATGAGGCCCATCCTTCGTCCATCGTATGAACATGACGTCTGCGTCCCTTTAACCTGTTTACTTTTCTTCCTCCATAACTCTTGCCCAGAACATGTAGGGTAGTATTCCGTAACATACTCTTACAACTCGAGTGAATCCCGAGCCCCCTCCGCGGAATAAGATAAGATTATACATTCATGGCTTTTTCCCAAACGATATGTACCCCTAAACACCTTCTCAATAAAACAAACGGGGTATATAGATCTAATAACGAAGACAAGAGGGCGTCGCAAAGCTATTGTCAACAATGATCCAGTGACCAATCGGGCCATTTTGTTCTAGAAGATCTTCTGGCCAAAGAACAAGACTCTCGGCGCTGATTGGTCGATTGTCAAGATCTAATGATGCTGCGCGCGTGGAACAGAATGCAGTAAGGCTGTCTATCGCAAAAAAATGAGATGCTTCGTCTATGCCGATGAAGTCGTTACCAAAATGCTGATTCGAGGCCGTCAAATTAGTGTCAGCTTAACGTTCCTTCGTGTTCAGCCGCGCCAAAAAAGGGACGATCTCTTATCATCAGGGATCAACTCGGAATGGCATGCCTTCGTGTGAGACCCGAACGCCAGAGAAATGCAACCCAAGGTTCCTTCAGGAGTCTTGTGATGAGCGTTAATCCAAGTTTTACTTGGGTTTTACTTGATCACGTGTGATGGCTCCCTTGGTGAGCACTTGATCCAGTTTCGGTGGATCCATCTCCCTCAATGGTTTTTCGCCAATGGTCTGGAAGACAGACACAAACCAAGGGGAATGCTTTAATCTCACCATTGACGACAGGTGATGGATCGCGTGCACGACCGGAGGCATTTGAGACACCACTATCTCTTTGCATCTGCCGCTTCGCATCCCAATCTTCGGCTCGCTCATCCAGCATAACACCAGTGGCCCACCCATCATCCCAGATGCCTACCACTTTTAGCATATCACCACGTTCTAGTGAGAACTCGTCGTTCGCACGAGGCTGATAGGCCCAGAGCACGGAAACCCGATCTCCTGGGTGGATATCGTCTCGTGAGTAGTAGTCCTTAAAAAATGGAAGCTGCTCTGACTGTTGACTATTAACACCCTGAGGCGAAGACATCCCTCCTGCACTAGTCGGAGATTGAGGGTCTTCGCCTGCCAAAACAGAACTGCTCGACAGTGAGCCCTGTCTACGGATATTAGTGGGTGGTGGGCGTAGAACACCAGCAGCACGAGCGTCTGGCCCAGAGCTCTCCGCAAAAGAATCGGATGACGATTGATTTTCAGCCCTTCTCCTTCCAGCAAGGGATCCGGCAGCAGCACCTGCGGCGGCCGCACCCACAGCAGCGGCGCCTGAGGAACTGCCATGTTGCGAACCACCTCGTCGTGAAGGTGAGCCACCTGAGTGCCCTTCTAAGGCGGACATGCGCGCTATTCTGCCACCAGGAAGCACTTCGTATCCTTGTGGCGGTGTAGTCGGGGCGCCCTGACTGGGGGGACCTTTCCTAGAGGGCGATGGTTGATTGAAAATGTTTTCCTTCTCACTCTCTCGCTTTCGACGCGCATGTCGAAGGCAGAAAAATAGTAAGAGTGCTAGAAGTAACAAGCCTACTACCGATCCTACAACAATGCCGGCAATTGCACCACCGGAGAGTCCACTCCTTTCAGTTGATTCCCCAGGAATGGCTGTGCTGGTTGGGCTACTCGTGGCTGTCGGAGTTGCAGAGGTGAAATTCTGCGGTATTATGGTTGGCAAAACGACACCTGCGCATCTTTGCTCAGCATTGGAATTATAACAACACGTGTCTGTCGAATTGATACCCCCGGAGGAACAGTATGAACAAAGTCCAAAAGTGCTCTCTCCATAGCCACAATTGTCTGGTTCGTTGCGGGAAGCTTGTACACAGCTACTAGATGACAACGCGTCAGCTGGCAAAGCACAGACCTCGAAGTCTGATCGAATCTGTGCCTGGGCGTTGTCTCCTGGCGTTGGACAAAGATTCGAGCTAGCAACAATATATTCCTCACTTTGGGCATAGTCGGCACAGTCAGAAGCACACAGCGGCCGCCTCGCATCATCCGACATATCACAGTATGGTATTGAGTTCTGGACAATACCATTGCAGAGAACGGATATGCTGAAGCGTGCATAGAGATCATCATCTGATAGGTCAACCGCTCCACAGCCAAGCAACGTCTGGTATTGTCGCCTCCGCCATTCGCCTGTGATATACTGATTCAACTGTGAATCGAATGTATCAACATCATGGACAACAGTGAGAAAGGAACTGGGCGCTAAATGTTAGTACTGAGATCTCGCTATCTACCGTTTCGGCAACGAAAGATGGGATATAAATCTTCTTACAATAGGTCTGTCACATTTCTGTTTGTTGACACATATGCAGAGCTAAATGCTGGACATGTAGTGGAACCCGTTAGCTGAATACAGGCGGGTTGGTCTTGTGCCATGGCAAGAGGTGCCGAGGCAATCATGCACATAACCAAGCCTTGGACACGCGACACATGATGCCTGGGAGCGCGTATTGTGGCCTTAGATTTCGAAACCATTATGAATCTTGTGTCGAGAAAAACGAAACCCTGCAACTTGTTGATTTGAAGGCAATCGTGTGGTACCGCGAAAAGATAGGCGATTGGTTCATAAAAGCATCATATTCTTGACCAGGTATTCTGAATAACAGGTGGCGTCTTAACAAGAGTTAGGCTTCTCGGCAAAACTGTCGCGTCTCGGGCAGGTTGATGGCGTTGTGAGCGAGAAGTATTCTGAAAGAGAAGAATTTCTGAGACTGTTTCGTAATTGTGTGTATTGATTGAATTAAATCGGTGCCGTCATTAAGGACAAAAGTCTCGATGTAGGGAGGCAACTCGTAAAAAGAAAAAAGCGAATGTCAAGGAAAACGAGCGTGTTGCGACGAAGCCAGCAAGAATTGGGAATATTAGGCGCGTTTCGTATATTGGTTGTATTGAACGAAAGGAAGGTCTGCAGTTGGAGAAGGTGAGGTCGACTCGTAGAAACCGGAATGAATAGGTCAGTCACGGACCTGGTCGTGGCCGTTCTTGCTACTAGCACGCGAAGATGACCGTGGGTGTTTTCGCTATCGCTTGGAAGAAGTCGCAATAGGGCGGCGTGTACACACAGAGGTACTTTGCAGGTCGAGCTGTGAGGCAGTCGTGGGTTGCGCGATGAGAGATTCGGGGAGGGTCACGGTCGAGCCAGCACCTGAGGAATACTAAAGAATTACTACGAACAGAGAAGCGGGTTGAAAGTTAGGAGGACGAAGAGAATGCGCACGTAGGCAGGCCACAACAACGGACCCGTGCAACCGCTGCAGTGCCTAGCGGAGTTGTGTGTATTGTGTGCGAGTGTGCTGGTGGAGGAGAGGAGTTAAGGTAGGAGTAGGTAGTTTTGAGGTCGAGGAGGTTGGCCGAGAGAGGGTAGACGCTGGCACTTGGTTGTTGATGGAGAGCTCTCTGGCGCTACGCTGGTACGTACCTACCCGGGTAGTACCTGGTACATGTAAATCCACTAACCGTCGACTGCTCGGTGCCTGTCTAGCATTCATTAGCACTGTACCAAAAGAAAACGTGCGAGGGAAAGGAGAAAATGGACCATTTCTTTCCATTCTGGTACTAGTATCTCCTTGTTCGAGCCAAGTACTCTATGTACCGTCTGTTAAGGGTGGATGTTAGGAGACCTTGGCTGTCATCTTGGCAAGCTCCCGTACGCACTGACTCGTGGATACTGACATGTAGGTATTTGCTGGTACCTATTACACAATACTACAGTCCACCAGCTACGTGGACATTAACTATAGCATCTATAAGTAGGGAAGTTGAACATGTACCTAGACATACCTAGGACAACATATGGCTACGACAACAATCCAAGTTCGTACTGGCAAAAAGTCAAGTAATTGTGTAGGACATGTACATAGGTAAGTAAACGGAGAGGAGAACAGGCTGTAGAGCAGATTTGTCCTTCAAGAATAATAAGTAGTTACGGTACTTAAGGAAGTAGTACATCTAGGGATAAGGCAATGTACTACTCCAGTAAGTCTCTATCTTACGAGACTTTTAAATGATGGATGCGACGCTGCTACGACATACTTACTTACTTACACGGTTACACCCAAGAAAGACCCTTGTCCGTTTGAGCTGTAGGTCGGGTACAGCTAGGTCAGATGCAGTAAAGCTTTCATGTGCATTGAAATTGCTAGCCAAGGAAGAGCCAATTGCGGACAGGAACTATCTCCAGAACGAGCAAAAAAGACACCGCACACACATTCGCTCGAGCTCTCTGCGTTTTTTCTCAAGATCCAGATCAGACCAGATCTAACGTTGGTGCAAAACCAGGTTTCCTGTGATGTGTTGTGTAATTAGTATCTCTAGTATACATATAGACATACATACAGTTATAGCTAGTTAAGTATATATGACATAGTTATTTATATAGCTTGATCTAGGTAGATAGCATCTACGCCATCTTGACCATGAAATGCGCAACGTCATGAGATGCAAGTAGCGGCGTCGGAAGCAAGGTTGAAGAGGACTCGGCGTGAGCTCGTGGCAAATACTTACGTAGTGAATATCTGCAAGCATCCCATACCTACCTTACTGTAGGTAATATTAGGTATGTATTCATGGAAGGCATTGGTTGACGATATTACGATTTTACGACGGAGTAGAGGAAGGTCCAACCTTGCAAATGACAACTGCCACCTACCTACCTGGGGACTCTTACACAGGCCGAAGAGCGGCAGAAACATCATCGCCTCATATGTCGCCCAGTTCGCACAGGCCCAATCTGCCCAACGCAAGCGTAGCTATTGCGATGATTGCGGTCATTGCTCATTAATTAGCCCATGGAACCCGCGCAATGATGCATCTTGTACGTACTACATTACGTGCAGGTGTATTTGCATGTGTTAGATGCCTGGTTACAGTGCTGGGCTGTTTATTGGCAATACTACAACTGCGACTGTAGCAATTAGCACGTCTATAGACACGCATACATCGGCTTCGTCTCTCACGGCTTTTTCTACGATGCTATGGAACGGACAGAAACGGACTTACAGTACTTACTCCCTCGCCGATCAAGGCACAGAGCCTCGACTATTATTACTCTACATACGTAGATAAGGGCGGCAAAGCAAAACTAGCGGAGGCACATCCTGGAGCACATCAATGCAAGTCGTTGCTGGCAAGTCCAAACTAACCCTCTTCAGTCTCACGCGGGAAATTACCCCTGTTTCAGTTTGTGCACACAGTATTCAGTCTTCCATGATCATTGCTCACTCTTTCAATAGGTAGTGCAAATGATGCCAAAAAGGTCTTACCGAGTTTTGCAGCCCTACTATAAGTGGGAAGCTGTTTCACCTAGGTATTTTGCAAACTTCATTTTTTGACCCGACGGCTTCGGTAGGCAATCCTAGACCTTGTTGCCACCTGCTCGCCTCGAGTGACCGAGACAATATCTACTTAGTATGCCCAAACATGAGAAGGGCGAAATACAGCAAGCACCCTTGAGCCGCCCTTGTCCTTGGATATCTCCGATAGCTGCTGCGCCAACTCGCCAAGTCCTAACTTCATGCCTTCAGGCACGTAATCTGGGCCCATGTCTTCAACACAGAAGCTGATGCTACCCATCAATGGGTCAGCTGCGCCTTCAATTGAAAATAGGGAAGAGAAAGCTACATCATGGCACTTCCATATCTTAAGCCCCGCATCAAGGACCGAGTGCTGTCATTATCGCATCAGGCATCGTACCGGTATGCGTACAACAGAGGTCAGTCCACGGCCCGCCTTAGCAGCCTATCGAACTTTGAGTTGCTATCAAACGGCTGCTGCGAGGGGCGGGAAAGTAATTCCCCGTGTTCTGCCTCGTGGTCTCCTGCATGCTATGCTGGGCGCCATGTTATGCTCACTTTGCAGGGTAAATCGTCTCTAGGAACTGCTGTGTGAGTGTTCCAAGATGACTTGCAGCAGCAGTAACAGCATTTTCATCCAACCACGATAGGTTCGTCGATGCTGTGCGACATCAACTCATGCTACCCACTACCTACTTGTGCTCTCTCGTAGATGGGTCGATGTAGTTAGATTGCACCATACTTACATCGCTTAAGTGGCTGTGAAGTAAACTTTGTCTGCGAGCATACTTATCTACAACTGCCGCCGTATCGGCAGTTTTAAGCCGTCTATCGGAGTGGTTCATTCACAGTAAGTAGGTAGGCTAGAAGTTTCGAATCGAAGATCTAACGCCAAGTTCATGCGTTCAAACAACCTAACCACGTTTTGAGCTGTTTTCCTGGATGTCAGCTGAACCCAAAGGCGTTTCGTCTGCATTTCCTGGTCTTGAGGTAGATAGTTCTTGTTAAACTTGCGAACTGCTGCATCCGCATCGTCCGTGCTTACCCCATATCGAAGGATTGAAGAACCTTCGATCGCATTTCCCCAGCCTGGCCGCCGGTGTGGGTGACGATGAGCTTCTGTTGGGCATGTCAGCTTATCAACCCGTGCTGTCGGACACACCTAATCGACTTCGCCGCCCATTCGAGACGCTGCATCCTAGCGATGCTGTCAACACCCCTTGTGCAACTCAGCTACTTAGTAGTGTATACACCAGATTTCCACCCAACATATAGGCCGTTATGCTGATCGTCGGCATTGGCGCCTGCACTGTCTCACCTCATAGCTCCATCTCAGTCAAACGCCTCGTGGATGTCCATTATGTATTGGGCGAATCTCCGAATTATTACCCGCCGGGCGCCACATCTGTCCGTGTCTCGGCGAATTTAAATGCAGTGGTCCGTCCGGGCATCCTGTGAGAGGATAACGGCTTTTCCAATGTATAACTTGCTTATGGTAAATCCAATTTGCGCACTTACTTACAATTCAACCATCTGCGCCACTTATCCTAATGTGATATGCAGTGGACGAACAAGGATTGAGATAACAACCTATGCAGTGCATAGAGATCATCTGCGCAATCCAGGGGCCACACTGATACCCAGGTATAGTGTGGTAAGCTCAAGCTTGTTCCCTCTGATCATATCTGAAAGTCTTATAACATTACTGTATGTTCGATTATACACCCTAGAAGGCAAGAAAGGCGGCATGACAATGCTGTGGGAAGGGTGTCTTCGCGATGAAGCAAGGAGACGGGCCGTTGGGTTGCACGCGGCAGTGATAAATGGATCCAGCGTTTCAAAGCTATCAAAATGCCTCCCGTCTGTATCGAAGGCCGCCTTCCTCTTCTGTTACGTCAATGAATGCGCTCGCTTAACTCATCCACTCATACCAGTCATATTGTACTTCAAGAGGTGAGAGGGGCTGTCGATGTGACCGTCTCACAGATTAGCGTTGATCTTATATAAGAGCTGTGGTAGCATCATGCCTGTCATCTCATAATGCCTTGGTAGAATTGATTGATGACTACCTTACCCAATAACACCTTATCAAGATCTCGACAATATGTCAGGAGTTTGACTAAGTAACATATCGAGGACAAGGCTTGAATTTTTCACACAGAGGGCCATGGCCACACCCACTGACTAAATAGCGAAGCGCATCGCCAGCAATGGCATCTATAGCAGATTAATCTTCTGACAATACCCAAGAGAATTGTCGCCGAAGTGGCATCCTTGATTTCCTGGACCACGAGTCACAGGCATTATGGCACGGATACAGACAAAAGGGGCGAGATAGTGTCATTGGTTCTCGCATATTGGTAATCGGTATCAGGCCCTATTCTGCACCATTTCAAGTATTCGTGTCTTGTGAAGCCCTCTATTTCCTGTATCAAGGGATATATATGTACATAGCCATGGTAGTCACGCTTATGAATCACTCTTGTTCGCGTTCTGTGCCGCCTCGTGCTCTTTGATCTGCCTGCTCCAGCTGCAACGTCATTGTCAGCACTTAGTTGACAACTTAACGACTGTAGAGACACGTCTCCACAGAAATGGGAATTAGGGAGGAAACGTACTATCGGCTAGGGAAGAATCGGCCGGGTTCGGGCATCTTGTGTCTGTGTTCTCGCTCGGCGCTCAGGGTCCATGCCATGGCGGTGATGCCAATGATAACTGCGGAGAAGATGGCGGTGTTGGCTTTCCAGTTGGCGGGTTGTGTGTACCAACCACCGGCCGGCGACCAGACGTGCTTGGGGTACCTGCTCCGATGTTAGGGGATCGGCTTGACGTCGTGATGAATTGCGCGGAGGGTATCTGCGTCGACTTACGGGACTCGAGGACCACCACCCTAGCTTGTGTCAGTCGTGGATATCAAGTAGATAGATTCATGCACGTACCATCTTGCTACGGTGTGATGAATGGGATCGCTGCGGTTCAATTGGGAGCAATTACGAGGATGGGAGTGATCTGAAGCTGTCGTCGTCGTCGTCGTCGATCGATGAGCTTCAACAGCATACCCGAAGCGAAGCTGGACCCACCTTCGGGCAAGTGGCCAATAGTTAGTCCGCCACTTCCAGTGCTCGACGTCTATAGTGGGGTCGAGTGGGTTGCCGCAGCGCACGGTCCAGCGCAGATAGGCCCCAGACGGCCCCGATTGAGCGCCAAGCATGGCACCGACAACCGCTATCAGCTCGGCCAGGCTTGTATTAGGAAACTTTTTCTGGGCCGGACACGAAACCGCATCCACGACCCTCCTTCGAGATACCACCGCCGTCCAGCCTCGTGTCTCGCAGGACCGTCCGATTATACCGTGTTGGGATGAGGGATTTGGTTAATTGAACATGAAAAGGATACGATACCAGCAATTATCGCGCCAGTGGCTTGCCACAACGCCCGCCCGCTCTGCGACACCCTCACAAGTATCCCGACTTTCAAGGCCAGCACCGACTGCCTTGCATTGCCAGAGAAGATGCCAATCCGCCACATCAGTAACGCCCGAGGCGATATTCGACGAAGCAGATATCCATGAGTCACCGGAAGAGAGCGCCAATGTCCACGAAGTTGGTTCGAAACAGCTTCTACCTTCGCCACATCCTGATAGGGCTTTATTTTCTGCTAAACTGGCGGCCCTTCATGCGCGGTTGTCTCTATCCTCCAAAATTCCTCGCCAAGTTCTCGCACGAGCTCTCGTAGACCCTTCTGCCGACGCTCACCCCAAATTCAACAATGCCAACCTCGCCTTCGTGGGCGCTTCTTTGCTCCAATATCACACCTCGGAGTGGTTAGTGACGAGATACCCCCGTCTACCCATGTCCATCTTATTTGCGGCCATGAAGGGCTACGCTGGCGATCCCGCCTTACACCGAATTGCCCGGGCCTGGGGTGTAGAAGCTGCCGCAGCCCCCGGCGAAGAGGTGGACCCGGGATACCTCCAATTCTCCAAGAACAACCCGACGGTGAAGATGCATAAGTGGGGTTATGCTCGCGCCGAGTCGAAAGAGTTGAATAAGTACAAGTGGCGTCGCGGCATGAGCAGTCGGATAGTTCTCGACGACCCATTCGGCAACCTGGCAGATGGATCCGAGGATACCCCACCAGAGACCGATTTAGAAGTTAGTGATGCTCGGAATAAAAAGGATCTGCTTGTCAACAGCGTAGACAAGAACGCCCACGCCAACTTTGTACGCGCCGTTGTCGGCGCCATATATCTGCATTGTGACAGCGAAACCGCAAAGATGTTCATCAAGTCCCATGTGCTCTCCAGACAGCTAGACTTGTCGAACTTGTTTAACTTTACGCTCCCTGAACGAGAGCTGACACGATTGTGTGCCCGCGAGAATTTCGACCCACCCGTCGCACGATTACTGAGCGAGACTGGTCGTCTGAGTAGGACCCCCGTTTATGTCGTCGGCATCTACAGTGGTTACGACAAGCTGGGCGAGGCTGCCGGCCCTAGTTTGGACGCTGCGAAGTCTGCCGCTGCTATTAACACGCTTAAATCATGGTACCTATATAGTCCCGGCGAGGTCGGTTTGCCGAGCGATACCTTTGCCGAGGACGCCGCTCCCTGGAAACCAGTCTATGTTGACATTGGCGAGATAATATCTTGAACGCTATTACCTATGAAGAGCGCAACAGAGGCGGGGTATTTGTACGAGATATGTAGAAAGCTCAATTCGCTCCATGCGATTTGTACGATTGATTGAGGGTGTTGGGGATTCCGAGGGTAAACAACAGGGAACGACGACCCGACTCACGCTCATCATCATCATCATCATCACTTACTCACAAAGACGGTCTGGTGTCGGTTAAAATCATTGGTTAGATGAAACCCGTGTATCATATCATGCCATATCATGTTGGGAAAGGAGGTTGAAACAATGGCCAACTACATGTAGAAACACATACATACATACAACAAACAAGCAACAACAACAACAACGATGAGAAAATATATCTCTCGGTTCGATTCAATCGATCGGTTGTAAAGCGATGACGTTGGGAATAGCCTCAAAGACCTACCTAGCTCTATAATAAAATGTATATATCAGACCATGAGGCACATATCATCGGTATCTATCTTGTGAGGCATTAGTGCTCATGACTAAGTCGGGGAAGTGAGAATTGCTCCGCACAAGGCTACGGCTAACTAGGTAGGTAGTTTTGAAGAGCTCTTATCCGGATTATTTACATGAGAGAGTAAGTATTGATATTAGCAGTAGTATTTAAATCGGCGGCTCTTATGTCCTGCTAAATGGTGAACTCATGTTAGTTAGTAGTACCTATCCATAATGATAACCACGTATGTACATCCGTTGAGAGGAGCAAGCCGACATTCCTCGATTGGTAAGGAAGACTATGGAATTATTTTATGAAGGGAAGAAGGTGGTGAGAATGGATGTTTTCGTTGGTGGCTGATTACTCGCTATCGGGTTAGATCATATATATGGCGCGCAATCGATTTTTATACAACTGTTTCACTTCTCTTACTACTTACTATTCAAAAGTATACAACACAGCTATACATACAAAAAGTATTGTATCATGGGTTATCTATCCATCGCTGCCCTAGCCAAAGGGCCAAAGGTTGTCTATTCTAAAGCCCTCCGCTTGAGATATATTATATACCAAATACCCATCATCATACCACAACGCTCTTAACTCTAATAGCCGGAAATTTCATAGGTGCACATTCACCAAGCCCATGAGCCGCATCTCTCAACTAAAATGATCTCCCTCACCCAGCTTCCCCACAGTCCCGCGCCTCATGCGCTCTCTAAGCCTCTCGCCACGGGCCTCATCCTCAGCCCTTTCCCTCATCTTCTTCTTGCGCTCGTAGACAGCGCGCACGCACCGGCGGATCTGATCTTTTCCTTCGGCGTAATTTGCGCGCGCGAGCGCGACGACCTTGTCGATCTGGTCAGGCGTGTACACGAAGTTCCACGTGCTCATGTAATCGCTCCGCGCGGGGTCGACGCCCTGCACTTTGTCCGGGTTGGCGAGGAACGGGAGGTACACGACTGCGAGCCCGGCGTGCGGCTCCATGAGCTTCCAGGCTGTGTCGTTTGTTAAGGCCTTGGAGGGAGGCGGGGGTTCTGAGGATCGCTCTTCTGTTGTGCCGACCCAAACCGTGCAGTATCCTAGTTCGGAATCTTCCGGGTGCGATTGTTCGTGTTGTGCTTTAGCGGCATGATTCTCTGAATTGGAAGAATTCGAGGTTGAGTTGGTATAGTGAGCTGCTTGATCTTTTTGTGCTAGGGCTAGCTTTGCGTCTGCATCAGCTGCTGTGTCGGCTTGGGCGCTATCGAGTTGTTTCCCGATTGCCTCGGCAGAGTCTGTGGCTTTGGGCCAGCCTACACCCACTGGCCAACCTTTGATGCCGCGTTGGCGGGCGTAACCATCTGCTACGGAGAGCCAGTTGTCCGTTTTGGTATCTGCAGATGCATCAAAGGCTACGATGATATCGATATCACGGCCCGGTCGAAGTAAGGGGTAGATAGGTAAGTTGTTAGACATGCCGGCATCCATAAGTTGTATGTATTCTTTCTGGTGTACATTTGTAGGTGTAGTGAACCGTAGTTTGTTTGAGTCCATTGCGTAGGCGAAGTTGGGAATGGATGCGGGTTCAACTTTGGGGGCAAGTTAGCCAATATCACTCGCTGCAGGAAATGCTCTAGTGAGATCAAAATAGTCTGACTGCTAGTAACACAGGACGAACAAAGAAAGGATTGTCACTTACAAGGATGGACTTTCTCTAGGTCTTCGCTATACCCATGAATCATTTCGTCGATTGTCCCAAAACCAGTGAGGTTTCTTACTAGGGGCCGGACTTCACGATAGTAGTGACTTAGAGTAGCGCAGAAGGCAGACCCAAAAATTCCTAGAAGTATGGGCATTTTTATCTCGGGTAGGTGTACGCCACTTTCTGGCGGCACATCTCTACCGTTGTTGAATCGTCGTCCCATTGCCCATGTTGGGATGCCTGCGTTAAATTCCTCGCAAAAAAACTCATATGGTGTAATCTCAAACCATTGAAACCACCCCTCCTGTTTGGCAATCTCTTTCGCCTCCTCGGAAGGCGTACTCTTCGAATCCATGACGGCTCCGTCTATATCGGGTATTTCGTGTCTGACCGCCGTATATATCGGCAGCGGGTTCTGGCCATACTTGATGTATTCTCGCTGGTTGGAGAGCTTGAAATCCTTGGAATTCACGCCAAGTTCACCTCTAGGCACAAGTAACCTCGCGCTTAACAGAATGCCGTATATATCTACTAAACCGAAATCGGCGTTGGGATCACCTCGGAGCTTCTCGACCATACTACTTAGGAGTAATTTGTTTGTGGGAGATGATGTGACCGAGGCAAATGCGGCCGGAGGGAATGCGATGTGAACGCCCAATCTTGCTTTCAGATGGTCCACGATACGCTCTAAGCGATTCTCCGTAATCGATGAATGGTAGAGGGACTGTAGCCAGCAAGATCCACTGACGCCAGAAGTGTAGGTGACACAGTCGAAAAGCCCATCTTCTTGAGATGCTAACATCGAGCCCGTGCCTGCAACAAGGGCGCGCAGGCCACCCCCAGAGCCACACATCGCAATGGTCGGTACGTCCGCAGGATTAATATCATCCTCGTTTAGATCAAGATAGCGCGCCAGAGCCGCCACGGCAACCTTCTTTCGGCGCGAAAGAAACTCTTTCTCCTCTTCGCACAGGTCATCCGATATACGCACGGTGGCCGAGTACTGGATTTCCGGGTTCACAGAGGGGTCATGTGCTTCCTTCCATATATCATCGGCCAGCGACCCATTGGACATAGACAATTCCCTCTGAAGCTTCCGGGTCTGTCGTGGGATTGCCCTAGACCACTCGGGTAATATGAAGTCGACGATCTTGTCGGACAACGATGACCACTCGATATCAGTGGCGTTAGAAAAGTCTTCAAAGCGCTTCGTGAATGAGCCCCAGGCTGTGGCCTGATTCGCATTCTGCCCCTCATTGTGTGAAGATGCGGCGCTGTCCCTCACTCGCTGCCTCGCCTCCCCAACGTGCCTGGCTTGGCGAAGTTCGTCGCCTGGGTAAAAGGTGTAAATAAGCAAGCCGCCCAGGAACAGGAAGGTGGGCGTGGTTAAGGATCTTGTACCGGTTTTGCCTCGCCCTCGATTTCTCCCAGAGCTAAAGGATCCCCGAGGAAACCGGCGATTGGCCAATTGCAGGTGGCTTGATCTTGCGCGAGCAGAGATCAGCAGCCGCCTCCCCCACGCATGATCCAAATGAGAACCGTGAAAAGTCCTCATTGTCCGTGCAGATCCGTGCTACCTCCAGAGCTCTCACCAGATACCCATTGTTACAAATCGGATCAGCTTACGGACATAGTCACGCCATCTGGTGGTCATACTTGAAATTTACGCGCAGTTGAGCATGAGCATGCAAGCTATAGTGGGTAAACAGATGATTCGAGCTGAACCATGACATCATTAGATACTGGCTACCTGCCTATTCACATTCCGATGAGGGAGTGGTTATGCGTTTATCGGGGTTATGTAGTTGTGGAGAATATATGTTTGTCTTGACCTCACAAAACATCCAGTATTGTGCCTCAGGCATCTAGGTATCTTGTATCAGTGCGCTCTTACCGAAGTCTCCTGATACTTAAAGTTAGTTATACTAAGTAGTATCTATACATAAGTAGGTAGTGATCATGTACAACTTGTGACTGCTTGTGGATATGAGTTTCTCTACATCGGCTAGTTTGAAAATACGGCCTTTACTTGATACTATGGAAAGCTTGGCGCGTCCTGACAAATGACCCATTAAGTATTACAATTCGACCTACACTACTAGCTCTACCGAATCCAACCCTCATTTCGATGGCAGCACTTCTTCATTAGCGGTAGCATAACTACCATCTGGGTCATTGAAATCTAAAGCAATGAGTAGCTCATGGGGTGTTATGTGCAGCCACTGAGAACTTATCACAGGCAACTGTTGGCTATTACAAATATCAGCAAGTGCCGGGCCAAGCAAGCAAGCCAGCATAATGGTGGGTGTTCCGCGCTCTAAGGGTTGCAGGACCTGTAGGAGGAAGAAGATCAAGGTGAGAAACCCCGTGTATATACGTAAAACATTCTCTAGACTAACATACGCCTGCTTCTTCCGTACAGTGTGATGAGCAAAGACCTCGTTGCGGGCAGTGTCGGAAGGGGGTGAGAGAGTGCGAAGGATACGACCATCATACTATCTTCCGCAATTCCTTTGCTGGTAACTTCACTACCACTCCCAACTCTCAAAGACAAGCGATTATTCAGATCGACAGTCAGCCTGTACGAGATGACGCTTTGGCAGACGCTCATGAAGCCCATCGCGACAAGCAGCTGGCGCTGAAAAAAAGGCCAGCCAAAGAGAGGGCTCACCCCTACGCGATTGCGAGACTGAAGCGCGCTCAAGCCCAACTCGCCGGAGCCACACCTCTACCTCGTACTCTAGACGCTCAGGTCTGGGCCGTAGAGTGCATAATGGGTCAGTTCTTAGAAATATGCAAGCCACTTTCAGAATCCCAGGAAGCCCCACTAGCCTGGCTTGGAGAGATCAAAGAGTGGGAGAGAGACATCGATGCGCTGCCGCTTGCTATGTCTGCACTTGCACTCGGTTGGGCCGGGCACATCGATAATCAGCAGCAGCTCGCTAGCAAGGGGCTGCAGCTCTACAATGCCGCGCTTCAACAGCTGCGGAAGGATATGAGTACCTACTCGCCACTACAGTCGCTGGTGGTCACCACGATTTTCGTCGTATTCGAGCTATGTCAATTCGGGAGCAAGGGAAACCCAGGATGGCTCACTCATATGAAAGGAATTGCTGCTTTCTTACAAGAACTTGGACCTGATAAAGTCTCCAGCGACCCATACCTGAAGGTCTATTCCTTCTGTCGCGTGATCTTTGTAAGTATACATCAATTTTGGTTGAGATCGGGTGGTAAGGTTTCTAATCGACCATGCTAGATCATGCAAGGGCTCAATCGCCGGCGGGCAGTCTGCGCCAGCTCAAACCTGTGGAAACACGGCCCATTCATACATCATGAGAAGAATGCATACCATCGCTTCTACGATCTATCGTCGGAGGCGTGCGAGCTATTGGGCTACGCCGACGATTTGGAGCAACTTCATGATACAGGTTCTGAGCAATCGGCGCGAGTGCTTCACAGCTTGCTTGATCTCATATCACGGCTCAAAATATGGATGCATGACTCCGAAATTGTTGGTTTCAGCGGACCTTTCAGTTTTCCCGACAATGATGCGGTAAATCGCCACCAGCTTGATCGCTCTACGGCACGCGGATACCCAACAAAGTCACCATTGGATAGTGGGTGGACTCCAGAGGTACTATATGGGCAAAGGATGACGCACAATTACTGGACGCTACGTTTGGATCTCTACATGACAATACTAGACAACCCAATCCTCTATTCATTACTCATGACATCTAGCGAGTTTAGGACGCTGCTGCTCACAGACTTGGCGTTAGAGCCTACTGAGGCAGAGCTACCGCCCTTTGTCTTGATCTTTGAAGAATGCCGTAGGTTGGCGAACAACATCGCTATTTATGCTACTAGCAGCGCGAGCCATAGCATGTATCAGACTTTTGGCTCGCTCGTCACTGTCTACACCCTCGAGACGGCAATTCGATGGTACGAACGACACAAAAGCGGTGATTACCAGATGGATGCTGAACTTGAGCAACATTGTCGCGCGGTACTATCCGGGATTCAGGTTGAGGAGTCCAAGGACCCGTGTGCCTTCGAAGTCTCCGTATTACCTGATGAAGTCTTGAGGCGCCCTTGGTGCTAAGACTACCGAGACAGAGGGAGAGAGCCATGCTATTTCAGGTCACGGGCAGATATTTGCCTCACTGACTTCAGAATCCCTACGCGCGAACATAGCGCCTCTGTTTACAAGTTTCAACGGTATATACTCTATTGCTCATAGGCATAATTCGGGCAGGTTAACTAAACTGTGCCCCTCGCTCTCGGAAGCTTGGGATGTGGATGACGTTCGTAGCATATATGCCATTGACGAAGATAGAGACGAGATATGAAAGACGGTGCAAGACATCAGCTCTGATGTATCAATGTGCAATATATGTAGTCGAGTTTAGCAGTGTGAGGCTACCTGCAGTGAACTGCCGTAAGTACAATCCCCATTTTTCATTTTCATCATTTCTTGCTTCAGACCTCAACTCCTTTTCCATACCTGGATCTCTGATTGCAAGACATGGCCGACTTCAGAAAACACCCGATGCTAATTCCGAGCCACCCAGATATCTACGTGGCGCCATTTTCTGCTACGGCATCTTCGCAACAAGATGACACACTACATCTGTTTACACGCTCGGGGAGCAAGCGAGAGAGCAGACAGGCAGAACGCCAGCAAGATCAGCTTCACAGTCTACTCACGCAAGAGTCGGAGGCGTCTTCCACGCTAAAGCGCCGACATGCTTCTCCATGAAGAAAGGGCGCAAAGACACATTTTTTTATGTAGAAGTCCCAGCTCATAATATCTACTTAATCAAAATCTTTTGGCACAGATTGACGTCAGATCTACAAGGACTTTGCCGAGCCCGTCATGGAGGCTCCCTCACTCACAAGAAGAGTGAGCGGGACCCAAACCAAAAAGGGCGACCGAGAAGCAAGAAGGACAAGAAAGACGGCACATGAAACGGCGCATTAAAGACCCCGGCTCGTCATGCTCGAAACTAAGTCTACTTAAGCCCTTCATTACCCCATATAAACCCCATCTCACAAAACGCGATACCTACCTACCTACCTCCCTACCTAAGCGCTACTTTTATGTCTACCACGCCCTTATCCACACGAAAAAAAGTCTAGATTATTCTCGAAAACAGTTCCACACTACTCCGCGCAGGACAATGTCCATCCCTCACTCGCATTCCTACCTGGCGTTATGAAAGAGGAAGAAAGAAGTCTTGCTTAAACCATATTTGTTACGGGGAGACTCCTGGTCACAGTAGGTCACGTGGTAACGTATATAAGGGGTCGAGTAACAATTCCATCATAGCGTACAGAACTACTATCCACGGCTTCCATTCAGACACATAAAGGCCGACTACCAAAGAAAGTACACAACAGCCAATAATTACTTCTTAAGTAGTATAATATACTTCATTCAATCGGTCAAACCATTCAGATGACGTAAACCATAGTATAGTCCAGTATATGCAACCCATTAATTCAGATGACGCGTGATTTAAAACAGCGATAGTATCGGAATAATCATGCCTCTCTCTCCCTCTCTCTCCAAAAAAATGGAGTAAAATCGCTAAGCCTCCCCCTACGCTACCGTATTACACTACAAAGTACAAAGTACATAGAAAATGAAGATGGGTGGGAAGTACCAATGAATCGAATCGAGTGGAGGATTACCTACACTAAATCTTTTAAAGACCGTCAGACTGGGTAGAGTAATATATCTGTTATATCTGTAGTGTAGTATAGTAGTGTCCTATGTAGTGCAGTGTAGAATGAGACAACCTGAATTGAATTGAATGATCGACATCCCCCTCCGCATTACGCTATGAAACCAGCAACGGTAGTATAGCACATGGTTAGGTCGCGCTCTCAGCAATGCGGGTCGAGACTGAATCCTGTAGGAATGGTATTAGGTACGACTACCGGCAGTTATGGTTTCACAGCATTGGTTGATTGATCGATTGATTGGGGACCCTGATCCCCAAGTTGCATGCATGGGATGGGCATTACATAATTGCAGGTGGCTGATTTTCGAGATATTGTATATGGTAGGTATTGGTAAATGAAATATATATACATTGAATGGGCGATTGCCCAGCCTAGCCCAGCCCCGATCTCCTTTACGCAGTTACGAGAGCGCAGTTCTCGTAGCTCGAGGAATAGCTGTGGTAAAAGTAAGAATCGTGTGAAGGATGCTAAATAGATGCTAGTTTGGGGGCTGGGCATAGCGAAAAAAAATTGGTGGTATCAAAAATAAAAAAGACGTATATGTCGTAGCCCATTGACGCCGCGGTTGGACGAACAAATGCAGATATTGTACCGCTTCTTTTATGCAAGGAGGCAATTATTTCTTTCCTTTTCCAAAGACGTATTACCGTCATTTCGTATCTTCGTTAATTGTCGCAACCGCACGTTTACCACTCGCGACGGGAATTCTTGGACCCGAATCCGGGCATTGACGAGAACCTATGCAATCGTCTTTGTTGCGTCGAGCTTTGGGCTTGTTGTTCGGGGGTTTCGGGGACCGTAGGCATTTCTACGCTGCGGCGCACAGTCGCCCTGGTGGTAGACATGGTCGAGCTGTTGGTCGAGGAGCCCGTGGAGCTTGGTGTTTGAATAACGTATTCGCCGTCTACGTACATGGCATTACTGACGAAGGTGGAACGTCGGTGGCGGTTACGAGTATATCGCTTCTCGAGGCGATACAACTCGAGCTTAGAGTGGAGCTTTTCGAGGAAACCCATGGTGACGATGGTAGTGTTGTCCTAGTGAGGATGGTGGGAATGCAAAGATTCGATAATGTTTCGAGAGCCGACAGGAAGCAAACAATGGAAATCCGAAAACAGACTGTGCAGAGATTCTGATCTGACTGCGTCGGCGATCGAGGGGAAGCGAATTTTTATATAGGAGCGGGCTATGGATCGACAGTAAATCAGGAGAAGGGTGGTGTTTCTCGATTTACCGCCACTGCTGCAAATGTGTGTGCTTGGAGAATGTTGCGACGTCCCCGCGATTCAGTCTGGGTAGATTGTATCACCGGCCAGCGATTTATTAAATAGGTGAAAGGTGGGAATGCGAACAGAGGCGAAGGATAGCGTGTGAGAAGACGAGGTTCTCGCGTATCAATGGACTGGGTAGCGTACTTAGTACTTAGGGAGGTGAAGGAGTGAAAAGGAAGGTTGAGGTGACTCTATCTGGGGGTAGGATGCCAAAAAAGCCGTTAGTGGAACGAGAGAAATATGTAGGTATCTACCAGCCTGCCGATGGATGAATTTGTGCGGGAGGACAAACGAAGCAAAAGAGTCAAAGGAGAGAAGAATCAAACAGGGGGATAAAGAGGGAACTGGCCTATATCCTTTGTCCTTTGTGTTAGAGCGACATGTTGAGAATGAAGGTGGTGGGAAGGGAAGAGAAGAGAGGCAGGCCAGCCAGCCAGCCAGCCAGGATTAGCGTGCTGAATCGGGTCTGATCGAGCACTACTGTACCTACCTAGAGTAAGTAGAGCACTGCTAGAGCTAGAGCGGCCGGTGCCAGGAACAGGCACTAAACTGACGACGGGCCAGGGGTGGACTTGCATTTGTCCAGGGGGGTTTTCTGTCTGTTCTGGCTAGCCCGAGTCTTGTCTGTGCGTGTGGACTCAGAAGCGTGGAGCCGTGTTGCGAGGCTTGAATTGGTCCGGAGGCCCAGAGGAGGCCCATGGCAAAGCCGGACCTACCAGAAACCTGCCGCATATAGTCTGGCGTGCTGCTGGTGCCCTGGACTATTGCTTCTCGACTAGTATGGAACAAGTAAAGACATTGAGTAAGTATCTACTGTACTAATTACTTGAATATCTACTATTACTATGTAGTGAACGCTAGCCCGGCCTGCTATCTAAGTACATAAATCGTCTCGATGTAAGGAAATTTCTCAATCCAGATACAGAGAGAGGCGAGAGATATAGGTACGAGAAATGCTGCATGCATCTTACTACTGCCACTTTACTTACTGCATATATACCTAGGTAGTATACACTAGGCACATTCTATATCACATACCTATAGACTTAAGTAGTACACGTGTAGTGGCGTTGTGCGTTGTGCTAGGGAACAGCAGAGGACGAGGTTGTGCATGAGATCGATCGTCCTAGCGCACACTTTACTATGTACAGCAATCACTTCATGAGAAGACCTGCGCCTTCAATGCAGCAACTCGTGTTGATTTTATGCCATCATCGTGCGCTCTTCATTGACATATACTTATAAAGCCGTGTCTCAAGTTGTTACCTCCGATCCTACTTAAGTACTTACTTATGATCCTATCTACCGATTCAATCTCACAGGGAAAAGTCCCTCTCTCCTACCCTGTACAACTTACTATGTATTTTATAGGGGCCCCCCTACCTAAAGTACCTTCACAGGTCAGTGGCTGGGACGCTACTGTGAATACCACGCGAGTTGGTGCGGGGCGTACCTTGCACCCGACCGGTCACGTTCCCAGCCTATCAATTGAACAGGCCAAGAAGACCACGCATCGCCGACGAGCTTGGGCCCTTTTTACGACTTACTATGTACCTACTTACTTACTTATGTACCTGAGCGAGACCGCTTAATATCGGACTATGCTAATATGGGTTGATGACTGAGTAAGCTAAATAGAGGTGGCTGCGGTCTGAAGTGAAGTAAAGAATCCTACTGTGCATTACTGACATACGTACGTAGTATCAGGAGTTATGAATAGCTAATGCGTGTGTCTCTTCACAGGCTCGGTATTCTCCTTGCCTCTCTGCTACCTATCTAGGTATCTCATCACGAGAACACAACGCGAGATTCTAGTGTACAGAAATAGGTAAAGAAATTCATACGTGCCGTGGGAATCCGATTCATCCGACCTACCAGTCTACAAGTACCTACATATAGCCCACAATATCCGAGTTGAGATAGGGCGTCTTATTCGTAATCGTTAGAAAGTGTACTTAAGAGAGAAGAGGCAGATGGGCGGATTACCTAGTAGGTAGTCCGCCGTAACCGTACCCACTGTCCACATGTGCATGTCACGCATCCCGCTAAGTCATGTCATGGGGATGGTTCGGATCCGGCCACCTCCCTTCATACTATACGGCGGCATGGGACGGACGGTCTCCAACGCATCCGCTCAGCGGTAAGTGAGGTAGTAATTGAGTTGGGGGTTGGATTGGTTAGGTTCACCTGCACTGAAGAGATGTTGTTCATCGTCCGCCACAGCTGCTGTCAAGTAAGTGGATAGGTAGAAATGCTGGGTCGCCATAAGTTAGCATATTGTAAATGTTTATTTAGCCAAAAAGTCGCAAATACAATCCTCTTCTACAGGCCTGACGTGTACTAAGGCGTATGGCGTATGGAAAAAGAGACAAAGAGAACTTTTGCCACGGTTATAGTGATCTTCCTTCCCCTTTCTTTTCTAACTGACGCTATGCATGTATAATACGCTGAAGAGAATAACAGATACCAGGTAATCAAGCCAAAACACCCAGAATGATATGCATAAACGCTCAGCCCATAAAACTGTTGACGATAGTGACGGTGGTTGTGTAGACCATGGCAATTAGCCCCACGATCATGAAGATGATGTCGCCAATCTTGGCAGCCCTCGACGTCGCAACGCCCTTGTAGTGCAGGAAAGCAGGATAGATGTAAACCAGTGGCACGCATGCGAAAGATCCAATCAACGCCACAAACTTGTCCAGGTTCCCGGTGCCGATGATCGCGACCCCGCCACAGATGAGCACCATAAGCGATCTGAATGCGTTCTTCTTCCACTTCGTGCGTAGACTACGCTTGCCTGATCGATGGCCGAAGATACCCCCTTCCAGAATCCTTATCGCCGGAAAGAGTTGAACTGGGTTACCGCCCAAAACAGCCAGAGAGTAGAGAAACTGGACAGCATTGACGAACTTGTTAGTTTGAGGGTAGTTATTGATGATCTCAATCTGCGTGTCTTTGCCAAAGGTAGCATAGCAGAGCGCCCCGACTGCTGTGAATATAATGGTAATCAGAAACATAATAACCCCTAACAACCACTCGAAATGTTCAGGTTTAACCATCGATGATTGTATAGGCAGAATCAAGCCAATGCCTTCGAAAGTGAAAATGGCCGAACCAACCATCAGAGTATATGTGTTCGGGTTGAACAGAACGACTGTCGAGTTAATGCCTTCGGTTGCAAGATGCGCTATATCGTAGTAGTAGATGTAAGAAACCCCAATAAGGATGAAAGCATCGGCAAACATTGCGACAGGTCCGAGCTTGCCTATGTCTCGAATGAATGACAAAGGTATGAGGACGAGTACCTGTATCAGAATGAGCTGGGAAGGCGACAAGGGGCTTTGACCGTGAGTGACGGCCTTGAAGAAAGTGGTCAAGTTCTCTGCTACGAATACAATTCCGGAGCACACGAATCCGAGTTGCGACAGCGTGATGGAACTGAGGACCAGATTGCGCATGCGACGACCCACAATAGCCTCGCCGATTTCACCATAGCCGCCTCCATATTGGGCCTTGCACGCTAGAAGCAAGTGAAAGGCGAGCATCGTGACAATGGACACAACTACCATGGTGATCGACGAGAAGAGCAAGCCGCCATTGTCAAATGCCTTTGGTAAAAACATAATCCCGGTTCCGATGAAGGCCTTGAGCAGCGTGAAAAACGTCTTACGAGTGCTGGCGGTGGCCGACTTAGCAGCTGATCGCGAGCTTCTTCTACTACCCAGGAGAGGTCTCCTCTCGGGTGGCAGTTGATCTCCTGGTTCACGTTCTTCTTCGTCCTCGTCATCGATGATAGCTTCGTCGTCAGAGTCTGCGAGGTCCTCACCAGCGAAGCTGCCATAGAGATTAAGAAATTCATAAAAATTCCGGGTTATCGGAAGCCTGGCGGCCCAATTTTGTTTGTTCTGCTTCTGGAGGAGAAAGGCCCTTCGGAAGCCGCCAGGTGCTAACTGCTCATTCACGGTCAATCCTTCCAGGTCATCCTCTCCCGAGGCGGCCCCTTGAGGCGAGTGGAAGGTCGCGGCCCGCTTGTGCATCCTGGTCCGAGCTGCTGCTTTGAAGATATCACGATGGATATCTCCACCCTGCAACATTAATGAATCCTCCTCGGCTGCGGCACTTGGATCAGCGGGAGCCGACGGCTCTTCTGGGACTGCACTGGTGAAATCCGCAGTGTAGCCTGATGGCAGATGTTCGGCGATGACCTCGGCCTCTGGGCGGGCTTGCTCCGATGCTGGAGACGCTAGTGCTGGTGAGCCCGTCATCTTGTAGGTACTATTTTGATCAATTAATGTATAAAAGAGCACGATAAAGCTGCTGTTTGGCGTCAAGATGTTCTCGGCGAGAAGGCGATCAGTGAATACGCGGCAGCCATACAGCCGGTTAAGCGAGTCGCCGGGGTATGTCTGCAAGTAGCAATAGAGCTAAGCTGTCGAGGAGACCTGTGTCTAACAGAACCAAGGCGGACAGATCAGGTTCAAGGTCAGATTACAGAATAAATAGAATGGAAGTGAAGGTTTGACGTCGACATAAAATACGTAATGCGGAGAATCTGGAGTTAGGTAAGTACCTACCTACTGTAGGCATGCGGTGCCAAGGAAGCTTGAGTCAGTCAGGTGATGCGATGCAGAGAGAAAGAACTTTTCAGCGGTCAAGGTTTACGGCGTTTAGTGAGTGGCTATAGCGTGGTTCAGTGGCAAGGCGTTGGCTCATGGTTGGCCAATCCCTTAAACCCACAAAGGTAGGTGACCTGTGGTCTGCTGTGGGTAGTGGACCGAGTTCGTCGTGATGCTAAACCTCCTTAAACCTCTGTCGTCCATAGGTAGCCCTGCAAACTATCGTGGTGGCAAGTGATTCGGCAACCGGCGGCTTCAATTCATCTACCAACCTAGTCTTTTAGTCATCTTGGGGATTTGGAGACAAAGGGCTGGTACCGCAGAGTACCGTATTGGTTGCTCTACACTATGACGTTATCATGATTGACCAAGTGGTAGGTACTGCATCTTGCTCCAAAACTTGCTCCAAGATTTATCTACAGTAGGACAGATCTGACAGAAATAGGCAGGATCAGGAGGGAAGGAGAGGACTGAAGGAATATGGCATGGCTTTTTGACCTGAATTCTTCTGAAGACAGCCCCGCGGCCAGGTATGTTGTGTTGTTCCTACTGCCAGGGGACACTACCTCACCTCACCACCTCACTATTCCACAGCCGATAACCTAAGCAGTGTCATCAAACTTATATATATGTATACCTAGTTATATATATTGTTCGTTACAGTTCTCAAAGCATTCTATTTACTCAAGTACCCCAAAACAGTCATTACCACGGATTACGCCTCGACGTGATTGAGTGCCTCGGCTTAGACTTCTGTCTTTAAAATCATCTGTGTTCATCGTGTAACCTCATCGCGATAACTTCACGCTTGGCACCTTACACCGCCTCTCACCTACTTTATCTTAACCACACTGAGAGTAATAATCATTCTGCAATATTTCATCATGTCAGTCTCTACCCCCATAACCACAATACTCTTACCTTCTAAAATGACAGCTTTACGTACCTGCTTTTTGCACGTATATGGGCTGGCGCAAGAGGTGCACCCAGTGAACCCGGATCCGCCGCATTGCTGAGAACGACATTGTCAGTGTGGCTCTAAGTCTACCTGTGAGTATAGGTAGATAGCTTACCGCCCATTGTGAAACAGAGCATGTGGGAGAAGAGCCCGACCCAGCAGTCTTAGTCGATGTCACGAGCGTGGTTGTTGAGCCGGCCTTGGTCGTCGTGGCCGGGCTGGACCCGGAATCCCCATTGCAAGTGAAGACATTAGGGCCTACACGCCTCTAATCAGTATACTTAAGAACCTGGAGTCTTGTGAGAGCCGTTATACCTGGAATAGTGTATTTGCTCGACGATGTCATTTGATAGATGTTGACCAACAAGCCAGGATCGTTTGCCTGGGAATCGATTAGACGACTGAACACTGAGAACAGGATGGTTTTGTGCCAACCTTGTAAATGCCCGGGATGCTGTAAGTTGCTGGTGACACCTTAGCTGTACCACCTGAGATGTTGATCTGTGCACATTCCATCTAATGTCGAATTAGCAAGTAAGGTTCATCACCACTCGCCCCCAATATAGCCACGACCAGGAGATGACGTACGTAAAGTTGAGCCCCCTGTGATGAGGATGCGCCGTGTAGAGCGATCATTTCGGCGCGGAGGAGATACTGGCCGTCGGCAAGGCAGTCGGGGATCTTAATGGCATGTTTGCCAGCGTTGTTTATGACCTTGGACGTTCCCCAGGCGCCATTGCTATACCCATCTTCTTGGATTTTGAACCTAAGTGCAGGAGTCAACCGGAGCTTTAACTACATGATGAAGATGTCTAACTCACCATCCATTTCCGTGCCCTGTATCGCTCGTAGCGTCTGCCACCTTCTTGAGGTACGCCATCGTCGGCCCAAGATGAGAGGGATCCATCACGTCGCTAGCACCAGATGTTAAGGTATGCCGCCATATCGCATTGACCTTGGTTAGACATATGGTGAGCGAGCGGTAGCAGTCTTTCTAGTAACCAAGGCGTCTTACAGTAGATCCGGCTTTCACATCGATGATCTTGTTCGAGGGCGTTGTAGGGTTGGGGCCACCATTGCACGCCAAATCGTTCGACGACACATCTGTGATCGGGCCATCATATGTGGGCGTCCTAATTCCGTACGATACTGCATTCATGACGCCATTCGACTCAAGCTGCACGAAGATGGTATGGGCGGAGACCGCGCTGATGGCGGCGGCGGCTGAGGCTATACTGAACTTCATTGTGCTATCTGCGAAGAGGGAGAGAAGTAAAGCTGTTATTCCACACTATCAAGTCCTGCCGGTATGCGCTGTCCGAAACGCCCCAGAGGTGGTCGATGAAGGCGGTGGGCACATGTAGATTAAATATCTGGGGTATGTGATGCAAGACAACGGCCGCTCTACCACCCGCCATCCCGCCATCCCGGGAAACCTGGACATTGGTGCAGGTTGGCAAATGGCGAGGTTGCGTCTCTGCGGCCCAATCTATCAATCCAGGTTTCTCGGATCGTATCATGGCCCATTTCGGATACGCGAGCCTAGTGGGTTGGGTAAATCAGGCGGAGGCAACCTCTCCGGATCTTGTTCCGGAACGGGAGGCTGCACGCTGAGCCAAGAGAACACAAGGCACGCAGCAAACACTCTTGGTAGAAATTGTATGATGATAGGTGGAATTCTATAAACTCAACGCTAAATACAGATCAGTCTTCTCAATCCCCTTATAATAATAGTACGACGCCGCATTTCCCCCTATCTATACCTCCGATCCCAGCAAAGCCCACAATTGCAGTAGTATTTCATCGGCTCCTGATCCCGGATCAACACTGGGAACGAGTAGTCTCAGCCCTCCGTCGTGATTCATTCCGTTTCCTACACGGGTCTTGGACCCCTCTTGATACTAGGTGTGCTATTTTCGTCAATCTTGATACCGAACTGGTGCGTCGCCAATCCATAGCTAGTGGCGACAGCCTTGCTGGCGTACACCCTCATCTGCTTCTCGTATTCTGCTGTTATGCCATCTCTCCACCCGCCTGCTTCAGCAAGAAGTCTTCCTAATAAAGCAGAGTCTTGTACGGCAGTATTTGCCCCAATGCCCCCCGCAGGAGTCATGGAGTGAGCTTTTTCTCGGTCAGCAGCGTATCCTCGCGATAATTTAATAAAGTGACATACCTGCATCTCCAATGACGGTGACTCGAGGGTCGTTCTTCCACTCGGGGACACCAGACGGGGTAGAGCATGTGATCTTCCAGAATGCCGCTTCGCTCGATATCATCTGGTCGAATAGAGGCTTCAGTTTCGGGGCCCAATCCTTCGTTATCGACTTCGCGATATCGGCTGCCACGGCCCCCGTGATCGTGTAGTCTTCGTTAGGGGGCTTAATAACTCCTGGCTGGGCTCCCATGGTCCAACCAAATTCTATGTTCGGATCATCCATATCCCCCGCCCGGACATTCGTTATAATGAATACACGTCCGTCGGGCTTAGAATCGTCCACAATTCTAAACACGCCTTCTCCTAAGCCCTTGAATGCTGTGGTAGGTGCCTGCCCGTGTATTCCTCTTGCGCCGGTATCGTACACCTTCAATTTTCCTTCTGAAACTTGCTCAGCTACCCTGGAATACAAGCCTTCTCCACCAATTAACATGTCTCCCTCTACCGACTTGGAGCCGTCCGCAAAGATAGCGCGGACTCCTGAGGCGCTAGATTCATATCCTATTACTTGGTGGCTCCATTCAATATAAGGTTCCAAGCCGTCTATAAACTGCTTGCGCATTTCTCCTCTCGCAATGCCCACGACTTTGCCACCGCGAGAGGTTAATGTCTCCCTTGGCCCACGCGATTCACCAGTTTCCTCGGGCTTTTTGTCGACACCCTGCCCAGCGGTCAATGGGTCATCGAGTGGCTCGCCTGTTATGGCATGGATGGAGGAGAAGCCCATCCCACCCGTCTTCCCGCAGACATCCCAGAATCTCTGGAAGGCCTCTGGCTCAAGAACTGCCTCGATGGCATCCAAGCCCTCGGTAGAAAGACGCAGCCGGTAGCCTTGCGCGCGAAATGTGATGGAAGCGTCTCTCTCGAAGATGCGGACCGGAATTGAAGCTCGACGAAGCGCTTGGGCAAGAAGGAGAGACGACACTCCCGCGCCGGCGATAAGGATCGGTTTCCGAGCAATCGCCGACATCGTGGTGATAGACGAGTTGGGCCGAGTATGATGGAAATGATGCAGACGATAGTACTTAAGAGGTGGCTTGATGTTCAATCAACCTTGCTAGTCGAGGTTCTTGAGAATGATGAGAGCAATTAGAAGGAGATAAAGACAGCTTATAATCCTCTTATCACTCCTCAAGCTCGTAGAGCCGATGGCGTTTGATGTTGTCATAGGTTGGCGCATAGTGATTGATTATGGAATAGTACTTAGGTACCTGACAGCGATTTGAAATCACAAAGAACACAAGCACCAAGACGCTTATTCGCAATTTATTAGCGTTCTGCATAGCGCTGAACAAGCAAAATACCAGCCTGTGTTATTGCAAACGGCTGATTAAGCTGAATAATGTTCGGCCGAAAAATAGCTGCGACTTTCTCGCGACGATGTTCATAACGCGATCAGTGTTAGAGGGTTTGAATCGCTTTTGGCAATTCCAACATGCTATACTGCCTTGATACTCAACCAGCTCTTCCACTCAGCGAAGCGTCCCAGCCCGACCGGAGAAAGCGTCATGGCCTTTGTCGGATGAGCCCGGGCTTTCCTCGGCAACTTCTAAAGTACAGACGCGATCGCTGCTCTATGCTTTAGAAGATGCAAGATGCAAGGTGACTGCCGCGGAGATATAGGGCCTCCAACTTGATCTTCCAGTAGATGTCTAAATAGGTGTGAAAGGTTGAAAGAATTGGCTTTCCTGCTCAAGAAGAGTCCGTTCGGGGGGTCTAGGAATCAAGAACTCTTCCACGGGATTGACCCCGCAATACAGCTAGGTTCGTGCGATACCCAGTCTTCATAAAATCCCAAGATTTTGGGACAAAAATGAAACATCCAAAGGCAGCATAGACGGAATGACTCATTTTGGTTTCATTGGTATGTTTGTGGAGAGTGTATTATTACCTATATTACGAAGGACTTTGTGTATGATGCAGGTCAACCACTTCTACCTTTTCCAACACAGTGATGTTGTTGTCTCCATAGCGGATACAAAATTTCCCCCATGGCAGAAACATATTCTAATGGGGAAGTCCGCCTACGGTGTAGATTAATGACATGGTGAACAGATCAAAGGGTTATTCACAATGATTATACAGGTGATTGTGCCACCTAGTCTAGATAGTCAAAGGGCATCCATATATCACAATTCTTTGTTAAATACCATCTCCGTTTGCAGCCTTCTTTGTCCTGATACTCTGGCCCAGGTATTCAAGTATTTGTATCAGCTGTTCAATAATTTCTACCGCAGTTTAATGATAGTTGTAACTACGGTACAAAAGATACCACACCCCCAGCTCTGCATCTTCTGGGGGGTTGTCAGCTTTGGGCATTTGATCAGACACATCTTGCGAACACAAAAAAACACAACTCGATCTTGAAGAAGAATAAGCCAAGGGGGTTAGGACACAAGAACTGCCCACAATGGCCTACTCTACCAACTTCAGGCCCTACGACGCTCGGGAAGGCTTTCACAGGATTCTTAGAAATACACAAAATTGGATGGAGCATTGGATTGAAAGAAAGTTACTGAGTAACGACGAGGTTGCGGCGCGTTGGCTGGAGTCTCTTTATTATTTTCCGCACGTTCTTACTCGCTTTCGAAATTTCCTTGTTTCACACCCCGACATTCATGCCGCCGTTGGATATCCCGGTAGCGACGGTGCAATACTTGTCGCTTGTGGTCAGTTCCCCGAAGTCCTTCATTTCCTCCTTAGGCACGTTTCGAACCTCAATGCTTCTGCATAATGCTTACAGAAGGATTAAAAAGGTAAAGAATTCGTACTATTTCGAATAGTTGCTAACTTGAGCGTGTAAACAGTTTTGCGGTTTGTTTGCCAAAACATATTTGGAGATTTACCTTGCAGTATCTCCCCACAGATAACACAACTACTGAATACCATCGAAGACTCTATGTCGAATTGTAGCCACCCAAGGATAGGTAAGCTGGCGTTAACTGCTCATGCCAGGGTCTGTTAGTCTAATGATTCATACCATAGACAGATCGGCTAGACGTATTTGGCGAGCACAAGCCAATCAGTTAGTCTCCCATAGCCACTGAATCCCCTCCCGAGGCAGACTTTGGGCCATGCTTCTTCGGATTACTCCTCAACTAGGTCCTTGAACTTTTTGGCAGTTACTAACTTTAGTGTTTGAATAGTGCCCTTTTCACACATCCGCAGCATGATATCGCTCGTCAAGAACGCATCAATACGTACACTTTAGAGCTGGCAGAGATCTTTGCCTTCGTCTGTACACCTCATAAGAAAGATAAATTTCTTAGCTCGATAGCTCACATGATTATTGAGCCGAGTTTTGCTCTTTATGAAGATATGAGCCGGAGTCACCTGAAGTACCAAGTCGATTGGAAAGCTTTTTCAACCGCAATGCATGGTCTCTCAACTCAGGGACTCGAAAGGCTGGTTAACGAGACTAACTGCGTAAATGCCGCCAATAACAATTCACAACTTACAGTTGCTGACCTGAGGATGAATCCCAATATCCAGAATCCTCAAAAACACATCTTCTTTCTTTGCAGCATTTATCCTGCGTTGAAAGTAGACCAATTCATGGGAGACAATAGTGAGAAAAGAACTTTAGTTCAGGAACGCATGTTAGTAGCATGGGATCCTTCTCGAATTCAAGGAGACCCAAGCATATTGAAAGTAAATTCATGGCTTGTCCAGGTTTGCTCAATGCTAGGATAGATTAAGACGGAGATACAAGTTTGTAATTACCATTGAAGAATACCACGCTCGATGGACTATTCAATTCTAGTTGCGACCCTGGAGGTTATTCGGCTTATGTAATACGTGCTGGGGTATCAAGCCTGTGTATAAAGCTATAAATTCATTCAACTCTTAAAATTGAAACCGAAATGATAATATTTATATAGCCAGTTTCCATATTATGCATATAATCTCATCAAATAGCACTCTGCTACATCTCGAATACCTCGGCAAGTATAACTATATCTTCATAGAGGGATTTTTCTCCGATAGTAAGGACGTACGCGTAGGCGACTTCTCATGTGCCTCGTTAAGAGCTGAGATACTTTTATTGAAGATGCTACTATTCTCTCAATAAGTATAATGAGTCTATCTTAAACCAACCTCAGAAATACAACCGCCCACCAAAATAGAACATTGGACCCAAAGTAAATATGGCATAATTATCAAAAAGCATTGGAAATAAAAGTCATAAATTGAACTATTCAGATGAAGCGCAAAGACCGTAAGAGGCCTAACGATCTCGACTCTTCATAGGTTGTCATATGTGTGTCATAAGAAGCCTACCAAAACTCCAACCCCGTCTATTCTATTCGCCAAGAATTCAAATCGTAATCGCTGGTACTGCCGTTCCTCATATAAGCCCCTTATCAGTGAACTCCCCCTAGAGCACGTCCGTCTCCTTGGCTATTGCAAGAATGGCATCAACTACAGGCTGGACATCCGTGGTCTTCAGCACCACCCGATGCCCTCCGTCCCACTGCACAAGTCTCGTGGATGCAGGATCTGTATATTGCTCGAACAGTTCCTGATGCAGGTGCAATCCCGGATCCGTAAGCCCATGGACGTGAATTGACGGAAGCTTCAAGACATGCTTCTCGCTCGCCATCTCCATGAGATCGGGCGGTCCACTGAGCCCGGTCTGCGAGGGATCGCTCAGTAACGAGGATTTGAAGATGCCAGGCTCCAGATTTACCAGCGGCGCACGCGCCGCAAGCACGACGGCGAACCTCCAGCCATCGAAGATCCCATCCTTTCCCATCCCTACATGTGCCCCTTTCACACCTTCTTGCGCCCGCCGTTGCGCGCGCTGCTGCTGCCGGAAGAGCAAGCTCGCGGCCAACTTGGCGCCCTGGCTGAAACCCAGCAAAGCCACCCACGGCCCATCTGCGCCCTCGGCGTCATCCGCATCCATTGCCTCCTTGATGGAGCGGTCGATGTCGCGTACGGCGACCTCGTCGTCGATGGCCTCATGCGTGGGCAGCCAGCGCAACCACCTCTTGAACGGGCCGTCGTTCGCGTACACTGCGACGACGTCGGGACCCGGGGCCGAAGCGTAGGGCGCCTCGGCGTAGACAAGGCGGAAGTGCGGCTCCAAGGTGCGCGACAGCACGCGGCATTGGGCGCGGAAGATGCGCGCGTTAGTCCCGCCGCCGTGCAGGCAGAGGATGCGCGGGTGGTGCAGAGTTGCATCTTCGCCGGCCATTTTAGATTCGCCGATTCGCCGCTTGGAGTGTCACAATTTCGCGGGGTAGGCTGTGATGCGATGCGAGATGGCGATAACCAGCTGACCCTGGTAATGCAGCGATGAGTGACGCGTCACTGGGCTGAATGTAGGTTACGGGAGTTATGATTGGTGATGAGGAGCTTATTGTTGTTCATTGGATTGCACAGAGAAGGAAATAGTCATGTCTTGGGTTCTTAGTAGGTAAAGCAGCAATCTGAAGATGGCCAAACCCGACGAAGTGAGTGTTGGCCCCGAGATCCATTTCTTTAGCTTACCTATCTTCGGACTTCGCCAACTTTATCTTCCTTTGTCTTACGTTTTCTTACCTCGCTTGCTTTAGTCAGCAGGCTCAGCACTTTCCGCTCAGCTTTGACTGAGATGCCGTCGTCCTGACGCTGACGCCTTGTGTTACTCCGTCCCGCCCCGCCTGTATCTCGGCGGCAATTGCTCGTTTATTCGCTTAGTGACTTTCCCGCCGACTTCTACTCATCTTGCTACATCCAACTCTAACGACAAAGTCACCGATCATCGGCAGCTGATTGCTCGTCACTGTTATCGTTCGCTTCCGAATGTATTTAGACCTTGTTTATTCTTAATTACATTCAATTTATACCCTTCTGGAATGGCTGGCACGGCAAAAGCAAGCGCCGCAACTGTACGTACTGAATCTTAAATATAGTTGTACTAGTCGTAATAGTATAAAGAAAACCGAAAAGGTATTATCAACCAGAATCTGCTGATTAGGGTATTCTATGCCACACCTGGCCGAAATCCTGAAGCTATATTAATCCGGCCACGTCCTACAGTGCTGCCATCGTAGATTGCGTAGCCTGACAATCAATCGTCAACTTGCTCGTTATGCCGAGCTCTTTGAGCGCATTTGCATCATGGCGTTAAAGTTGAAAGTGAAACTCTCGCTATCGAAGTCCCGTTACACTTTCGTGTTCCCTGCCGTGGGCGCCGAGTTCGATCCCACGACCATGAAACAGCACACTTGGCAAGAAATGAGCTCACAGATCGATATCGATGAGCCGTCGATTGAGGAGAAGAGAGTGGCCAAGCTTGTCAAGCTTTGCCTCTTTCCAGCGTTGTACGCCTATCCGAAGACGTCCCCTGAATATGCTTCTAGGCCATTAGAGATTGATATGAAAAGCCAACTTGTAGACTATCGCAATTTCTTCGTCGATGATGGAGAATTGACCACGGGGGAACCTATTATAGTATTTAAGGCTCTGGTGCAGTTGTGACCCTATCTGTGATATCGGGTAGGAACGAATGCCAGGTGTTTGACGGCCGAGCATTGGTTCAAGGGAAGAACTTCCTCACACCCAGCAAGGCAGGCATGGCATAAAAGTGAGCAGATTCCAGTAATGGTTGAGTCTGATTGTGGCTATATCTACGAGCTATCAAGATGTATCCACTCTTTGGTAGTGTTTAAGAGAATGATCTGGTAGAAATCCCCATCTATGCTGGGAACGGTGTTCTGACCCAAACAAGCGCTGAGACATGAAGTCCCTCCATTTGATGGCTAAATAGTGCAAATATAAAACCCACTATGATATTAATTGATAACCCCAAAACCGACACGATCATGCTGTTCCAGGTCGTGAGACTAGTTTTCAAGTCGCTGTCGCTAATCTTTTCTGTTCAAGCTCAGCCCTCCTCCGCCGTTCCGCCCACATGACAACAAACTCAATATCCCTGTCATGTTGTTCGGCGGGGACGTAGAGCCACTTGTACATGTCATGGCTCCAGCTTCTATTTGGCACGAAAGTCTCAAGTAGGTAGTAGTTATCCCTATGGTATGGGAAATCAAGCGACGATGGCCCACCGCGATCGAGAAAAGCGTCGGTGCCTGAATTCACATCCTCGTTGGTCATCCGAAACCTCCTCCGCTTGTTTCCCTTGTTCGCGACATGCCTACGTATTGATCGCGTCGTCGAGTTAAGGTGGACTTCTAACAAACGGGCATACCAGAGTGGACTGTACAGGGCCTTCCGCACAATGTTGGCGTGAGCAGAGATGATAGTTTGGTTCCATTCTGGAAGTTTGCCCCGTGGACTCATGGGAATCGGTTCACCCTTGTCGAGATTGTCTTGCCAGTGGGCAAAATCCACGATGATGGCGAGCGCAGACCATCGAAGCGTGCAAGTGAGGCACGTGCACACTTCGGTGGGCTCGGGGGGTTTTATATGTTGGTACGGTTTCTTGTGGATAGTCAGGATTTCCTGACGCTCTGGAATCTGCAGCAAATTCTGGATGGCCGGGTCGATATCTGCGACCAATACGGGCAGTCGGAAGGACTTCTGGAGACTGGCATAACGCCACCCTGATACAGTCCGAGCAATCCGTGCCTCTTCCTGAGCTATGAAGTGATAAAACGACTTGCTCGTCTGTTGAAGGAGGAATAGGTCGCTCGGCCTCAGAAGGATTAATATCTCGATGATAATTTCATAGGGAAGTAAGCTAAGAAAATCCTGAGGAGCGCCTTTCACCCTCGCGGCCTTCTTCGTTTGCTTCTTCCGCGCACGTTCTGTCCTCTTTGAGCGGAGGATTAGAAGCTCCGTCTTGTCTTCCAACACGCCCAGCTCCTCATCCTCGCAGATGTCAATTTTCGGCATGGTTGTTGCTGGCGACTTGAACCTCGGCTTTCGTATTTCCACACGATATGAGTTTGATGTCAAGCAAGAGTGGCAAGGATACTTATTATTGCGTGTCTGCCTCCCTTTTGAAGTTGGAGGTTCACTGGCACTCGGATTTGGGGTGCTTAGGCGGGGGCATCAGGCCGTCGGTGCGCTGACATGCGGCTCTAGACCCTGTAAGCCAAGCCTAAACCCTGAATGGCCATTCTGGAGCTGTTGAGTTAAGCTGAGAAGAGTTCAACTGTAAGCGTCTTGTAGCTCTACGATTTATATACATATATATATTTAAAAGTTCTTAGAACTGATATCTTCTAGCAGTAATATACAACCAGCAACCTTTTCATTAAAGAAGCCCAAAAGTCTCAGGTTGGGTTAGACTTGCTGGGCCAAAGTACCTGCATAGTGCTCAGGTTGTCTTGGCCGCGGGTTGTCATCGGGTCGGGGTTACCCAGGTCTTGTATTAGTCATGTACCCAATGTTATGCTACTTCCGCGGTTATTGGATTACCAAGGCACCTTGTGAACCCCAATGCCTCCATCTGACATCTGAGCTTCAACTCTCACATGTACAATTGATATCTGGGCCGCGCCAGAGCCATGTCGCACGCACTTTAGAATGGATCAAGACAATAGAACTCAAGACTCGGACCTCTATGATTCTCATACCCTCGCCCCGAACAGAGATCCCAGGCTGAGTAGGCGTTACGCGATATGGCTTGTTCTTTTTCTCTTGCTCCTAGTTAATCTCACCAATGGTATCTCTAACATTCCGCTAAACCGGCTCCTTGAGCGACGTCTCTGTCGGGCGTACTACGATGCCGATCACGATGTAGATGAACAGCTGTGCAAGGTAGATAGCGTGCAGCAGGACTTGGCATGGATTATGGGGTCCTTTGAGACGCTCTGGGTCGTTGGCGGTAAGTGACACGAGCATAGGATACATACTAACCTCCTCGAATTGAACCGTGCCGCGCTAATATTCATATATGAGGAAGACTTTGTGATGACCATACCGCTCACTTTTCTATCTGAAAAATATGGTCGGAGCAGAATCTTATTGCTCAACCTGGTCCCTCGGTTGTTCATGCTGTTCTGGACTCTCAGCATATCCTACTTTGAAGATTATCTTCCGCCACGAGCTGCCATTGCTGGTGCCTCTCTCTCCGTGCTTGGTGGTGATACAGTTTTTAACTCTCTCATATATGGGCTCGCAGCTAAGCTGACGGATGATGGCATTACTCGGTCAGACACCCAATCAGACATCACCGATCGTTTACTAACGTCTTCTCTACTGTGCAGTGCGATATACTTCAGTAGAATGACGGCCTTGACCTCTGTTGTCGGCTTTCTGAGCCCTGCCATAGCGGCAGCTGCCATGACAATAAAACTGTCTCTTCCATTCTGGCTAGGGACCGTCTTTCTTTTGCTAGCCCTCCCGACTGTGCTGCTATTGCCAGTCGAGGACAAACCCCCAGATGAGCCGAATGAAGCGCGACGTCCATTGATTTCTTCGCCTACATTAAAAGCCCAGGCTTCCCGCACATCGCTTGTAGCCTCCGTTGTTGACCGTGTACATTTCCTCATCTCCGCTGTAGGAAACTTCCAATTGGCGCTGCTGCTTTTGTCAATGTTCCTCACTAGTCTAGCGAGTGCAGACACGAAACTCCTAGCCCAGTACATTTCGAAGCGCTATCACTGGACATTCGCATCGGCAGGATATTTACTGTCGGCAAAAGCTGTTGTGAACTTCGTCCTGCTAACATTCGTGGTTCCGGTCTTCCTCACCGCTCATGGAAACGCATCTCAGTCACTCTCGGATAGCGCCAACATCCGTTACACACGATTCTGTCTAGTATCCTCCGTATTAGGTGCGCTTGCCATTGGGTTGTCAAGCTTCATATGGGAGCTAGTGCCCAGTCTTGTAGTATATGCACTGGGCGTACCGCTCTCAATTTTCACTCTCTCCCTTGCAAACTCACCGAATATGTGGGCGTGTGAATCAAGCAGCGAGGCTGAGACGAGCAACCCACAGAGTCACATCTTCTCCATTATCATGATGGTGAAAACCCTCGGATCACTCATAGGAGCTCCTTTGATGGCCGCATTGTGGTACAAAGGTATCCAAAGTTCTCTGTATGGTAGCCCATACATCGTGTCATCGCTCATATACCTTGCGGCATGGGGTGTCTTTTGGAACATCAAGGCGTGATGAAAGAGATGATTATCTAATTTGATACGCGCGGGTCTTCTACGTTAGTTAGTCTTGAAGTAGAATGATAAAAGTAATTTGAAGCTCACAAACCAGAGTGAGATCAACAGTCTTAGTACCTGCATCATCTTGGGCCATTCTAGGTTTGTCCATCAGAGGCAGACGAGCAGACCTGCCCACCGCACACCGCACACCTGCAGACAGTAGCGTACGATCTGAAATTAGCCTTTAGATGCCCAGCTCAGGTCGAAAAATTCCTCTTTCTCCTGTTGCCGATTTTCCGTTGGCTCGCTGGCGCAACAGAAGATTAGTTGGTGACGTTATGGGTCGATAGCTCACGCGCTATTCCGATCGGGGAAAGACGCACCAGATTTACTGTGTAACTCTCGACCCCTCTTTCCCTATCTGGGCCTAGTGGAAGCGGCTACCGGCAGTAATGCATAGAGCTATGCCATCATTATTATCATAACCCGCATTCCACGCATCTCCGTTGAAATATCGTCGCTTCATCAAAACATCGAGCATTCAAACGGATGTCGCCTCGGTACGAGACAGTCCTCGTCGCCGAATACCTGAGTCAAGCTGCATCTCATAAGCACTATTCTTTGCAGTATCGAGTCTCTTCACCATGAATAATCATCAGCAGGGCGGCGCGGCCGCTAACTACTATAATGATCCTGAGCGCGGGAACCCCTATGGATACCAACAACAACAACAATACGGCCAGCAACAGCAGTATGAACAACAGCAACAGCAATATGGTGCGCCCGCACCCCAGTACTCAGAGAAGCCCATGTTCGACCAGGCATTCAAGCTAGAGAGACCCAAGTACAACGATCTCTGGGCTGGTATCCTTGTATGATCGTAACCCTGCGTTGATATGAATTTCCTGATTGACTGACTAACGGGTCTATCTCTTCAGTTCATCCTTGTCTGCATCGGCTTCGTTGCCGTGTCCGGGCTTGCAATTCACGGCTATGGTGAGTTCACCATTATGTGATAGCTCACCACTCCCTACCTAACTAGGCATATGCTAACTCCAAAATAGCGTCTGAGAAAGGCACGTACGGCGATGGTATCTATGACTCCAATTCCCGTGCTGGATTAAATACAAATACTATCGTTCTGTTCGCTTTCATATTAGCTGTTGCCGTCGTGTTCAGCTATGGCTACGTGCTTGTGGCGCGAACCTTCCCCCGTGCTTTTATCTGGGTCACCGGTATGTATGTCTTCGAATTTGAAACCGGGAGGTTCCCGCTAAACAAGGTATAGGAATTCTCAACATCGTCTTCGGTCTAGTCACAGCTATCTATATGCTATACCGTCATTACTATTCAGGTGGCATCGTATTTCTGATCTTCGTTGCGTTCTGGATCTTCGCCTTCATTGTCAGTTGACCTCCTATATGAATGATATCAGAGCCTTAGCTTACACGAGACAGACCTGGATCCCTCGCATTCCTTTCAGCGCCCTCATGCTTAAGACAGCAGTTGATGTATCCAAGAGCTATGGTCACGTATTTTTAGTGAGCTTCCTAGCTGGAATACTTGCCACGGCATTTGCAGCGTACTACTCCGTGACATTGGTCGCCGTATATGCCAAGTACAGCCCTCAAGGAGGCAATCCCGGTTGTTCGGCTGGAGGCGGTGGATGCAGCACTGCGAAGGTCACGGGTCTCATTGTTTTCATAACATTTGCAGCTTATGTGAGTTACCCTTGTCACTTGTTACTTCCCGTTGTCCTATAACTCTCGGCATGTACGATGGTTATACCGCCTTTAGTTGGGGCACAAAGCTCGACTATTCGTAGCTTCGCTCAAAGATTTTCATGACTGATTCCTCTCGCTTTTAGTGGATATCGGAGGTTATCAAGAATGTTACACATACGACGATATCCGGTGTCTTTGGGTCTTGGTACTTCTTTCACCCTTCACAGCAACCAAGAGGCGTCACCCGAGGAGCCTTCAAACGATCTGTCACGTACTCTTTTGGATCTATCTCTTTGGGCTCCCTACTAGTGGCTATCATCAACTTTTTGCGACAGCTTTGCTCAGTTGCTCGTCAAAACGAGATGGCACAGGGCAATATTCTCGGTTCAATCGCGTTCCTGGTCCTTGGCTGCTTGATCTCGCTTCTGGATTGGGCCGTGCAGTTCCTCAACAGATATGCATTTTCTTATATTGCTCTGTACGGAAAGCCATACATTGCTGCGGCTAAGGATACGTGGAACATGATCAAGCAGCGCGGTATTGATGCGCTTATCAACGAATGCCTCCTCGGCCCAGTGTTCTCAATGGGAGCAACGTTTGTTGGATTTGCTTGCGCTCTATTGGCGCATTTATATTTGGTAAGCCACCTAGCGCTTTTTTTGCTCTATGTTCAATTTCGCGGGACAACGCTTACCAATCTATAATTTTAGGAATTCACTAACCCGTCGTACAATACCAATGGCGCTTACACACCAGGTAGGCAGACAACATGGCGCCTCGTCAGAAATATACTGATCCTTTTCTCTCATAGTGGTCGACGCATTCGCATTCCTCATTGGTCTGCAGATTTGTAACGTATTCACCACACCTCTGAGCAGTGGAATCGACACCATCTTCGTAGCTGCGGCCTGGGAACCAGCCAAGTTGCACCAGAATCACCCGGAACTATACGACGCCATGGTCCGCGTGTATCCACATGTGCAGACGGCTATTCATGCCTAAGTAGTAGTTATGCACTCCATCGTGATAGCGCGGATAAGTGCCGAGGAAAAATTAATGTCTAATCGAAAATGGGAGTTCGTGGGGTCTTGCGTTGCGTTGTGTTTGGGAAATACTTCTCTCGAGGATTGGCTTTTACGACATAGTACCTTGTAATGAGTAGTGTTACCATCGAGATTTCTGTGTTTCCAATTCGTACTCGGTTGTTCTAGTTGAGGTTTTTTTTTTTTTTTTGGCTCGTCGGCTTGGTCCTAGTGACATTGATGGAGGTCATCCAACTCATCATTCCATCAGCACGTGCTTTCGCCCAGATAATGCCAATACCGACGTGCTATGTGACGCTGAGCCCTTCCACTCTCTGCCGCATTTGGCGGAATGGCGGTTTAGTAGCTGATTGATTGATAGATAGATAGAGCAACGGTGATGTTGCTGGTCATAGGCCTTCTCGAATCACAGGTTTGACCACGACTGCAGCCACTATACGTTCCAGGTTTATCTGTCTATCAAAGCCTCTTTTTTTTTCCCCTAATATGATCTTAGGTACCCGTTCCTCCGTAAGCGATAGGAGCGACTGCAGTAGAGGGAAAGCGCGAGATTCACAACTATTTCCTAAGTACAACTACCGGTATTGTCCCCGTTTCTGTTTCGAGCGCTCCTCTCATTTACCTACATACTCCTACCCCCCCGGTCTTGTTATCTACAGTACATACTTATATGTACTCCGTATTGAAATGTTTCATACGAAAATACTCTCCACGTACGTTTGTTCCATATATATACTCTCGGGCCGAGATTAATGAAGGTGTAAATACTACTGCGCACAAGATATATCGGACAGCGTCGGGCCTGGTCGGGCTGTGCGGATACGAATGAATGCATCAGTTGCTGTACATAGGTAGGTATCATGTAAGTAAGTAGAGTTCGTTCCGACAGCGTGGGTGGCGGGTTATCGTGCAGGGGAGCATCGGGGATCAACGCTGTTGCTCTGTTTCGTAATGGTGGAGAATGATACCTACTATATCGATCGCCTTACTATGTACCTAGGTACTGTACTCGTATGTATGGGTGGGTGGCGGGGTCTTTTGGCTGGCTTGCTAGGTATACTTACAATGTAGAAGGTGTTGCTGCTTTTTCTATTTTTAGGTCCGCTGGCGAATGGTCAGCTGTGGTGACGATGTACCGGTAATGGGAGTTAGCAAGTCGGCCGGATGCAACGTAGTATCTTTGTGCTGTCGTTTGAAGGCTACGCCAGTGGTGTGAAGTGGTTGGGGTTTAATAGCAAATTGTTTTGGTGACCGAAGCCTCCCACCGACTGGTACAATACCAAGGTTAAAAAAACATGGCATACTGCGTGAACCACAGCTACTTGTTTGGCATGTGAAAAAGTCTTGATCATGCATATGTATTCATTGCTCTATCTAGCCAAGGGCTTTCTAGCATAAACCGACATTCTACAAGCCCGTCGTTAGCTTTTCTTAGGTATCCTGTGCCAAACAGACGACTAGGTACCTCGACTTCCGTAGGTCAAGGTAGAAACAACTCACATGGGATAATAAAAGTGTATATTCCGATTCGTCAAGTCCTTGCGCACTTCAACAAGAAGTGCCTCGACGGCCTCTATACTCATGTTCAGGAACTTCGTAAACAGCGTAATGCTCATCCCGTGGATCCCCTCGAGGATATTCTCCATCTGCATCGCTCCTAGCTGTTTCTGGTCGGCACCTTTGGGCCACGGGTTTCCCGGCACGGCGAAGACTTCCTCCCGTACTGCGCGTGTGAACGTTTCGAGTTAGTGATCGCATTTTCAAAAAGCCTGGCTGGGATGAAAGGGTATGAGTGAGACCGGGAGATTTATAAGTACTACGTACTCTCCTCGAAATGGGCCTCGCGCAACCACCGCTTGTATTTGATCCCGTTAAGCCCGCTGCGGCCTGTGAAGGTCAACGCATGATTTAACATGTTATTCCAGCGCTGCAAGGCCGTCCCGTCGAGCGTCCCGTCGACTAGGATAGTCATGGTCAGTCATCGCCCATGATGCAGCGTGGGGGGTATGATGGGATTTCAAGCACTGCTCTACCCAGAAGGACAGCCCCGGCGAGAAGGAAGTGGCGGCTGAAATCTGCTTACTGGCTTGTAACTTCACGTAGTAGTCCTGCATCTCTACCCAGCCGCCGGGATTTAGATTCTCATAGATGGCTGTGAAGAGCTTAGGGAAATTGCTGATAGACCCAACCATGTGACGTCCATGTATATAGTCAAACTTCGACGAAAACATCCAATCATCTTCTATATCGTCTATTTCAAACCGGCAATTCGGGGGTACGCTACAGCCGCCAATTAGAACTTGCCTCTCCCTATTCTTTCCGAAACGTCTCAATCGATGGGGGATCAACTCACTATTCTGGTTGTATGGGGCTGAGATCTGTGCCGAGTACATCGGATTCCGGGTGTTGTAAAGCTATTGTCAGTCAGTCAAATTAAGTTCCCTATGACTGTACCAAGGCGGGATCAACACACCAAACTCTATCGCCCATGTGCCCGTGCCCGTGCCGAAATCTAATACTCTCGGCGGGTTCTGTATAGGGGCCAGAGCTAATCTGTCGTTGAATACTTTAAGACATATTATATGCTGCAAGTCTATCAGGTCACATTAATTATTTGGCTATAGGCTAGAGGTATGCAGGAGTTAGATGGGGTTTGAGGGGGTGCTTCCTACCTAAACGCTCTTGTTCCCTCTACATTGAGTTGATGATGAGCATGAAATAACATAGCCTAGTTTGCTGGCATGATACTCACTTCATCATTAGGCATCCAGTATTCTGTACATGAAAGGCCGTTAGCTTGAACAGGATTAAATATAGCCAGTATGAATATAAGGGCGGACTCACTTCCTTGTTTATACCGATGATATGTCCGTCCATGCGCGTGTACGAAATTATAGATGCTAGATGTTGCGGACATGCTTGACTGTCTATGCAAGTCAAATTAAGTAAGCCCACGCATAAACTCGATCATATAACTTATCACGGGATAAATTTTACTTACGCGACGTTGACATCGAAAACAGCTGAGTCGGCATCTCTATCGCTGAACTCATCATTGTCAACCTGCAAATGTACATTGATTAGCCCCGAGCATAAAACACATGAAAGGCGGAAACTAGTAGCTAATATTTAAAGAAGCGCACGTACGCTTAGTCCAGTAGAGAACTCGCCAAGTGATAGTAACGAGCTCGGCGTGTCACTTGGTGCTGTGCTCGGGACCTGGCGGAGACACGGCAGGTGTTCGTAAGACGAAGAGGAACCCATTGGCTCCGATCGGTCCGGATGTTCGACTTTGGGCTCAGGGGTGCGCCGTTGGTCTGGATGCGACGAAGAAGACATCTTGTCTTATGGTGATGGCAATCAGGTGATGCTTCCTGGATGTTACGAGGTCGAACCACCGAAGGTATGTCGTGCCGTTCACGTCGCACCGGTATGTAGTATCCGGAAAAGACCCAAACTCCTCTGGAAAATGGAATCGCAATCCGGCCCGTTACTCGGCCCTGTCCGTGACCCTCCCTGTCGGTATCGTGGTCCCGACCCTGGTCTTGCACAACCAAAGATCCGGCTGCCGAGAGATTATCCAGATGTCTAAGTAATCATGGACAGGCGGCCACGTGGGCCGATCGGCGAGAAAAAAAAACGCTGACGCGCGCTGACCGAGCGGAGTAGTAATTGCGATAGGTCTAACACTCTATCCAACAAGAAGCAAAGAAGAGTAGAATCTAACAAGGAATCTCCTCAGACATAGCAGATCACACCGATGCAAAGACCAGGGATCTGTGGAATGGATGATATCAATTGGATAATCACGAAGCCCTGGACGGAGAGAGGTGGCATAATTAATTATCCAAGCCCATGAGCTAATTTAGGGAAAACATCACCGGCCTCTTTACCACTGCCTTGCTTGGTATAGGTATGTATTTAGTAAGCCTGTTCGTCAGCTGCTCGATGCGCCATGCATACACATGCCCGGGCATAATTGGACGAAAGCGTGCCGACATCGACTTTTATCTAGATCTAAGTCCATCTCGACACTAGTTGCTGGCTCGCGCAGTCGAAGCTCACACCAGCCTGACTGGTGGCCTGTTAGCGCTGGAGAAGGAAGGATGCCTCTCCAGTTAGTTGGGGGTGTTCGCATCCAACCCCACCTCGTCCACCTCCGAATGTCCCAAGGCCCAGGAACTGGAACCAGGGCCCAGAAGGACCCCACTGGACCTTTAAGGCCAAGCCTGTGATGAAGCCTTTCTGGGTTTGGTACAATGTGACTTTTCGTAGATTTGGAAAAGTAGTACATAGTATGCCATGTCTCATGTCTCTTCACTTGGGAACGTTCCCTACCTAGTAAATATCTTCTTCTATGTGTAGTACGCAGAGCAGGTCAACCTTCAGCCTCATCTTGGGAAAGCAGCATGTTCAAGGCCTCTTTTGTGCTCATCGTCAGTTGTAGCCCATGATTCATGAATGAATGGTTGCGCCTGGCTGTAAGCGTCCCGGGTTGGGTCGATGATTACTTACCTACTATCTCACTCGTAGGAGATCGGGGCATATTTAAAGAGGTCTGTTAAGAGCCACTCTACACATGAGATCAGGTATCCTTGACCACGCAATCGCACATAACAATGGATTTCGACAGCCCTTTCCCAAGAAATATCACGTTAAGAGTGTTTCAATGGTGATTTCGGCCTATGATCGGCTAAGGTTTGGTATGTCATCTGCTATCAAACTTTCCTCGGTACCATTCTTCAATCCCGAGGGGCTGCTTGATTGCAAGGGCCGAGCAGTAATGTACTCGTGATATCGCGTCCCCTTACTTTGCTATCAGTTTACCATATGCTTTCTTGAACTTTTATCATCCTTGCCAGACCCCCCGTTATTTGTCCACGTCATTCGAAAAGTCAAAATACAAAAAGGGGGCCTAACTATGAGAAACCCCTTAGACGGTTGGGAATTGGGCGGATCTTCTTCCTCAGGGCACAAAGCTTTGTGAAACTAAAATGCGATCCCACATCTTAGTACAAAGCTTGACGAGCACTTGCATCATCTTGGACTCCTAATTAGTTCTACGAGGGTGTATACGAACGAGTGCTTATTAACTGCAGAGATAAGACAGCAAATGCTGTGCATCGGCGAAGTTTACCTTTGGGGTTTGTGATTGACCATAAAAGAGCTATTCCCCTTAATATCGGAGTCTCCCACGTGTCGATTCAAGTAATCCCAAGTTCATTTGCTCGCTGTTAACCAAAATGGCGATCTATCACATTGTAATGTTTGCATTCAAGGCAACTGTCTCTGCGGAGGATATAAAAACCGTGAGTACAATATACCGCCTATTTCTGAGGCACCGCTCAGCTGACAGTATATTCATAGACGTGCGATATAGGACTCCACCTTGGCGAGAAATGTATTCACCCTACCACCAAAGCAACATATGTGAAGATATTGGGGTGTGGCAAGGAAAATAGCATCGGAAATCGTCAGGTACGTGTGTCTGTACCTAATTTAACGCGAGATGCAGATCTTAACAGCGGGTAAAAATTGCAGGATGGAATCACGCATTGTCTTGTCGCCAAGTTCGAAAACGAGGAGGATAGAAAGTACTATCTGGAAAGCGACCCGGCACATCGCGAGTTCGTCCTGAGCGTGGTGAATAGAGTCGAGAAGATCCAGGTAGTAGACTTTACACCTGGTGAGTTTTAGATACGTGGCAGATATATCCGCGATTACCTAGTGTTGGATGCTCTCGACGATAGATATACAGATACCTAAGTAGGCAGTATGTCCTATAATAGAACAAGTACAACGTCCCCATCAACGCACTCAAGGACATGATCGATCCATGTTCTCGCACCATCATCACCTTATTGTAAGAGGGAAAAGGGGGAAGAGGGCGTCAGATGTGTATGAGGAGAGATCTGCCCCGGCAACCCCGCACTACAGCTATTATTCCCTACGGGGACCCCTCCACTGGGTTTCAGCACACTGCCAGTATCGAGTCTGCCTATCGTACCTACGTCATTCCCCGCTCGACATCAGGGTACCTAAGATAGGTAGTGCTCACTGCTCAGTACCTAGCTACTATGTATCTTGGAAGCCTGCAATTCAACTTCTCCAAAAGAACCTTGAAAGCATGGAGTACTAGGTAGGGACCGAGTAAAGTGTTTTATAGAGGTGCTAGGCAGTCTTAGTAGGTAGTGTAAGTAGACAGCAAAGATGTAGCCTAAATGTGATGATATCTTACATAGTAGGTAGGTAGGCATTCATGTGATAGATAGGTAGGATACCCCTGCTGTCATAGGGACTCTACTAATAGGTAGATAGTACAGTAGGAGCAAAGTAGGAGCAGAGTAAGTAGGTAGGTAGGTAGGAGGTAGCTTCACTACTCAACAGATCGACAGCAGACACTCACCAATCTCACTCACGCCTGTAGCTCCAGCGTTGCATCGCCTCGTTTTTGGGGATTCATGCAATCCACTCCCGTTCGCCCTACTTCATACTTCGTACCTCAGATCAGAGCGCAGGTATACTCAAATACATACGACCAATACCAGTGTCCACAGCCAGATATCGTGGCCTAGTCGCCTCATTTACTGTACTTCTACCTTGCGAAAACCAGGTCAGACCAGGTCAGCCCAATGCTTGTCTAACTACTCCCTACCATTCGACGCCCTTACCTGGCTGGCCGTATTGAGCCTCGAGTATTGATCGATAGCACGCAACAATCTGCTCTCGGCCTTCCACCTCACCTCACTTCACCTTTACCTCTTCTTCACCTAGCCACGCCCCTCCAACGCTTTATGGTCTTCCACCTCGATCTTTCTCTTTGTTCCTATCCACTACCTTTCTTCGACGTCCTCTATCATCTAGCCTGAATTATTCAAGAGCTTGCGACGGCCGCGACCAGACCCTAGACGGCAGTCGCCATCTTCTCGCCTGTCTTTCCAACAGAGGACTTGATTCGAAATTCCGTCGGTATCGTCATCAAGCATGTCGCAACCACAGACAACCCCCACCTTCATCAACATTCCTCCTGCGCCCTCCAATCCTGAGACGCCTAGTGACATCCCGTAAGTGATTCCTTACGATCCTGTGCCTTTTGCGCACATGCTCGAATACACACTAACCCGCCTTCGCCATCTACAACTAGTGGCACACCGACCAGTACTACTACCTCACTCTCGGCTCTCTCCACCACTGCCATCAAGGACGGCCACCGTGGCCACGCTCACCTGGCGTTCGGCGGTCCTAAAGGCCATGGCCATCATCCATCGACCAACAGCCTAGAAGCCGAACGCGCCGATCGAATTAGCCGTCTTGCCGGCCTGGAACGTGTCTCCACCATCCGTGCGCCGAATCACCAGCATCCTCACAATGCCGGATCTCCACAAACAACCCCAACTTCTACGGGCTTTCCGATTCAAAACATACCCGCCGCTATGGCCCCGGCATACTTCGACGCCAATGGTCAGCCCACCGCGCCTACCAAGATGAGCACAGTTGGCACTGCCTCAGCAACAGGCAGTGTCGGCGCACGCACTACCACAGAGTCTGGCGGGCGCTTCGAGGCGGATTTGACCGAAGTCGATGAGGATGACATGAGCACAGATACAAACTATCGCGCCATGGATGTTGACTCGACATCGGGTGCTATCGACCCTGTAGACGAAGACCTAGCAAACAGATCCGTCGGCGGCTTTGAGGATCGCATGAGTGACGATGGGACAGCTAGTCTTGTCGGCTTCGGAGAAGGCGCCAATAGTACAGTCAGTGGCCCCATTTACATACGCAAACAACACCCCGGGGCCCCTGGTAGCACTGGTGTATGGGGTCTTGAGAGAAGTACCTCAGGTCTGAGTCAAGAAGCCATGCTCAGGCACCGGGAGGTACGGGACGTTGCGGGTAGCGATACACCGGTGAGCTCGTCGGCTGCCGCCGAGAGGCGTGAGGCCAAATATGTGGATGCGATTGCGATGGATGGTGGCGGGCACGTGGGGACAACAGATGACGAGATGTTTGTCGATACAACCGCCCGTGGCCCTGTCCCAGTACAACCTGGACAGTACCAGACAAGCGCTCTGCGAGAAGGCGTCGGAGGCCCAGCTTCACGTGAAGCTGCAGAACGCATCATTCGCGAGCGACTCGAGCATGAAAATGAGGGCTAGAGACCTTTCCTAGACAGTGCGCAGAGCGGCGAAAAGCTGGGCGAATTCTATTTTGAGGACAAGAAGTGAGGCAGTTCCGCCTTCGTCTTGCAGTCCAACTTTCCTTTTTACGACATCTTTTATTTGCTTTTCTTTTAATACCTGGAGGCATATGATTGCGTTGGTTGTACCATGGCGTTCTTAGGTTGGGAAAGGAAGAAACGGCTCTCTACGATATGGTAGATCTGGGGAAACACGTTCGCTATGGGGACCTCGGAGCACAGGGTGGGATTGCTTCCCGAGTTCTTGCCATTGATTTGTTTGATCGACTAGGTAACAGAACGACTGTACAACCCATTGGTATCCGTGAGATATTTTACCACAACTACTTTTACACTACCTATGTACTTAGGTTGTTTCAAACCAAGTTGCTTGAATGGTGGAACGGGTGTCATGGAACAAAAGGCAATGATAGCCGTGAAGCGCTTCATGGTAGCCAGAAATTAGGCCAGATGCTTGAGACAATGACTTCAAGTAAATATAGATTTGGAGCTGAATACTGTACCACTAGAGACAGAGCGAGTATCTATTGCAATAGGATCATCTGTGTGTTCCGTAATTGAGCTGATTTGTGGAATTCATCGTGGGATGTGTGTCCGTTGATCTAAGATACCTGCCTACCTACCTACCTACCTACCTACCTACCTACCGACACTGATACCTGCGATACTCTCTCGTACTCATCCCTATATCTACGTATGTGCAGTACTAGCGACGTCCTTGATTCAGAGAAGTATCGGAAACAACAGAGATGAGGTATGAGTATGCTAGAAGTAGATTGATTAGATTACCCCCTTCACGACTCGATGCCTCTAGATAGATAGTCGAGCCTAGGTATGTAGATAGATATTCACCACGTGAAATACCTACCTACCTACCTACCTACCGTATTTCGACAGACACCTACGTGTGTGTGTGTGCTACCTACGCAAACAGAGATATCACACCATGTCACAGCACAGCACAGCACATGTGAGATCCCGCCTCACCTTGACCGGTGTACCGAAGGAGCACCTACCGCAGTATACACTGAGTAGAGTAGATTGATCGTCATCATTTATTTATTACTACCGTACGACATGTCTTTCATTAGATAAGTACTGTTTTATCTCGGAACCAGGGGTGCGCAAAACATAAAAAATGCGGTGGCTATTTATATTGAATCCGTTTCTTTCGGACCGCTTCGTGTTTGGGATAGGGGCTGTATATTCAGTTGAGCGGTAGGTAGGTGCTCCGTTAGTTATTCTTATTCACTTGGTTGCATTCATGGCACTGGGTAGGTATCTACCTATGAAGTTACATAGGTAGGTATGTTGCGTATGCTGTGCCACGAGGGCTGTTTGAGCTGACAGGTTAGGGGTTCTCGATGGTAGGTAGGTAGGTACCTAGGTAGGTAGCTCGGCCCCTGCGTTGATTACGTGGTATTGTACCGTATATGGTTGTAGGTGAGCTTGTGAGGGTGAGACATGAGCGGATAGGTAGTAGTGTAGAGGGAAGATGCAGGTTGTCTCATGTTTCGGGTAGAGAGCATTCGGAGACAGTGTCTCTGGTGATGGTGCGAAGGAGTCTGTGCTGAGTCGATAGGGTAGTCATGAATGAGACATCGGAGGAGGATATACCTAGTAGGTAGAGTAGATCTTCACGTGCCACGATTGCGTTTGTCGGCTTCTTCACGCGTTCGGTCTAGATGATCCATACTTAGTATACCTATTTGCTGGCGGTTAGTAGGTCTCGGACTGATGTCGATAGTATAGGTACGTGAATAGTGAATCGTATAGATTCTTTTCGCAGAAGAAAGAAAGACACGTCTGGGCTTGAAAGCCTCCATGTGATAATGTGCAAGTTTCCGCGGTTCTGCCTCTGTTTTGATTCGCTATCGGACAAGCAAGGACGGAAATGACGTGCGGCGCAGGATGAGTGCGTTTTGCGAAATGTACCAACATGCGACCAGTGTAGGTAGTGTAATCGAAAATGTCCAACGCCGAAATCGTGCAGACCATCCGCGTAAGCTGCGAGGTATGATCAACACTCAGGTTTCCCAGACTCAGATTAGTGATTCTCTGTCTACTGTATATACCATTTCGGAGAAGCAGCAACAGGTAATGTAAGTAGGTATCTTGTAGGTGAGATACGGTATGGCACCTAGATTATCCGCCTGAAAACGCCGACGCAGTTTAGTGGAGTTCGCGTCCCATCGAGATGAGGATATTCTCAGTGACGCGGACGGTACAGCAGGCAAAAGCAGGTCAATGTGGCGCTGTTGGTTAGATTAAGGCTGACAGGCCTACATATGTATGGTGTACGTAATTGCCGTGCTCACGCGAATACCGCTCGCTCGTGAGGCTGGCTGTCGTTCATCTTTTCCCGCTCCGGGGAATAGTGGCGGCTCACAGCTAGTCAGGTTTACCCCTCCTATTCATTCATATGCTTGCAGGAATTAGCAAGTTCGCTGCTTTCGCGTCCATGTGTAAAAAGATCTTGCAAAAACTGTATTTTAAGCAGCTCGCTAAAATAGGTAGATTGAATGTCTCTGTGGCACGTCATTTTCAGAGACAAATCTTACACTAAGTTGTTGTACCTTACAGTAGCGCCAGAGAAGGCATGTCTTGGATTGGTTGGTGACCTTGTTATGTACTGTATGCGGTCAGCTTTTCTCTCATCGAATGATTCAGACCCTGTTAGACAAGTGGACTCAGCCTGCTGGCTTAGTGTAATGCGACGGGGAAAAAATTGTTGGTTAAGAACTGAAGTGTGAATAGAAAGAAACCTGCTTTGTTATCGGCCATAGCCTATTTCGCGAGGCACGATATCCATGATATCATACACCGCATCTAGTGAGAAACATCGGAAATTGGCCAGAAGGAAAACAGCGGGTTTGTTTACGACGCAGATGAGGCGGTGATGAAGAGTTTGTTGGTGACGGGTGAGACTACAGGTAAGTGAGCTGGGGCTACCGATAGTGATTAGGCATCGCGATTAAGAGAATTGGGCTTCGGCATAACAGCGAAAACAGTAGTTAAGATGCGAGATTGCCTTGAACCTGGGGATTCAGCAGGTAGAAAGGAGAATTGTTCCGTCGTCGCTGTTGGTGTTGGTGTGCGACAACCGCGGGCGGAAATTGAGCGCCTGGGTCCCAGCACTGTGGCGCTGAGCCGCAATCTGCTGTCCTCGTACTCCTAAATTGAAGATCCCAGATCTAGGTCCATGCCGCCTCGAAGCGATTCCCACAAAATTCTGCTAAAACCCGATGTTGATCGTTCGCATTGACGAGATCCAGTGAGCCGCGAACTTCTTCTCCATCTTTAATTGCAGTACACGCTGTAAGTACCTAGTGTGCATATAATCATATCTTGAAATTGAAAAATTTCTTCCTTCACCAAGGGCCGCCTCTGCACAAGCTTTTCTAGAAACGGTAGGCACCGTAGATCAGGGGAAGTCAGATCAGTGTGGGAATGGGTGAAAAGTACCTGGTCGAGGTGCAGATGCAAATTAATGCTGACGCTTATGTCACTATCATGCTTACCCGTATCTATTGTGCAATTAAAACGATCAAGCAAATCAGATAATTAGAAGGCTCGTGGGATTCCCCCGGTCATCCTACACCGTATTTGACATTGGCCGACAGCGTGTCAGAGGGGGGAGAAGCATAACTATATCTCCGTTACTTGCCTAGTGTTCATGATTTGGCATAGCATGGAATGTAATGGTCAAACAAATGGGACCGAGAGGCACACCGAACAAGTGGTCTGGGTTATGCTGTGTTGTCGTCAGGGGGCAAGCATCAGGGGGATAGGAGCGCTGAGATCGCCCTGGGTTTACTGAGTCTGCTGAGTCCTTCTAGCAGCCCCCGATGTTCCTAATTCCGTAAGAAGATCTGTATCGGTCGCTGGGTTTAGGCAAAGCCAAGGATCACGAGTGGCTCTTGATTTAAGATTGGCCGTCTTGGTCTGTCTTGGCTCGTCTCCGCTCACGGTGATTGTGGGATGGGAAAGGGCTTGTAAGACCCGGGGATAGGCTCTAGGTTGGAAGGTCCTGCAGGAAAAGACGCCCTGTACCTTGCAGTAGTCGGTCAATGGATCGAAGGAATACATACTTAGTACTGAGTGAGTAAGTAGGAAGCAGGAGTGAGAATGCAGGTCCCATTCCCCCATAGAAACTGGGTACTTGTTAATAGAACTACCGGCCGGTGATGGCGCAAATGGTGTAGGTACCTACACAGGTAAGACATGATGTTGTTTTACTGTTCGCACTACTGAGTGAGTGAGTGCTTCACATGCAATGCAGCCAGCAGCCAGCATCCAGCGACGGCAGAGGCTCGGCAGGATTAAATGGGGAGGGGCTGGCTGAGTTCGTTGGCAAAGCGTTGCGACTCCAATCAGCGCGTCGGATCGACAAAAACCAGTCAGGGCTGTCCATGTGGAAGACACCGAAAGGCGTTCGCTGGCGGCTGCGAACATGGTTCCAATACTTTACCTCGCTCGCCTTTCAATACCACCGTATTCCGTAATATAGTAGTATCCATTGTTACGTGCTACACCATATACCGTATGCCAGATGATAAGATCACTGTCCTTGACTACACCACACACTCAACACTACTGAGTACTAACTGCCCAAAGCCAGGAGATATTGAACCGGTTTTTGGGATGGAGATTGCATCGTGACGTACACTACTAACCGAGGACGTTCTGATGATAGCGTACTTACTATTTACTTGAGTAGGTAGATCGGAATCGATGAATATTCGGATCTGGTGTTGCTGCTGACGTGGTGCACGGTACGGTACCGGTAGATGGAAAATGCACAGTATTAGATACACAGTACATCAATGCGCCTGTGACGAGAAAGAAATGCCTCTTTTTGGGAAAGGCTCTCGTCCCGGCTAAAGACGAAAGAGCGTTCAAAGGTCGGCTCTTGGGTCGAAGTGGGGAAGGGGCATGGATTCTAGTGTTATAGCGAATGACGACACGGCGTCTAGTGTCTACTGGGTGGGCTGATGGGGTCAGAAATGGGTCAGATATGGGTCTAGATTAGGTTGGCATAACATGCACTATTCCCGAGAGAGAGGTAGCCAGATGCGTGGCAAGCGAATCAGATCGTGGGCCGCCTCCAGAGTTGGATGGGGCGGTGTTGGAACTTCTCGCGTGACTCTTTGTGACCTCTCTTCCGCCTCTCTTCGGCTCTGAATCGCATGCATAATGTGTGATCTGTGTGGTGTAAATGAACACGAGGTAGGTACCTACACTACTACTACTACCACCATTCATTATAGGAACTGATCTTTTGTAGGTAGGTAGGTATTGGAATATGTGGTACGTGTATTCATCTGTTACATTCATGTGTACACAGCAATTCTTAAGTACACTTCCCCCATGCTTGGGCTGATATCTACCAGTTTACTCATGGTACAGCAGTATCTTAATCAATTGCAATGTACAGTACCGGTAGTGTAGGTAAGTAGTGTATGTACGAGGTTGGGGCAGAGGTGAGGCAGAGTTGAGGGTTCCTACATGACACGAGATCCAGGTACACAACAGCCACCGTACCTGTGCTAACAAGCAGCCATGCTCACTCGTGGCGTCTTCCACAGTCCAGAGAAACCCGTCCGACTGTCCAACACGTCCAGCACATCACTGGCCCAAGACAGCACACCAGAGCACACCATGGCCCATCACGACCGCCGTCATCCCAAACCCCCTGTCTCGTTCGGCAATCCTGTTGGTCTGTTGGCCTCGGCTTGCCTTGCCAAGATGTTCGGATCCGCCGCCTGGTCGTCAAAGAACCACAACGCGCACCCACTCACACCCTCGACACCCTATCCACCTACTCTGACCTACTAAGTATGTACACTACTGTCGAGACTGTACCCACGGCACATCCACACACCCCCTATTCCTTTGTTCCTGCCGGTTCCTGGTTGCTTGAGGACGTTACATTGCTCTTCGCCATCCAATCTCGCCAATGTTGCATGGCCCCAGTCGACCGAGCCTAGGAGAGCCTAGCAGGACGGGGGAGATGAAAGAAATGAAAGAAAGGCAACGCTAAGTTATATAAGAGTCGATCGTCCATCACATCCCAATTTCCTTCTCTTTCCTTCCCTCACCCACAAACAACTGTAAATACAGTCCAGTCGCTCGCTTGCACCGGTATAATCTTGTCATTTTCTGACTTCAGTCCTTCGCTTCAGACAAACCTAATACCCGTCACCTCGACACATCTTAAGTAATATCTAATACTTTCAAACCAACAACCTCAGTCAAAATGCGTACCGCTGCTGTTGCCCTTGCTCTGGCCGGCCTTGCCGCTGCCACTTACGACACCTACCCCGTCAACGGCGGTTACCCCGTCGGCGGTGGCTACCCGGTCGAGTCCAGCTCCAGCTCTGCTGCCTACCCTACCACCACTGAGACTCCCAGCTACCCCGTCGAGACTCCTAGCTACCCTGTTGAGTCTTCCACTGAGGTCTACCCCACGAGCACTCCTTCCAGCTCTGCTCCCGGCTACCCCGTTGAGACTCCCTCGTACCCTGCCGAGACTCCTTCTTACCCTGCTGAGACCCCCAGCTACCCGGCTGAGACTCCCAGCTATCCTGTTGAGACTCCCTCCACCTACCCGGTTGAGTCCCCCACCAGCTACCCTGCCGGTGGCAACAGCTACCCTACCTACCCGGTCGAGTCCTCAACTTACCCCGTTGAGACTTACCCTGCCGAGACTCCCAGCTACCCCGTCAACACTCCTGCTCCTTACCCTACTCAGAGCTACCCTGTCACTCTGACCACCTCGGTCGGCACCGTCTCCGTCCCTACCCAGGGATACCCCACTGGCTCCTCCACCCCCATCCCCACCGCTGGTGCTGGCCGTGTCGTTGCCTCTTTCGGTGTTGTCGGTGCCGCTGTCGCCGCTTTCCTTTTGTAAGCGATTTCCCTGTCTCCTGGATTAGGGATCTCACTCTGCATGGGATATGACGGCGCTACGGCGTGATGGAGTTACTCCGAATATCAAAAGGTCTAAATGTCGTCCTCCGGCGATATGGGGTGGAGATATATATAAAGTTGGTTTGAATGTATTCTAATTCTTGAGTCGTCGATCATGAGCTCATGATGATGATGGATAGACCTTTACATAATGATATTTTCAGATGTGTCAAATATCTTGTTTCTCTGTGATATGTTTGAATGTGAAATGTAATGCTTTTTCGTGACAGTCAATATGTCTCTAGTTTTGATATCTTGCTTTATGAGAAGCCTGACCAGCATATTGGGCATGGTCCTTTCGAGATTGTCATCCAAATGGTACATATGTGGTATTGAATTGGTGTCGACAATCGGAATATTTCATACCCATGATGCGTCATTCTGCCTTTGCAACGTCAGTCGATATACCTCTCGCTGCTCAGCATCATAAAAACGCCAGATATTATATATACCTTTCAACTCAAGTATACCGCCCATTAGCCCGTGAAATAACATATCAAATCCGATCATAAGCTACCCTCCCACCTATTAATATCATATAGATGGTATACCTATAAATCAAGATGTGACTTGGTACAGATGTGTCGGCGGTTAACTTAAAGTTTGCAGATCCCGCCCGAACGCCTGGGCGCTGGAATGTGCGCGAGACAAACCTGCTGGGTGCTACCATGCTAGTGGGACATTCCCTGTAACGACGTTGATTCTATGTCTAGATACGTAGGACCTTTCGTTGTGTTTTTAGTTGTCTTTAAAGGAACAGTATAACTTCTCATTGGGGAATTAAGCATTGTGGTTCTATACTGGATGTCCCCTGTAATTATGTTTTTTGAGACTTTGGGTTCCTCCCTTCAACAAGAATCTCAATTGATTTGTCCGAGCCCCATTCCCGAAAAGCTCTGAGGAGCATAATACTTATGAAAACGAAACTTTGACATATTACTAGATTGCTTGAAAATCAAATTGGGTTTTACCTCCATTGGCTCCCTTGCTACGTAAATATGATGTCTTATAGCCCTTCGCCGCCAGGGCTAAAAAAGCAGTGCAGTTTCAAGCGAATAATCTGATACACCCGGTACTTAGCTACCTAGTAGTACCGCCATATATGCTAACAGAAGTCCTATTCGCAACAATTTGGCCTGGTTCTTAAGTTTTATATGATCGATGCTACTCGTTTTAAAGCGTAGGCTTACGTGTAACTGATCATGCCTCATTCAAAGCTGAGAAGTGAGTTTAGGATAGAACCCCATCGCCATAAGAGCTCAAACCGAGCTATAGTTGCAGGTTCTCTTACTTCAACTAACGTTACCTTAAACTAGATGGGTCGGTTTCAGCTAACGGCCTCGTGCTGGGCCACGACGGGATGCTATTATACACTACACCTCGTTACATCCAGTCTTAGGTTCGCGTGGTTATCAATTATACGCGTTACACTATGACTCCGGAAGGGCACGGGAAACAAGTTGCAATTATGTAGCAGATTTGTTGTTAGTTAGACAACTGTGTTTAATCCGGTACAGTTCGAGTCCTTTAAGTCCCCCTTACCTGTACTAGTCTTAAGGTTATTATTACATTGAGATAGGCTTACGAGAGAGCGAGCAAGTAAATCGAAGTGTTACTTTATATCTCTAGAACATACCACTAATAACTACAGTCCACATCAAAGCGAACCCCATCCCTAACCAACATCGACATGGAGCTCAACATAACTCCTATGTTCACATGATAGGCATGTCACCAGGCAAGCTAGACATCCACCCATCCAGGTTCTCGGTCACCTTTCTAGAGATGACACACTTATTGGCATCAGCGAGCGACTGAGTCTTCAGCGTGTTGCAGTTGATCTTGTTAGCGAACAAGTCGCTATTGCAGTTCTGGTCCATCGCGCGCTGCAGCGCATCGCCCTTCCACCCAAATACGTAGTCTCCGTGGATTCCGTATCCGGTCTTGTCACCGAAGGACCATACGAAAGGCTGCGAGCCATCGGCCGGCCAGTCGGCCTTGTTGTTGAATGGGCGAGTGTTCCAGTACCTGCAGTGCTTAATTAGCCGCGGAATTCAGATCTCCCTTGTCATGGAGTACAACTCACGTCTCGTAGAACACCTGGGGGATAGTAACAGGGTGGCTGGCTGGGCAATTATTGCCATTTGGATATGCCACGTGACTCTGGTGGTCAGGGCTGTCTAGATTCTTGCCGTCCCAGCAAGTAGGGAACCGGATACTGATCATAATCCCGGCTGCGTTATAATGTCAGTATTGCTTAGACGGCAGCGTGAACTCATGGACTCCGAGACTTACCTGGACAGGGCTTGTTAGGGAAGTTTAGGGTTTGCCCTCCGCGTGTCATAGAGGACTGCAAACATGTGAAATCCATGTACTTATATTTCGCGTTCAGTTGAGCAGCGGTGCGGAAGCTTGGGTCGCCGACTGTCATCCTGAATCCTGGCTTGAAGGCTGTTACCTTGCCTACTCATGGGGTCAGTAGTTGCCATGGGCCTGAATCGCTTGAAGGACCTAAAGAGGTTTCAGAGTACTAACCTTGCGACAGGTAATACACGGTTTGGCCCCCAGTGGCTCCGGTGAAGCCAAGCTCGTTGCCGAAGGTGTTGACTCGGTGGAGTGTCCCGTTCCGCGCGCTATTTGAGTAGGTCAGTAGGCAGGATCCCGTGTACCAGCTGAGCGCGCGATAGTATATAGGAGTGCATTCCGTACCGGAAAAAGAGAACCGCAGTCCAATAGTTAGAGAAATCTTCTGTAGGCGTGCATGAAGTACATGTGGCTGTAGATGGTAGATCATGTACGGTCGGGTCCATCGTAGAGTTGAAGGCATTTCCTCCGACGATCTGGTGAAGATGAGGAGATGGGAGTGCACCAGCTGGCATTTCAAACCGTGTTAGCCGGGTTCCTGTTTACATACTCTCCAGCATTGTGCAAGTCGCGGAGATTAATGCCTCTATATCAAGATTTCACATACTGTGATAACAGTCAGCTCTGGCAGACAATATATGCTTTGACCAACACCGGGTTCGCACACCCACCCAGCCAGACAGTTGGCTCTAATACTTACCGGTTGACTAGAGGGTCGAGACGGTCAACAACTGTAGTTCGCTAAAGTCAGCAACTACTCGTCTAGGTGACTACAGGCTGGGAAAGAACAAAACGATTTCGAGAACAGCATACCAAGCTGAGAGCAAGAGAAACGTAAAGTTGCGGCAGCGTCCACGGCGGGCGCAATAGCCGCAGCTGCGAGGAGACTGCGCCAAAGCATCGTGACTCAGGTTGACTTGGTGTCTGACTTAGCGAGCGATGAAGAGACCCTTAGTCCAGCGATTCCAGTTGTTGATGCTACACAAGGAGGACAGTTAGCTCTTTATGGTGCAGGCATACGTTGCAGTTTTATCCGAAGCGACATGCAACAGGTCGCCTGCCAAGTCGCAGGCTTCAAGTAACTGCCGAGGCAGCATGGGTAACTTTGTTTTGATCATCTGACCTACTTGGCGGCGAATTAAGAGGTTGTGAAATAAATACTGATATCCAATGACGAGAAGCGCCGACGTGGACTGTGGAAACTCTCGTGTATTTATCCAGATTGGGCGGGCCTCCTCGGGAGAAGGAGAAGGTCCGGTTGACCAGCCCAAGCTCGTCGATCACCATGTCAGGTGCAGACAACAGGTCTTTTTCTCGCTTTTCAATAGGGATATATTCAAGCTGAGTGAGAGACGTGATGCACTGGACTAGAAAAAACTCGATAGCGAAATATATCAATCACCATTGCGCAACGAAAGGATGCAGTCATGAACAAAGTTGTATATGACTAGCTTACTGTTACAGAACGTGTTTTCAGGGGTTGTGGTTGATATACTAGCATACACTTAGGCTCGAAGGGTTTACCTTGGAAGCAGGCACATGGTGACAAAATACAGAAGTGTAGAAATTCATGACATTGACATTTATTAACGTGAACTTAAGAGCAAGGCCACGTGGATGTAAGCCTATTCGGCTATTGTGAACAGAGTTATCTACCTGCAACGGGTATCTATTTGCAAGGAATAACTAGGATTTTGAGGTATAAAGTATCGGGTTGTTGCCGACATTTGTCCCACTTAAGGGTAGCTTTTAAGCACGCCCACACACTGGTCGCATTCATTAGCACAGTCACTGAGGGTAACAGACGGAGAGTTACTCACGATCAGTATTGTCGTATCATGGCACAAGCCCGGTATATTCCCCCAACCTTGATATCTAGGTTTAGAAGAAGACCGCGTTCGAGAGGGAGTAAATGGGTAGTGTACACATTTTGTTGACCCTTTTCTCTGATGAAATCGGATTGGACACAACATTCCTTCACTCATTCTTTCATACAAACGCCAAAAATTTGGCATATCTTTGGCGCAACTTAGTAGCGAAAGGTTTCGATACAAGTACGTGTTCATAGTCACCCAGGATGCCGGACTCGACGTGAAACCCCTGAGTATGGCGGACGGTATGAGTCGCCTCTTATTCGTCCAAGATTACGGACAGGCCCGCTCCTCGAAACGCCATGTCGATGCTCAGTGGCGCCTTCTTTGCAATCCCCTTGTTGCGCTGTTGAGGTTGGATACTGAACGTTTCGGTCCCACGCTTCTACTGACCATGGACTGCGCAGAAAATTTCGTAGCTCATGAAGTAGTAGTTTCGTGTTTTCGCGACCAAGGAAATCAGAAAGCATATCCTCTGCGGCGCCTTGGCTGCCTTGAATATCTACCGTTTTCAGAATAGCGATGATATATTCTAGCAAGAATTCGGCATTATTTGCACGCCGCCTTGTCATAGCATCTTCACTATTCCGCGAGTTGCTTGAGGTGCGGAGAAACTCGAAGACTTGTAGTTCTCGCCTTAGCCAGGCGCGCGCACGTGACACCAGTTCGGGTTCCGAATCAAAACGTTCTGGTGTTATGTCTCTATAACGTGACCTGGCATTGGATCCTACATGTAGGGAATAGAGGCGGTCCCGATAGATGCGCTGGCGACGAAGGATAGCTTCGTCTCGAGTTCCTGCCTGCTGCCGGACGGCGTCATTGCGACGCCTGTTGGGATGCTCTGTCCAGCGCCGGCTCTGGACTTGCACGCGTGGTTGATCATTTTGAGGAACATCACTCGTCACCTGCGGCACCAAGTACACACGGCTCGTCTTGGCACCATCGCATTCAATATCGTACACTACTTCATGGACATTGCGTTTGCATAGAGGGCATTTAGGTGAGCGCTCAAGCCAACTCAACAGACAGAGGTAGTCGAAGTTTTGATGCCTGCAGGGCCTCGCCTCGCAAGCTTCAGTGATGCTATCGAGACAGATCACACAACATGACTCGCTCCTATGCTCTTCGTTGCTGGCGGGTTCGCGTCTTGCCGCAACTTCTGCGAGTGTATTTTGAAGGACCCTAGACTGTAGATCGCCAGACACACCCTCGATATCCATCGAACAACGAGCGTAAGTAGATGTGCTGACGGTGCTGAATATGTCAGGAATCTAACGAACGGCAAGCAATGCCTATCGGATATATCGGTACACGCCTCCTACCTGTGAAGGTACCCAGAGGCTAAAGCTGGTGGCAGCAGGTGCCCAAGCTGTCGGCTGCTGACAGCTGGCAGAGTCTGAGCGTCACCAGGTTTATGTTTCTCACGCAGACCCCACCATAGTAGTAATGTGTCGTGTCGCGTCGCGTCGCGTCACCTGGGTGGATTTCAATTAATCAATGGGCTCGTTCCTTGGAATGACCTACCTATGTACTCTTAATGGAACTCTACATAAAGCACAACCAACATCTTGCTCAGTAGTCTTCTAAGGTGGGTGGACTCATATACGCCGGCATTTGCATCTTCATCATTCGTATGAGCTATGGTATAACCTGTACAGCCAATTTGTTTTGCTGTATTGATTCGATTTGATTCTCTTTTATATATATACCAAATATGGAGGTTCACATGGACGACGGTGCACGACAGAGATATGAGGCCAAGTCGGCACAATTGCGCGCTGAGCTGAAGCAGTTTGAGGCAGACTGGGCAAGTCGCAATGGTGGCAAGAAGCCCGGCCGTCTAGACATCAAGCAGAACCCCGGCATAGGTAAGAACCTGTGATCAGGCATTCGTTCATACACCCACCCTACACTCGCCTCTATTCAGCTTTGCGCTTCAGAACTGACCCGTCTCACCCATAGCTTCCAAATATAAGAAATATAATCATGTTCGAGACGTCCTCGCTGGAAAGCTACCGGCAACCCCTCCGAAGCCGCGGAAGCGCACTTCCGAGAACGATTTGTCGCAGACCCCTTCGAAACGTCCTAAATCCATGCAGACACCGTCAAAAATCCGCACTCTTGATGTTGAAGATGGCATCTTTGAGACCCCTTCCTCTCGGACACTCTTCAGCCCCGCAATGCCTACTTCGATCGGGCCAACGCCACAGAAAAACGGCCGGATCTTGGGCATGTTTGATCTGCTCGAGGAAAATACAGAGAACGAACCCCCCAATGGCGACTTGGAGGGCAAGAACCACAAGGTCCAATCCACCCCCAGCAAGCGCCCAGCCAGCGCGATGGAAGAGGCGAAGCTTGGTCGGACGCCAATGTCATCGTCCAAACGCAACATGCTCAACACTTTCATGACACCAAGCAAACGAAAGGATGGCAGTGAACCCTGTGCAAGAACACCCAGTTCCGTCTCGAAACTTCATCTAGCTACACCAGCATTCTTGAGAAGAGCACCCATGCCAACCGTCGACGAAGATGGACAATACTTGTCACCTCCTGCGCCGCTTCGCCTTCCTCGAAAACCTCTTGGTCGTAGTCTCAGCAGCGTAGTTGCAGGTCTTCGAAAGCTCGAAGAGGAGAAGTACGACGATGACATGGACGCTCTACGCGAAATGGAGGATGAAACAACCCCATCTGATGTTGTCAAGCCTACAAAGTCAACCTCAAAGGCACCACCAGAAATCCTAGAGTCCGATAGCCAGGCACCTCAGCTTCTAGGAGGGTTTGATGATGAAGCTCTATACGATAGCCCAACGGAAGAAATGAAGGGGCGCGATGGCCAACCTCTTCGGGTATACAAGAAGAAGGGTCAGAAGAGAACAACACGGCGAGTCAACATAAAACCTACGAGAACCAAACGGCCACACGCTGTAGTCGAAGCTGACGTTAACGATCACGCCGAGGGGGTTGATGATAATGATGATCAAGACGAGGTCGTCCCCGAAACGCAATTCGATCCCAATAAGCTTAAAGAAGGCCCCCAAGATATCGATTCAGACCCAGACTTTGCTGCTTCAGGTACAGAAGATGAGGCTACAGAAAAGGCGCAGCTCAAAAAGGTAGCTACCACAAAGAAGGAGGGCAAGGTACACAAAGTTGCTAGAAAAGTTAATGAGTTGGCTCACGCGAACTTCAAACGCTTGAAGCTGAGGAACACGGGTTCAAAGGGTGGACCTGGGTTTGGTAGCCGATTCCGTCGTCGAAAATGATCACGGAGACTATACATTGCATAATGAGTAATGAGTATATGGTGGATGATATTATGGCATCTATAGATTCGTATGCTCAATGTTGATCAGCGCTTTGTTTCCACGCATGTCAAGACTGTACACCCATCTCGCCCATGCCCTTTGTCAACGAACCTTCGCAGCTATCATTTGCATGAACTTCGCAGTAAAAGCATGCAACTGTATTGATAGTTGTTCTCAAGGGAGCGAAGCCGGGATTTGGGTACACACTCACGTGCTTCGTCAGTTCTATGTGTTTATAGCATACGTGTGAACTTTGACGTCATTACTACAGTCCTACAGCCCGATCAACAGAGTCGCCGGTCGGGGGTCCTGCCTGAGGTGATAAATCAGTAGCGAGTCTTGATGGCCAACCAGCCTGGGAAGAGGCCCTTTCCACGTATTATCAACAAGATGCCGTGAGACTAGATCTGAGACCTAGCTCCTTCTCGATGAAGTCGAGGACAGTCAGTGCCTTCATCACAAATTTGTTCATGAAGCTATGGTAGCAGTCAGCATCAAGACTGCCGTCAACTGCCAACATGAATTATGACTTCCTAGATCGCCGTTACCTACTCTTTCCAAATGACTATAGCCTTCCGTAACTCACTATTTTCTTCTATCATCCAAACTGTAACATAGAGCTACCTACCAGTAGAGAAGCATCCCAAGTCATCATTATGTGTGGTGCATTGTCAACATCTTCGCTCGATGCACTATTCATCATTCGTTTCGTACACCCCATAACTTATCAATACCAACTATAGAATTCATCCTTACATAGTTGGCGATTACCTATAGATGAAGCACCTTGCATTTCTTCACCTCAATCCGGTAGAATGGGAAATGAAAAGAGCTCAATGGCGAAAGAACCCGACCGACTTTGCTTTCTCTCGCTTGCCCCCGTTGGCGTAGACGACATTCATTACCACTACCCCAACCCCCCAACCGACGTCCCGTTTAGGACACTACGATGCGGGATTCCAGGGGGAGCGGCTCTTTGGGGTACGGGTTGCCCACAGTTTTCCCTCTGCTTCAAGTACTCGCATCGCTCACACTTAAATCTAGCTACATTTGGTGCCCGGCTTTTCAAGCCCAGGGAATGCTCAGAAGATGTCGGTTGTTATCTCGCCGTTAGAGGCGGCTTTCTCGAGCCAGCACTTGAGCAATTACGGTCTTGGAATATGACGACGAGTGGCTATCGCGTAAAACAGTCAACTAATCGGGTATTTCTGAGATATGACGATGAAGAGTGGACAAAATATTTCAAGCGCCAATATAAGCTCCTGAATCCTGAAATCGCTAGGCTCGTAGACACAGGTACGTATTCCTGAGTCTTGTACTGCTCAATTCGTCAAAGTGACCACAATACGACACCTATGTAATCGGACAACCTACAATTATATTGTTCACACCATCAAGCGCCAACTGCTAACTCGTCAATCACGATAGAGTACCTAGGTGCCAAATGCTTCCATTTCCTCGCAGACGCAAAGAGATTTACAGGGACCTTGTATGATCTAGACGGCATGCGAGGATTGAGCGAATTCCACGGAGAACGGCGTCTAATTATATGGGAGCCTCCTGACAATCCACCTTGTGTAGAGGTAGTGGATTATAACTATGCATTGTCCAGGGCAGATGTTTTCTCGCCTAGCCATAAAGAACTACTTGCAATCACAGATGATGCAGGTGCAAGTGCAAAATTTCGATACAAAAGTATCGAAAAAGGTGCTCGCAAATGCATCAAAAGGGGCATCGGCCCTAGAAGAAGTGGTATCATAGTAGTTCGTTGTGGCCAGTACGGGTGTTTTTATATGAACGGAAAGAATGAAAAGGGCTGGATACGTCCCTATTATTCTCATAGACACCCCAAGGTGGAAGATATCACCGGCTCGGGGAGCGCTTTCCTGGGAGCTTTTGGCGTCGCCTATATGGAAACTGGAGACATGAAAATGGCTTGTGTACGTGGTGCGGTAGCGGCTAGCTATGCACTCGAGCAGTTTGGCCTCCCGGTACTGCAAAACCCCGATGAACCGCGGGGCCGCTTTAAAATCGATGAGCTAGAGAATGAGCCGATCTACATTCCGAGTACTGGCGAGATAGTGGACGCGCCTCGTAGCGCTATCCCAAATTATGGTACTTTCAACAACAAGCCAAACAACGAATCCAGCAGCGCTGAGGCGAGCAGCTCAAAGAGAAGTCCCGGCGGCGACAAGCCGATCACAGGATCCAGCAGTAAAAAGCCAGAGAACGAATCTAGCAGCGCTGAGGCGAGCAGCTCAAAGAGAAGTCCCGGCGGCGACGAGCCGATCACAGGATCCAGCAGTAAAATGTCAGAGAACGAGTCCAGTAGAGCTGAGGCAAACAGCGCAAAAGCTAATCCCGTAAGTAACAAGCCGACGCGCGGTTCCAGCTTAAAAAAGCTAAAGTCGAAGTTTTCGAAGGCTTCTTTCAGGTCGAAGGCTAGCGACGAGGTACAAATCGCGAGCCCAGAACTCTGGAATGGTGAAGATCCCTTCGCTCGCTTGGGTCTGATGGAGTCCAACCCAGCAATATACGCTGATCCTCGCGACGACGACGACGACAGCGCAGAAGGTTATGGAAGAATTACCTTTTCGGATGACGATTCTGATCCTGAGGAAGAAACCGCTTCAAGTCAATGGGTAGAGAGAAGAGATTTTGTAGCTGATGCCGTTACTTATGTGGCACCGCTGGACAATATAGATGAGTCAGATGAGGAAAATGGGCAAGGCAGGGAAGGGCGGAGAAGAAAGAAAGGAAAAGCACCGCTCATTTCAACCAATTTTTAGTTTATAGCGTTCCAGCGTCCTGTATCCTATAGTCCTTGTTTGTTTCCTTCATTCTTCTTTTCTAGACAAATATTTAACTCAGAAGCGTTATACTATTTTGTGTCTCTACTGTCACGGCCGCTTTACTGCAGAGGTGACACAATCACATTCATTTTCTCAAGACTTTTCGCTATGCACGTTTTCAGAACACAAGTAAGAATCTTTGTTGTTCTAAACTTCGCCACTTAATTACTAGATAGGTGCGTACGAAGCTGATAATCTGCTACGCAAACATATGTCTGTGGGACGTCGAGCTGGCGCTCTCCTGCCTGCAGCGTTAGCATTGTAGCACGCAACTTACGTCAAGCTCACACGCAATTTAAGTCGTTACAAACACTGTTACCATTATACGTTGAGCCTATGGAGAACTTCTACAGTAATGGCTCTTGCTACACCAGAAATAGTAGCAAACCACTCCTCTGCCATCGCAATACGATATTTCGGTATCTATTCTGCGCTTCTATGAATACCATGTCACAATAGACATACCACAATAGGCAAGGACAGGAATGGTCTAAGCAGCAGCCCCGAATTCGGTAGAGAGAACCCATCATGGCCAACCCGGTCCAACAACCGCAAGGTATTGCCCTTCGCCGCACATTGTGTTTCTACAGTCCACCTCCAGATGGCAGTGATCCCGAATACGTAGAAGGAGCTAGCCAAGAACCAGGCAGGAGGAACTACCCGCACAGAAAAGAGAAGGTCTTAATCACGGACATCAGGCGTCACGAGAATAGCTTCACGTTAGATGAGCACTCATTCGCTGCACTTCCTGAAGTCTTCGACCAAGAAATCAACTTCACAGCCCCCGAAGAGATCACTGAGAAGTATCTGCCATGGGTACAGAAGCTCATTCGCAAACACATCCCGTACTGTGTAAACGTTGCCATTTTCAACTGGCTATTGCGAAAGGCCTCCGCCACGAAGACCTTCAGCCGTCAAGTCCACAAGATACACATCGATCAGTCCCCCACGGGTGCTTTCCTGCGTGCTCGTCGACACTTGTCTGCGGACCACGTCACAGCTATCGAGAACGGGCAGGCATATTTCCGAATTATCAACGTCTGGAAGCCTGTTTTCCGTACTGTGAGAGACCACCCGATTACCTTCGCTGAGTCCCGATCCCTTCGAGCTGCGGATCTTGTCCCTGTCCGTCAGGTCTCTTCGGATTATGTCGGGGAGACATATGCTGTCAAGCACAGAGAGGGACAGAGATTCCGGTATTGGAGCGATATGAAACCGGAGGATGTGGTCCTCATTCAGTGCTTCGATAGTCGGGAACAGAGTTGGGAGGACGGGGTTAATGGTGGACTGAAATATGTCCAATGTGCACATGGGTCGTTTCAGCTTGCCGAGGAAGAGCAAGATGAGACATGTACTCGGGAGAGCATTGAGGTGCGATGCTTAGTTGTTGTGGCTACGATGTAGTTCCTTGAATGGGCTGCTACATGTGATATTAAGAATGATGACAGTTCCACACGCGCATGGGAATGTGACGAGCTCCTATACACGTCAATTAAAATGGTTAGCCCTTTTGAGTTGAATGATAGATATGAATACGCCATGGAGGTGATCTCAATGATCCAATGATCCGGAACTCTAGAGTCATTGTCACTTTGAATTCATCTGGAGCTTGTTTGTCTGATTCAAGGATCGGCATAACGCCATGCCATCAAGGTAGGTCCCAGAACTGCGTAGGCTATTCTTAGCCATGCACATGCCCTTCCCTAGGGAGCGTAATCATGACAAGGATGTTAGAGGCTTAGAACTTTAGAACTACCGGTACAACGTTGCTTCCGGCAGCACATCACTTTTTGGGGAAATATAATCGATTCATCGGCAACACAGCCCTGCGGCTCAGAGCAAGAAGGCGTCTGGTAGCTCTTTAGTGTGAACATCAATTCTAGGGACTTTCAAAACCCCGTGTCTTGAGTATAGTGCTCTACTATTAGAGAAAGAGAAGGACGGGGTTGGCCAAGGTGAGTTTGACAATAGAACGCACGTACTTTAGCGTATTTGAACCACAATTCGTACTTACCATAGGCCATATGATGTGATATCCTATAGCGCCGGCTTGGCGTCTGTTTCGTTCGAAAAATACTACCAGAAACATTAACATTGGAAGTCCTATGAGTGCTGTAAACTCTTGGATGACTCATCATGATGTTACTTGTAATGCGCCTTCACTTATTGACTCTATCATAACGACAATGGTGGAGCGTAAGGCCATCGGCGGTGTAATGCCGAAAAGTGGCCGGTCAGCCGATGAAAATGATACTTCAGAGAATGAGATCATTACCAATCTTGGATATTACGACTTGCTTTCTCCGAGCTGCCAAGATAGCACAGCAAACTCACACCTCGTGTTCATCGAGACAAGCATGGAACTTACAAATACTCATGTAGATGAGAATGAAATCAAACATAGATCAAGCATATACACATGTTGAAGTGGGCGGGCTTAATTGAACCTGAGTGTTGAGTATAAAGCAATTATAATTCCCGTCAACAAACGAGAGCTCTCAATACAGCATTCGAAACAGTCACAACAGCTTTAGTCCACTTGAACTTCTTCATAAATCTCACCTTCAAACAGCCACTGATAACCCTCAACATGCGCGCCGCAGCTCTAAGTCTCCTTTCCGCCGTTGGCCTCGCTAGCGCCCAGGTCCAAAACGCTACCATCGTCGTAGAGAAATCTCTCGGTAATGCATACCAGAACACGACCATCTCGTTCTCCCCCGTGTATGACTACGAGAATCCCGAGATTCTGAACCAGGTGTCCTCGCTCTACCAGATCGGACCTGAGTACACATACTTCTGCTTCGCCACCAGGCCCGATGGCACTAAGTACAGCGATGAGTGGTTTGGCATCGGCAAACCACTTCGCCTCTCTACCAACAACGTCGTTGTCAAGACTATCAGTTGTTATCTCGAATAGAGAGGCCTTCCAAGGATGAAATGGACGAATGCGACATGTACTCGAGTTGCTCTTGATGCTAATCTGCTCGCATCTAATCATTCGGGCGGCACCCAGTGCGCATTGATAGGTCTCTTCACTGTAACTTGGTCGCGACGCTGTCTATATCTAATTCACATTGAAAATGCATTACTTCACATGAGAATGGGTGGGTGTATGTGTTGGAAGGATGGCGGCAAGTTACCGATTTACATACCTGTTTTCAAAATCAGGAGGCATCAGCACCATTCTTCTAGAAGTATTAGTACTACATTGCATTACTTAATTTTTCTAATAAGAAAAAGAATTAACGCAGCTAAAAGTTGAGAGATGAGCGTGATCCTTGAATTTGTGGTAACCTACATAAGACTATGAGGTTCTGGTATTGAGAGATATCTTGTCGATCTCGAAATAGACATAGGATAAGAACAAGCTACGACTTCAGTTGGAGCTAGAGAAACGGAGGCTGTATTGCCAGCGTGATACTTTGAAATAACTATTTTGAAACCGAAAATATCACCGATTGAACATATTGAAATAGCTGGCAACTACAATCCTACGAGCTCCGGAAAAGGTGGATTTATAGAGGTAGATTGAAATGAAACATAAACCCCGCAATGTATACGAGGTTCGGGAACGACTAGTACACAAACTCAAAGTGAAAGGATAAGTCAACTCAGTTAACCCATCAACTAATCAGAGAGGGCCCTGATAACATAGAGGTAAGATCAACGTTAAACATTCAGCGTAATTAAGAGTCGGGCAGAGATTACAATGAAATATTTGTTTTTGGAATGCTTGCATGAGCTGCCTGTTTCAAACGATTGGAAATTTCAGTCACTGACATCGGAGCATAGATGAACCTTCAATGACAATAATATAAGAGACTCAAAATCAACAGACGAATTGACAGACTACGGTGACTTCTGCATTGGTGGGGCCATTTGCCGACCTTGGAGTACCTAGTCTCCGCAAGACTTGGGTGTCCTGGCCATGGCAAGGCATACTTGCAGCTTCAAACCAACAGTTTCTGATCCTAGGCAACATTCTCCTGGCTTGCTTCATACACTTAGGCAGCTGAGACCACAAATGTCATAACTAGTCAATAGAGGTAAAGATTTAAATTGGTAGATACGTGAATCTAAACTCTTCCAAAGCCAACTAAGCGCCTTGAAAGCAGGCTCTTGCCTAAACGCACCCTTGATCAATGGCAGCTCCAAACAGGAATACCAGCCCTCCTCACGACATCCGAGATTTCTCGGACCTAGATGGCGCAAGCGGCACGGAAGAAGACGGCATCCCGTATACCACGTTCTGGAAGTTCTATGGCAACGGCGACGCATACTTCGCGCAGATATTCAAGACGAGGCTAGACATCACCATCGACGAGGTCCGAGACGCGATGAAAAAGATCCCGGATCCTGATATCTACCCGGAGATACCCGAAGATGCCAACTTGAAGATCGTCGAAGCAAGCGATATACCGAATGCTGAATTATACATCAAGAGGCCTTCTCTTACCACGTACGAAACCTCTTTCCCTCTCGATGTAATTCGCGAGATATACAGTAAAGACCTTGCGCCCGTCCTCTTTGCTTGTCTCAATTGAATGTGTTTCACTTACTTGCCTGCGTGTATAGTAGGCGAAGCGCAAATAACGGAACTCCTATCGCGCATCCCGCACAAGAACATAGTCCGATACTACGGGTGTCAGGCGCGCGACGGCCGCATCACAGGGATCCTCCTGCAGCGACACAAGTACACCCTCTTGGAGTATTTCCTCTGGGACCTGCATAAATCCAGCGCTGCGCTGGATCCCCGACGCTTCATGGCCGAGCTGGGATCGGCGGTGGCACATCTCCACGCCAACGGCCTTGCGCACAACGATCTGAAGCCGAGCAATATCCTCCTCGACGGGGATCACATGCCCGTGGTGATCGACTTCGGGTCGTGCCGCCCGTTCGGCGGGCGGTTGCTGGAAGGGGGCACGAAGGGATGGTGCGATGGCGAGAAGTTGATGACGACTTCCGATAAGGAGCATGATTTGTTCGGGTTGGCGAGGATCGGGGAGTGGTTGGAGGACCCTGATCGGCAGATGAATGGGTAAGTGGGTTAAGGCAGTCTACGTATCGGAGCTCTCCCTCAGCTAGATACATACATACGTATGCATTACAGCTAGCTACGGTAGCTTGGGATATTCATCCTGTTTACCCGTTCTTCAAGATTTGCGTACATAGGTGGGTTACCGCATACCTCCCTACCTGCCTATAGTACTAGCCCAACATTGTTCCGATATGTCGTGCTGATGTAAAGAGAATGAGCAAAGCGGAATAAACGAGCCTGACCGAAGGAAATCGAATCCGTAGAAAATGTGACCCTCCAAGACCCCCCACTTGTCACAAATCATACAGTACGGATCTATTATTAAAAATTTGGTCCATTTCTTGTCCATATCTCGTAGAGATCGGGCTTACTGTCATCATATCCGCATTCGGCGATAACACACATCATCAATCTGACTGACTCCAACTGTCGCGAGGAGATTCGGTGCGATCTGAGACCCACCGATTACATCACTCCTACACGCAGCAAGAAGCAGCGTCTTAGGTAGACGATTACTTCGACACCTGGCACGGCTACAATTCATATCGAATTCAAGACAACTTTAGAGCATCACGACTATCAGCAAGAGACAAGGCAGCGAAAAATAGAAGAATAATTGTAGGGTGTGCCAATTGGCGTCGTTCTCGTAGTCGATTAGAATTAAACATGCATAGCATGCGCGTCTATGCGGTCTAAGTCTAGAGTCTAGGTATCAAGTTCCCAATCCGATCTGGTATCTGGTCCGGTCCAGTCCAGTTTCCCCATTGCCTAGCCAGGCATCCGATGAGGCTCTCTAATGTCCTTCTCTTTTTTCCCTCTATGAAACATCTTTCTGATGTTGAACCCATGTCTATGTTGCCCAAATGTCTAGATAACGCCGATGCTCCTGTAAAAAAAGATAAAAACTCCCACAAAGTAGAGAAAAAGGCAGATGATCGATCCTGTTGTCCTCGTTCCGTTTGGATATCTTCCAAAATTGAAATATTGCTCTATCACTCATCAGCGGCGTCCGCGAACCACGGGTGATTGAGAGCCTCCTCGGCTGTAATCCTCTTCCGCGGGTCGAAGTTCGTCATCTTGCTGATGAGGTCCTTGAAATCGGCGTCAAGAAGGTCGCTCTTCCAGAGAGCGAAAGGACGACGCGGATTTTTTTCGTCGAATGAATCTGCTATCCTTGACAAAGTAGATGTCCAAGGGTGTTGTCGTCCGAGGTACTTCATGAATCCGTCGAAGTCATTCCAGTTTGCGAAATATGAGATTTGCCGCGTCAAGATGTCCGTAGTAGGGTCAAGCTTGCGCTCGCCATCAGCAAGGAAAATGACGCTGCGTAGGCGGAGGAAGATGAACTGCGTTGTAAGTTAGTCTTGTTGGGCTAGGATCTTGATGCAACATATACTGGGGGAGACATACAACTATCGCCAGGGAGAAGATGTCCGATGGCTTGCCTACTGCACCTTGAACGTGCGCCTCAGGGCTCCGCCATAGCTCGTTGCCAACTTGAAGACCGTTAAGCGCCTGTCCCGGGGGGATGTGGGTAGAGTCTTCCAGGTCTGACAATTGAACCCGGTCTACAACAATGCCCTCCGGTGTCTCCCGGTAGTCAACCATGATGTTGTTCGCCTTGACATCTACAAAAGATATAAGTTAGCCACGAGCATTTTTTGGTAACTGAGCAGTGCTGGAGGAGCTTACCCAAATGAGCAATGTTCTGAGCATGCAAGGTAGCCAGCCCTCGCAACGTATCTCTGAGAATGCGCTTGTGCGTCGCCAAAGAAATATTTTTGAAAGCGAAGTTGAGAAGATGGTCTGTTAAGTACTCATTGACGAACATGTTCTGCTCAGGGACAGTGTCCCTCAGGGCCCTCAGATACGGAGATTGGTTGAACCTCAGCTGTAGGGGCAACGAGTAATTGTAGTCCTTCTCGAAGAGGCTTTTCAATACAAACATCTTCTCATTGGCCCTGACCGAGATGTTAGTTATTGTCGTCGGATATTTCGATCATCAAGAGGTGTTGGCGCACCTTGCCAGATACACCTGGCGGTTCTGTCTGTCCTGCAGCACATTTTGAATCGTGTACTCCTTTCCAGAGTAACCTCTCAATATCACACCCGGCTCGATTAGTTCGGGAGGTAGCACAGACGAGTGCTCGACGGTGCTAGCATGGCGGGCACTGCCGTGGACGATGCCGTTGAGTGCCTGTCTCGAGTGCGACAGGCCGGTTCTGGAGACGGTAGCCAAAGGCTGAAGCGCGGTCAATGATTGCGGAATCGCCGCGCCGCGCATATTATATACTTCTCGGGGTGTTGTTTCGTCGATGAACGTTCACCAAATGAAGCAAAGCAATATTTGGTGAGGAGTCAAAGAAAACGAGGAATCAGTAAACAAACAAATCAAATATCTAAGATGCCTTAGGAAATTGACGACTGAAACATGTCTATGTCTATATCGATATCAATGGCAATATCAAAACTCCGTTGGCTGTGGAGGAGGGGGGTTTAAGAGGGCAGATATGGAGATTAGATATCTCAATGGATACAGTACCGGTTTTGTCGGTGGGCTTCTGTTTTCTTCGTCCACCGAGGACAGAAGAATGTATCAGGTAGTACCGAGCATCGGATTCCCCAAGGACAAACCTATGACTAAACACCTAGAGGTACTTGATGATACCACGACTCTCTGCTGCAGTACATGCATCGTTCAGGTACCATGTACACGAAAGGGCTGACCAGGGGCGAAGGTCACACGGGGGCGAAGAATCTGCTCTGAGGCAAAGAAGGCTTGACAAATTTAGGGGTTTGCTCACTGCAGCCCACTAAAGCCCACTATTCCCACTCTACGAAGTATCCGTGTCCACCGAGAGAGGAGCGAAGAGGAGCAAGACTCGCGAGAGGAAAAAAACAGAGATCTACTTAACCCGCCGAGCCCGCCAAGCCCAGGTACGGGTCTGGTGCGGGTCTGGTACGGGCATAGGCGCTGCACAAGCGCCGCACCGCTCTGCACGGTTTCCCACAGCGGTGTCCACAGCAGTGTCCACAGCGTATCCATAGCGTTCCCACCGTCGTGGCTAAATGTGACCAGCCGCGCTGCGAGATTGCTTCTTTGCATAGAAAATGATAGGCAGGCGAGGCGGGCAGGCCTTGGCCTGCATTGACACTTCTGGGCCCTGGGTGGATATGGGTGAAGATCCATCGACAGAATCGACACCTTCTGCATACGCTGCTGGAGATAAGAGAGGATAAAAGAGGGTGAGGCCCCCATAATCTGTCTGTAACAGATCCTGTTAGTGCTGCGCGAACGAGATGATCAAAACAACCACCGTGTTCCATTGCTGTCCAGTCGGGTCGATTTCTGACGTATCGTGCATTCCACGTATGGGATTTAAAAGTAGGTCCATTGATACCGAAACCCCGGCAGACCCTTGGATCCAGTTTTCCATATCGCTTGATGGCCGAGATAGGACCTCCTCCTCCTCCTCCTTCGTCTTACTGACAACAGATTGCGTGCGTGTACGTGTAGTATGGTAGCCTGTCTGTTGGATGGACACGTGGGGCAATATTTGATTTTACAGGTCGCTACACTAAGACGAAGGAGGAGAGCTACGGTAAATTAGGTAGGTACAACAAATACAGCTTTCCGGACAGATCGTGAGAATGGAGGGGGATCAAAAGAGAGCTGCTGTGAAATGAATACGGAAAATATACCAATAATGAAAAATCTAGATGCTCAGCTGACGAGTCTTAGCGAACGGGAGTTAAAAGTAGACAGGGCAGACAGGGCAAGCATCCCGCGCCCAGAACAAAAGAGACGAAGAGACGAGGCGCTGGGCGAGACGCAGCCGAGACCGAAACAGAGATCCACCCTCGTCCCCAAAATTGGGTCCGGTGTGGTTGCTACGACTCTGCTAGGCCTGGTACCTGGCGAGCTGGGCGCGGGATGTTAATAGTGAATGAGGTTAATGACCGACCTGAACAATACTTGATGCTGACGATATTACGGAGTATAATAATCCCAGACTCTTGCGGCGCAAGCTGACGACGAGCTCACTCAGCACTCAGCAGCCAAGTGACAGCTTGTTCTTTTGAGCACATAAGTATGGTGTAGATACCTCAACGCTTCTAGAAACGGAAGCCGGCAACATGATTTAGGTATTTCAAGTTGCCAAAGAATGCTGTAGGTCCTACTGTATGCAAGTGGATAAGAAGATCCAACACAACGCACAAACATGCATCTCACCGCTCATTACTAGAGGTAAGTATGAGGTACCGTATGTAAAACATGTTGTAATGTAAATGCAGTGTACGTGCTAGTGCTAGTGTACCTACATACATTACATAGCATCATCCATCGGAGTTAACGCACCAGCAGCAGCGAGGACAAACAATTTCCCACATGACACTAACCGCGTGTGATGTTACTCCACGCTTCCATCCAAGGTCACGATACTTGGCAAGTGGGCGGGAAGGAAATGGATGAATAAAAGATGAGACGAGACGAGGCTAGTGTACCTGCACTAACACATTCGAGGACCGCGGGATGCTGTCCGGGAACTAACATACATATTATTTTACCAACGAACACTTACCTATTTACATACCAATAGTACAGAATCAGTAAACTCCGATCATAAGTAGAGGTTTCGCTCGGTCCTGATCCTGATCCTGCAGCAGTAGGTTGTATACCATACCATATCTCTACAGTGAAGAAAAGCCAAGTAAAAATAATGCAACATGACAAACAAATCGCTTTACCGACTCCTTTTCCCATCGTCGGTGATGGATCGTGAGCTGCATCGCGGAGCTGTCACGTTACTCACCCGAAACGCGCGTTGGGGGGTTGTTTCGGACCCAGTCGATGAATCCGGAATTAAAAATCACTAATTTTAAGATTCCTAGGTACACTAAGACATACTTACCTACTGTACAATAGGTACCTACTTACAGGCCTCGTGGCCTACCTACCTATACGTTCTGGGCAAGGAGGTAAAGTAGGTACCTGAGCATTACTACAACGCTACGGTACATTTACACGATCTTATGTTTACACTGCATTGCATTACTTTACCCACTTCCTGGTAATGTACGTACGCATAAGCTTGCTTGCTTGCTTGCGAAACGCAATGCACGCACGCACGTAAGTAGTGTACGCGCCGTGTTTGCGGAGAGCGTGGGGTTGGGGATCCAGACCGACTATGTACCTTGATACTACATAGCAATCAGGTAAGATACTTACTTACCTACTCTACTCTACTTTGAGAATATACTTACATATACTCATAGGTATGTCGATTTGTCCAGGCGGAAAAGCCGGGTTGGCTGGTTGATGATGCGCGCATCAATAGATTTGTGCTGCCTAGGTAGGTAAGACACCTATACAAGTCCAGTGCTCGCTTGTGCTGGGACGGGTCCGATATAACAAATTTATATACTAAAGTAAGTATGGCGGAATTGCGAATCCGGACCTCTAGCAGAGATGAATAACAACACGTGGGGGGACTGCGCGACGGGGTCGAAGTCAGCCGTACTCTCATCGCCACACATTTAATGGTGCGCTCCCAAGGAGGCGAGACGAGGGGATCCTTCCTTGACCTTGTCGGTTTGTTCTTCGAGGCGTGTAGCACTATGAAACTGAAGTTGCACCAGAAGGACACAACTGGGCTTGTCCGAAATATGAGGAAGTCTATGTCTCTTCATTACACCATACACCAAGCCGCCGCATACTTGGCTGCCTATCCCATTTATTCCGCTAGTACCGGCGAGAAGAAAACCCATGTCTATCTATGTACGTAGTAAGTACACCCAAGACCGGAAGATCGGACTAGGTAGGTAGATGCCCTCCCTGTTGAGGCATTTAAACCAGCTCAGACGGCGACGGGTGCGTGCTCCCGGAGTCTCACGTGCACTGGCATGCCATCTTTGGGATGGACAATACCGTCGCCACATGAGTACAGACGTTGCCCGTCGATTTTGGCATTGGGGGTCGCCTTGGAACTTCTACAGACGCGTGAGCAACATTAGTATTCAGTTTCGGCCGTGCTGATATTGCCGCGAGGGTTCGCAATTCTACAATGGTGGAGGGGTGGGATAAAACTATCTGACTCACTTCTGCGCATCCCACTTGTCCCACGCCTCCTCAATGTCAAACCGTCGGGCGGTAAGAACGGACACAATTCTCAGCTCGACCATCGCAAGCTCCATTCCAATGCAGTTTCGCGGGCCTATCGAGAATGGCGCCCACGCATTGTTATTCACCGGGTGTAATGGATCACCTTCAGGGGCTGTCCATCGCTCGGGGATGAACTCCTCGGGCCTCACCCAGTAGTTGGGGTTGCGGGCGACCCCCGGAGCTGACAACCACGCGCCCCAGCCGTCCATTGGGAAGCGATTCGACCAGCCTGGGGCTGTCAGAGCGAATCCTGGTGGCACTTTACGTACGGTCGCTGCGAGAGGATGGAGTCTTAACGTCTCCTTGATGACGCCAAGGGTATACGGGAGCGAGTATAAGAGGTGAGGTGATTCTGTAAGAACGTCTGCTGCCTTGCTCGGATCCGGCCCGAATACTGCATCGTGCTCTGCGCGCACTTTCGCCATACACTCAGGATGATCATGCAATAGTTTCGCCATGAAACACATCGTCGCGGCTGTCGTGTCGTGCCCGGCGAAGAGGAAGGCCTTCAGATTAGCCAGGAGCCGGTCGACGAATTCCTCGGTGGGCTTCTCCCTCGAGGCGTTAGGATCATCTTTGTCAATATACTTGATCGCTAGATCTACAATGGTCTTGACTTGAGAGTCGTTTGACTCCTTCTGGACGAGTTTATTCTGGATTTGAGGCATTACGGAATCCCTGATGGTTTTATTGTTGCGTCGTGCAGCTGCTAGATCCCAGGGCATGCGACCTAGTGGCAGAGCTCGAGCAGCATTGGCACCGGAGCTCATAATTCGAATCTGGTCTAATAAAGCGGACTTGAGGGGACTGGAGCTGGAGTCGGTGCGCTGTTGCTCATGGAGGCGCATACCTCTGTGAAGTGTCAGGCAAAATCCTCACGAAATCGTGCGGATATCCTTCAGAAGTGATCTTAGAACTCACAGTGCTGCCCTACAGATGATATCAAAGGTGAGATTTATTGTCTTGTCGTCAAGTCGAAACACGGGCCCGAATTGTCCTTTGGCCCCAGCTAGATCTTCCAATTTGGAGGCGAAGATAGAGACTTCCTCAATGAGAGCGGGAAGCATCGCTAGCAGATTTCGCTGGCTGAAACCGGGGTTGAACCTGGACCGCCAGGTCTTCCATTCCGCGCCCTCATTAGACACGATGTCGAGGCCATCGGTGAGTGGTAAAAGGTACTCTGTCGACAAGTGTGATTTGGGCAGACTCGGGGCTTGTGCGAATTGAGAGGCGGAGACCGGGTCATACACAAGCGCCAGCGGAATCTCGACGGGCCAGATGTCCAAGTATACGACGGGCGGCGGGAAGTCGAGGTCTGGGAAATACCTTTTGCAGTTCTTGATAAGCCATGTGTGGAATGAGTAGAAGTTGGCGTCCGGCGGGTTCTCAGCTCGCCAGTCGCCGAGGACTTTTAGGTGGCCCAATAGCCATGAGTGAGGCAAAATGGGCTGCGATGGTTGTCAGCGTTGACGATCCCCCTCCCATTGTCATACTCACTATTCCCTGCGCTTTCAGTGCCTTCACGCGCGACCGTTGTACATAACCCCGGTACAGGAGCCGGATCACCACTGCATTTTACGCCGGATTAGTAAGTAGTCTTCTACTAGTAAGTGGGATGGATCTGCGAGCGTGATGCAGATGTATGAAAGTGCCGTTAACGTAGTTGTTGCATGGGGTTCGGTTCTTGAGGAAGTCTTGGAAGTCGTATGACGATGCTCCCGACATTCCCCATCAACCCAATCCACCCTTCCAAGACAATACCTAGAGTAAGGTAAGCACTTACAGAGTGCGATGACCGCTCCGACAGCGCGGAACAGCATCGAATTAGTCGCACCACCAATGCCCATGTTGCAATACGCAATATGGTTTGCAGCAAGCAGGGAAGCAAGGCTTTCTCGAAAAAGAAACGGCCAAAGTTGTAATTGGCTGCGCGCGTCACTGGTGTTCGAATGTGGCTGCTTCTCGCCCTTTAAATACAGGATCGAAGGGTTCGTCCGTGGAATTTCGTGCCTAATCGAGCTGCCGCTGATTGGCCTGGCCTCGACGTACTACTGTAGGTAGGTACAGTACAGTCCTAGGTACCTCGCTAGGTACTTGTAGTAGGGCTGATACATGTGTAGATAGCGGCTGATAGGGGCAGCTAGGTAGCGGTTAGCGGTTAGCAGAGGTAGCGGGTACTTAGCAAGCACCTGGTGCAGTTAGCTGCAACAAACCTTCCTGCTACCTAGGGATCTCGCCCCCATCACCAACTGCATACAATGGATGGTCACTGCTTAGATCGTCACGGCCCTCATTAATGATGGCGAACACAACGGGCGGGAGAGCATGAGAGTCTGAGGCGTAAGGCTAGGTAGCTTTTTGGGTACTACCAAATCTAGGTATAGCTTAGGGGATCAAACTGGTGGGTATGCGGCGCAATTTTAGGGGATGCCATATCAGTCGGGAAGGTGAGAAAAGGGGCATGTACGGAGTATAAACAGATTTATATTCCCCGAGAAGCCGGCGGCCCTTCACATCCGGAGCAAGAGTTGTCGTTTACAGTCCACGAGGGTCTTCAGCACATCAATCACACACACACACACACACCCTTTCACCCTTTCATCTCGTTGTTACCAAATAGCTTTCAGTGATTTTCCGCCCATCGTCTCGAAACAACTGCATTGCCCGGAAGCTCCGAGAGCCCTAATCAGAAAGAAAGAGGCACGGTATCAGCAATGACGAATACGAGTACGACACCAACAGAGACATCGGGGCGTTGGGAGGTCCTGCACTTACAGCCATCGATGTCCTCCTCATAAGACCGTGCTACCTTGCACTTGTTCTGGTCCGCCACCGGCTGTGTCGTCAGCGTCGGGCAGTTGACGTAGCAAGGTGTGTCCATCGTCTTTTGCAGCGCGTCACCCTTCCACCCAAAGAGGTAGTCACCGTGACTGCCATAGCCAGTCCTTTTTTCCCGCGAAGAGGGCATCGTTAGCCAAACGTGGCGCTCACAGATCTAGGGATTACCTTGTTGACAGGTTACGTGATTGATACTTACTGGTCGCCGAAGCTCCAAACGAATGGCTGCGAGCCATCCTCAGGCCAGTCCTCCGGATTATTGAACTGCCTCGTATCCCAGACGGTCTCATACATCACTGAAAATATCGAAACGTGTTAGTCCAGATCCTCATTACGTATGTGTAGAATTGCGCAGCCAATGACAGCCACGCTTTTGAATCACATATACACGTACTACGACAGCAGTTAGCTCTGGTAATCCTACCCACGCCGGATCTAGCAAACCGGCACAGCAGGTTTTGATACGTACCATTGTGGCACGGGAACGGGATGAGATGCCGGGCATGGCCCCCGGGAGTCGAAGGTGCCGTTGGCCGGGTATGCCACTATACAGACTCGTCGTTAGAAAAATGCCGCTTTGGAAAATGACTTCTCTCTCGCTCGTGAGAAGCTTCAAGATCAGATGAAAACTGGAAACCTGATAAGACGAAAATTCGACGATTCGAGAGAACGTACTATGATCCATATGATTTGCGGTGTCCAGATTCTTGCCGTCCCAGCACCTATTTCATTGTCAGCTAACCTCTCGAGCGCCATTTCTCGACAACACTTACGTCGGGAACCGAATATTAGCCATGATACCAGCTACAGCCGCAATCGTCAGTACGACCAACATAGATGGATGAAGATTCCATCAAGTTAAAAAGATTACCTGGGCAAGGCTTGTTGGGAAAGTTCTTCGTTTCGGGGAAGCGAGTCCCGGGATCTTGCAGACAGGTAAAGGTGACCTGTCTGAAGCGGTTGGAGTCATAGGCGGTATGAGTAAGGGGATCACCGATGATCATCCGGAAGCCGGGTCTGAACGCGGTGACCTTAGATGTCTGCTGATAGTCTGCTAGGCCGTTTTGCATGTAGTAGACGGTCATACCGCCCTCGGCACCCTCGAAGCCAACATTCGGCATAATTGGTACCCTCTTGAAGGTTCCGTTCCTGGCTTGGAAGAAGAGTACCGCCGTCCAATAATTTGACGAGTCTTCTAAGAACTGGCAGGTTGTACAGCTCGACTCGCCGGGCATATCCTTGGCCGGGTCCATCGTCACATTGAAGGAGTTCTATCTAACATCAGTATACCGACCTTTTATCCCGAGAACATGTCAAACTCACGCCACCGATGATTTGGTGTAGATGAGGAGATGGTTTCATGCCAGGATTGACCAAGGGGTCGACACGGTCAATAACTGCAATTGGACTGAGTTAGTAATCTCTTGAGACAAGAGCAAGAAGATGACTATAGAGATAGCATACCGAGCTGAGTGCATGAGAATCTCAGGAGGGCAGCGGCTGGCGCCGCCAGGGCAAGCGCTGTCATCGAATTCCAATGCATCTTGATATCAGTTTTTTCGATCCTTCTAGTCTTCACTTCGGATTATTCAGGAGCTAGCGACGACGACTATGATTACAAAAACGGGGCAAAAGAGGAGAAAATATCAACAAAGGGGGCTTCCAGCAGGTTGAGGGATCTTATCTATCCCAGCGGCCTCACCCTACCTTATATCAATCTCCCATGTGGCAATCTCGGTTCATAAATTCTGAAGCGCGATATCATATATATCGCTGTAGGCTTGGATTGTCGCCTACAGACTACCCCGACCGAACGAGGACCAATCGACTCCCTCGCCTCCCACTCGACCTACCGGTGTGATCGCTTATGATTTGCCGGCAACATTACCCTGTTGCTATCTAATTTATTCACTTTACAAGAGTAGCAAACGAGTATTCCAGAATGGCGATGGTTAAAAGGGCCATGTACCGGGGTGTACACTATATGTATGAAATAAGCCGTACCAATGAGATGAGTGCCTGGTTGAGTTCGCCGCAGCTATCAAATACGCTCGGCAATACGACAGTCATGAAAAGGAGCCTGGCTCCAAGACATGAATTCTCATGGAGTGAGCGCTTATCGGTGTCTCGTTACTACACGGCACTATCACGGTGAAGTATAAATCCCTCTATTCACCAGGGGCTTAAGCTCATATTCTCATCATGGCTAGTTCTGTTGAGCGAAGCTTCACCTCATGATGCGGTGCACTCGGGTGATACTAGTCGCACTTATATGAGAGTTGGCGAGAGAAACCCTCTCTTTACTTGCGTCATTCTCCGATGAGTGAGATGCCCTCAACTGACCTTTATAGGAATATTTCGGGACTGTACAAAGATTGCACTATTCTACTTAAGTAGGCAATGTTAAGTCAGTGGCATCTGTGCCAGCTTTTTTACATAGCAGCGCACGTGAGCAGTAACTATCAAATTCGGATATACCTTTTCACTTCGTTAGCCCTCACAATGCTATTCTTGGCCTCGGGGATCCAACACATGAGAGACATTACCCTATCACTCTCAACCAACTATAATGCCCCGCTCTGCTTCTCTACCTCTTCTTGGAGAAACTCAAAACCACGAATATAGTCTCTCGTCCTAGCGCCATCGGCTTACGGCTCGAATGATATCCAGTAGGAACCGAGAGCATGCAAGGCATACACATATTCTCACTAGTAGCTTATGCCAAGAGAAAGGACAGGATGGCTCGTGTTGCGAGGCCAATCTTCTACCCAGAACTCGACAGCGAGCGAGCGAGCGATTGTCATAGCCTATACCATCATTGTCAATGCTCACTGGGACAGACCCCGTATTGGTCGGGACGAGGTGGCATCTCCAAAGCGGACCTCGATAGATACCCACACCCCGCGGGATACGAGGTTACGTTGTAGTAAGGCGGTAAGTGCACACGAGATACCTACCTACCTACTTACTCACTTACCCTCTGGATACGCAAGTGGGTGTTATACGCCAAGCCGATGGTGAGGTATATCCCATCTACTTGGCAGGTCCTGTTGGATTTACATACACTTAAAATAGCGAGGTATCTATGTATAGGTAACTATCACAAGCCAAACATTTACCCCGGCTGCCGTGGTCCGTTGGTACCGAGTTAGTTAGTTGGCTGTGTCCAGCGGGTCCCAATGCCGATTGGATCCCAACCAACGGGTTTCAGTTAAAGTCGTAACACAAAACACTAAATCCAACGTCTATACCACATAACCACATATCTATGTAGAATCCAACAGCAGCAGCAGCATAACTTGTGCCATTATATACACAAGATAGAGATGCACTGCACGATTTCAGGTCTGCTAATATATTACACCAGCGCTGTAACGCTCAACAACCAGTCGAGCAGTTAAGGAAAAACCAGACAGATTCTGACGGCGTAGTTGACAGCCAAGAACGAAAAGTACCGCGGCGATCATACCGGCAGCTTGTATACCTACATCCAATCGCATCCATGGCATATCATATCATATAGGTATACAAGGCTTAATCTACACCATACAATAAACCTCCCGAGCCTCACTTCCTCCTTCACTCCTCTGCCCAGGTCAGTCAGAGAGAGACAAACGAGGTGAGGAGGAATTGTTTTGTCGGGCCGATCCGCAGATAGATAGATAGGTGGATGAGGCGCAAATTCTAAACTGAGCAAGGTCTCTTCTCATATCACGTTCTTGTTGGCTTCCTATTCAGGGTTCTAGGATTCTCCGCCTTACTCGGGATCCTACAGATCCGCTGCAAACCTGGTGGTGAGACAATTCCTTGAGTCTATATCATCATGACATTTTACAATTTGAATTAACTAGATCCAATTAGACTGGCCAAAATCTTCAACCTCAATATTTGCCGTGCCAAATGTACACCACATATTGAATGTTAGACATTATAGAATTGAACAAATTTTGTACATTAATATAGCCGCAGCACTACTATGAATGTACTAAGTGCGCCATAAGTAGCTTCTAATTCTAGTGCCTGACCTCGACGTGATCACCTTGTCGGCTTCCGTGGATAGATAACAATGGGTGTCTAAACTCCCTTCCTTCATCTCCATGCAATCATCAGTATTAGTCCAACCTCTGGGTATCGAAGCCAGAACGGTGGACATGGATATATCAGGCCGTACAATGCGCACCATATCATGCTGCCATCCTCAATGCAATTACCCCTGAATCAGGTCGTTATGTACTCCAAACCAGAAACGCCCGCTTCGTAAAGTCCAAGGAACTGGTATCGACAAGAATCAAGCGGCGGATATGCCTACTTTTCGCGTCAAATGACCTTTATTTTATACAAGCCTCTCATCGCCCAAGCAGCGACCCAGCGCATACAAAGCTACTTGAATCAGAGCGGATGAGAAGAGGTTGGGTTATTGAGCGTGGTTCACAGAGGGTTGAGTTAGGGTCAAAGACCCATCTGTCGCTTCAACGTGAGATCGCCTTGTGATTTTCCACTATTGTGGCAACAGTACCCCTTTTTCGTCTGCCGGAAGTTTGATGTAACTGACAATCTTCTGCGTAAGGTTTGCACACCACGGGTCAACGTAGCCAGTCCAAAGCATAGCTACACCGTAGTTGAGAGGGATCCAGAATGGTAATGCGATAAGCAGCCTTGTCGTGCCAGGGAACATGAGTTTACCGTGCAGGACCTCGCCATTCTCGTTCGTGATATCAGGGGGAACATAAATTCCATACACCATCCAGCAAAGAACGCTGCGAAGCAGAGGACCATGGAGCAGGTAGACAGCGAAGGACTGTTTTCCAAGCCACAGTAGATACTTCGACGACAGAAATTCTCGAATGGCAGGCATGAAATGCAAACCGAGGGTAATCAATTGCAGGCCTATACCCGAGCCATATCGAGGGATCTCACCACCCTTAGGAACGATTTGGCGCAATACCAAGTATTGCCAATGGGACCAAGTAGACCATTCCGGGTGTCCTTCTGGATATGATGCAACGTAGAGGCCGAGAACCAAGAAAATGACAGCAAGAACACGTGAGACTCTTGGTCTTTTAACGAGGAATTCATTTGCCGAAGGAGTATTCTGCAGATCACACATGAAAACACCCCAGAAGAATTGCATGCCGAAGGCAGCTAGATGACGTTAGCAAGTAGCCTGTGGCATTTTTAAGATTCTTGAAGATTGACTTACAATCGCCGCCAATGTAGAAGTAAAAGTAGACTATCAAGCTGGCAAGCATCCGGTATCGTGGCTGCAGATAGGCTGTTGCAACGATAAAGACGTAAACCTGCATACTTCCCCTCAATAGTGGCAGAAGTGTCCACTGGTTTCCATCGTATGCATTCGCACCATGCGTCCAGGTATTGATGATATTGAAGATCAAATGGTTGATGGAGGAGAAAATGTCGCCCATGCGGTCGGGAGCGGTCTTACCACACCACCAGCAATCACTCGACTTTCCCACCAAGAACATTCCAAATTGTGCCATAATCCAGATAATAACAGTAGCGAGCGAGCAAGGGATAATCAGACGAGGGACACGGCTGAGCGCCGATTTGGCGACAGCGTTGAAAGCGACATCCTGGTTGTTTTGACGGTAGAGCTTGATAGGCTTGAGAGCACATACGTAACCAGTGACGAAAGAGAAGATAGTTACGCCGATACGGCCTTGCACAAGGATTCGGAGAAAAGGCCACTGGAGCACCCGAGGAGCTGCCTCAGCAGACGAGGCAGGGAGGAAGAGATCGCCATCGAAAGCGCGTGCGATGTGAGTTAGAACGACGAGTGATGAGGCAAGACCTCTCAAACCCTGTTCACGCATTTGGTTAGTTCCTGACAAGCACAATTGACCTAATAAATCGAGAATTATAATAAGCACTGTCAAGACCTAGCATCGTAGAGCATCCTGCGCAACGCAGAACTCCATTTCAGATTGCTAGACGCCCTCAGGGCTTGACAAGTACACAGTCGTCCAACCATCGAGGCCGAAGGGCGCAGTGATTGAGTCTTCTCCACCGCAAGGAATGCGCATGACCAACACCTCGGGGTTGGAATGATTCCGTTGCATTCGAGAGCGTGGCAGAAAAAGACAAGAGGCTGAGACAATATTCACTTACGTCAACCCATTTCACGTTCCCCTCTTTACCAATCGCCATCTTGTCGTACTATTCGAAAAAACCACCGGATGCTTCTATCGATGTTATATCATGAGTTCCGAATTGCTAAAGTAGTGACGACGGTGAATTTGTTTGATGGCTAGATGATGTACCGGCTCGGAGTGTGATAGGTAGCAGGGATGCTGTGCCGTCTTGAGCTCGGACAAAGATTATGATGATGCTTGTAGGACCGCAAGGTGGACGTTTTGTGTTGGAGGCGCGGCGTCACACAAAGTCTGGACACACAAGGATACTGCGAACGGTAGTTGGAAGCCGGGATAATGTACAACTAAGTGGCTGCCGTAGGGGACGGGCGGATTGTGTAATATTATAGGTGGCGAACGATGGAACGACTGTGGTTGTAGATAAGTTTTAAGAGAGCGACTGGCCGCACGGGCGGGAAAGGTATACGGTCGGGTAGGTAGTATGCGAGACAGCAATCTATACACCGTGGCGATGATTATCGTATCGTATGAACAAGACGAATGAATTACGAATAAAAGACCAGAAACTGTCAGCGATCGTCGAATGCTAAGACGACGAGGCCAGTTTATCTGTCGGAACAGACGGCTCTGGGGGAAAGAATTGAAACACACAAGAGAGACAGACAGGGACAGAGAGAGGAAAAAGACAAGAAGAGTCTCTCGACGACACGCAATCTCCAAGAGGGGACAGGACCTGGAGTTAAGAAGAGAGAGTGAGTGCGTGCCAGGAGGGGGTGGAGGTCATGGGTCGATGGATCAGAATACCTGGGTCGGTACAATGGGTACGGCGATGGGGTACTGCGATGGGTAGGTAGGTACTTTAACTTAAAGCGTAGGAGGTAGCAGATTCCTGCACTAAGTTAGGGCTCCAGCAGCACCTACTGGGTACTATAAGTACACTATAAGCACTTGCTGGCATTGCCGCTACCGGTAGGTGAGGCTGGGCGAGGTTAGGTTAGGTTAGGTAGCTCGGTAGGTGCTGTTGCGCGTGTCTTGGGCGTTACGCCACCATCCGCCGTTACAGTACCATGTCCAGCACTACATAACCAAGACCACAGCGCATGCGACGATCACAAGACAAGTAGCGAAATAGCGTGGCTAAGTTATGTTACTAGGCTGGCTAGGTAGTGGGAAAAGGGGTGGCTAGGAGTACGTGTAGGGGGGCAGAAGGGGGCATTCGTCGACCTTCCGGCTTGCGCATGGATGCGACAGGCCGGCCTGCGGACGAGGCCAATCAACTCGCACACCGGGCTCAAAGAGCACAAGGAACCCCAGATCTGTTCGCGTCTCTAGCCTGCCCAGACCTGCCCAACAAGGTCTTAGGACAACTCTGTCCAAGCCGGAAGGAGAAAGAATCTCAGAGTCATAGGGCGAACTTGACCGTTATACTTACGGCACCGAGAGTCGCGGATCTGACGTCTTCTAATCTACACGTTGTGCCCTATTACACTAGTATATTGCACTATTCCGACTACCACAAGGTATGGCCTCCGCCTTCTCCCCGGAAGCTGTTGTCGTGTGCAGACACGTACGCAGCATCGGTCAAGTATATGTATTCATGCGGTGTCCGGCTGCGGTTCCAGGACAAGGCATTACTAGGAACCGACTTGCTTCTTCAATCAATGTAAGACGAAGATGAGATATCATGTGTAAAGATGTGTCCCACTGTCCAAGAAACACCTACAGTAACGTGTCACAGGCCTTATTTAGGTAATCTGACAGTTGCTGTACTCGCCCTGTCCAACTCACAGCGATCAGTCGCACTACATGAAGGATCAAGCTACGCCTACAAGTATCAGCCACGTTTATGTACTATGTAGATATCATGTTTCCATCATTGATAGACTACTACTCACTAAAAAAAAGGATGGAAACAGTTTGGAATCTGTGGTCTCCTACATAGTAAGTAGCCCACTCCAACGCTACAATAATAGCTGTCTCCTAGTCTTCTGTCTAGCTTCCTAATGGGTAATTTATCGTGCGCTTACAATAGGTAGCGCCATACACGCCGCATCCAGCCACGGGCAGCAGCTCGCGATGTCTTACAAACTCGCCGGCATATAAAATCCACCGTCACACGCAACTGAGGACGAGCACAAAACAACAAAACTCCCGGCTATGGCGGCGGATCATAACTCGCAACAAGGGAGGATACTTGGCATACGTGTGTCTTCACATGAGAAAGCGTTGTTGTATCGGTTATCACGGTTCACGGTTATCACGGCCTTCCTTGCCTCTGGTTGCCAAGGCTCCGTTGATCCCGCCGAGATTCTTGGCATCTTGGCTGCATTGACTGTTATATGCTAGTGTATTATATCTCGGTCTGGTGAGAGTTCCGCCCCTTAAGGAACCCCTATTTCCCCCGTTCTTTTCTTTCGAACAAAATACCAAGAAAGTCTGGGCAGAGGGAAGTAAATTTGTTGAGCGCGACTTTCTAGTTTTCCTCTTCTTAGTATGTTTCTAGAAGAACAAGACTCCCATAATCAACGCGCTACTGTCCATAGTACGCGTCGTTCACAATAGTACCCTTTTTTATTGTATCAAGCTGGGCGATAGTGTATCGACTGACTCATGGGCAGTACTTTGCTCCCACGACCATGATTCTCGTCAGAGGAATGCCAAGAGCCATCGACACGAATCGTGGCGGCATTGCTGTCATCCACCTGTTTGTGCATATAAGTACTTAAAAAAGATACATTTATCTGATGCACAGTAGGATCACATCAATACATACAGTAGCATACAGATTATCGTCCTACGGGTGACTTTTTATAGCCTATTCCATCTCTACATAGAAGGAGCCTGTTTCGTGTAAGCTCCAACTGGGCGTGAAGACCATCAAATGTGTGTAGCTGACATAGAGTGTAAATAGTATATATCACCCGGCGACTATGGTATTCAGAGGTATGTTGGTAAATTTTTAATAATAATAAAATAAAATAACATAACATAGTTAACATATAAAAAATAATATCGGTCTGCTAAACTTTTCAACAATTCAAATGTCGAACTATTTCCCCCCCATACCGTATAAGCTTTGTAAGAAGAAACGAAGAAGATACCTGGGCTATGATAGACCCCGAAACAGGATCTCCGACACATTACCAACAACCAATCATGCTAACTGGCTGTGTTCTTGGCAATGTAAGATCAGCCGTTAATAGCCACCTAGAAAGGAAGCATCTCCAGGGCGATCATATCATATGGAAAATCACGAATAACCACATTCATCTGACGGCATTTAAAGGTGAGATACCTAGATGCTTACTTACACTACCGGTGCCTCCGCATGGACGCTCTTGCAACTCACGATCCATTTCTATTGGAACGAGGCAAAGCTATCCAGTGTACTGTACATAGTAGAGGCTAATAGGCCTGTAAGCACATTTCGCTAATCTAGGGTTAATTACGACAACTCTGGATGAACCAAGATCTCCAGCCTGATCTTTAAATACAGGCAAAAAGTGCTCGTAAGGACTATGAAAAAGGAGTGACATTTGCTTACTGACATTCAGACCACGACAACTGGAACCGAGTTATGCTTATTGGTTGCTTTCAAGGTGTAGTAGTTTGCACCAAGCAGGCCAGGGTATGGTGTCAGCCACTGATGATCCTCGCATGTCCTGCATACTATATTCGACCTTAATCTTCAGCCCCAATCACGATGGATCCAGGTTATACTTAGGGCAAATCCAACAAAATACAGAAATATACTTACGGTATGTGCCATCCTACGGTAATGCAGATCACGATTCAACGTCCTTATCAGCTTCACCTTCTCGGTGTAACAAGCTTTACTTAATTCCTACCCATGCAGCTAAGTATGCAAAGCTCCGTAGTAATAGCGTGAGTTAAGTAGATTAAAAACGCGGTTTGCCTCGCGCCATCGTCTTATCTTACATCAGCTCAGAGTGTAGCTCCTCTACTTAGTAGTCGACAGATTATAACAAGGTAACAACTACTAGTAGACAGCCCTGGCAATCGTTGGGGGCCATTTCCTCATTCTATAAGCAACTCTTAGTTAGTGCAGGGTAATTTTGCTATAGGATTTCATCGCAATATTACGACGTACGGTATATACCTAGTCGAGCCCTACCAACCAACCCCCGAACGTTAGGACTTTTCGCAATTTCCGGAGGTTGGATCATCCTAGGCCAATCTCAAACAATTCCTATCTCTCTACTTACGTCTCGCATAATGTGTGCTCAACATTTGGCTTTTGGGCAATGAAAGACGTAGTAGCCACCTAGTTTGCTTTTTTTCCTAAGTATGAAAGCAGTGTAAATGCACGTCACCGGCGAATCAATTCAAATTTAAGGTTATCTCCATGTTGTCGTTAATATTGAGTAGACAAGACGTGAGAAACTACATGCCGACAGGCGCTAGTCTCTATTCATCCCTAAAGTGATATGGTATTTGAGAGAACATTGGCTTTATCTTAGGGATATACTAAGGTCACCCGAAAGCATTCATCGTTTCGATAGAACGAGGACCGAGGCTCGCAGTTATTGCTCTTTGAGAAACAGCGGTTTGAGAAATTTTTCCCACATGCATATACTGTGCTCATTCATGCGACCATCCATGGATTAGAGAGAGAACAAATAAGCGGCTGAAATTCCTTAGCCAAGGCAGCGGCTATAATTGTATAATCACCTACCTACTCCAAATCAGCTGAACGCGCCAAAGTGGGATAACGCCAGCAACTCAAGCGCCACTAAGTCGCCATGCTCAGGGTTGAGTTCAAATGCCTATCGGTCCATGTTCACGCTAGGTGTTCCGAAGCCTCGAAGCCCAGGCCCTACAGCTTGGAGTATAGTGCAGATCAAGCAGTGAGGCTGAAGCAGTAGTTTCACGTGGAGGGTGCGTTCAACTATTCCTTGTCGGGCTGTCTCACAGTTAGACACACCTCTGCAGAATCGGCCGCTTAGATTCGAAATGAGATTCTCAAGAAACCAGGCATCTGATAGTATCAAGTTACCCGCCATGTAATATATCGTCTATATCGAGTCTTACGGACTTTGTAGACATGATATGCCTGAACTCTACACATATATAATGTAGTATTCTCACCGAAGCAGCGACCAAAGTTTCATAACACAACCCTTCACTCCTATCCGTATTCCAAGCACTCTGGCCTATACTTTGATCTCAAGTTTAAGTTGTTTATTTGCAGTGAATTTCCAACTTCGGCAGAGTTCGGTGAGGACGTTGGGGATCAGAGTTTATTTCCTCTAATATGCGTATCGTACCGTATTATTCTCGCGTTTTAGAACTCCTTCCAATCCAGCGCGGACAGGGCGACCGGCCATTATGTTCTTTAGTGTTACGTTAGGCTTACTACTTTGACCGGCAATACCTGACAACGGAGTAGGTGTCATTGACGTGACGAGGGAATGGAAATTAGCCGAGGTGGACCTTAGTTACTACCTCTCGGGCTTTCTTTACATTGCTACCTGCCAGCCTGAAGGTACTAAAAAACTTCAATATCATTGTAATCTATATGCTGTTCAGCGCTTTCGTGTTCTATTCAAACTGTACTTATCCATATGAGACCAAAATCTCGGCCGTCGAGCTTAGCTCTATCTTCATCCTATCAAGAATAACAAGAGCAGCAGATACTGGGCTTGGAATTGAGAATTCAGATTACAATGATCAACTAGGGCTGCATGAGTCCTTGACCAACCAACTCCTTCTTGGCTGTTGGTGGCTTCACTCGACTCTAATATATACAACTTGCCAGCCCAGACCGCCTAGGTCTCTGGGGTCTGTTTCAAGAAACGAAGTCTGTATAACCTCACTTTCCAATATCGCCCAATATTGCTTGCATGTCTTGAAAGATCATGAACAGCCTGCAATGGTCCTCCGTACGGCCGAAGCGCAAGGCGAACTGCATATTCAGCTGGCACAGAGGTTATGCGTGTAACATCAAGAATGCTTCCGCTTTCTGTCCCTCCTTTTCCTATCCTTCTCTGTTTGTTTCCACCACCGAGCCCCTGAGAGGCGGAAAGCCTATCTACGGGAATAGAGTAGTGATAATTACTCGTTCAAGGCCTATTAAACCAAGCTAAGTGAGCTTTACATAAACCGATATGTAGTTTGGCACAGGATGATGTGAGTAGCATTCATACAAGTTATATCATCAGATTGGGACCTCATATGGCCTTGGGACACCTATTTGTTTCACTGCAATCCAGCTTCAAAGAGGACTTTTACTTTCTAGGGAGCAGTGAATCCTCATAGATGGCGACCTCGGCGTTTGTTTGCCTTGTGTGATTAGTCATAGGGTTCTGTTAAACGCACTAGACGTATATCGATGTCTTTGCAGCTGGGAGTATTAGAGACAAGACAGGATAGCTAAGCTGATCTTTACTAGGTTTCCGTGGACGTAAATAAAAAGCGTCATAGGCCCCTAAGTAGTCTATTGCTGGCGACAGGCGTCATGCTTCTGTGTTCACCTCACTTCGCTTGAACACTATCTAAGTGACTGTAATCCTATGAGTCCATGAAACGTGTACCACCGACACGTAACACGTAAACTATATTGTTGATGACTTCCTGAGTCGCGGTCTGTTACTCCTCAGGCATACTAGTTACGTATACATCAAGAATGGCCAAATCATTAACTTTCAAGGGTCCTTACTCATATATACCCTATGCATGAAGCGAGTTTTGAGCAGGTCCATGTTTAATACGGCTTTGATACGGTATACGATAAAGTGATTGCTCTGTGGTAGCCCGATGATGCCGACGAGCATCTCTTGATATAGAGCTCCATCCAAAACAAAAGATGTCAGTACTATCAGAGTTCAAGTATTTTCTGTATAGTTTGTTAACAGTGTGGTAATGGACAAAGTCTACCTTGAATCAGTACTGGCTGGTTTCCTTGTCAATAGTGCAGTTTTGATATGCAGCGAATTGTTACTCTCACAGCAACGATATCTATGATTTTGAGACCAAGATAGCTTTGACACCCTAGCACGAAAGTGATGGTTTAAATAAGAAGAGGAAGGTCTGCTGTCTCGCTAAGTGTTATGGTTCCTACATGGACATGTGTTCATTATCAAGATATGTCTGTCTCAACTCTGCCTGGATTACAGCTACCACACCCTAGATTGTGCTGCTAGAGTCTATATGGTAAGTCAACACAGGATCAAAAGCTGTACCGTAATGTATGTGTACACGTCTCCTTGTTCTGCTGTTGCCTACTTCACTCTTTGTTCTACGTGTTTTAGTCTAAAAGTTGTCAACTTGCATCAAACCAGACTATTCGAAGAAAGACTCCGGATTATCGCCTTACTCGAGGTAGATATTTAGAGTCACATATTGTAAAATAAAGCTTACAATAGCTTTAAAAGAGTGCGTGTAGTTTAAGTAGGAATATTGGAATTAGGAAGGTAGGAATAGATAATCCTGGTGGCCAATACTTTAACCTATACACACTCTACTATATAAACAGATGTACCACCCCAATCTACAGTATTTAGACTTAATTCCTTAGTACAATATACAGTATGATTCTTCACCTACAGTACTATTTCAACTAAGCGATACACTAAAGGCGATTGCGACACCTTTATCAGGTATTACCAATCTACACACGCGCGGTCACTTCTGCAATTCAGATCCAGCACGATGACGGTCTCTTTCAGCCCTAGACAGCTGGTAGCCGTAAACGGCGAGACGCTCAAGGAGTTTCTCGGCACCGCGACAGAAGCCATTGCATACGATATTTTGCGTCCGCATGTTCCATTGCCAGCCTGCTCACACGTCCATGACAATGGATGCGGAGAGGGGGCTGTGAGCAGTGCTCTGTTCGCGCTTCACTCGGGCTCCAATTCTAGGGTTGGTACCACTGTTCGAGTGTCAGCCACGGATAAGGATCCCCAGTCGCTCGCAGCGCTCAAAGCACGGGCCGATCGCGAGGGGTGGGCTGCCCACCTGGCACAGGTTGTACAGGTGGACAGCACCAACTTGTCAGCGGCATTTGCGACAAGCCAAACCTTTTCGCATAGTGTGACGAACTTCGTGATGTTACAGGCGTGGCCGCGCGATGGCGACTGCGCCGCAGAAATCTATCGCACGCTGCGACCTGGCGGCCTCGCTATCGTTACTGCTTGGGAAGCTCTGCCCACCATGGCCATCTTTCGTCACACATACCAGCGCCTGCATTCTCAGAGACAGGAGGAGGGTGGGAAAGATGATGACCTACCTCCAATACTGCGTATGCACTGGTATGGCGGTGAACATGTGCAGAAGGCGCTGCTCGACGCCGGATTTGAAGAGGCACGGACCAGAAAGGAACACTACGAGACGCGAGTGCGAGTTCATGATGCTAGGCGATGGTGTGAGATCGGGTGGTCAATATGCGGGCCGGGGCGCGAGGGCTGGAGGGTAGAAGATGAGGAAAATTGGGATGAAACGATTAACGTGGCTCTGGAGGTCTTGGTCGCAGCACCTTCGTTTGAGCTAGATCTGGAGAGGCAAAACAGTGGGTGGTTAACATTCACGGCCAGTGCTGTCGTAGCGACGAAGTGAGCTCATTAATGTGATTCGCGTCTAATTTTGTTGAAAGACTAGGATTGCTCTGATAATTGACCATCATGTTACGATGTTGGATTGAAAATATAACTCTCCCGTAAGGAACACGCTCCTACCCAAACCGCTCGGCTTGCTTCAATCTGCTAATTTTCTCGTACATCTCCCTTACTTAGTGGCGACAGCAACATTGGCAACGAATTTGAGGAGGTTTTTACCGCCAGGAAGCTGCTGATAGCCCTCCGTCTTTCTCAGCTCCTGCTTGACGACGTTGATTGCATTGTCCCAGTTCTCCTCGTCCGAATGCAGCCAGCCAACAGGCGACGTACCGCCAATGAAACTCCAAAGCATATTAGCGTAGCGATCCATCTCTGATGTTGTGACGGATACATCACGGGTCTCTATGATAACCTTGTCTTTCTCGAAACCTCCTTGTTCAATGACGCTTTGCAGAAACTCTGCGCGCGACCACTTCTCAGCGTCAACGCGAGGTAGCGGCGTCCCCTCGGGGCGTGTCGCCTTGGCGGCAGCCTGGATGGGCTCTAAATTTGGTATGTACTTCCACGAGTTGAAGACGGCCTTACCTCCGGGCTTAAGAGTGCGGTACACTTCTTTGACGACGTCGATGCCTGAATCGTCAGGCAGGAAAAAGAGTAGTGCGTTGTTGAGCGATAAGGTAAATGTCTCGTCAGAAAATGTAAGAGCAGTGGCGTCCATGTTGATGGCTTCTGCGGGCCAGTGGTTCTCTGTTGATCGCTGTCGGTAGATCTTGAGGGCATCTTCGTTAATGTCGGTAGCTTTGATGGACACGTTCAGCGACCTGCCGCTGATGGCTTCTGCGACAGCTGCACTGGCAGCCCCGGGGCCACAGCCGTTGTCATTGATAATCGCACCGTCTGCAATAGCCGGAACACAGCCGAGAGAAGCTTTCGCCAGATTTTCCATGCCATCGGCTACGAGTTCAACATAAAGTGCAGGCGTGGGAGCTATTGCCTGCTTGGGCACGAATTTGACGTCGGACTCTGGAGCGTTCATTGTGTTGATATGAGGGTATGACAGCTGTGTATGAGATGGTAAAACTTGGATGGTCAAGAGAGGTGAGTTGAGAGGAGCGTTAGTCGAAAGTTCGGTTGGTCTCTCGTCGGGTTTGCAAACAAGGACCACCAACAGCCTCGATAATGACCTCGCTGCACGTTGACCCAACAGCCTCGATAATGACCTCGCTGCACGTTGACCCAACAGACACCAACAAGATCATCGCAACACGCGTACCTTTCCCTCTCGCCTTATGCACAGCAGCCAACAGCGGCGGTGATCACAGCATTAAGAATACTACCTCAATATAAGCAACATTAGTACCTATGTAGTACCTACCTAGGTAGGCTACATATAGGTACTTAGTAGCATGTCGCTCTTGACGTGAAGCAGGGCAGGTTACATTGCAATTTGACGCCCTACTAAGATGCAAGAAGCCTCTCGGCATGCACTTCACAACTGCATATTGTATTGATTTTTGTCCCGTTGGTTTAGTACTTTTGATGCTTGTACCATCCTAACCCCTCTTACTTCGGAGATAGGCTTATAATATGCTCGGTGCATTCACACTTCGTAGGGATTAGGGCGCAGTTCCAACAAACCACGACACAGATCCTTGAACGCCCATGAATACCACAAGCTATCTCTGCTTAATCGCATATGCAAGATAGTAACAATAGACCCTGACTACCTGGCAGCGTGGTGTTTTGGATACAATAACGCATATGACTGCATCGTCGCCTAATATGATATGATCTCAACATGCTGTTATACACAAAGCTCCCAATACCTCCTTTCCTGCCCACTCCGCCCCCGTTACAGTGCCGCTCATACACTTACAGTGCCTGTGGCTCCATGTCAAGTCGTGTAGAGTCTTTGGCCACTCCACCGTGCGCGGTTCTGATGAAGTAGAAAGTGTAATGTGAAAACTATAGCAGAGAAAATTTATACTAGGTACAATGGAATGAATGGTATTATATATGCACTATTTATGAAATTGTAAAAAATATAGCATTATTGCCTGTTATTACTATACCTTAATAGTAGCTTATAAAAAGGTTTAAATATAATAGTTAGTTAAGTATAATTAAAACAGGTATTAATTAATAACTTATAATAACATTATACCTTATTACCCCTAATTTTAATACATTTTTAAAGTATATAGTGTGCAAATGTTATAATTAACTAAAGTCAGATTGCTATTACCTATATATTGCAAATCTAATATAGGACCTACTACAGATTGTCACGGGTAGGTTGAATCTCAAAGGTCAGGTACAATGTCATAAGTCTCTTCAGTCTCATAGTAGGTATTCAACAAGACTAAAGGTTGAAGAAGGGAAGAATTTCCTTCGAAGCGTGTACGGGAAGGGTACGTGATATATGTGAAATGCATGTACTTCAGGGGCGTCAAAATACCATAGTATGACACAGATCCAACCTCGTCCAAAGAATTACCCTGATGTTTACCTTCCCTTAATGTTTGGTATAGGTATTTAGTCCCTTTATAACGTAGGGCTTTAATCAATACTGCAACCGGCGGAGATCCTATAGAGTGTATTAATTCCCTCGGATAAGTTAAAAAGTATAAAAATGAAGAGTAAAGGATATTTCGAGGCCAAAGATAGACGCGTTCATAGATACTCTCAAGGGCCAGCTCTATAAGTCGAGATTGAGAGTGTCCTAAACTCTATACCTTCATTACTTACCGAGGAATACGAGTATCATCTTAAGTGTTAAGCAAGGAAGTCTGGAGTGTCCAGATTCCTAGGTGAACTGGTACGCCGGGTGTCGAAAGTAATAAAGATAATATAAGCTGTGGTAGGTGAGAGGGTTTTAACCTACTATTAGGAGTTAATATCAAAATATTAAAGCAATGTGTTTTCCAAGTGTAAAATGCACGCTATTAAAGTAACTTATGCGGTCCTCACTTTACTACAACAATAGATTAATAGCGCATTGGTTAGGAGATTACTGAAAACTATATGCTTTGGATCCTTGAGCGCAAGGATATAAAGGGGTGGAATTCATCTTATTGCCAGTGCTATAGCTCTCTCTAGATGAATAGCAATGTGTTTTTTGCTAATAGATATAACGACGCGTTCCTGCAATGTCGGTTCGCTGGACACAAATTCCCAGCGTTCGTTCCGTGTAGTAGAAGATAGAATACAGCTTGGTGAAGTGTGCACTTTGACATGTCTCTTGAGCGCTGGCCAGATATAGTTTCAGGAAGTATCGTTTGTCAGAGGCTGCGATTTAGAAAATAATATTACGCTAGTCTCGCATAGGGCTCGAAGTAGCTCGAGAATTGACGATTATCTTTAACGCTAGGAAAATTTGCCATCTAGGCTTGTTCTGGTCTATGTGTAGGATGTAGACATCGGTCTTTTAGCTACTGAAACATACTGAAGTCATGCTAAATGAGAAAACCAAGGAGTTGGTGTGATATGCGGATTTTTTTCTCTAATGATTATTACATCATAACTTCGTACAGAGTCTCTCCTCTGAGACAGTAGGTATCATGAACCTCCATGCAAACCGGTGTAAGAACGCCAATGATGACTGTTTGGATCAAACCCCTCCCATAATGTACACTGGTGATGAGACGACTCTGTTTATAGAGATCCCTTGACCTTCCCCTCAGCATTTTTCGCTGCGCCCTTTATGGTACCCTCGGCCTCGTGAGCAGCTCCCTTGGCCTTACCTGCAAGCTCCTCAGAGCTAGCGTTCGCCTTGCTTCGGATCTCCTCAGCGCTATCAGCTGCCTTATAGCTGGCCTCGGTGGCCTTTCCCGTTACTGTCTCGGCAGCCTTGGCTGTTAAGGGATGATATGTTAGTGATATGGGTCACGATTTGTGTCCTACGGCAGTGTACAAGACGGAATGATGGCTCTTCGCGCATTGAAGGTCCGACTTACAGCCTGCGTTGATGCCGTCGACGAGTTTGTCCGAGACCTTGCGGTCCACGGTTTTTAATGTGTCCTTGGCGGCCTCTGACATTGTTTTGCGGGCGGCCATGCTTGTGCTGAACTGACGAGGAGCCTGAACCGAGGCAACTCGAGAGGTGAGAGCCACACGGCGGGCGACTGTTTCTGTAAGGAACGACATTTTGATATTCGTTTGATGGAGTACGTAGACACTGTAACTGTTCCCGAATAGCAGTTTAAGGACGATTCCACGACCGCAGAATTTATGAGATCTTGGTGATTGGTACGTAGGATAAAGAGACTTGGAGACAATTTCTTCCAAAAAGGCGAAAGTTTGGGAATAAATACCATAGAATAGACTACAGAAAGTCGATGATCAATTCGTGCAGCTTCAAGTCATGTTCGTTATGATGTTGTGTTGATGTCATAGTTGACAGGTAGCTTATACGTCATTGGCTGCTCGCCAACGACGGGTTCCTCAGATGAGGTCAAATGCGGAGAGGACAAGGAAGAACTCCTGGCCGCCTTGGGGAAAGAATTGCTTAGGTAAATCTCTCGCTGTCTCTCTCTCTTCCCCTCTTTGCCGTCTCGCGCCTCGAACTGCTCAAGGCACCATTCCGTAGAACTACTCAGTATCAATAGACATGGGCTCGCAGTACTATGTTTTAATGATGCCGCCTTACCTCTCCACCCTACGGTATGATTGACGTATGAGAAAGGCTTACCTAGGTAGTTCCTGGCGTGGGCCTCAGGTGATAAAGCTCATGTGGGGCGCTGCCATGGAACCGGCCTGTTGATATCATCGCCCAGGGGCCTTCATCAAGGGACGACACGTTGGCAGTGGGCTTTTGGATTTCGAACCAGCCATGGCGCTGCCAAAGCTGCATCTCAACACGTGAGTATAATAGTAGGGGTATGTATTTAAACCGACCTCGCCCGCCCGGCGCTTCCCGGATAGATTTGCAGCTGTGTTGGTGTCTCTGGTCTGAACCTTTGAACTGCGTGTCGATCCGATATTCCTAAGTAGCTTGATCTACCTGAACCCCCTGATGTCCCCGCATAAGAGGATCGAACGACGCATAACAACGGCGCGGTCTCTCAAGTTGCGTCAATCAAGTCCTTCTAGAACATCAGAATTGTGCCGTAGCGCTGCAATCAGAAGCAATCTGAGCGTCTAGACATCTCTATCGAAATCTCTCGTTATAACTACATATATGCTTACTCTGCGAGACATGTTAGACGAGGCGGTGCATATGCATCTTGGCCTAACCAGCTGCACTGACTACGAGTTGGAGTAAGTATCGCCCAAATTACGTGTCCAGTCTGACAAGCGTGCGCTGTGTATTTCGATCCCGGGCCAGCCGGCACATCCTTCTACACAAGCCCAAAGGAAGATAGAAGGCTAGTATATTCGTCATAGCATCGCGCGATGCTTGGGGTAGTGCCACATTTCCATTTATGCCGCCTCAATGGCATGACTGCTCTGGATATAATCACCCTCGGCAGTATAGCAAGCCCAGCCTGCTCGTGGCATGCATGGTATCAGATCCTCCTGCTTTCGGGGTTCGAGCATACCTAGTAGGCAAAACTCACATTAAACAGCTTGACTGGGTGCAGATCACTCTACGTATATACTTACGTGCTGTTTATAGTCGTCTCACGCATCCCCAGACAAGCCCCTTCCCCGACCGGGAGTTTTTGGCCGCGTTTATGCGGTAAGCGAAATGCTGTGCTCCAGCGCCCCGGGTCGTGTTTGTTGCCGTTAGGGAGCTGACGCTCACTAATCACAATGAGGCATCCAAGGTGTCGATGCCTGCTGTTTTGGACTTATCACGCAGCTACTAGTGTTTCGCAGTCACTTGTCCGCCAATTATTGGTCGCTTGTCGGTGTCACTGGTGTTATGGCGGGATGCGGCCGGAAGCAGGCTGCGTTAAGTATCACACCAATTACTTGCTTGAGCTGAAGAAAATCTTAATGCTCTAGGTAGGCCATATAGTACCATATAGATACTGGATGAAGTGGTGTACTGGTATCGTTAACCAAGCTCTGTTGGGTCTGTCAGCATAAACATAGCCTGGCTTTAACCCCCTTGCATCTTTGATTTCCTGGATAAGAAGATTAACGTCGGGCAATATCATGATAAGGAGCTGATTATTCCCCGGGAACCACCTCTAATTTGATCTCCTGACGCACTTTATATCGGAAACAAGAGAGCCGATGCAATGCGAGCTGACTTAGGTGTTTCTACAGGTTCATTACGCATGGCACGGTGCTGCGTAGATATCTAACCCGCAGTAGTGCTCAGCAGTTGCTTTCCTCGGACCTGATTTCCGAGTGTGGAAAGGCCTGTATGGCAAGATAGAGAAGGCAATTGTGGCATTATTGTTTCTTGAATCTTAACGTTGATTTCAGATCCTCTTGATCTTAGCGGGCGGGGGTCGGTGCTATACCCATTTAATTAAGATGTTGCCTCGTACCGAGGAACAACAATGTGCCTGCAAATTCTCTGTATTCAGCACAACTTAGGCACCTTATATAGGTCACCAAGGGGCGACAACACGAACCACATACTCCGACGGACATACATAGTAAATAAATATAAACATGGGCAAACCCAAATCGCCGATTCTCTTCACACGTTGAATATGGGGCTGGAGCACTTTACCATGCCTAGTTAGATACCTATCTCTGTACATTCATTTCCAAAAATGACGAGCCAAGCTTCATACGTCTGAGCTAAACAAGCTGATAATATCGTCTACGCTGCGCTAGTGTGATTACGGCGCAGCCAGGCTGATGGGATGGGACCTTTTTTCAATGTTTTGACGATCGCTTATTCTTGCGCCTACTCATGTACATAGGTGCAGCCCATAGAGATGACGCACGAGTTGCATGCCTAGGTAAATTGACACTGACTCAAGGCGATATGCGTTCGTTTTGATACAATACCGGGCGGGAGAAAGGTATTTGGTATCACACTTACATAGTATTGGCCGCTTATCACGTTGACGTGACCCAAGGAACAGGATCTGGGGTGTTACGGGTGATCGGAAATGTGCTTGGCACTTAAAGAACCCTGTCGAGGTTATCTTTTAAAGTCTGACCTACTTACAGTAGTACAAGCAGCATCTCGTCAATGGCATAGACTTTGTCTCATCTCAGGATCTGCTTCAGGCCCAGGGGCATACTTCACTGTCATCATATACCTCCGTCTGCCAGAGGCAATAAGATGCGTAGGTATTCACAACGATAGATTAGCCGAGGATCCAATACGGCCGCCTGAAGCTTGGCTGCTTGATGTAAGCGAGAGGATGAGATCCGCTGTACACATGGTATAATATATTTACCTATATGTAATGTATACGCGTACGCACCTTTACACTACTAGGTATCTCTCCATACATACTTCTGATGAGACGACAGTGCCAAGATGTCCCCAGGTTCTACTCCGCCTCCTGTATCTAGCGGAAGGAAGGGCTAGGTAGTTCATCCTACACAGAAGCAACCCCGGCAATATGTAATCCTTATCGATGAGGTAGACAGCTAGATATCTATTCTGGGGTTCGAGACAGAACCGGTAGAATGGATTCATGGTCCTTCAGGATAAGCGAGACCAATCGAAAATCATCTTCCCCAAATCGCAGCATTCTACCGGCCATCTTGGGCTGAGCATAAATTACCTGCTTCGATGCCTGTTCGCCCGCATGATCATGATCTACCCGTAGCGCGGACAAGTGAGCGTAATCTGTATAACATTATCTTACAGTAGATCACAAGTCTTGCATATTACTTTAAGTAGGTATTGCTCCCTCTAGACACACACTTGGCCCCCTCGGCCCCCTACATTGCACTACTTTCTCACTACCCGTTCCTACACCTTGAGTCAACCGTGCTAGACCGAAACGACGTCGATCGTCCAGGGAGGAATGAGGATTTCACCGACTATGCATGCAACTCTACGTTTTGAGCTGCACAAACGTTGCACTACATCTTGGCATGCAGTAGGGCTGGTCCTTGGCATGATCAGACCTCAGCACACACAATGTAACGCAATGTCGTGTTGGGTGAACGCCCCCCACCCCTTGCTTCGGTCTTCCGTAAGACTCTACAGATGGCGGACGGTGGATTTTACCAACATGCATTATTGCGCAATGGTGATACCTGCCGAAGCATTCGGCCGTCGTTGTTGGTTTGACCCATTGCGCCAGTCAAAACCACTGTTGGTGTGCATTTCCCCCCCGGGCCGAAGCGTTCCCGGGATACTCCCCTGAGTGTTTCTCGGCCTGTGACAAGATCTCTCCACTTACTTACAGTAGTACACTAGATACTTAGGCCTACTGACAGTAGCGCAGGTTGCGTAGTGTAAATGTATGCTCGATCACACTATCTACCACGCTGCCGCATCCATAGCATCGGGTTTCTGAGAGCGTGGGCGGTTTTGGATTCCATCCTTTGACCTCAAGACTGCCGCCTAGATGTACTTAAGTAGATATGTGTGTATGTATATGCAGACGCCCTCTCTTAACCAACAGTGGCTGTGGTGGCAATGCTACTACACGTGTGGCCTGATTTTCGACCAGCATCACGCAAGATTATGAGGCCGAACCACATAACGACGCATGGTCAGCTAGCCGCAGACTACAAGTCGAGGCAAAATGACCTGTCACATATTATGTAAACCGTAATATACGCATGAGAGTTGCTGTGGCTCAGTATATATTCACGTACCTAGAAGCTATTGTACGTACAAATCCGACTCTACCGTATCTATTCCGTTTCCCAGATTCCTCTCCGTCTCTTCATCTTGAACGTAGGAGTGCGAAGATTGCTAATACAACCCCCCTTCCTAGTTACCCACGGCTCTTCAGACCATTATCGTACAGTACTTAAGACTAAGCATATTCGATTGATCTTACCCTACATCATTCTAGGGCGCGGGTCCCAGGGCTCAGATTGGTATAGGGTGCTACGCCATTTTGATTTTGTCATGGAGCAGGAATTAGTGCAAGACTTCAAATTTTAGTGCCCGATTATTTTTATCCAGTCCACCAGCTAGAAAATTCCGCGAAAGTGGTTTCATTTTATCGTATCGCAATTCACTCCATGAAGGACTTTACCATCTTGTCTCCCCTGCCTTTCAATTTCATGATCGACGGACCGTACATATTGGGTGTAGGGGCTGAGGACTGTCCGGCCCGCCGGTCGATCCTCGACTTCACATCGGGATAGTTTCTCATTTGCTCGGTTCATCAGGTCTAAATAGACGGCAATAGCATCCCGACGACTCCCATACCCACCACCATTTTCCTAATATGAAGTGTCTCTTGGAACTAAGCCTACTTGGAAGACTCGGTGGGTGAGTTCGTTCAGCTCTCTTCGTAATCCTACGACTCACCCTTGGATATAGCAATGCCATATCCTCTCATTCCACACGTCAGGGCCGCGTTTTGACCTTGTCAGCGCATTTCCCTGCTTGGTCAACTAACCTGCCATTGGCAGGGGTTTTAATAAGCCTTGGACGCCCAGGATATCCGACGAACGAGGTGGAGGGTCGGGAACCATAGTCCTGGTAACCCTACCCTAGCAGTTATACACAGTAGTGTATATCATTCTCGCCCGGGATGGTGGGTCAAGGTTACCCCAATATCCAGGCCAGGTGACCAATATACCGTATGCAATTCAAGTCCCTGTTGTGGAGACTTTCATGTGTAATCTGTAGGTACGTGTAGAGTCCAATCTAGTGTGCGTTGGTACCACAGAGGGAGCAGATCCGCGGTTGGCCCTACAAGGACCAGCAACCTAGATGCTGACCTCTTCTCTTGGTGGCGCTGCCCGTCACGGCTTCCCCCCGAGTGTCTTTCAGGATGGCCGTTGCCCTGAACGGAGGCTGACGAGGGGCCTGCAGCCCACCACATTGGGATCGTTGCTTCAGACTAAACCCAGCCCTTGACGTCTTTGAGTCCACGGCTAGAGGTACCTACTTATATCTACTGTTATCAACTAGGTTCCTGTCTATTATCGACGCCAGATAGGATGGAATCTTACGTACACTCAGCCTTTGGAGTAAAGAAGCGACCCTCGTTCTCTTCCAGCGTCATCTGCGGCTGTTAGAATCTACATCCCTTGTTAGTTTCAGTGCCCTTTCTTGCAAGACGTTACACAGCTTCTCCCTTTATTAGTGAACATCTCCCCGGAGTCAATCAATTAGCAGTCACTGATCCATCTCGCACAAACCTTTCGTGGCACTTCCATCATTTGTTTATCACACAAGAACACGGGGCCGTCACTTGTTATTCGTTTACCCATTCACCGCCTGCTGGCTCGTTCGCTCAGTTAATGACCCTTAGTTGAGTGACGCCTTTAAAAGACCTGCCCGGCCAAGAGATTCCCCTTCCGTCCCCTTGCTCTAGAAAAATGCATATAGAAGTACCACATACCTTCGGCAATACTGTACGGAAACGTCGCTACCGTCACCCTCTACCGCTTGTTTCGAAACCAGATAAGATACGTAAGATACCTTCACGGCGCTTTATGATGCACCCACCCGGCTGCTGTACAGATGAGAGGCTGTCAGTGTTTAACCAGTGTTCACCTCGTGGTTATATATGTGTCGTGCTTTGCTTTCCCTGTGATGACCATCGACGAGAAGATGCAGTCCAACATATTCGACAGTCACTGGTGCAGCTTGCAGCCGATAATCCGCTATTTGCTGCCAGACTATACACTGCTGATGGCATAGTTCTCATGCGACGGTCATGTCTCTATGATATCCCATTTGAGATTATACCTAGTAAGGAGGGAGAGGAGATTGACTATGAGCAATTGAGACGCGAAGGGTTCCCTCCAGAGAATTTCATCAAGCCCCGTTACGGCATCCCAGGCCTTGCCGGTTCTAATTGCGGCCCTATACCGGTGTCTAAAGTCGACGTTACCTTTGCCCGTGGCGGATTGCTGCTTTCAATATTCCTTCAACACGCAGTCACTGACGGAAGTTCATTAAGAGTATTCCTAGAGGCCATCGGGAATAAGACACGGAACCTCTCCACTTACACGCCCTCTGAACAGAAATTTCGGGTTGCGAGCCCTATATTGCATACTGTAGCGAGCCGGAGGCTTTCGGAAATGGTCAGATTCAAGGAGCACATTGCCAGATGTCCCGAGTATGCAATTCTTTCAGATCACAGCGGCCCAACACAGCCTCGCTTGCAGAACCCCGACCGGCCCATTCAAGATCCGAAGAGAATAGGCAAAATCTTCGTGTTTACGGACGAACGACTCGGCGAACTTCGAGACCTCGTTCAAGCTATGAACAAATCAAACAACCGGCCGACAGCATATATGAGCCTCGCGACTCTCGCCTTTGCCCACATCACCAAGGCCCGCGTCGAAAACGAAGCATTCCCGATAGGACTCCCGCCAGGCCCATTGGCGAAGCTATGGAACTCGGTAAATTGGCGACCCAGAGCCTTCCTTGGCGCTACGGACAACTACTTCGGTAACGCCGTCTTACCGGCGGTAACCAGTGTCTCGCGAGATCGAGTCCACGCAGCGTGCGACGACGATATGGATCTCGCCTGCCTAGTGCCCATTGTTAAGGGATCGATCGACGTGGTGGACGAGGAGTACGTAACTCAGCGAATGTCCATGATGTCGCTAGCGCCCGACCCACGTCTAGTGGGTGTTAATTACGACCCTCGTTCACCAGAGATGCTTGCCTTCAACACTTGGCGCCATTTCGGCGCTGATGTTGAATGGCATATTCCCGGCGTGCCCGTCACCAAGCCAGACACAATCAGGAGAGCGACAGGTGGTTGGGGGCTTGGTACGGCACTTATTCTACCAGCTAAGAAAGAATCACGGAAGCAGGAGTTGTTTGTGAGCTTGTCCGTAAACGCCATGCAAGCGCTTTGTGAGGATGAGAGGTGGATGCGATGGGTTGACAGGACCATTGGTTGATGAATTTGTATGCATGATTACTAAGGAACGGCGCACTGGAATTGGAATACCCCGGAATCGAAACATGTACTATTTTCTCATGAGCAACATCTCTCTAACTATTTCTATAATGCTATACGCGCGAGATACACGACTTCAAACCGCTAGTAACGATTTCATGCTCTTTTAACTTCTGCCATTCAACAGTGACTAAACTTTGTCCATTATGTTCCTTGGGATGCCCCATCGCGTACGATATTGGTTAGTCGCGGGCGCTGCGCTTGAAAATTGCTTGGCTGGCGCCACTTTTTTGGCTTGTGAAATCCACCGTAATATCACCATCGTGTACTATGTACTATGTAGGTAATACACGAGCAGACAGAAAATTAGAGGAAGACGAAATATCGTAGGTATTAGAAGCCATGTACACTTCTAAGAATGTTCATGATTTACAGTATGTACGTAATTCGTCATCCTCATCTCTACCTACCCATTGATATCATATTGCCATCCCTGGGTGAACGTTCGTTAGTTAGCTAGGTGACGCAACTCGGCACGCTCCGTATCACCCAACCTGTAAATGTAAGTAGATAGATCGGAAATTCACGACCCGCTCGACTTGCTACAATTATTGGCATATCTGCTTGGCTAATGACTGCAGCATGTACGGGGTACAGATTCACCATCATTAGCAAACATGTAGTTCGCATATCGTACGCCAACGTAGCGCTGGTCACAAGTTAGCGGAAACCAAGCAATAAAGTAACTACTTGTAGTAACAGAAGCGAGCCCTCAAAGACCCCTGACCAGCTTGTCCTCGAAGGCGGTTCTAAAGCGGGCAATGGTGGTCATGCCAAGCCCGTAATCATTGGAACTTTGTATGTACGCACAGTTCAAGGCTATCTGGTTACACTAGAGCAGAACCATACATAGCAAAGAAAGGCAATGGGGTCTTGAACGGGCAGAGAATCTAGCGTGAGAATTCTGTGAAGTGGGTGGGGGGGCGTAGAAGGCGAAGCTTTTAGTCTTGGCTAGGTATAAGCATCGGATACTAATCACACCCCTCGTGGCTTAAAACGGAACCTACTCAACCAATCGCTCTGTGAGAATCGGCAACTCTAATTACCGGAAGTGTGAACCCGGGTATCCGAGCTCCAAAGAAAAGAACAAAAATTGGGGGACCAACACCGGGTATCGTTGGGTCTTACCCGGACGGTACAGTAGCGTGCGTACACAGTAGCGTGAGTCTAAAGACATACCCGTAGTGTGTAAGTCGTTTCCTGAGTCTTTCGAGAACAGAGGGAGAAAGGATCGAAGAGGCTCCTGACTCCAGGAACAACAAGTTAGGAAAAAGAAACTACAGATATGCACACTATGACATTGCACGCGCCATACTAGACTATATGTACAATCCCATGCAGCAAAACCAAGGCACTAGCGATGTACTAAGTATGCAGACGGCAGGCCCCTTGACCGAGGCCATCTGCAGTGGCCGAACGAACATGCAGGTTGGAGTGGCCGAATATCCACTTTGCTAATAACTGAACGTATATATATCTTTAATTCCACATCAAGAAACGGCTTACGAAAGATGAAATAGTATGTCTACTCTTTTCTACCGAAGAGAAGCCACTCTGATTTCACAAGCTTTATGATAGCTAGTTGTGACAGCAAACTGTACCCACCTAAAAGTTTCTACATCGTCAGGCTGGACGATAGTGATGGAGGGGGAGGTTGAACACTGCCACACCTACCAAGTTGTATCGGTAATTCTTGCGCGAGAAGACATAGTGCTCTGGAACTAGATGATACCTGTTTTGGAAAATGAGGTCTTTTTCCCAAGATAAAGAGGGGAAAGGGGAGGGCTGAGGTTGAGTTGAATGCCATCCATCACGAACGGTTGGAACATTTGCCACCGATGCTAGCTAACAGGCGGCTTTCAACAAGTTTCGGGGGCGTTTTTCGGTCAACGCATTGACTACCCAATCCAGCCCATGACACTATCTATTAGCCGGTCTTACCGTTGATCATTCAGCTTGAGAGGGTGACTTTCTCTACAGTCGGCAAAGTGTCAAGATGCAGTGATGATTATTCAACTCCGTGGATTACATATCATAACATCCTGGCTGATGGTGTGGAAGTCTAGCTGTAAAAGTCCTCAGATCCGAACGAATATTACCATGAGGAAAGCTGTACATGTATGATACTAGTGTAGTAGTCAGGTGTGCGGGTTCCAATTCGGCACTTGTGGTTGCTGATGTATCACAATTATTGATGTGGAGGCCTTTTGTTCTCCTCTCCTCGTCAGGTCTCGAGACATAGCTCTTACCTGCCTGCCTATCACCAATTCATCGTATCAGCTTGTCTGTTCGGTACAGGGGCCATCGAGATGCATGACAGACGTGGCTACGTCAAGAATTGCCTTCATCCCCTCCAAACCTCTCTTAGAAACACGTGGGGAGGTTCCGAGCCGCATGAAGACAGTGCAAACCTACCTGTCCCTGAGAGTCCGGCACTAACAACTTGTTTTCGTGATTTCCGACGTATCATTTTCGCACGACATCACCTCCGCGTGCCAGTTAATCGCCGACTATCAAAGCATATCCATGTAGGAACGCGAAGTTACATTGGATGGGGTATGTTCTTGCAAGCTAACCATGATTCTACACTACCTGGGGTTACCATGGCCCAGTCGGGAATGCTGTGAGCTCGATGAACGGTGGCTTGGCTGCTTGGTGTAGAGAAAGGCTGCATGACACAGCGCTATATACGCATCAGTATATCATTTACAGATTACAACAACGTCCATAGCTCTACGATCAACGAACCTTTTCCGTCAGCCAAAACAGGGGACATTCTTAGCGTGCCGTTTCTTCGACAAGAGACAGTTCGCTAACGTCCGGCGTGCTACTTCTTAACGGGTAAGCACGGGTAAGATATCGTACTTGTACAATCCTCGCCGGCGAATCAGAGATGGCTCAGGAGGCTAGAAGTCATTGCGGTTAGCTTTAGACTTGATGAAGCTTACGTGGAGAAAGGCTACGTCGTAGGTAGCATAGCCCGTTCGCGCCCAGAACCCGGCAGATGATCTACCTATGTCTCTCGACTTTTTGTGTAACAAACTCCACAAAATCTCTCGGAGAAATAGTAATGTGCATGACGGTATCTATGCGCTACTATCGATGTAAGTAATACAGATGACCTGCCTAGACTAGGGAGCGCAGTAGGAGGAGAACCACGTGCCAGATGTACCTCATACAAGCTGTCCTGCTCTATATTCATAGTGAAGTAATTCACACCAACAGGCCTAAGCCTAAGAGGTGGATTGGTGCTTCATCGCCAGAGAGGAGTGCAGTCAAGATCAGCCGACCGTTTCCGTCCGATGCCCAGCATAGATTTGGTTGAATATCAACCCACTGTTATCAATATTTAACAGATACGCCAATTAAAGGTCTGTATAGGTATATCATATGAATACTGATACAATAGCCTCATCTGTAATAGTATGACACTCTATCCTCAACATAGATTAGGTAGCTCTGAGCATTGGGCCATACGATACTACGTTACTGTGAATAAACTAGTCATACCGTTATACACATCTCTCACCTCCTGGCTCCCCCACAGCCGCTGTTGACCCTACCAACTAGTTTGCCGAATGGGCCCCGGACTAGTCATTGTGTACTGTACACGCTGGTTACCACTATGTTTACAGAATCAACTAGTTAAAATTTCAATTATAAAAAACCTTTAATCCTAGAGAAGACCTCTGACCATGGAGCCTAGTACTTGGGCTTCGGTGTCATATAAAAAACACTGCTTGAAGACCTTCAAAGGAAACCCAGATGCCGATAAAACATGAACCAGCTGACCAGTAAACCCCACCGCCATACGCTTGGATTCATGATGACCATCTCTCTCGCTATTGGTTGTATGCATCTTCTATAGGGTGGGTTAAAGCATTGGTAGTTCACACAACAATATATGGCGATAGGCAAAAGACGATGTAACAAAGGCTTGACCACGGCCATATAGCGAGGCCTTGTACAGCGAATCACACAATTTGAATAACTTAGTGCTACAGCTGCCCCATGGGGTTCGAGTTAAGCGCCCAAGAACTTGCATCTGAAAGCGCGAGACTTTATTCCACTTACGTATCCGATCACATCAAGCATGGGTCATGGGTCATAGGAACTTCTACCTAAATGTAAATTGCGCAAGTCATGTGTCTTTTGTTCACGAAACGCAATGAATGGGCAACTTGCTCAAAGAACTCAACAAGGTTATTCAAAAAATACATAGTATGAGATGATACAAGGTATTCTCAATAAAACAAAGCATACAATGCCAATAAATGATTCAAGTTGACTATTAGTAGAACCGCCAAGTGGAACTTACCTAGAATCAATGCTCTCCGTGGCTATTTACACAACGATTGATATCGTATACAAACCTGCCACCTCAGTGTTACTAGTATGGTAGATACAATCAAGAGTCCCCTTTGTGATATTAGTATATGAGCTCGACTGTAGTATCTTGTACGAATACTTCCCAAAGGGTAGTTAACGAATTAGCTGATAGAGAAAGGAGAGCAATGTAACCTCACAACTTTACAGAGCACTATAATACAAAGCTAGAACCTATAACAAGGGCAGGTGACTGGGCTTGGAACTGAAGCTATTCAGATTACAATGATCAAATAGGGCTGCAGGAGTCCCTGACCAATCAATTACTTCTTGGCCTTGGTGGCTTGATTCAACTCTATATACAGCTGGTCTGCCAGCCCAGGCCGCCTAGGTCTCGTTGGCTTGTTTCATGAAGCGAAGTCTGTATAACCTCACTTTCCAATATCGTTGAAGACCATGAACAGCCTAAAATGGCCTTCCGTACGGCTGAAGCGCAAGGGGTCCTGCATGTTCAGCTTGTACCCGTGTAACAGAACTCAACAGTGCTTAGATGCACCAAACTACCCCACTTGTAAGTCGCAGCACGTGTATCGCCATTACCGATTCTAATTCTAGTAGGAAGCGAGGCGTACTAGTAGAATTCAAAGAGATCCCTCTCTTCCAGATCTGAAATTGCAATGTAATTATATATTAATAAAGAAAAGAGAAAAGAGAGAAGCTACAGGTATCCGTTAATGACAAACTGACCTGCTCTTGTCTTATCCTATGTAACGGTGTATCGTTTTGCTCTTAGGTAAGCCATTTAGTCTACAGTCAGTTTTCCCAATCATTCCAATAACAGTTTTAAACGATATGGATCGTCAGGCAGGATGTACAAGCTATACAGTAAAAATCTCATTGTGGCAAAAATTCTAAAGGGGTCAGCGGTCTGAATGAGTTCAGACTTCTTTTGGCTATATATAATGTATCTCTTTGTTCTCCCCTCTCTGCATCTCCCCGGTGATAATATCTTGCCCTAACATGAACTGCCAAATCGTCTGAGAATCGACATGATACAAGGCATATACTTCAGCCCCCTTGCCTTCAGTGATTTTATGACTGTAGTAGGATTTCTCGCGTTTTTTATTGTTTTGACTTCAAGTGAACAAATAATACAGAACCTGAATGGTAAGAACTTCAGGTCGCATAAGATTGAAATTGTCAAGAACCAAGTTCCGCTGCACTCATTGAGAAACGCAGAGCATACTGGAGATCTTGCTCTCGACCGTTTTATGACCGTTTTATGCAGCATGCAAAGATGATATTTCAAGCATATAGTGTCAGAAGTGGAAGGCGGTGATACTTAACGATCCACATGCTGGAATGTATAAAGACCCTTCATCCTGCCCTATGGCGTACTGTAACCTAACCTTCTACTTAATCAATCTAACGGGATTACATGTACTACTCTTGACATATAGTTACCCGTACTAATTCTCAACGTTAATTGATAGTTCATTTTAGGGGTCTAGAGATTGGTAGCTCATGACAACACGAAGGTTTCATCAAGACCGAACACCAAGAACGATCCCCACTATGGGCATCATTGAAACAATTCAAAGATAGTCGGCTGACAAGAGGCTTGACTAGTCCGTCAGTTCTTCGTATGCAAATAAGACTCCTTCACTGTGGAAGCTATCTTACATATCCTAATATAAGCATGGTAACATCTTCCTATCGTTATGTATAGGAGATTCCTACTATAACCTTTTGACCATTTAGGCATAGGTGTAATATCTCCATCTGAGCTCAATTGAGTCATGTAACGGGCTGAGATAGGAGGATACGAACTTCCCGGAACGCACGGAACAACCTCTGGCTTAATCAAGATATTGCCCAATAAGCTACATGTATCGAACAATGTGGCAGTTGAATAGGAATGACAGCCATGGATAAACATTACCCAGATTTTTAAAGCACCAAACTCGCAAACAAAATCCAGGATATTCTCTGCTTGGACTAGTATAGCGCCCCTATCGGATTTACTGAGGGAGAGAAATTATTAGGGCCGAGCTGTGAAAGGATCGTCTATAATACCGGAAGATCTTTGAAACACCCGTAGGAAGAAAAATCGGAGACTCTTCTCCTCAACTCGGCGTGATGTTTGCGTGGCACGGCCGGAAAGACCCTGGCCAGCAGTCGGGAAAACTTACCTTCCTAGTTGTGAGAGAAAGTACAGTTACTAGCATGCATGAAATACGTCCCCAGTTGTTGGAGAAGATGAACGTACGACCAATCCTCGGCTGAGGCTGGTCAACATACGATACATCCGTTATTGCCATGGATGACCCTAGATCTCTGATCTGTGAATACACCCCAGAACATACGAAGTATGGCGTGGAGAGAGATCAATAAGACGTAATTCTTGTCACGGGAACAGGACTTATTGGCAAGTTCCGGAATATGACCTAGGTGTGTTTTCTGCAGTCATGGGAAGAAATTCCAGATAGACTTCCCTTCCGAACTTTGAAATTAAATTATTGCACACCTTGTGCATTGATCTTTCTTGCCAGACCCAAAGGTCAACAGAGAACTTGTGACTACAAGTGATATTATCGGAACGATAGAGATAAGGAATATCTAAAAGGGAATATATATCCCTGAAGGACCTCTGCTTTAGGGCCGGGTACTTTATCTGTGGATCAGATCAAGGACTAGGTTGAGACTTGAATTCTTTTGCATACAATTCGAGCGCCTCTAGTGATGCTCATCCTACTACTCTCGTCAGCGGCGCTTGATGCATCGACGGCAACCCTAATTTAAATGTAAAGCTGGTGACTGGCTACAAAATATGTCCCGTGTGTGCAGCGCTCAAGCAGCAAGCACGAATATAACGCGACCATATTACCCCGGATTTACGCCATGGACCATCATTTACAGTCAATACGGAACATAGAACTCTTCGAAAGTTGAATGGTGTCCAGTATTAGCCGCCGGCAAAATGGGGCTCCCTTAATCTGGTTTCCCCGGACCAATTTCCTCACCAAGCGCCGGCAAAATTCAGCCTCAATGAGATGGATGGTGATAGTACATTAATTAAATTATCGAAAACCGAGGCGAGATGTCTTTGCACCGTTTTGCCGTCCAGCTAACCGTTACGTGGGTTTCAACTCACGTATATAGCAGCAAAAGGCACTTCCAGAAGCTTGAAGCTTAGCCATCTCGACACCCACTCCACCGATCAGCGAGAAGTTCAAGTCGATATACTCACTCGAAATGCTGTGTTCAACGCTCCTAGTTACCCTTGCGGCGGTGGTCGGCGCCATCGCCTCCCCCTTGGACCTCATCACGCGCACGTCGCCCGGCACGGGCACACACAACGGGGTATGCGATTATCCTGGATCACCTCTACACGCATTCTGAGATCATGACTAACGCCTTGCCTTCGGGTTGGTGCTTGAATAGTTCTTCTACTCGTTCTGGACAGACGGCCGTGGCTCCGTAAACTACAACAACGGCGCGGCCGGGTCCTACGATGTGACCTGGAACAACGTAGGCAACTTCGTGGCCGGAAAGGGGTGGAAGCCAGGCGCGTCTCGCGTGATCTCCTACAATGGAACCTGGAATGGCGCCAACGTCAACTCCTATCTCTCTATCTACGGCTGGACGCGTAACCCGCTTATTGAGTACTACGTTGTTGAGTCCTACGGCACGTACAACCCGTCCTCGGGCGCCCAAAGGCGCGGCACCATCCAGTCCGACGGCGGCACCTACGACATCTACCAGACGCAGCGTGTCAACCAGCCTTCTATCGAGGGCACTGTGAGTCCTCCCTGCTGACTAGATGTATCGTTGTGTTAAGCCCGTACTGATCTATTCGTGTACCACAGTCCACGTTCTACCAGTTCTGGTCCGTCCGCCAGCAGAAGCGGGTCGGTGGCACGGGTGAGCAGCACATTTCTCATTCTACCTTATCTTATTCTTCTCGCGTTGGTCACGTCGATTCCTCTCGCTAACTAGCTTCCCCAGTCACCATTCAGAACCATTTTGACGCCTGGACGAACGCCGGCCTAAAGCTCGGCTCTCACGATTACCAGATCGTCGCCACTGAGGGATACCAGAGCAGTGGCTCGGCGAAGATCCAGGTGTTGCAGTCCTGAGACATCGCCTGCTATTAGGAGGTCTGCGGCCAAAAGTATAGTCGAGGAGTCAGTTGATCGAAGCTTGGCGGATGACGAGATGAGGAATTGTGTTCGTTGCTTACGGGAGATGGTGAGCACTGTTGTACATAGCGTATGAGACGTAGCAATAAGCTCAAGGAAAACGTTTATATTGCGCTGTCCCCACTTGTACTGCTATTGCCGACCCTATTCGTGTCCGTATCGCTGGATAATGGCAGGCATATCGAAGAGGAACATGTCGGAAAGAACAACAGGACCTACCACATGACCGATATCTTTGGTATATCATGATTGGGAGGGCTGAGCATTGATCGTACACATACGAGTTATATAGGAGACACTCACTAGGGACCTGAAACGCCGATGTTCACACCAGCTTCACTGAACACGTCTTCTTCGACAGAAAGAGGCGTTGGCAATAACTGTTTTCTACCGGATCATGTCACACGGGTATTCTGCAAAGGATTCCAAATTCTAAAGAATTGTGTGACATCATAACAATTAAGGTTCCGTCATATCTTCGTGGTGGAAGCGATTACTGATCGCTCACTATTGTACATTGTAAACCGTTTTGGGAGTGGAAAAACTACACTGAGAGAATAAGCACCTCCCGAATATACAACATGTGCTGCAAAGCACCAACCTCAATCGCCCCCTTTCAGGATCAAGCCACCTAAGCCGCGACGAAGTCCTTGACACTATTCAACCAGCTCTGATACTCCCGCTGCTCTTTTGTGTCCATGTAATCAGCAACGAAGAGGCCCATAGACTGTGAGATACCACGCTCCTCAAGGTAGCGCTCCAACAAGAGTTGCAAGTCCTCATCCAGACTGCCGAAGGGTGGGCCGGGATAGGCGTCCCGAGCGCCGTGGTCGGCCTCAGCAGACGAGCTGTGTGCCATCTTGGGATCCTTATAGTAGTAGAAGTTTTCGACGAGGATGGCTCCATCTTGAGCGACAGCCTCAATGTTCAATGCGCCCTTGTTGGGCTTCTCCACAACAATGTTCAGGCGGCAAGGAACGACACTTTGGCTAGGTTCATCCTCAAGACCATCCTCGGCCTCGGTGTCGGCAAGCTGCTTGCCCTCGGGGGTATCCAACTCTTCGTCGGTCAGTGCGCTGTCCTCGTTGTACATGTCCTGCTCGTAGTTGGCAAGATCCGCGATAGAGAACGAGACAGTGATGCTGCGAAAGACAAGTTAGACCATATTGCACCCACTCTGTCCCACCATGTAGATACTACTCACGTTTCATCACCGAATTTGCGCACTAGATACACATCTTGCTTGCCGGGCTCGTCCTTGACTTCGTAGGGGCTGTTCTCCAGGAAGTCTTTGATGCTGGCAGGGAGCTGCTCGTTCTGCTTCAACTCATTCTCAAATTTTACTTCGCTTTCAAGCTTGGACACTAGCTCCCGGTCAGCTTCGTTGGCGGGCGCTTGTCTTAAGGGTGTCGACGAGAAGGTCGCGGCCAACTGTGGTGTGCGCAGAGGTGCCCTAGTTGTTCTCAAGAGTGAGCTTGGCTGGGCGATTCTGGTCTGTCGGATGGCGGCTGAATTCATACGGCTCAGCGAACGAGGCGCCGAGCGCACAGCAGCTCGAAAAGACATCATGTTTTCACTGAATAGGTGGGAGGGAAGACGAATATAGGGACCGGTATATATATGGCTTGATGTTACAATTGAATAGGTAGTGAAGCCTTTAGAATCTTGGAAGCCATCCCACATATGCAATGAGAATTTCCTTCACCATCAACCAATCAGGTTGGGGAGATCCACTAGCGGGGGAAGCTCGATAGGTACATATACCCACTTTGCCTATTTTGTCTTTAAGTGGTATTGGAAAATCATACCTGAAAGGTACCTTAGTACATGGAGATGGGTACTGCACAGACCCGACCTTTCGTTGGTGATGAATCTCGGATTATGTCGAGTATTAAGACAACAAAATTCAACCGGCAACCTGCCTAGGAACACGAGTCTCACTTTTTTGGACCTTTCTTCTGTATGATATCTGATGTGATCGCCAATGAATTGCACCATTGAAAAGCTGTTACTGTAGTGCACAGCTTCACGATCAGCCACTCACCCAATGTCTCCCAGGAACGTGTCACCGAGAATGCCAAGCTACGTCCGCCAACCAGAAAAGCCTTTATTCTGGCCACGATGGTATTCGCAAGACCCGCCACTCTTGGTATGACCCATTCGCCGCTCCCGCAGTCGGCCACGTAGGGTGACGACGATGATCCCTAGAGTGTACCTGGAGTCTGCTTCTATGAAGGAGATTGATACCTAACGTGCATACTTTATAAGCAGTGTGTATGTAGGTAGGTGTTGATGCAGATTCTGGACCCGGTCTATGTAGGTACCAACACAGCAGGTAGGTAGGCATCTGGGCTCAGATACTATGCAGACACCTACCTACCCACGTGCTGCATAATCCCGACTAGAGTTTCAAGTAGAACGTCACGTTATGTATGGAGACGAGCATCCCACTACTAGCAAGATAAGAGAACAAACTTGTTTAATCCGCCCTCTTCCTGCTAGCCAACAGATCAGCTAGAAAAGAGCCGCCAAACAGGCGGCTCGAGGAACCTTGAAGAGGAAAATGTTAAGGAAGGCCATATCTCAGCTTCCAATCCCGCCGACCCCGACGCGTGCGGAAGAAAAGGTCTCATTGTGACATTGCCGCTCCCACGACTCCTTCACACGAAAGTGGGAGAAAAGAAGTCGGCTTTTCATGCCATCGTCGGCATCGTGTTCGCTTCAAAGCTCATTTTGGTCCTAGAAAACCACCTCCCTTTGCGCCATGGCTCGCTGTGACGCAGTAACCCTCCTTATCCGTTTCGCCAAGGGTTACCTGGCTCTTCATCGACTGTGTGATGCTTGATTGAAATATAGAATGTCAAAATATGCGGGAGTTGTTCATGTCATGTTCATCCTTAGCGACCGCCTATATACAACCCAGTTGACATTGTGCCTGCAGTTCCAACATTGGTAGAGCGACTCGTTAGTTTTGCGCCTGTTTTTGATGCCTCTCCCGCAAGAACCGAAAATGCCTTTCTTAGTTGCCGAGCATGGCTTCTCAGATATGAGAATAGTTTCCTCCTCGGCGCATAAGCAGCAGGTTCTCAGATGTGTGATGTAGCTGCACATGCCTTGAGAAATATGTTAGAATTCTTCTTGAATATTGCATTCCAGAGAAAACGCACCGCTGAACTGTCTGGCGTATATTTTTGGCTGTGAAAATATCTCAACGGGAGGAATTACAGCACATGGTGAACGTGAGATGTTGTGAAGGGCTCGGACTGTAACACATACCCACGATATATATTTATACTTCCAGATCATGCTATCTGCTTTGCGTTTAAATGGAGCTTGCGTAGCGTTCCTTTGCCACGCACTCCTGATTCTACTGCTGGAGATGCGTCGCGACACCCAAGGAGCCAATAGGGGGTGCAACAACATACATATTGGTTGCTTCATTCAATAAAACCGGGACCAGGATGTGGTGCGTGCCTAGCCACGGCAGTAGTCATTATCAAATGGGAAATGTTGGCACATGAAGGTGCAAAGCTCATCGGATGCTTGACATACGCGCGCGCCCTTTCAACGATGAGATTCTAGTAGTCCAGAAAAGGGTGATTCAGAGTCACAGATATCAAGTTATAAACACCAAGGCTTGATTGGAAGGTCTATTGGGACTATCACTTCTGGTATTTGGGCCGGAGTGGTATGAGCCGACGTTTAAGACCCAGAAGAGATGGGTGTATCTGAGCGCTGTGATCGCCAGCTTCTTGCCTGGTCGAAGTTCGCAAGATTATAGTATCTTGTATACACTCGTCCGACAGATAGTATGACAATGTGGCGGCATATTTAGCACTCAGTGGTATCCTGTTTCTGGTGATGAGCATCAGCTGGCGAAGTTGACCGGGTCGGCGAGAGTCTCGGACAACTACTCCAACTGCAGTCCCATCCCTCTAGGCGAATCAGCGTGGAGATTGCCAAGGTTAGGCACAGTAATGAAACTACATGGCTTGAGAAGATAAGACACCTCAAGTCGGATAGCTTAGCAGCCCGAGCGCATTCGCAGACGTGACTGGCGTGAAACAAGCTGTCGCTGATGTACCTACGCCGCGACGGATCCCGGAAGTTTGCGATTGCGGGTCTGAGCAATCGAAGACCGGGCAAGCCCTGCAAAGGCGGCTGCCTGCACCGGTGGGCGGCGTGCTTGCAGATGGACAACAAATAGCAAGATTAGCCGAACTTGGCACAGATCCAGCTGTACAGCGAGGACCTTCAATGTTAAACTGCGGGGTAACAAAACATTTACAATCGTCCGATGGCTTAATGGTCGCCTTTGGGCGGAAAACTGGCGGGTTTGGTCGTACCATCAGATTGTATCCTCGCCCATTTGAATATCGTCAGGTACGACCAGGAACCCTCCCATTTCTGCACGAGGGTGGCGTTCTCTTGTGTATCGAGAACCGGCAAGACTGGAGGACTCGTGTGAGATATGACATTGGCTGATGGACATGGCGATACTCACGAAACCCATTTTGATACTCTTTCTGTAGATGAGCAATCTTGACCTTTAGAAGATCTTCTCTGGCCTTGGCGGGTTGCCCTGGCCGACGGGCCTTCTTTACTTCATCGAGTTCCTCATCGTACTGATGAATATACCTGTCTCAATATGAGCGGAAGTCTTAATCAAGTCTGAATCTGGAAGCACATGCGTTTTAATGAGTTCATGTATAACATCAACACCAAGTGGTTGGCCATCGTTTTGCTTCAGTGCTTCCTGAAAGAATGTGACCCGCTCGACTGGAAGACCAAAAGTTAGCCAATCGACTTCTTGCCGTCGGCACGGCTGGGACTTACTGTACGGCTGATCCTTCTTTCTCCTCGCTGCAGCAATTTTCTCTAATTTCTCATCTCTCACTTGTGCCCGATGAAGCCTTTTGGAATCACGAGAATACTGGTGCAGAGATTCGACAGCACCCTTTTTCTTCGCGATAGCTTTGCGCGTACGTTCTAGGCTCTTTGGCATTGTGAGGGAGCTAGGGCTGAACAAGACTGATTGTAGAGATGGAAATTAAAAAAGAAAAAAGAAAACTTATACTACTGATCTTTAGGAATATGAACTTTGCGTGTATAGATAGATAGATATTGTGATTTAGATTGATAAGGTAGGGAGCTTGGTGGGGTGAAAATTGGCAGGGTGCACTGGCTCAAACTTAGAATGGTCAAGATCATATCATGGCATATATGCATAAGCTATCAACCGAGTTATACTTGTAGAGCAATCTTCTGATATACCGAGGTGCCTTATCTACTTATCCATTTATCCAACCTGGAGCCAACCCCACGTTGCTCTGGAAATAGAAACACTCGGGGCAAGTCGCGCTTTCACGACGCGCTCTCGACAACCCCCTTCGGTCTTATCGATTGCGTGCACGCCTCAGCATCTGCGGGCTCCCTTTTCTGTGAGCTGCTTCCCTTCCACACCAGCTAGCGCCCTGTTGTAATGGACTGATTGAAGCCCCGGCACTTTGTCGTTGCTGTGGAATTGTTGCATTGCTTCTCGTTGCATTTTATCTTCTTCCTTTATACCCCGTAGCCTCATCGCCTGATTTACTACATATCCAAGCCTTTTCTCGTGAATTTTCGGGGTGAATCTTGGCGTGTTTACTTGGGTCACAACCCGCACCACTACGGTACTTCACACCACTTTGCTACGTCGCGTCTCTTAAAAGCCCTGCCACTCCAAGGCCCCCGTATAGATTCAATAGCTGCCTCGAAATTCTACTCCGAGCAATTCGGTTACTCGCTGGACAGTTAATTGACAGCTGTCTGATGGCAACCTACTGAATACTGGAAATCTGGGCTACTGGGCCGCTGTTCACGCTAACACCTGCTTAAGAGATGGGTATCCAGGGTAGGCCACTGCCATGCCTCCGAATTGACTATTATACTGACTTGGCCAAGGATTATTGCCGTTGCTGAAGTCGATACACCGACCTACGGAATTAAAAAAATTCAGCGGCGAAACTTTCGGTGTTGACGCTTATGGCTGGCTGCATCGAGGTGCTATTTCCTGTGCTATTGAGCTTGCGCAAGGCAAACCAACTAGAAAGTAAGTCGACACAGCAACATTATTTTCTATGCGGAACCACCTCGCTTATACTCTGTTTCAGATATGTCGACTTTGCTATGAACCGTGTTCGGATGCTGAAGCACTTTGGCGTGACCCCTTACCTTGTCTTTGATGGTGATTTTCTACCTAGTAAAGCTGCCACGGAGGCCTCGCGCTCAAAACGAAGAGAAGATGGTAGGAAGCTAGGATTGGAGTTATTGAAGGCTGGGAAGCCTTCACAGGCTCACCAAGAACTGCAAAAAGCTATTGATGTTACTCCTGAAATGGCTCGCCACCTTATCGAAGCATTGAAGGCGGCGAATATTCCTTATGTGGTAGCACCATATGAAGCCGACGCGCAGCTTGTCTACCTTGAACGTCAAGGGATCACCAGCGGCATTATCTCTGAGGATTCGGATTTGCTGGTCTTCGGTGCTAAACGGCTCATTACAAAGCTAGACCAGTATGGACAGTGTGTGGAAGTTAATCGTCGAGACTTTAATGCTTGTCGTGAGGTATCACTCGTTGGCTGGGATGATAGGCTTTTCAGGCATATGGCGATCCTGAGTGGATGTGATTACCTCGGTAGTATCCCTGGCTTGGGATTGAAGACGGCGCATCGATTGCTCCGGAAGCACAAAACAGTCGAACGGGTAATACGGACGCTTCAGTTCGAGGGCAAACATCGTATTCCAGCCGACTATCTGACACTATTCCACCAAGCAGAGCAAACGTTTTTGTACCAGTGGGCATTCTGCCCAACGTCTGAGGAGCTTGTCAACCTTGCTGTTCTTCCACCCGACCTCGCGCTCGACCAACTTCCTTTCATCGGCTCTCCTGTAGAGCCTCAGCTTGCTCGACGAATTGCCAGCGGAGATGTCAATCCCATTACAAAACGGGAAATTGTTATTTCTACACCATGCTCCCCTAGGAAACGCACCGCATCCGCCGCCCAACGCAGCAGCACCGTGCAGTCACAAGGTCTTCGAGATACGCCTAAAAAACCTATCGATGCCTATTTCAAAGGATATCGCCGCTTGCCCCTTGGGGAGATGGATCCAAACTGTTTCAATGTTAATCCAAATAGGGTGACTAGAGAAGGCACTCAACCGATTGTCTTTCCACTTCCAAGACCATATATCGATGATGCCGAATCGACAGCATCTGATCCTCTCCGTACATATATAGACAGGGGCGGGCGTTCCTCAAGTGTGTTGCGCCGACGGACAGAGCCAATTTCTAATTTACTCGCTGGTGATGGCCGTTCTTTGATATCGAGCTCGCGTCGAAACACTACTGGTCCTGGAGCCGAGGTTTCTAGGCTTCCAGACAATTCTGCTGTGGGAATTAGCCCTCGGCCACCTAAAAAGGCACGCCTCTGTAACGATACCGCATTGGAATCGAATACTGGAGAGGAAACGAGTAAATTTTTCTCGCCAAGTGGCTCAAATCCCCGAAAAGCAACCAAGGGGCAAGGTTATCTGATGTCGGACGATTCCGTAGAAGAAGCACTGAAAGAACTACCAGACTTGGATGGATGGTCTACGGGGCCCGACCGTCGCAAGACGATTGCAGTGTTTCAGAGTCACTCAGATACTGTCGAGATAGACTCGAAAGCTGGGCCAGCCTGCCTATCAGAAGCGACACATGGGCAACCGGAGACTGTCATTCCCGACACGCCTCCGAAATCTAAGTTGAGCCGTTTTAATTACACGCCTAACGTTTTCCCTCGCGAATCACAACCAAGTAGGCTGCCACGGAGACAGAGTTCAAACTCGTCTGCAAGGAGTTCGCTCATTTCTTTGACACCGTTCTCTGCGTCGTCAAGTCAGCCATCTACCGCTAAAACCACTCCAGCAACACCACGGCTTACGCCACTACAACAGCTTGAAAGAAGGGCTCTTGGTAAAGGCAAGGAATCGCCAACATCGAAATTTGCGGCAACTCGAATGCCTAAACGATCTAGCCTCGGCCGAATGAGCCTAGACTCGATTCCCGTCAACCCAGCTTTTGTGCCACTACCGCCAGTCGATCTCGCAGAGGTGGAAGCGTTGAATGGCCCTCTTGGTAGCGAGGATCTTCTGGTACCCGAGAGTGAGACGGAAGAATTGGAAGCAGTGTCCGAATCTGAGAACAAAGACCCCAGAGGGAAGACGAATTGTAGGACAATGAACTTGTCACAATACATATTTACTGCGAACTGAGAGGTGGTACTTGGGGGTTTTTCGTCATGGAGCATAAATGGTGCACGGGTATGCATAGCGTGGCGTTTTGGTTGTGTTTCTGTCAGTTTATAGTATAATACATACTCAGTAGGTATGCTCGCTTTGTAAGCGCCAGATAGTGGTACGGTACACACCAGTCTGTTGAGATAACTGTCAAGTTTATATTACGAGATACCCTTCGTTGTCACTTAAAACTCTACGCCAATGCCTATGCCGTGACGATGCTTATTCACATGGTAGTAAGCTTTAATAGGACGACTGTCGTTCTTTGGGTAATTAGAGTACTATGCTTATCTCAAGAGCCGTGATCTAGGCTTTACAGATTGTATCGCTCTATATATTCGTTTCTAGTTAACCGCTTTTGAATCTTGCAACTTTAGCGAGGCTTAATATCTAGAGTTTTTTCGGATATTGATGAGCAGAGGACTGATGCAATAGGTATACCTATGTACTTATAGTAAAATTCGAAGCTGAAATAGCTTTGTATTATATCCCCCCCCTTTCTCACATTCTCCCCTATGTCTTGCTTCCTGTCTTGTCAAGTTTGAGAGATGGCAGTCTAGTAGCTAAGTACCTATATATGTTCCATGGATGATACCTGTACTAATAGATAAGTAGATAGGTACATAGTACATTGTATGACTCGGTGCTGCCGGAGGTCCATATTGCCAACATACCTAGCTGTTGCGTCACTATTATGGGGCTCAAGGGCCCTATGTTAAGTGGCTGCATATGTACTATGTACTCTATGTCCGAGTAACCTTGGTACTTGCCTACGGACCTACGGTACATACATACCTAGGTACATAGGTATGTACTTAGGCAAACCCCCCATCTGAAGACATGTAGGTAGCACAGAGGACTTTCTCATCGGATGACCCTGATTTCTGACCGTGACACGGGGTAAGATGGGTAAAATTTCCCGCCTGACACCCCAAATCCCGCTGTTGGCGCAGCCGCGTGCCCTGCTCAGCGGCCATGCTGGCGCCCATCGAACCGCTCGTGGCCTGCACGATTGCCTGGGTAATGGGTACATAAGGTAGTCAGTTCTTAGATAGGCAGGGCTACAGTGTCAACTCCTAGACTCCGCTGCTTTTGTCGGTTGTCGGTTGGCTGCCTGCTGAAGATAAGTACCTAGGCACTTACACAGGTACTTACAGTAGATATTACCTTATATAGTACGCTAGGATTCAGACTACTAAGAGCGATGGAAGCGCGCAGGTTAGTCATACGAACTCGATACCTGACGTTACTTTCGTACCCCGATGTCCTGGCATTGGGACGAGCCACTCGTTACTGTGACACATACAAGAATGCAAGGACTGGGTGGTGCTCAGGCTTGAATCGTGTATTGAAGTGTATCGGCCCAAGTCGCCTCCTCACATGCATGAATGTATCGGTTACATATCGTTAGTACTGCTTACATCAATCATCAATGGGACATTTACCGGCTACATGGATTTATGTACCTGGGTACTTAGCTGCCTACCTACCTAACCTACTGTCTACAATACTCCGTATCCCCTTCAAGTTATTCCCTTATTCCCTTATCCCCTATCCAGCAGCAACACTATTCATACCACCTATCCCACCCATCCCACTTTCATCTATTGCTGTTACGTTCCATGCATCAGATCAGCCATATCACCATAGTATCACTAACCACCCCGTAACCACCGCATTGCCCTCATCTTCATTGCCAGCATTAGTGCATTCATCGTGTCAGCTGCGAGCGTTAGGAGGCATTGTTTTTTTATCCATAGTTATAGACATATTTCTTTTCCCGCTACTCTTGTTGCTAGAGCCGGGACCCTTCCCCGGTTGTCGGCGTTTGGCACAACACAATCGTTAGCAAGCAGGCACAGGCAACCCATCATCGTTGTTCCTAGCACGCCGTCGTCTGTTACGGGCATCCACTTAGGTACCTACTGCCTGGTCGACCACGCCGTCAGCATTTTATCATTATCACCATCATCATTCCTGCCCTTTTCTTCCCTCTTTTTTTACACTCTCCCTTCCTCAGGTGGAATCCGTCGTCGTCGTCCATTCCTGTCTCGGCCTACTTGGGGTTTCGCCCCCCCTATCTTCGTTGCTCCGGGAATCCCACGTCTTCGTAGTCTAACCCCCGACTCTCTCTACTTGTCCAGAGTCGCCCCGCGCTCCTCGCATCGACCGACGGCCTCGCCTCATCACCGCTCTCGTCTAGCGACAGCCTGCTTACTACCATTTTCGCCACCAGCACTTTGCACGGAGCCATATATACTCTCGAGTTGTTTTACTGCCGTTCCTATTTGACGACACATTCCTACTTAGGTACACAAGCCCATTCGTTCCTTAGAAACTCCCGCGCTCCCGCGTTTGGCATCATACAGCCTTCTGTGGCTCGCAACTAGCGAGCATCTCAACATTACCTCCCCCAAACGACACCATTCCTCCCATAACGAGAAAACGGAAAGCCGCTGAGGCGACGGTATCTTCTTCTACCACGCCCGACGCCCTGCCGAATAAAAGAGTAACCCTCGTATCGGCAGCCGCAGCTTCAGCGGCCCCTCCCACTCCTGTTACAGGCATGGATTCTGACGAGGACTTCGTGTCTAACATGTCGAGTGAGGATGACTTGATGCAAGATGATACCGACAATGATTTGTCCGATGGTGACGAAGGTACGTTTTCTCACTGCCTTCCTGCCTTCATTCGGCGACCCTTCGCTGAAGTGCCACTCATCTGCTGTTCTCATTCCCTAAAAGGACTTTGCCTTTGAGAGGAAAACCGTGAATATGAACTCCCGTCATGCTGTGCTTCTACTAACCTCGATGGATCTAGACTTCGATGTTTTCGATGACCAACCTGATGATGATCCTAATGCTATATCGTATAAAACCGACAAGAAGAAGGGCGTGACCTTTGATGTCAGCTTTAAAGTTTACGATCCCGATGACATTCGACGCCAACAGGATGAAATGATTGACGAGGTGAACATGATTTTAGCAATGAGCAAAGAAGATGCTGCTATCATTCTTCGCTATTTTCGTTGGAACAAGGAGCGATTAATCGACGACTATATGGACAATTCACCCAAGGTCTTAGAGGCTGCAGGCCTGGGACCCAGTGTTACGGAATCGCCTAAATTAGAACCGATACCTGGATTCATGTGCGACATCTGTTGTGAGGACGAGGACGGTCTTCTCACTTTTGCTATGAAGTGTGGCCATCGGTATTGTGTCGACTGTTATAGACAATATCTGGGTCAAAAGATTCGTGAAGAAGGAGAAGCGGCCCGAATTCAATGCCCCTCAGACGGCTGCCACAGAATCATAGACTCGCGCTCGCTAGATCTTTTGGTTACTGCCGAATTAAGGAGTCGCTACAGAGAGTTGCTCAACAGAACCTTCGTGGAAGATAAGGACACCTTGAAATGGTGCCCGGCTCCTGATTGCGCCAACGCCGTCGAGTGCGCTATCAAAAAGAAGGATTTGGACAAAGTTGTACCAACTGTTGCATGCAAATGTGGCTATCGTTTCTGTTTTGGTTGCATTCTCAGCGACCACCAGCCAGCCCCGTGCGAACTTGTGAAGAGATGGTTGAAGAAATGTGCTGATGATAGTGAGACGGCGAACTGGATATCAGCCAATACTAAGGAATGTCCGAAATGCAATTCCACGATAGAGAAGAATGGCGGTTGCAATCACATGACTTGTAGGAAGTGTAAACATGAATTCTGCTGGATGTGTATGGGTCTGTGGTCAGAACATGGTACTAGTTGGTACAATTGTAACCGCTTTGAGGAGAAGAGCGGGACGGATGCTAGAGACGCTCAGGCGAAGTCTCGGGTCTCCTTGGAGCGTTATTTACACTACTACAACAGATATGCGAACCATGAGCAATCCGCGCGCCTGGATAAAGATATCTATCAGAAGACAGAAAAGAAGATGGTGCAATTACAAACGGCTTCCGGCATGTCATGGATTGAAGTTCAGTATCTGAACACGGCTTCCCAGGCTCTGCAGACCTGTCGCCAAACTCTCAAGTGGACCTATGCGTTCGCTTTCTATCTTGCTCGAAACAATCTTACAGAAATATTCGAAGACAACCAGAAGGATCTGGAAATGGCGGTTGAGGCGCTTTCTGAGATGTTTGAGAAACCCATATCTGAGCTTGCTGATGCCAAACTCAAAGTGGATATCATGGATAAGACTGCATACTGCAATAAACGCCGTGTGATCTTGCTCGATGACACAGCCGACAATCTTGCTAATGGTAAGTTGCAGCATTTAATCACTCCTTCCTTAGCAACTCTCATGCTAATTTTTATCTTGTCTAGGTCGGTGGTCCTTTAATGTAGACCTCAAGAGCGTGGGTAACCGGCGTTAAATACATATAATTGCTTTGTAATGAATATCAAGTAAATAGACGGAAGACATCATGGCCGGAGTAAAGCATCAGAGTGGAATATAAGCATTCATTTTTTTTCCCCCGCATCATATGTATATGTATAAATCTCATAACGTAGCGCGTTTGTAATTCTGATTCTCTAATGATTGTCTACTATACTCCGTGAGGACCGTCGCTTGGTACTAGAATGGGTATACTACGGCATTCTGCGAAGTATTGTTTCTACTTCGTCGAAGATTCGTGATATGATTGTGCTAAGCTCGCCGAAGCCGGGGTACGTCATCATGTATCCAGTCGGTCTGCACGTTACGGTCTCCAGTTACGGAGAATCTACTGTTGGATGAGTTTGCTATGGACAACAAGATGCCATACCTGGGCGAGCGTAGTCGAAGACGATACACATGTGAGGATCTATTGTATTGTAGTTAGGGCATAGCGGCTGTAGTAGATCAAGAAGATATTGTGAATATACATGTAAGCTTGTCCTTATACATCATCTACTCATGGCACTCCCTTCTTATTCACTCGCTAATGTCGCTCCTTGTTTTGCTATTCACGCCTATGACCTGAAGGTATGCTTTGCTTGCTTCCAAGTTAGTTGTCTAGCCCAGGACCTTGTCGGCCATGGAAACTACGGAGACAGGTTCATTAGCATAACTACCCAGGTGGCCTTTTATTTATAAATCTAGGGGGAAATCAGCCATGGGGTTTTAAAAACTAACCGTCAGTTCCAGTGTTGTCGGGCTCGACGTGGACGGACTTGACCTTGCCGTCCTCGACGACGAGGGCGTAGCGCTTGGCGCGCGTGTGGCCGAAGACGGGTATCGCGTCGAACCCGAGGTCTAGGGCCTTGGTGAAGGCGCCTGTGGGATCAGCCATGAATCGGATCTGGAGGAAATTCATGTGAGTATGCAATTGGTCGTTTCATTGGATTATTTAGTAGATCTAGCTAGACGTACGCCGGATAACTTCGTGGGGTCGAGCTGGTCGCCCCAGGCCTTCATGCTGTTGAGCAGTTAGCTATTGAGAAGTTCACTTGACGTCCCGATTAACTTAGGTTATTGATTTCAGCTGTCAACCAGCTGATTACCCACCGCTCATGTGGGATTGAATTGGATTCAAGGCTGATTTTTTTCTTTTTTTTAAGGTTCGGTGGTACTCACACGAAGGCGTCGTTGACGCTCACCACGAAGACCTGCCCGGCCTCGCCGATCTTGGGGTGGTTGATGTAGCTGGGGACATGGCTCGCGGAACAAGCCGGAGAGAAAGCGGCGGGGACGCCAATGATGACGCCGTTGGCAATGCCCGTGCCGTATTCCTTGGCCAGGCTCACTTTTGTAGCGGGCGAGTTCTCGTGGAGCTCGACGTCGGGGACGGCGTCGCCGGCCTGGACGAAGACGCGGGGTGTGCTGTGGAAGGGGCGAGCCGCCATTGGACGGACGGCCATGGGGCGAGATAGGGCCGTGGGAACTCGGCGGAGAGCGCGGAAAGACATTGTGAGGGAATTGGGGGTTCTAAGTCTATGGATGAAGATTGGGATGTAGGGAGCACTCAGTGATGAGTTTAATGAGTGAGTGAGTTGATGGTCGAAGTCGATGATAATCAGTGTAGCTCTAGCTAGTGAGCTCTCGTTTCAGCATAGGTACCAAATGGTTAGGTAGTGCATTGTATGACGTTATGTACACACATAGTGTATCATGATTGCCAGCACTGTCCATCTGTCTCCTTTCAAGCTGCGAGACCACCAAGGACATACAGTATGGACAACCCAGTTTCGTACCGTGAACAAGCTCATTCAAAATCTCTACTATTTACGTATCCCTCATTACTATGATAAGTAGATTGTCGCCGGTTTTTAGCTGCATAGCTAACGCTTTCCTTAAGGATGAGAGGTTATGGCCTGATTTATTTGTACATGTGACGACTCTCTGACTGTATCCGATGGTCGGCCAATGATGTTCGCTCATAGTGCGGATGTAGCAGACTCTTTACATGTTGTGCTTTAAGTTTCTCAGGACGTGAAAATATAGAATATCCGACAGTGATATTCCTCGCAACTACCTTTTGGATCCGATAAAGGTAGAGGAAGATTTATCGTTCTGCTGAAGATGAGGGGTTGTAATAATCAGCTACTCCGTACAGCTGAGGCGAGCTGGTTTCCAAGGTTGACTCTGCCTGATTGTAGCCACATCGGTGAATTGCACGTGTCTGATGTGCAGTAATTGGAATGCAACATCTTATGATAGATGCTATATGATGCGAAACAATATGTGACCTTGACATCGTGGGTTTAAACTTCTAAGCTTCTACTGCTGGTTGTACCTAGATAATTCTGTTAAAGCTGATGGGTGGCAGCGATACTCGTCCTCAATATAAGACTTGATCAGAGAACACCTACTCGAAGCACCTATTTTAATGTGATAGATGAAGTGGTAGTGGTACCTAGTAGATGACGGATGCGTAGAGCCGGATTGACGAAGTCTTGTCTAGCACATCACCATCAGGTGCTTACCGTTTCACTGTACTATATATAACTCGCTTTGTAGACTTTGTACTACGATCGCAAGGCTTCCTCCAAAACAATCACCCAAAAAACATGATGCCAGCCTCTCAAGCGAAGTGTTGTGTGCCATACAGCAGCTCCCGGTCTCGATATCATTCAACTTGTGCGGCTCCCTAGCACTGGACTTTACTGCTTGGTTAGAGCTCATAACGTTGGGGATACTACAATCCCTTACCTAATGACATCCCTGATTGCTACTTTTCTCGAACCCGACAAGCATCCGGGAGCACTATGTTCTGTAGGAACAAGGCGGACCGTTCAAGATATACCATTTGTGTTTCTGGATGATCTTTGGTGCTCGCCGTTGTGCCTAAGAGACAGTCACACATTTCGAAGGGAGGGAAAGAGGGCTTAAACTCGAATAGAATCGTAGCAATACATTTGCTAGGCGGAGAGTGTCTTAATTAAACCATTGCTAAACAAGGAGCTGACCGAACCAAAATAAAAGAAAAAATTTCGTAAACTCGTCAATTTCAAATGAATAAAGTCATGTCGTTCGTTACTTGGCTCCCCGATCTAATAACGCTCTGAGTAGTAGATGTGGCCTCCTGCGTAGGTAATCTTCCAATACGCAATGTGTCCCGAGATGCTGCCGCTTCGCCGTACGCCCAATTTCATGCAGCATAGTCCTAATTCTATGTGGATCCTTAGCTAGAAAGGTTAGGAGTCATTGTTTCCCGGCCATCGCGACCTTGTGCATCGATCTAAGGTCGTAGTCATGTTCCTGCGGAAGCTCAAGCCCCATGGGCTTGGGCGGCTGTTGTTCGGGTGCCTGTTTTAAATCGTCTGATGGCACCAACGGAGTCTTTTCAGTTGATGATCTCCTGATTTTCTCTGGTTTATCTGGTATGGCCGGGGGTGCCTTCACGACAACCTCTGGTACAGGAATGGGTGCGATTTGTTCATCCCTTTCGTCATCTGTCGGAACCTCGTTCAAAGTGTATGTGTCCGCCCTGTCATTTTCCATCAAGATTTGTCTGCACGCGGCGCCGCCTTGATCGCCATCGATGGACTCCATGATACTCGGCGGCCTGTTCGTACCGGCGGCCTTTTCGGCTTGATACTTTTCCAGCGCTGTCCGGAGGATCTGTCGCATAAATGCCTTGTTGACGTTCCGGCGTACACGGTCGAAGTATTTCACTACATCGCCGACAACTAGTACGTGCGCATCGTGCTCGACCTGGATGATATCGGCGTAGTTGGCCCTAGAATCTTCCTTCACACGTAGTCTGCCTGGGCGCAACTCAATCCCAACTGGCGAGTACTGGAGCTTTGGTCCACCTCTAGGCTGTTCATAACCAGGATTCGGATCACCATTCTGGAAGACATATCCCTGTTGAAAGCTGTCGATGCCTGGCTTTGCGAACTCATGCTTGCTAGGGCCACCGGTGGAAATAGGTCTTGAAGGTTGGTCAGCTGCAAGTGCTTGAACGATAATGAATTGGTTGAGATTTATGATGAACGAGAAAGCGCGAACATGCCAGAGTCGCTGCCGTGGCTTTACTTACATGCAGACGCAATGATGGGGAAAGCTCTCACTATGGCGCAGGACAATAAAACGAGTGTAACCTAGGCATTTCCACTCCCACTGGAATTCGGTCGCATCGGCCCAGAGGAATTCGAAAACCTGCCATTGTGCGAATTAGCATCACATCAGATTCGCTTGAGCGATGGCCACTTACATCGCCGATGTGGAGTTTCGACGCGGGCCCGATTTCATATCCCTTGAGCGCTAAGTATGGTATTAGCAAAGCACTTTGCGACGACGCCAGAGAATCTTCAGATTCATAAATCTAAGAAGAAGGCATGACTCACTTAGAGGGTGGTCTGTTGGGCAGCGTGGTCCCAGCTCGGGCAAGTCATCCCCAATACCTGAATCACTTCGAAGCGATGATCTATCACGGCGTCCCATGTCCGACGAGATAGAATGTATTGAGAAAGAAAGAGAGGGAAGCAGAGGTAGAATTGAGTCGAATTTGGTATAATTTCTTCAAAGTTTTTCACAGATATGACTAGACTGAAGCAAGGGAAAGCTTGGTCCCAGTCATGAAGCGTTTACAGTAGGTATCCTTGGGACCACACACGACCCTCTCTCGTTTCTACTCTGGGGGGGAGTGGGTAAGGACATAGGTAGATATCTGACAAGCCAGCTGGTTGATGATGCCCAACATCGTGGCTCCACCAAGATGCGTCGGCTGCGATGTTAATGGACGTGAGACACAGCAACTCCACCATGGACCGTCCATGCAGCTCCACGACCGAGTTTGCACGGTAGCTACTGGGTGATCAAGGAGCGAGGAGGCTGCTTGAAGTGATGGACAAATTGCTAAATAACGGTTTCGGTGAAGCGGGCATTGGCGGGCGCTGTGGAGCTAGCCCCGGTCCATCTGGCCAGCGGTAGGTGGCCACATTGTCACCGCTATTTGCTTTAAGGATAAAGCGATCAGGGGCAATGCATGATAAGTGCCTCGAGTGCGTACCATGACAGAAGAGGGCATAGCACAGTATACCGATGGGGGTTATTGTGGCCAGACAGGCGTTTTGCCACATCGATTCGAAGGGCAGGAAGGGGAAGCGGATATAGCAGCAACTCCTTTTCTGGCAAGTCATTATAATAGCAATTGGCCGCCCCAGAGTCTTCACATCTTAATCTCCTCCTGTTGTGTTCCCCTCTATGTCATTTCCCACCAACCAGGGAGAAGAGCGGTGTTTTGTCAAGTCTGCCAGGTATACCAATTGGATCCAGAGTCACATGCTAGGTACATGCTAATGCACAGGGGTCAACCACTGGTCTTCATATACCTACTTGGAGAAAGATGACTCTGGATGTTGAGTTGATCGCCTCGTCTTGGAACCAGAACTATACGTTATGTGTCGTCAAAACCACCGCCAACGACCCTGAATGGAGTGGACCGATAAATGACATCTCATAATTCGTTCGACGTGGTCGACTCGCGTTTAATTCAAAATCGTACTATTTGAAGAAAGTAGGAAAATGATACCAGCCGGGACGGTCATGACGATAGAAGTGTGCTGTCATCGAATCTATCTCGCCCAATGTTTAACTACCTACCAACGAAGGGAGTAACAACGACAGGCACGGTCCATAGCACCCATATTGTATTCTTTCGCTATGTCACGCTCTCGGATGTTGCCTCCCAATCGAGGGTGAGGGTTTATGTTGGGGACTACGTGGATGAACTTGTTTATGCAGAGGCAAACCTGAACGTAGCACCGAACAGGTTCCGGTTGCGCAGAGATGCCGCTTACTCCGCGATTTCTCTAAGCGCATACCATGAAGAAGAGATGGACTGCAAAGGGGGCAAAGCATCCATATCATAGGACAGATGATAACTGAAAAGACTTTCCAGAATGAGTTTTCAAATCAGAAGCACATCTCTGTCTGGACACTCATAGAGGTACATGTAGGTAAGTCCCTGCTAGATCCTGCCTACAACTAACTGTAGTTTGGCGAGTTCAGTGGGTGGACGGCTCGCTTAAGTAATGGAATTCAATTGTACAGAGGGGTCCTTGACAGGTGTCTGCCAGATCTTGTCGGACAGGCTCGACTGGGTATATCGCAGGCGGGACACGCAAGAGACTGACGTATATGGAGGACCCCTCTTGCCTAAAAGTGTAACTAAACCAAGGTAGACCGTAGATGCTCACGCTTAAGCTCCGAGCTTGGGGATGCGCGAAAAAGGCGCCATCCCGATACAAGATCACCAAATCCCCGCGCCAAAAAGGCCCCTACCCGGTAGTCCAAGTAAACTATCTCGTCTGTTTGTCCGAGGCCTCCGTTTCTCTTTCTCCCAAGACATGCCATTGCTCATTCGGATATCGTAGGTTCAGGTGAGCGAGCGGGCGCTTGGTGTAGTACGTGTAAGGCCGACTCTGGCCGACAACCATTCCCGATTGCCCAATCGCCGATCTTCAGACCGATAAACCCAATAGTCCAGCAGTTTTGTGATAATAGGCCACCATGATCACGTCCGCCCCGAAGTCAAGATGATCTCGAGAAGCTTGACGCGGACTAGACCTCCGTGTCCCGTTTACCTCGGACCTAGCCGATCAGCCTTTGGCTGCCATTCCATACACCCTCCCCAAATAACACCTCTCCTACTCTCAGGCTCGATACGACGAGTTCTTACGACTTCCCAAGTATCCCTTCGACGACCACAGGCGTGCCATACCGAGCGCCCAAAACTAAACAATGTCACGTGGAATACCGCCTTTGGCTCCTCTGCCAGAGCCAGGCAGGAGGAAAGGAAGGCCGCAAAGCCCGCAAATGCCCAAAAAGATCCTTTGGCCGTCGATGATAAAAGTGTCCAGGAGCAGCGCAAGGCGGATTGGGCAATCATGAAGCAAATGGCCTACTACTTGTGGCCGTCAGGCCCAGGTACCATGGACACCAAGGTGCGCGTTTCTATAGCCGTAGCTCTGCTTGTGGGAGCCAAGGTTTTGAACGTACAAGTGCCGTTCTATTTCAAGAGTATTGTCGACGCCATGAATATTGATCTTGGCGCGACTGGCGGCACCGCTGCTACGATCGCTGGAAGTATGATACTTGCATACGGCGCGACAAGAATAGGCGCGACCGTGTTCCAAGAACTGCGCAATGCTGTATTCGCTTCAGTGGCCCAGAAGGCCATCCGTAAAGTCGCATGTGATGTATTTCACCATTTGCTCCGCCTCGACCTAAATTTCCACCTGACAAAGCAGACTGGTGGTCTCACCAGAGCCATTGATCGTGGTACCAAGGGAATCAGCTTTCTGCTGACTAGCATGGTATTTCATATCGTTCCTACCGCACTAGAGATTGGCATGGTATGTGGTATCTTAACTTGGCAATATGGTGCTAGCTTCGCATTCATCACGCTCGCGACAATGTCAGCATACACGGCTTTCACCATCTGGACAACAGCTTGGAGAACCAAATTCCGTCGTCAAACTAATGCGGCAGACAACAAAGCTTCTACTGTGGCGGTTGATTCCCTGATCAATTACGAAGCCGTAAAATACTTTAACAACGAGAAATTTGAAGTTGCGCGCTACGACAAAGCTCTGCGCGACTACGAGAAGAGTTCAATCAAAGTCGCCACGTCTCTAGCTGTTTTAAATAGCGGTCAGAACATCATATTCTCTAGCGCATTGACTGCCATGATGTACCTGGCAGCAAACGGAGTGGCCAGTGGGTCGTTGACGGTGGGCGACTTGGTCATGGTAAACCAGCTAGTATTCCAGCTCTCTGTTCCCCTCAATTTCCTCGGGACGGTTTACCGCGAGCTTAGGCAATCCTTGCTGGATATGGAGACTCTATTCAACCTACAAAAGGTGAATGTCACTATCAAAGAAGCCCCGGACGCAAAACCCCTGTCGTTGTCAGAAGGTGGTCAGATCAGATTCGAAAATGTCACTTTTGGATACCTCAAAGAACGCCCGATTTTGCGGGATTTGACAATGACAATCCCAGCGGGCAAGAAAGTTGCTATTGTTGGACCAAGTGGATGCGGAAAATCTACCATTTTGCGTCTTCTATTCCGCTACTACGATGTAGAATCAGGCAGAATTTTGATCGACGATCAAGATGTTCGTAATGTCTCACTTGATTCTCTTCGGGAATCTATCGGTGTGGTCCCTCAAGACACCCCTCTGTTCAACGACACAGTTGGACACAATATTCGATATGGTAAGATGTCAGCACCGGAATCACAGGTTGTTGCAGCGGCACAGCGCGCTCGGATACACGATATCATCTCAAGTTGGCCTCAAGGGTATGACACTAAAGTTGGTGAAAGAGGCATGATGATTAGCGGAGGAGAGAAGCAACGACTGGCTGTCTCCCGGCTGTTACTCAAAGACCCTCCACTTTTATTTTTTGATGAAGCTACCAGTGCGCTCGACACACACACTGAGCAGGCTCTCATGCAGAATATCAACAGTATTTTGCGAGAAAAGTCTAGAACTAGTGTGTTTGTTGCTCATCGTCTACGGACTATCTATGACGCCGATCTTATCATTGTATTAAAGGAAGGCACAGTCGCGGAGCAAGGGACACACAAAGAACTCATTGATCGGGGAGGTCTGTACTCGGAATTATGGAGCGGTAAGTTCACTGACCCGAATGGTTTTGAATGCTAGATTCTAGAACGCTAACCGCCACCATCTGCAGCGCAAGAAACATTGTTCTCCGACGACGGAGCAGAAAAAGAGAGGGCAACTAGGGAAGATCAAAAGGTCGCGCAGGCTCCATCCCAACAAAAGCCTACTTAATCTTAGGTGGTCATTATGTATCTTACCTAGGTGGATGCGTTCAGTCCCTAGGCGAAAGTCTTAGGGAGAAGCTGAGGAATCAGTGCTTTGAATCTGATAGGATTTCAACTGACCTCGCCGATATAAATTTTTGTTTGTACAATTTACTATGCTGTACGGGCCTCACTAGGGATGGCGAGGTTCCCGAGAGCCTCAGGCACAATGAAAACTGCATTACTGAGCTCATTAGACATATAATCTGCCAAGGCCAGTCCCCAACAACACTCTATTGCCATAGTTTGACCAAGAAAACTTAATCTGGATGTTGTACAGCAAGGGCTGGAAATAGGATTTGGAATTGGAGATTTTTACAATACCATAAACTGCTAAGGCTGCTTGCTATGGTCATAAAATCCCTTCATGGCCCTAGTACTGAAATGGACACAGCATCAACTGGCTCGACCTTGCCTACAGCCTCTGCTAATCTGTAAATCCCTAAATGTCTCATTGCTAACGAAGTCTGTATAACCTCATTTTTCAATACAATGCTGCAAGTCTTATGAAGTATCACGAAATTTCATGTTTTTTTTTTTTAACTTATGCTCCAAGCTGTAAACGATCTGCGTCTTTGGCTGTGCGGGTGTAACAACTTGAAAGACTAAATTCATTGACCACTATTGTTGAGTCTATCTCTTGAAGATAGCATCCCACAATCGTCGCTTGACTGACATGCACTTGCCTCTGACATCGCTCACAAATGTTCGAGTAGAATAACATGTTACAAGGGAAAAGTGGCACAGTACACATATTATAACAAGGGCAAAGATACTGAGCTTGGAACTTGGAACTCGGATTATAATGAACAACTAGTGCTGCATGAGTCCTTGACCAACCAACTCCTTCTCGGCTGTTAGTGGCTTGCCTTGACTCTATATATATCTAGTCTACCAACCTAGACCGCCTAGGTCTCTAGGGCCTATTTTAAGAAGCGAAGTCTATATAACCTCACTTTCCAATATTGCCCAATATTGCCTGTATATCTTTGTAAGATTATGAACAGCCTGCAATAGCTTTTCGTACGGCCGAAGTGCAAGGCGAACTGCATATTCAGCTAGTACGGCGGTTATGCGTGTAACATTTATCAATAGCGTATTGTAGGGGCCTTAGTCTATATCTTTAAAATAATTAGTTTAATCAGTTACTTGTTCATAGGACTTCCTAACTGCAACAAATGAAAACATGCTACATGTTCATAAACAGTGAGATCGATGTAGAACATCTTCAGAAACAATGAAATTGTTAAGCAACACTTTGTTGAAAGCTTGACTATTTAAACCCTATTATCTCCCTTGAGCTGTAGAAAGATCAATTCAAGACCAACAACTCGATTAGGACTGCAAATACTCAGACAAATCTAGCAACACAAAAGAGAAAGATGGATTTCACAACGTTCGCAACAATCGCAAACATTACGACAATGGAAACTATCACTAAAGTGTCAACTTTAGCAAGCTCGCCTACACTCCCCCCTCACGACCTTGCTCCCACTACCCCTCCTACGAAGATTCTAAGCCCCGCCGCGGCAATGGGCATAATAGGAGGGTTCTTTGGTCTTTTGGCCCTTACTTTTGTGATCACTGGCATATTCATTTATAAACGTCGGCCAGGTAAAGGGGCAGATGCAGAGCCCATTGAGATGCTCAAAACAGTTGTGTCTCGCTCGTATCGCAGCTAAAACCTTTGCAGGTAAGTAGTGCCTTGCGAGTAATCATTTCCTAGGGATGAGATAAAAATACAACTTGGACAAGGCCTAATAGCTCAACTCTTTATTCACATGTGCTACCACGTGCCGATAAAAGAGCTAGAATATTTTTAGAATAGATGAAATCTTACCACTTTGTTGTCAATTTCTTTGTCGCTGCATAATTATCTTTTATAGCCTGTTGACTAGACTAATGTAAAACCTGTAAGTAAAGTATAGAAATGTTATAACCTCTAGTTACATACTGTCTTCATGACTCAGGAGACGAAAATTTAACAGTTATTGGCCCAGATTGTAATACATGCCCCTTTACAGACTCTCTATTTATTTCCCTAGAACAGAACAAATTCTCTCAAGGCAGGGTTAGTTGGAAGGTAACAGGTGAATGAAAGACCAAGTCAACACCTTGGGAAAGTGAATCCTGGAGAATACGTTGAATCGGTCGGTAGACTTAGGGACCTGATATGCTCTGGCTAATGACTTCTATTATTGCGCAAGGGTCCCTCCAACCTTCTTGCGGGTAATGCTGAAGCTATATACAGGAGGGGTTTCTTTGTTGCCTTACAGCCTTGTATTTGCTTCATAGCCTTGTGAGTAGATGCGATGAACGTCGAAATTTGGATTGTATACTCCAAAACTTATTAAAAGTTTACTAAAGAATGACACGTATGCACCTAATCGTCAAGTAGCAGTGACCGTTGGGAAAGATCTAAGTATGGAATCACAATAGGGAAAGGAAGATACTCTAGTCATCATAACTAGGACTTAGGCTTGAGTGGTAACGGATGTCATTGAAGATCGATGATGTGTTAGTTGTATGAGGCGTAGAGTGCATAGAAATAAGAGAAGACCAGACATCCAATGTGAAGAGGGGCTCCTATGCAAACTTTGTAAGTTTCCCCTATAGTTGATGAGAGCAATATAGGAGACAAGCGATTGTTCACGAAAGCATCAAATTAGGATTCCTGGACGGTGAAACTTCTCTTACAAAGGCACTGTAGTTTTACAATGGCACTGTATATGATGAAGGTTGAAAGTTCATGAGAACAATGCTATTGATTTCAATAGTTAACCGAACACAAAGAGAGCTTGGTGAAGCTCAAGGTTTAGCATTAGGTATATTTAAACGCGCAGCAGGCACTTCATCAACGAGATTTGTTTGTCATTTACTCCAATCACCTTAAGATCTAACTAGCTTTACGAAACACTTTGCAAATTACCGATATACCTACAAATACCCCCCATGGATGCATGTCACGCTCTTGAACAACCCCAAGACCCCGGCGCTGATAATACAGCCAGAGCAGTTGCCGCTGCTGGCTTTTTCTTCGCCATTCTGAGTTTTCTTGTTCTCTCTGCTGCTGGTTTGTACTGGTGCTATAAGAAAAGGGCTCAGAAGAACGACTCTGACTCTAAGAGTGACATTGAACTAGCTGAACGAGGCCTTTCTCATCATAGTATAGGAGATAGTAGCTCGTCCCCTGTCATGGAAGAGCTACAAATGCCACCGAAACCAATCCTCAATGCGATGCCGGATCCAAAGGGCGAGTTCGAGGAGATTGACCTATCAACCCCTCCAACCGATGTCAGGACGTCGACTGACCAAGGCAAAAATGCAGGGGCCTACACTGATAACAATGTTGAGCCCAGCTCTGCTTTAGCCTCCGAGAAAGTATCTGCAGAACAAGGCTCTTCAAGTGAAGATCCTGTGTAAAGCAGTAGAATCTGTAGCACTTCCTTATTAACGATCGCTAAGGATAAATTCCATTTGTGATTTCATTTGTCAATTATTCATAATTCAATGCATACATATTACCAAATCATATTAAACGTAAATTTCGCCGTATATGGTGACACTTGAGGCTGTGTAAGAAAAGAAGCTGATCGTAGTTGTCTTGGCACATCATCTCTAATACGATTTATACGTAGCGTAGTACAGCGCCACGCTTTACGCTAAAGCGCTTAGATTCTCACCCAAGCTTCAAAGAACTTGAACAAAGCATTCATTATTCCGTTTGACCATGCATCTTTCATCAAGAATAAGACTCTGTATGGCAAAAACGTAATGGATGAAGACGATCGGCTATCAATTGATGAGTCACGGCCGGACGCGCCTTTTCTGGGCGGAGACCTCAACGCGGACGACCAGTCCAGAGATACTGCTAAGCCTTGGCAAATTGCGACGACAAGTCGCGCAATCTCAACGGTAGCATGCGTCGCGGTATTCTTGTGGGTGCTTTCGGGCATGATCATCGTGGTTCCAGCAGCGCGACTCGCGGAAGATATCATCTGCCGTCGACACTATGGTCGATTCGATAGTGATCCCATTGACGAGGAGCTGTGCAAAGCCAAGGAAATCCAATCATCGATGGCTTGGATCTTTGGGTTGTCTATGTCGCTTGGTACCATCGTCGGCCTCATCGCAATGATACCCTATGGTGTCTTAGCCGATCGCGCCAGGAAACCCGTCTACCTCCTTGCCGCGACCGGACAGTTCGCGAATGTTTCATGGTCGCTTCTTGTCCTTCGCTTTTGGCGCACGCTTCCGTTTGAGCTGATCCTCGTGGGACCGACTCTCGAATTGATCGGAGGGGGGCTTACGATGGCGCTGGTCGTTCTGTATGCGATTATATCGGACGCTAACGCGCCGGAGGATAGGTCAGGATAACCCCTTTGTCGTTCCTTTGAAAGGTCCTGTTACTGACTTATATAGGGCGATAATCTATTTCTTCTCGTCGCTAGCTGCTAATCTTGCTGTGTTCATTGGGCCCCCGCTGGCATCTTTCATGATAGAGACTTCGTCGCCATGGGTGCCAATGTCGTTCAGTCTTTTGGCCACTACACTCGCAGGTAGCATCATCCTCCTTATACCAGAAACTGCACGTAGATCGAAGGATCTACGTGGGAATCATGAGGATTCGCGCGTAGCGAGGGACCAAGGATGGCGAATTGCTATAATGTCACAGCTCAGAGGTATCTTCTCCGACTCAAATTTGGTCTCGGTACTTAGGAAGCGATCGGTGCTATTGCTGCTTCTCGTCTTCATCCTCACTGCGCCACTTCAGCTGGGAATGGGGCCCCTTTTCCTCCAATATTATAGCAAGCGATTTGAAAAGTCGATAGAAGAGGCCGGTTACATGCTCGCCCTCCGCGGAGGACTGACTATTATAGTGGTTGGAGTACTCCTGCCAGTATTATCCAAGTATATCAGTTCGTCGTCCTTTGTCAGGCTCTCGAACTTCCGTAGAGATCTCGTCCTCGCGCAAGCCTCTGCTGTGTTTGCTGGCATCGGGTATTTCTTACTTGGAGGGCCCGAAAAGGCGTCCCTAATCTCCGGTATAGTAATCTTGAGTTTGAGTACCGGCCTTGGCCCCTTGGGGCGCTCGCTTATTTCGAATCTTGTCGAGCCGAGCCAGACCTCGCAGGTCTTTACAATCGCTAGCATTGTTGAAGGCATCGGATCTTTGCCAGCTGGCCCGTTCCTCGCCTGGGCGTTTTCTTGTGGTATGCGATTGGGCGGAGTCTGGATGGGACTTCCTTTTTTCTTTCTGGGAAGTCTCGGGGGGCTTGCTTTACTTGTCTTATGTTTCGTTAAGTCGAAGCCTCTTACGACAGGAGGTGGTTAACGGGTGGTGTATCAAGCGACAGACAGTATTCGCAAAGCCAATCTCATATCATAGGCGGAAGTATTGAATCCTTCATTTGACCGGAAAGTCGCCCCCCAGAATTTTAGCCCATATTGAAGAGGCCACAATGAGGCTTTAATCTCTAGCAGAAAATTCTACTGAGATGCCAGTCTACTGGTCATTGTCAAGATGCGTCGCGAAGCTTGGCCCGAACTAGTGCAACTCACGACATACCTACTTCCTAGGTGCATAGGGCGTCACCTCCAGGGTCACAGGAAGAACAGCGATGGGCCTGCTGGTCGATCGTTCTCAGTAGATGTGATTGTTAATCCCACCGGTCATTTGTTTGACATTGGGGCCTTGTATCAAGATTACGACCATGGGAGACAGGGCATGGTAGCTGTAGCCTGTAACTGCGATCATATCACCCGCTACATGCTCGCTTACATCAGTCCACGTTGATGTTGCACAGATGGGAACCTGAGTTACCATGCATGAGGCACAAATTCACAGCATGACTTGGCAGACCACCGATCTGAACATACAGTGCGTCGTGGTTGGATAGAGACTATCGGATTCATAAGGAAGCAATCGAGCAATCAAACGAGCGTCAGGCACTACTGGATGTAGGTAGGTAGGTTACAGTAGCATGCACCCTAGAAGAAGAGATGACATGCCTGACCGCAGACGACAAGGGTAACATTGGTGATATGATCCGGTATAAGAGGCTGAATTCCTTAACTGGTCTGATCCTCGCCGTTCATCGTCGACGGTCGCATGAAGATATACAGTATATACCTACTTAAAGTATGTATTTGAAATGAGGTGAAAGCCAGCTGGGCTGATTGTAGGTGCCATTCGCAAGGTAAGTACCATGTAACGGTAGGTCACTGCTACCTAGGCTAAGGCTTCAGGTCTGGCTAGGGCGGTGCTAGGGGACGTCAATTAGGCACTCCCAGCAGGGACGGGTAGGGACGGGTAGGGACGGGCAGGGATGTACCCACTACCTAACCACTACCAATGGCACCGCGGGGTCACAGGCGATTGGCTCTCAGCGCTTCCCGGTCTCCCATGGCGGTCCCCTTGCAAACGGAACCCGCCAATGAGCCTCTTGCCGCGCGCCTGCTCAGGGTTCATGAGAAACACCAAAGGGCAGCCCGGCGAGCAGCCCAAGAGACCTCGATCCGACGCGATCTGGCGCTTACATGTCCACCGCCGTGGCATCACCCATCTACCGTCGTATTCTCTGGTCGGCCAGCGTCGAGTCTCTCGCCAGGCCCTTCAGCATGGCCGTCTGCGATTGGTCGGATTGGCCAGTCAAGGACTGCTCGCACCGTCTAGTCGAGCGACGAGGTCCTCTCGACCGCCCGCAATCTTAACTTCCGACGCAATCATGGACATGGCCGGTGGAGCCCATGAATCACGGCCTTTCTCTTGTCCTCGTACAAGACGCCGGTGCTCTGCTCTGCTGTTTCGTGGGTTCGTGGTTTCATTGATCTGCAGAGATCTTCCCTCGTGTAATCGTGAACTTCCCTTCATTCTTCGTTTCTCGCTTTTCGCTTTTCGCCTCGACCCTGGTGGTTAATCTCGTGAATCTCGTCGTCTTTCTTCTCCTTTGTCGCGTCTCTAATCTGCGCCTATTACACACTCATTGTCTACTAGGCTCCAGAACATTGGCGCTATTGTCTTCTTTTGATTGACCATCAACATCTTTCTGTGTCTCGTCCCTCTTTATTCCCCTCTGGAAGGATATGAACTGCTGTCGTGCCGATTCTCGCGAGCCGTGACGTTTGCCCTCTCGGCTTATAGCTTTTCCATTTTCTCTTCACCGTTTTCTCTTCTCTTCACTTCTTCCACCAAAACTTATATTCTTATTTACACAATGCGAGTATCACTTCTCTTATTAGATCTCCTTTGGCTGTCGGGAATATCGGCGGCCGGCCCGCTGAGGCGCGGTGATAGGTACGTATTCCTTAAAACATTCTCATTTGTTTCGTCGAGTCTATGAGGCTATTGATGACTAACATGATACAGGATACGACGCGATGGCATACACAAGCAGCCATGGGTGCTCAGGAGATTTACTAACTCGACGACTACCGTCTCATCTCCAGCACAGTCATCCACACCCGTGACATTGGGAGACTCATCTTTGCCAATCCCCTCAACTGAGTCTTCAGCCATTTCTTCCACCTCTACCTCCATTTCAACTTCATCCGCTTTTTCTATCACGTCAACAATAGTGCCTTCTACTACTGAGACGTCTCCCTTTGAGACACTAGACTCAAGTTCGAATTTCGATTCCACTGGAGTGCCAACCTCGTCTTCATTTGTCTCTCGAACATTCACATTAAGGGAGAGCACTAGTGCTGATCCAGTCAATACAGCCACTATTCCTGTAATAAGCATCTTCCCGTCATCAACCGTGACGGTCAAGCCAGGTGTCACATCGGTGCCAGGAAGTTCACAGGACAGCGCAACAACAACTGAATCATCACTGGATTCATCATCGGAATCTAAGACAACTTCTATCAACCCTACCGTTACCACACCGGGCAGTTTGCCAGTAGCCACCGTGCATAGCAGCAGTAGCCAGCCAGTCTCTTCATCTGTTTTGCCCTCTTCCAGCCCAGCTAGGTCAGGGACATCTGGCACCAGCTCGACAGTCATTCATTACAGTAGTTCGGGTCCCGCGACTTCTTTGCCAAGTGTTCCCAGCACACTGTTGCCGACTAGCTCACAGGGGGACAACCTAGCTGGAATGACTTCAACCTTGATGTCATCTTACGTATCTAGCTCTCCCAAGCCTACCGGGACACCCAACTCTGCGGTTCCTACCGTTATTACTTCTACGCCCCCGTCAAGCACCACTATATCGTCTGAAGAATATGCTAAGAATGTTGCCGATGCTGAATTCTACAACAAGCTTTTTTCGACTTTAACAGAGCAGTCTGCTTGTATGGGTGGACAAGTCGCCTGTATCAAGGGTAATATTGGCCAGTGCTCAAGTGCTGGAAGCTTTAACATACTGCAATGTGACCCTGGTCTTGCATGCTCCGCCGTGCCAATGAATACAACTGTTGGTGTTCAAGTTGGGTGCTTTGACAAGAGCCTATCTCAAGATCCATCTGCTACACCCTCAAGCTCTGCAAGCACCACACCAGTACCTAGCACTTCGGCCACTGATTCTGTCATCACGATTACCATTACACCAACTGTGACGGAAACAAGCGAGCTTCCTAGTTCTTCTACCCTCTCAACTACTCTTTCTTCTGAGACGGGGTCATCAACGCCATCAGTCTCGACAGAGCCGACGTCAACTACTACTTCCACCGCTACGTCATTCATCACTCTGACGGTCCCGCAAAGCTCAGAAACTGCTACCAGCACTATTATCCCAACATACACTCCTACATCCTCGCCATCTTCGACGGCTACGACATCAACTGATACCAGTACCAGTCCGTCTGAAACCCTGCCACCCTCATCATCTACAACGCCAGACACAGACGGCACCCCTACTGGTGTAGATATCATCCCAGTGACACCCGTGCCTAGCCACGATAATCATGGTAATGATAGGTCGGTCTTGACGAGCATGAAGCAAGTTGATCCCGTAAAAACCAGCAGCGCGACTGGGCCTGCCACGGTCACCGTTACCGTTACCGAGAAAGAGATCGTAACAACTACAACGACAGACTTGGCTACCGCTACTGTGACCGTAGCTGCTTGATGGAAGATGAGGAACTCAGACCCAACCAAACCTAATACCTTAAGTCACTTCTATTTTGCTGACACTTTAATATTTTCTTTATGTTCCTAGTTGATTTCAGCGTTGGAGTTTGCGAGGCATTGTGTTAAGTTTTACAATATACTCTCCGGCGCACTCATAGTAGAACTGTAGGCTGCAGCAATTTTGCCTTTAGAATATACCCTCTATTAATACCACGTCAGCAACAACCCTTGCAGCTTACCTTCTTTCTTTCCTTTCTTGCCTTCTTCGCTCTTTTATCCAGTTCGCACCAATGGACTTTGGTGTTAGAGTCTCACGTGATCAGGAACACTAGCAGCTTGTGCCCAGACTTGACACCAATGATAAAGAACGTCATTGCACTGCCAGTTCGGCGGTGCTGGCCGATTATCTCATAATATATTGATCTTCAGATAGTACTCCTCAGGCCATATGGATCTTGGCGAGGGCTTAGGTATTGCGAACCCTTGCTCAGGCAGATCGTGTCAGCATACCTGATTACTGTAAAGGGCTCGCCCTCACTAATAAGCCAAGTGATCTTCAGGGGGCGCGAACGGGTTAGTTGGCTAGGCACTTTCCTTCCCAAGCTGGTATGTTGTTTCTTCGAAACAACGAGATAAATAACTCAAAAGAGTAGATACAACATGGATATTCGATCATATGTATACACCCGTCATCGGTTTCGCATTCTTGGATGTATCTTATCTATCTCTCTATGTAAGAAAGGCTGTGCCCCGTCGTTGCATTACGGCCGTGCCTGTATTTATCGTATCGTAGATATCTCTTCGACTAGATTCACCTGGTTTTCTTGCTCGTATATTTGTTGATGTCTCTCTTTTATATAAGGCTATCTAAGTGAAAATGCAATTCGACACGGTGGACGCGCTAGGCTTGGCGGAAGGACTTGAGAGTCTCCTCGACGACCCTGCCTTTGACCCCGAGACGCTTGATCACTCTACCCGTCGCCGGCTGAGCGAGGCCGCTCGCAAGCTCTCCTTTGCCACGGAGGCACCGGGAGATACTGCCCACCGGATAGCTCACGCGGTATGTGTTACCAAGATGAATTTCCTAGTTATCCCAGGTGTCCATTTTTCGTTAGAGCCCGACTTAATCTGTGAACACGTTCTCGTGTCGTTCACTATTAACTCCTATATGCTCGTTCTAGTCATTTCAGCTTCCTCTCGCATTGATCGGCGTTGAGACGGGCCTCTTCGATGTCTTATCTGATCTCAAAGGTGCCGTAGCTACTCACGCCGAGCTCGGAGAGAAAACGAGCGTTGACCCTTCTCTGCTGAGTAAGACATATTGCGAATGCCGCGCCTTTTGAAACCTAGTCTCAATATTTCTGACATTGAGACATTCGGCAGAGCGTCTTTTGCGGTACTATCAGTCGTTCGGCATGGTATCGCAACTTGACGACGATGAGTTTGCCGCGAATAATATTACGCGGGCACTAGTGTCTCTTGGAGGACGGTCTGCTCTGCCTTTCATGTGCGTGATTGCGAGATCTCTTACGTTTCCTTTTCCGTCACTTATTTCTCTGTTTCTTTACGCCAATGAGGGGCCTGATTGTGATAAATCCTAATATTGTACCTTCAGTCATTCGACAATAGCACCTGCGATTAACGCTATGCCTCAATACTTGCGTGAAAACAAGTACAGTACGAAGATGGCGGATCCGACGGATATCCCTTGGTATCTCGGGCACGATACCACAGACCCCATTTTCAAATGGATCAATGATCGTCCGGATGTCTTGAAAAGCTTCATGGGTTGGATGGCAGGGCAGCGAGATGGTTTACCTACGTTTTTAGATGTCGTAGACTTCAAAGAGGAATTTGCAAAGGGGGCGGCGGACTCCACCCCTATTTTCGTCGACGTCGGTGGTTCAATGGGCCATCAATGCATCGCGGTGAGGCAAAGATGTCCGGACCTCGTCGGGCGTGTTGTGCTGCAGGATCTTCCGAAGACTATCGAGAAAGTAAAAGCCAACCCGCTCCCCGGCTTTGAAGGGATCGAAATGTTTGAACATGACTTTTTCAACCCGCAGCCGCTTCAAGGTACGTGAACCCCCTCCCTCTCCCCCCTTTTCACCCTTTATGCTATAAGCGCAAGCTCTATTTGATCAACAAATTATCTAATCTAGTGCAGGTGCTAGAGTGTATTACCTGCGCAACGTGCTGCACGACTGGCCCGATGAGAAATGCATCGAAATCCTACGAAACCTAAAGTCGGCTATGACGGCCGAATCCCGCATTCTGATCGATGAGATGATCATGCCGGAACAGGGCGCGCCCTGGCGAGCTACGCAGCAAGACTTCATCATGGGCGCCGTCCTCGCCGCCAAGGAGCGGTCCCACGGCGAATGGCTCGCGCTTTTCGAGGCCGCTGGGTTAAGGATCGAGACCCTGTGGAAATACACCGATGAGTTATCCGATCACTTGATTTCGTTGATACCGAAGTAGAAATGCTTTTGGTGATTACCGGGGTGGTGTAAGCATGAGAGTTGTATTACTGTGTGAACATGGCTCTGCGCGGGCCGAGGCAGGACCTGTCTTATGATCTCACTCAGCAATGACGCTTTTGATAAGAGCTTTAAATAGAAAGCGTTCAGAATACGATTGTTACGTGCTGAGCATAGTAGCTGTTATATGTACTTATTTATCGTATGACCGTGGCATCATATTTTATTCATGCAATTATCACAGAGTCAGCGTATTTTCATCAAGATGAGCTCGCTGTATGGTTTAAATAATGCCTAATATATTATGGTCTTTCCAAGTCAACATCATAAAGCTTATTTGCCATGTAATTGGATATATCAACAGTTTCCACCTGAGTACGTGACCTTATTATTGTACTGCCGATCAATTTAGAGTAAAAACTTTATTTAAATATATAAATGTTAGGAATTAAACTGCGACGAAAACTAAATGATTATAAAATATCTGCGGGAACTGCAACAATAGAGGAACTACTATGAGAGGCTTAGGTACGAGAGGAGAGTTACTTCCGAGCCTTTTCCTTCGACTTGTCATTTCGATGCTGCTTTTTACTCGAAGCAACATCTGCTAGAAGATCAGGCTGTTTCTCTAGCACCATTTTAGCGGCCTCTTTCAACTTTTCATTGCGGCGAACTCTCCACACTTTATGGTATTGTGCGCACTCGCTCCGACAATCCGAACATTTCAAGTTATTACGCGTTGGAGGGGCTTTTCCACACCGGGAGCACAGCCCTGAAGCCATGAACCTTTCTCTTCGTTTTCGACTATTTTCGGCATGACGCTTTCTTTTCTCTTCCGGCCTTTTTGGCTCGACCTTTCTGCTAACTAGCGACAGTAATACCTCTTCTGCCGTGTGGTTCTCCAGAGCCCAGGTACGCTCCCGTTCAAAATGTTTCTTGCATTTATTGCCATTACGAGCTGTACAATGCCCACCACTCCAGGTGCACACCATGATAAGCGTTTTGTCGTTAAAGATTTCGTGACTATGGAAAGGTATCTGTCGTTTTAGAGAAGGCGATTTTCCGCTTGTTGAGCTGGTACTAAGGTTCTTCAATTCGTACGGGTTAGATTATATCTGTGTATTTATAAAAGCAGCTATATCAACAATGGTCTTTGTTCATGTAGCCTTGTTCCTAAACAAAATACCCGTTTCAATCTGGTCAAAGATCATTGAGATGAATATCGTGATTAGTCACACCGCGTACCAATTAGAACGTCAAGGAGGCACAGAAAGTAATGCCACAATGTAACTGTTTCTCAAGGAGCCTAGCTTGCAGGATATTGAAGACACAATAATACGATTTTTTTAGCAAGGGTAACAACGCGTAGTTACCACGCCACTATGTACTATCAGACCCTGTAAAGCCCTTGTACTTGTCTTTATTCACTATACTCAATGTTAATAGTTCTGAGAACAAAGAACGTGCTCGGTAACTAATGATCTATATCCACTACGTAAAGGATACAAAACAGGGAAAGCCTGATTCGCTCGCGATGTGTTACGAAGCCCAAATTCCTTAAGAGGTAGTCAAGAACTATTAGCAACTATGAAAGGGATACCCGTGACTTAAGAATGAAGATCGTGAAGAAAGCTTATAAATACCTACCGCGGCCCGTGCAGCCGATCATCAGATCAACAATTCAGGGGCAGAAGACCTACTATGTTCCTATCCAATATTATTCAATCCTTGTTCGATGAAAACGGTAACTATCTACTTTCATGTTGTTATATTATATTGCACAGTGTACGCGCCTATCTGAAACAGCGTAGCCCACTGCGAGGCGAGTGATTCGGGAGCACCTAGCATCGTGCGAAGAGTGGAATCGAAACATGAACAAACCCAAGAGGGTGTAGTATAAGCTAGGGGATATCTAGTCAATGAATATGCCGCTAGCCCAATGATAGAATATTTGCACAGGGCCATTGCCCTACAACGATTAGAGTGCTCCTCCGTGAGTTAAAATAAAATCAGTATCTCTAGCCAAATCACTGTCCTAGTGAATTAAACAGGATAGTCGCTGTGTCCATGCATGAAGCAGGTGTTCCGGCAAACAGTAAGAGTATTCTGCAGGGGAACTGCTATCTAACGAAGATAGATCGACAGAAACATATGCCGCAGAAAGGCAGTAAGCTTCAGATAATATATCGTACGTATAGCTGACCTTTGCAGTCCATATACGGTGGCCATGTGACCAATTGCTTCTTTGCGAGTTAAGGAATGCCTTCCCTCGAGATACCGCTGCCATGATCGGCCTGACGTCAAGTTGCTGCATCCATGGCAGACGGAGCAAAGCTCTAATATTCAGGATTGCGTATGATGTGACCTCGCATATATCGTCCCATGCACCAGTACTCTCTTGTCCGAGCAAAAGGTCCGCGAGCAGTCAAGAGTCACTATAGGGATTTGGTCTTCCAAGTCCGGCAGAATCTTGAATACTTCCTTAGCCAAGTCCAGGTGCCGATATAGTGACTCGTAAGACTGTGCTAGCAACATCATAGCGTAGTACTTCGAACGATTCTAAGTTTCAATGTAAGTATATCTGCTGAGATTGTGACATGTGTAGCAGTCCCCTTACCCATTTATCTCCCCAGCGACTCGCGAGTGCGCGCGAGGTCAAATAGACAGTCGCTTTATGAATTTGAGAGACATAGCGAACCGGATCACTGCTCTTAAGAAGTGCGCTAAGTACATGGCAGTTCGTACTGAAGCTCGGGTACCGCTCTTTGGGGTAAGTTGTGAAATGGCTTTGCGTCTCGAAAGCGAGAAGACCGTCAGCACTTGGCGAGTATCCAAGACTACGGAGCGTTATCAGAGTCTTCGCAGCGTCGTCAGCGTCAGGGTATGATCCAGGGGCTTTTTCTGTCAGTATTCGTTTCGTCTAGTCTAGTCGTAGCGGATAATGATGAGCGCCACTTACCAAACCCGACGACGCCTTTTAGCTCCAGAGCTTGTTGCAGGAATGTCCCAACGGTTCTAGCTTCATCTTCCGCAATATGGAATCCAGCTCCTAAAAGAGTAGAAACTGTCTATGTAAGACGTCCGAATCGTTAGTTATCGTTGCCTGGCTGTTTTGAATGCATAAGATCATAGATCAATAAAGTCAACTAACCCAAGCAGTCTCAAAAAGAGATGAAGGAAAGGCAGAAGGTACTCCTCCGTCACCGTTTCCATACCCGAACTTCAATACATTTCTGAGGTATGTTTCGGCTGAACTGTCCCACGATGATGCATACATGAGATATGCAGCTGTTGATGATGGGGAACCCATCATTGACCCATTAGGCTCTCGCCAACGAGATATTTTATCGTAGTCTATATGTCCTATCAGGGCTTCGAGAGAGTAGTATAACGTAGAAGGAGTGTCGTAAACTGAAGTCGGAGACAGCATGGCCAGCTTCATTTCGCGAAACTTCCGGAGGTCTTCAAGTTTACGAGACTTCAGGATAATACCGTGATCGCGTAACAGTTCTACATGCTTGATAATCAGTATACCAAACGTCGCCTGATCAGCATTGTTGACATCCAAGGAATCAAGCATCCTGCCCAGAATTCGCTCGGCCTTTATACTCCTTGCCACCCAGTCGACATTCCCAGGAGACTCTTCTAAATGTTTCCTGAGAGCCAACAAACTTGCAGCGGTGTTCAGTATGCCATCCATGGATGTTGAATACGAATCCCAGTCGCCTAGTGGTTGTTGACACTTCAGAATAAAGTCAAAGCATTCCGGAAACAACCATTCTTGGCCGTCAGGTTTCTTTATCATTGCTAACCATGCAGTATCGTATATCGAGGATGACATGGAACCGAAATCGTCATTCTTGGAGCATCTCATAGCAAGCCTTGCAATGAGAGATTCTGCTTGAAGTGAGAGAGATGCCTCCATGGTGAGCGCGAAATGTCAAGCTAGTATCATTCCAACATTCCCGTACAAATGCGAAAGATTGGGTTTATGTCAAGAGTGGTATCTTGGGATGGGAAAGGGGCGCCTCTGCACCACACCTATAGGTGCGCTTATGTGATAAGGGTTATACACCTGGTGGCGGTGATGGTCAGCCATTCTGGTAATACGATCCGAGGGCACGGGAATTTCTGGCGACGGTTATGCATTGGAATCCGATCTAAAACTCGTATTGGTCACTTAACGCCAGCCATGCTGCCGCTCGGATTGCTATCGGCGAGTGGCTTCCCAGTTTTGCCAGGGTTGTTTGAATCGACACTACGAAAGCCAGTGAGCTTATGAGAATCAAGGAGCTTTACAGCGCAGTATCTGTCACGTACTTCTGCGCCTTTCATGATATATTGAACGCTCATTTGAAATGTAGCGAACTACTTCCCCAGAAGATCTTGTCGCGAATTTTGCAAGGGCCTATTATGTCGAGTTAGTACTCAGCGTGCTCGGTCGCATTCTAACTGCTAATTATATGACACACCATTTTAATAAAACCTTTAAGAAATAATCCTAGGGGCCGACCACGTTCTTTTTGCCGATGATCCAGCTCATTCGAAGGTTCTATAGCTCTGGTGAATATAGCTCGACAAAGGATAGCTAGCTAGCTTATCATAACAAGTCGGTGGAGGACATTGTTATACAAAAACGTAGCAGCTATGATCCTGTTTTCAGCGCCTTGCCTGCTGATGGGCAAGACTATACAAATGGCGTAATTGTGTATATTAGGATTGTCATCCAGATAAACGCTGATGGCATTGACCATTGAACGGGAAGAATGAGGTTGGGTCATTGAATCGTTTGATATTGCGTGATCATATTAAAGACCCTGCCTCCTTGGATACAGCCGGGAGGGTCCGTATCTCAGTTGCAAAGGTCTAGTACAGCATCTGAAATTAAAAAAATAGTATTTCTCATTTTAGTTCCATACATCATAACTCTTGACTCTTAAGACAGCGTAATTAATAAGAATCGGCCTCTGCCTGGATAAAAATACCACAATGATGATGATTGCGTGAAAGATACCTTAGGTAGGCAGATGCTGTGGTATTCAAGTACCTAGGTATGTGGATAAAAGCTGTGTGCCTAACCAAGATAGGCAATCAAGGGTTCCGCAGTCCGATTTGAATAGGTACCCGAGGGTACCCCACTCGCTATGCACGGGCCAGTAAGAGACCCCCGATATTCATGCCAAGATTTCACTGGAAGCAATCTACTCCACACGAAAAATCATCATGAGCGGGCCTGTTGACTTTCATAACATCCATATCCTATCATACATAATTACCCTCGTCCTTTCATACGTCCATATTGCTTCAACGGCGCGGCATCCTGTGCTGCTGGGAAGACGCACCTGGTGTGTTGCCTACGTTAATCACACTCTCGACGAAATAGCATATCAAGCTCCCGAGTTGACTGGATCGATTTTGTCCACCATGGCAGACTCGTCGCTCAAGGTTCGCGTCCCAAACTCCCCACGTTGCTGGCATCTAGGTTTCCACTAGAGCTATGTGGAAATTGGCTACGAGATTGGAGATTGGATCACTAACTAACATATCTGACTCCAGGAGCGTCTCCTCAATTCACAGAAGGCCTTCGATGGCTTGCTGTCCCTCATCCCCGCCAAGATGTACTATGGTGAAGATACAAGTGTATGTATCCCCCTTCTGTGTACACTTCGGCCGCGCTGCCTTATTCCTGCTATTTAAGGAACGCATTCATCTACTAGTCGCTACGAGAACTCAGTCACTCACTCTTCTGCTCCTCTACAGGATCAGTGGCAACGAAAAAAACAGACCAAAGCACAAGCTGCCGAGGCGAGACGAAACAAGCTCGATCCCGACAGCGCATTAAATCGAAGTGCTAAGGAGGTCATGGACGAGCAAGCCAGAAAGAAGCGGAAGCACGAACAGATGCAAGACGGCGATGACGACGAGTGGTCAGAAGTTGAAGGCATCGAGACAGAGAAACCCCGCCAAGGCATGAAACAGAAGACTGCCAAGGAATCAAAAAAGAAACAAAAGCAGGAGGCCGAAGAAGCCGAAGTGGACAAGAAGGAGCGGCGGAAAGAAGAAAAGAAAGCGGCGCGGAAAGAACGGAAGGCAGAACGACAACGCTTACGAGAAGAGGAGGCTGAGTTCAACCGGAGAACTGTCAAGGGTGTCAATAAGATCAAACTAGGCAAGCGAGAAGACAAGTCGAAGACGGTACCGGACGACGATGCATTACAGTCCAACTCTGCACATGAGAACCCCGCTCTAAACGGAGGAGACCTGGCCGAAGCAGACGGCCATGCGGTAGATCCCTCTTCGGATGCTGATATAGCCCACGACTCCGAGTCCATGGCATCTCCAACTGATACCCCACAATCCCCCGTGTTCGATATGAATGGAACACCGGCCGATTCTACGGGGCAGGCCCCTAGCGTCACAACATCTGTTTCTTCCACCGATCCAGCAACCGAGAAGCCGAAGCATATTAAGATACCTGCAGACAGCGCTGCACTGCGCGCTCGCCTAGCTGCCAGAATCCAAGCCCTCCGGGAGGCTCGGAAAGCTGACAGCAAACCAATCCGGACACGTGAGGAACTATTAGAATCTCGACGTCAAAAACAAGCAGAACGCAAAGCCCATAAAAAGGAACTAAGGCGGCAGGCTAAGCTAGAAGAAGAACGGAAGCGCGAGGAAGCACTGGCGTCGGCGCGCGAGTCCCCGGGAGGTATTCTCAGTCCGAATATCGAACTTGATGAGCAGCACAACTTTGCATTTGGTCGTGTTGGATTTGGAGATGGCTCACAGTTGTCCCACGACCTCACTCATGTTCTCAACAGAAATGCTAAAAAGGGGCCATCAGACCCTAAGACAGCACTTTTGAAATTTGAGAATCAGAAAAAACGGTTAGAAGCAATGGATGAAGAAAAGCGAAAAGATGTTGAAGAAAAGGAGGCCTGGCTTACTGCCAGACGACGAGCAGAAGGAGAAAAAATCAAGGATGACGAGAAGATGTTGAAAAAGGCTGTTAAGCGAAAGGAAAGCGCTAAGAAGAAAAGCACCAAGGAGTGGGCGGCGAGGAAGGAGGGCGTCGCAAAGAGTATCAAGGACCGACAGAACAAGAGGGAAGAAAATATCAAACAGCGTCGAGACGAGAAACTGCTCGGCAAGGCTGGCAAGAAGAAGGGCGCGAAGAAGACTAAAGGCCGAGCTGGATTTGAAGGCTCTTTCATGGGCAAGAAACGGTGATAGTTGCTGTCAACCTAATGAATCTGTTTCTAGCATGGGAACTATATTTCGGATCGTGATGAAACTGGCCCTGTGTATATATGATACCCTCCCTCTTTTAGGCTAGGAGACGGTGAATCCAGGCCTTTACAATTGTGTTCCTCTTGACTTGAAGGTCTATTGCTTGACACCACCATTATCTTCAATCGTCACAACCCATCATTGCCATATCTCGTCTCCCATACCAAGGAAAATGTTTACCGTTTGCCACAATTATATGGGACAAACAACCATGGCCAGATTTCACTGAGGATTCCCATCCAGCATTCATTTAGCAGTACATGGAACTTAAGGATGAGTTTGATTTGCTCCTCTCTCTCAACGTGGTTTCTGCAATCTACAATTGACGACATCAACCATATGCTCATATTAGGTAGAGCACACACACGCCATATGCTAAATCATAAGTTAATCACTCCTGATCCTGCAAAACGTGAACAAAAAAAAAAAAAAAACCGAATTTGTATCAACCAGGCACCACAAGGCGGACGCCAAACTACCCTTTCCCCAACATAGAGACAGCATGGCTAGGTTAGGTCAAGCTGTTGCAGTTTCTTTCTGTGTCGTATCTTATAGATGTGGACGATATCCCACCTACCTACTTCGTCCCTGCCAAGAACTCCATGCATCACGCAAAAATCACGAACAAGCATACAATCGCTTTTAAGATACCCATGGGAGCAGTGCAGATCCGGACCGCCTATCTCGACCCAACAAAAGCCCTCGCCGAGATGCACGGACAGAGCAGTTCTTCCTCCAGCAACACCACCTGCCTTGCCGGGAAATCGGGGCGTGCCATCACCGCCCTATCACACCCGCTATGCTGATGATGCTATTTGGCACAATGGACTATATATCCGGATCGGTTGGGACTTACCGCTGCTGATTTGCAATTGTTGAGAGACGAGAGGGGAATATATATAACCAAGCTTTGATCATGAATTGTTTGTGAATGAGTTGAGCTTCCCATCAGACTGCGTACACATTGCACGTCACACACAAACATAGCGTGTAGTAGTAGTCAATCGCTAAGCACCTCACCATGCGGTTCCCAACGGCAACACTCCTCGTCCTCGCAACCCAATCTATGGTAGCAAGCGCGAAAGACCCCGTCGTCGGCCCAGTCAATGGATCCCTCGTGGTAGTTGGAGGTGGTTCGCTTTCCGACTCGATCTACCAAGAGGTCATCAACCGCGCAAAAGGCGGCCCGATCATCGTGATCCCTACCGCAGACGAACAGCCCACGTACGACCAGAACGCCGCTGGCGCCGCGACATTCCGCCGTCTAGGCGCATCGAGCGTGACCGTTCTGCACACATATGACCCGAAAGTCGCCGACACAGACGCCTTCGTCGCGCCCCTGCGCAACGCATCGGCCGTCTGGTTCGGCGGAGGCAGACAGTGGCGCCTGGTAGACGCCTACGCAGGCACCAAGGCCGAAGCCGCCTTTCAAGCCGTGCTCGACCGCGGCGGCGTCATCGGCGGCAGCTCGGCGGGCGCGAGCATCCAGGGCAGCTTCCTGGCGCGCGGCGACACCAAGACGAACCAGATCCTCGTGGGCGACCACACCGTCGGCTTCGGGTATCTGCGGAACGTCGCCATCGACCAACACGTGCTGGTGCGGGGCCGCATCTTCGACATGTTCGAGATCCTGAAGGTGCGGCCCGAGCTGCTCGGCTTCGGATGCGACGAGAACACGGCGCTCGTGGTCGACGGGGACGACGCGCACGTCATCGGGGCGACGTACTGCGCGATCTACGACGGCGGCTTCTGGGCGCGCGAGGGCAGCGCCGAGAAGAATCTGCCGCCGAGCGATCAGCTCTTCTACTTCTTGAGGGCTGGGGATAAATATAATCTCGCTCAGCGCAAGGTCGTTCAATAGAGTTTTGATGGCGAGGAAAAGCCATGAGACTGGGTGGAATTGAGTGGATTGTGTACGGTATGAAGTTTTGTCACTGCTTCTACTTGAATAGCACCAATTTACTTGATACAGAACAAATGCTTGACAGCCGTGTCTGATGTGCATATGATCTTAACACTGCCCGGTCTTGCTTCTGAGTCTGCGTTGCATTCATTGTCCCATATCAGCATCAATATTGCTTTGAAAGAGGTGGTGCATTCGGTTGTGCCGGCGCCCTAATTTTTCCAGCTCAAAATACTCAGGTACTTATAGGTTGTATATCTTGTTATTACCTAGGTACGGTTGTATATAGAAATCAGAACAACTGCGGTTCAAGATGATCAAATGCATACATACAATTGCTCATGACGAGTCTATACTCATGAAGGTGCTACTATTGGTTGATACTTCGCACGACAAAAATGACTATTATATAAGTAATAATAAAGACAAAACTTGCATCGACTGGGGCACATGGTCTAGTGGTATGATATTCGCTTTGCATTCTCTACAGTTCTGACTGTCTAGGTGTAATCTGCGAAGGGTCCGGGGTTCAATTCCCTGTGTGTCCAAAGTTCTATCTTTTACACTTTTTGCTTTTTTTTTTCATAACGTATCTGACATCTCGTCCCTTTCTGGTTTGATTTGTCACTTCTGCTGTTTGAATAGGCAGCACGGGAACAATTTCTAGTAGGACTTTGTCTTAATCTCACTGAGCAGGTAATGTTAGCTTTTTTAAGTGTACTAGGTAGGGGTAAAGAAGGTATAAGATGATCTTTCATAACTATCCGTGATTCAACTAGTTTTCATTTCTACGTGAGGGTTAACGAGCTATTTATATAGTGAGGTAATAATCATTACTTGTGGTGAATGTTTCATGTTTATTAGTTCTATGAACAAAGAAGAAGGTATCTTACTACTACTCTTCTAGACTCGCCTTTTCTTTCTCCTTCTCCTCTCTAGGCGGCTCCGCATCAGCGATCTGTCTCTCTGCATCTTCAAGAAAACTCATTCTTAGTGGCGCCGGGACTTTCATTCCAAGGAAGATTTTCATCACGACCATCGCTGCCAATCTTGGCTCTAGCGGGTACGGTACGTCCTGGCCTTGAATCAGCCGGATCCGGTACTCGTCGAGGTCATCGGGAAGTCGAAGCGTGGCCTCTCCTACTGCTTCTTTCATGCGACAGTTACATTGTGTAACGTGCTTCATTTTGCAGTGGTTAAAGATAAACTGTGTTCCATGGCGGCTACGAAAGTAAGTTCCGTGACAACCACTTTCGGGGTTTCCGATGATGATTTGCGGAGCTGTATTTCCTGCTGGAGGCCTGAAATCTTTCACAGCGTCGCAGACGCCCTGGCGGAGTTCAGATTCTAGAGCAAAGGGTAGGTACTTTGAGGGAAATGGTCCTCTTCTAGATGAGAATGACGGCATTGTCTCGTGTGCTGGAATATGTCTTCAATATTTGCGCTGCGCGATAATGTAAAAAACTGGATGTGTAAGTTGGGCTATATGTGTTGGTCAATAAAAGTTGTGGTGGTCAATGGTTGAAAAATGTCTTCCTTGGAAATCCGGCTGTTTAAATAAGCATTTGATATATACAACAGCCGTGGTATGGACAAAGCATCCGTACTGTTTCATCTATGCAGTAATGATACAAACTTGTATCAAAGCCTTTGATTAGTATTGAACCTAGGAGTCGAATTTCAAGCCACCGGTAGTTGTTATGTGCACCTCCGCCTCCTACCAAAAATTGCCTTGCTTCCTATATCCACAATGGCGAACACATTGAAGCCGAAAGTATAGTGTATATAACAGAAAACAATGGCATTGTTATGGAGCAAGACTCGAAGGGTTCTTTGTCATGACGTTTCAGTTATAACCTGTGGAATTCCCCTTTAAGAGCTGAATAGTTCTAGTCGATGTTTTATAGATACATTTCAGAAGTAACATAGCCGATACGCAGAAATTGCATAGCAACCAACGAACTAGTAAAGTTTTACACTCCAAACATTTATATCAAGATGACTACAATAACAGCAACTCCCATGCTCCCCCATGAGGTTGAGATTCACCTCGCATATGAGCAACTGAAAACCCACGCATGGGATAACTTTCACTACCGTCTAACACAAACAGACATAGAAGAACTCATATTTTCTGATATGTGGGGTTCATTAGAACAATTTATAGAATACATGGGGCAAGAGGGCGTGAACGTAGGCACGCCCATCGAAGGCACAGCGAACTATAAGCCCCCTCCCACGACACAACTGTATACAAACGAGGAATTAGCAGCTATGGACGCATTAATTCTTCCCCTAGACTATGCTATATCTCCTAGAAGTATAGACGAGCAAATAGAGGCTTTCGAAAGGCACAATCCCTTAGAAGACCCAGACGACGAAGACATTGACGCTGAGAGTGTTTTTACAGACTATTCTGGTGACACTCTTCCACCATATGATGGTATTAAGCTCCCACCCTACCAGGCCAACCTTATTGAGCACATTTATATATGCAATGAGGCTTCGTCCAATCTACCGAAGAACTCTGGCAGCTCCTGCACCACAGACTCTGATCCTGAGGTCCAGAGGAGGAAGAACCCCTTCGCAAAGATCCGCCCCCGTATATCGTCCAAAGCTAAACGGCTTAGGGAGAAACTACGCTTCCGTAAGGATGGAATATCTACTATGGAAGAACCAACCAGGACGGTGTTGGAAAATTTCCCAGGAGAACGAATACTCGAGTCTCGGAAACTTGCTGAAAAGCTCAGCCACCTTTCGCCTCAGCGGGCACTGAGGCGAGTCAGAGATTTCATTACCTTCCGCAGTTCACGCTTCGGTTAACTTCTCCTAGTATATATTTCCCCTCTTCTTACTTTTCCCCTTTTATACCTTCAGCTATATCTATATATATCAAAGGTACATCTGAGTAGATTTCCATTCTTCGCTTTATTCTCTTCTCGATTCTCCACTACTTCATTCTACGTATAGTAGTATCTGTTCACAAGCATATGGCTTTATTCACGCTGGTGGGCGGCGTGCCGTAATCGGTGAGCTTTCATGCTCACACAAAAGCTTTTTCAAGAATAATTCATGACGCATATAGCGTTCAAAATCGTCTACGGAATTATATAATTTCTCACATGTTGCCCGGCAAGTTCAACGTGAACCCGCCGTCGAGAATGGTGACCGTGCCCCAGAGGAAGTCATTGGTAACAAGAGTGAGGATGACCTATTTCAAGTTAGTACTTATAGCTACACCTCACTCCACTTTCCAGGTGTCCCTATAGCTTGCGACTGCTCAGAAGGATTTGGAGTCTGCGAAACAATTAAAGCAGAACTTACACTGGCAATTTCACGCGGTGACCCCATCCTCTTGACCGTCTTCACTCCCATCGACTGCAAAAAGGCGCGGAACTGCTCTACATCGTAGTTGCTTTGGTTATCGTCGTTGGAAGCGCCAGTGGTCATCTCGGACGGGAAATATCCTGTTCAGTAGAGCAGAATACGTTAACCAGTCTTGTTGTACCTAGAGAGCAAGACTACAGCTATGAAACCAGAATAGCTACTAATGAACGAGTGGTAGTAGGAAAATAGGAGCATACATACCGAGCGCAAGTCCGTTCACTCGGACATTGATGTTCTCATGGCTGAGATCATACGCCATTTGACGCGTGACGTGGATTGCAGCAGCCTTGCTGGCCTATAGCGCCCGTTAGAATTTGCCATGAAAAGCAAAGAAATGGGAGTGAGGATATACATTATACGAGTACTGGGAGTTCTGCGTCCTACTTCATAATTAGCCAAGCGGCCCCAGTATTCTGTATTTTTGCAACCGGGTTTCATATATCCGCCTGATGGCTCCTTCGGAATATAGGTATACTACTCGACCCACGTTATACGCCCCGCGTATAGTCCCAGGTTTCCGCTGAATCGACATATGCCCAGGAGTCTGAAAAGAATACTCACATGCGCAGAAGCCCGCTGATGGAAGCATTGTTGATCACGGTACCGACTTGCTTTGCGGGGCTGCTGATCGCCTTTGCTAACAGTGGCAAGAAGGCCGCGGTCACGAAATAGGGGGATGTGGCGTTCGTGAGGAAACCTGAAGAATGTTAGTCAAATACCCTGAAGCTGACACCGCGTGACTTCAAAGAGTTCATTCGTAGTCCCTGATGCGATAACCACGGAATTAACGCGATAGTGCGCAAACGAGTAGACTTTGAACAGCCTCTAACTCGACAAACCTCATGACCAGGGCTGCGAGGGAGTGTAGTATAACGAAGCGGAAGGAAACGTAAACCAATAAGTGAACCCAAGCCGTGGACGTACTCTGCTGCCAATTATCCTCAATCTCCTCAGCAAACATCGCCGCACCAAATGCCTCCGGTCCATCAGTAGGCTTTGCAGCAGGCCTGCTCTTCCAAACGCCAGCATTGTTGACAAGACTATCCAAGAATCAAGTCAGCATATCAGCACACCGCGACGCTCTTCCCAAGTATAAAAAGCCAACTCGAACAGATAGGATCATGCAAGCCAACATCAAGCGGCGGAAGTAAAAGCAGACAGGGGCGCAAAGACACTCACACATTAAGGTACCCCTCTTTCTCTCCGATCTTTGCGGCTGCGCTCTTTATGCTCTCCTTATCCGTGACGTCCATAACAAGCGGTAATATCTCCCCGGCGTGTTCGCCCAGCTGATCCTTCGCGCCATGGAGTCGCGCGCTCGTCTCGAGGACATCGGCCCGGCGACCGGTGATGTACACCTTTGCGCCATTAGCAGCGAGCGTCTGCGCAATCACTGCCGAAAAGGCATACCTCGTTAGACATATTTCCAAACCAGCATCAGCCTTGATTAATAGGACGCGTAGGGGAGCGACGGACGGAGGCAGCAGAGGTGAAAGAAAGTAAGTGAATTCAGGGGAGGTGACGTACTTAAGCCCACGCCCGTGCCTCCTCCGGTTACTATGATCAAGATATCGAATAATCAGCTTACACCCAAAGCGACGAAAATAAGCGTAAAAGTGGGAGAGGTATCACAGGGAAAGTGATAGCCAAAGAAGGGAGGGTTTTCAAAAAAAAACACGAACCGACAGCGACCCAATCCTTCAGGCCGAAGAGAGCAGCAGCAGATAGGGGGTGAGGAGCATCCATTGCGAAAAGAAGCAAAACTACCAAGGACGACAACGAGATGTACACGAAGAGTCCAGCGAGTAGAAATAGTGAGTGCGTAAAGACACTTTACGCCAAAAAGACGAAGAAAAAGGGGGAAAGGGGTAGGAAGAGAGAGAAAGCAACTTCTTATAAATACGAGAGCTTAGGACCTGTATGTATGTATTACTAGTAACCTGCCTCGAACCAATCACAATATTCCATTCGGATTTAGCGATAACAACCCCGCTTACATGATCAGGAATAGAATAAGAGAAGGAGGGAAAGGAGAGGTAAGGTAAGGTAAGGTAGGGAAGCGATCTTCCCGCTCCGGAAGCAGACAGAGCTCACTTACACCGGGGGGCGCCTCGACCACTTTGTGTGTGTGCGCGTGCGAGCGAGCGAGCGAACTTGTCTGCCAAGCTCGTCGCGAAAGTGGAACCAGATTGCACCAATCAAGATACCGTAATTCCCGATTCTAGCACGCAAGAGAGAAAGCTAAAGCACCATGGGGGAAAAAAAGTAAGCCTACATCACGATGATGACTATTCCTCCTCGGTCAGGTCAGGGAGCCGAGGTCGAAAAGTTCTAGGAATAGCTGATTAAGAATTCATATCTTGAATCTGTATTGAGCGTAGCCATACACAGCGCTTTGCGAGTTTTCTTTTGGTGAAAATAAAAATAAAAATAAAAAAAGGGTTTCCGAACAACTAACGAATACACGCCCCTTCAATGCCTCCCCGTTTCTACCCCGCTTACAGACAAGACAAGACAAGATCAGACCAGACCAGACAGACCGTGAACCGTGGTATTATCGCAGCAGCAAAGGATCTAAAAAGAATGCAAATGCCAGCAACTTCTAGTGGCCTGGGGTTTAGATCCTAGATCACCCCAGAATGCGTCGGATCCCTTAGGACCTCGTGTGTTGTTTACACAGTTCGATGCTTCACCTTAAAGAGTCCCTACTATAACCCAGCGAATTTCGGACTGCTAGGCTGCAGTACATTATACGATGGCGTGCCAGACGACTTTAGTAAGTTGGCCTCGCGTTCAGCCTTTTCCCGATCCATCTGTGCTCTATCGGCTTTCGTCATGCGAGGCTTGCGTGTTATGCCACCTCGTGAGCCGGGACCACCACCACGACCTCGTCCAGTGCCGGTAGCAGCGCCCCTGCTTCCACCACGTCCACCACGGGAGCCTCGACCGCGTTTAGGAAGGCCATCACCCCTATACTTTGTTAGCTTCGCTCTACCCTTGTCAAGTAATTCCACATACCGTCCTGGTTCAGGTTTTTCAATCTCGCGGACTAAGGGACCCGAGTAGACGAAAAACCCATCCCTACTCGCTGCTGCCTGCTCTTCCCATAGTAGCTCTGAGTCGTCAACGAAGTCGTCATCTCTATCGTATTCGTCTTCCTTGAAATGCCTCTTCTTCTTGGCTGGCTTGCCATCAGTAGCCTTGTCGGGGCCACTTGTACCGCCCATCTCGACATTAGAGTCCTCATTATCCGACTCATCCACCGACATCTCATCACCTTCTCGGCTGGAGTCGTTTTGTGCTAACGCTGCGGAAGCAGCAGCGATACGCGCTTTACGAGCCTTGTGCTCTGCCTGGCGTGGGTGCAGAGCTTCCCAGCCGTACACTTCCTCGGCCATTCGCATGAAGTTGACGTATTTGTTGGTTTCGCCATTCAGGGGGATATTCAAAACGATAGAGGGTACAACAAGCTCCGAACCGGGCTCAGCCCTACCAAAATCGAGAATGGACCGTCCCGGAACTGGGTCTATTGACTCTTTGGCGGGGTGAATGCGAGGTGAAGATGATGTTGCACTGTAGTTCTTAGAGGCGGCTCGTTTGGCGCCGGCAGCTCCGATAGTGGTTATAGACGTGGGACGAATTTCTATCTTGGAAGCGGCTAAGGCTGATAAAGGGGTCGCGGGCTTCTTTGACTCCACTGCAGGCGGTTTGGGAGCGGGGGGAGGTGCAAAATCCCTCCTGAAAGGATTGGGCGAGGCGGGCACAGAAGCAGAATCTTGCTGTGGGCGGGATTGTGTTTGAGGTTGTGAATGATTTTGCTGCTGATTGGTGGCGAAAGAAGTATGGGATGGTACAGGTGAAATAATATTTGGCATGGGGGGGTCAACCAGACTAGCAATTGAAGGCGATGCACTCGCACGATTTAGGATATTTGTGTTATTTGGCCCGTGTGGCGATCCCAGTGCGCTTTGATAACTATGAGAGACCATCGTCTCTCTCACAGGGTCATAATTAGAAGAACGAATAGGATCATATGCAGTGCCGCTGGTTCGGGGGGTTACAGTAGGCCTTGGCGGTGGCGGCTGTGGCTGTTGCTGCTGCTGATATGGTTTCGGTTCCGGGTCGGCGTTTAGAATGCTCGACATGGAGCCCGGCATTGACTCTCGCTTTGGCTCTCTCTGCGGTATCGGTTCCAAGCGTCCCATTGTGGTGGCCATCTCCGTAATTTTAGGCTGACGAGATGCAGCGCCGGCTGAGGCGGGACCAGCTGGTGAACTTGCGGCTCGTGGAGGAGCGTCAACGTTCTCGCCCTCAGCAGCGCCCGCCGTCTTACGGCGCCGCTGCGTAGGAGGCGCATTTGGGTCCTTGGGTTTCCGAGTGCGTTTTGGTTTCTCAGAACCTTCCTCGGCATTGGCACTATTCCGTTTGATCCGTGAACCGGGTTTAGGCCCTGGCTTCCGCCTGGGAAGGCCGTCCTTGGTAAGGAGAGGCTGACCCGACCCATCATATCTGATGGTGGATGGGTCGACTATGATCTCATCAAGTTCTCCTCCATTTGGCTTGGATTTTGTAAAGCCGGGGGATGTTGGTGCAGAAAGCATGGAGGGCGGATCCGACAATTCGGGTGAAGAGCTGAATCGTGTACGGTTGCCGGATGCTGTGGCCATTTCAGCAGAGAAGGAGACTTATAGGAAGATTGAATTGATCAAGAGTTGATCCAAGTAAGTAGAGTTATGCCAGAAGTTCGCATAGATTGGCTGATGAATGAACGGCTCGTGAATTCCCGCTTAGTGATTACACAATGGATATTAGAGATCCTTTGATACTCATGAAGCAGACTGAATGGGTCACACAAGTTGACCAGGGATTCAAGCCGTTTACACGAAATGTCAATGAGGCTGATTAATACAACGTCAAGGTCACGCGAACCTCTGAAGAATGAGATGTCAGTCCTGAGATTGGTGAGATTCTTCCGTTTCAAGATCCAGGCGTGTGGCTGGAGACGCAGCAAGCGCGGCTTGAGCGCGTTATGGTCTCTTGGCGTTTTAGAAAGCAATTGAGTTACTTTTCAAGGTTACCTAATGCTAGGGAGGTATAGATTAGTAATGCAATTAATTAGATGCACCTAACTGCTCGGGGGCGTAAAGGGCAGCTTGTTGGAGTGTTTCTTCCTAGTGGACGCGACACTCTGGTGTGGTACCTGACCACCGAAGGGGAATCAGGAATTGGGAATTGAGAATTGGAGATAGGAGATTGGAGAGAGAGGGTTGATAATGCCAGTGAACTTACCCAGTTGGGTATGTACTTAAGCAGACGCTAGCCCGCCGCGGGCTGGGAGCAGCAGCAGAGTAAGTACTTACTACTTAGTAAGTGCTGAAACAAGTAGCAAATAGGTAGGTAGCAAGTAGCACGGGGAAAGCAGTGCCTAGCTGCAGCTGGGAGCTGGGGTGGGACTTTTGGTGTTGGTTAACTTGAAGTTACTTGGGTACGGTACCAGTAGGCAGGTACTTCAGGTAGGTACTTGAGGTACTTAAGGTACTTTGTGTGTTTCAACGCTGGCACCAAAGCAATGTCGAATTCTGATTGGTCTCTTCGCCCACCGGTCATCGACTGGTCGCCAATGGGCCGCAGATAGATGGCTGCGAGTCCGTCCCACGGGAACAGAGAGAGACAAGACAGAAGAAGAAGAAGACAGTCGGATAGTCAGACAGTCAGACGAATTGCTGGATATGGATGTAGATATGGATGTAGATATGGATGTGGATGTGGATGTGGATGTGGGTGCTCGCTGTACTGTGTATAGGTAGGTATGGTGCTGAGGTAGGTACCTAGGTAGGTACTTATACCGGATGTGTATACAACGGGATGGATGTACCTACACTAAGGCTCGTACGTACAGGTCAATGTCGGTAAGTAACGTGACCTCCACTCTCCGGTCGGCCTGTCGGCGCGCGTTCGTGCGCTGCTGCAACACTGCCTAGCCTAGGCTGGGTGCGCTGAACTTGACTGAGCTGGCGGATCTGAATAACTTCACGAGAATCCCAACTACGGCACTTCGAAATCCTCCACCGCGACACGCCGCACGCCTGTAGCGCTGTGAGATGGACGCCGGCGACGGTGCAGGACGTCGGATCGAATGCACAAAATTCCGATGCACGAAATGCACGCACAAGATTAATGGAAAGAGGCGGCGCAACAATGGTTCTCGATGGGAAAGTTGCTAAAATGGCATTTTGGCGGTGTTGGTGGTGTTGGTGGTGTTGGTGGTGAGGATAGGTGGTTGCAGGTGGTTGGGGAAGAGGAGAGAAGAGTGAAAATGGGGGTTTGGCAGAGAAGGGCGGGAGGGATGGGATGGGGATGGCTACGTTTTGCGAGAATTCGGCAACTTTAGCAATTAGCAGCTCTCCAACGAAAAACGGGGCTGACTAGAAACCTCAGTTGATCTATCTGAGAGAATCGGGCAGAGTTGGCAGGGAAATTTTCTGATTGTTAGAAAAGCCCGAATTAGAGATGGCACTAGAGTAGGCAAGTAAGTAAGTAAGCCTCTTGGGGGGGAAAGAAGGGGGGAAGAAGGGGGGGGGGGGGGGGGGGACTTCTGTCTGTCTGTCTGTCTGTGGATTACCTTACCTACTACTGTGTGATGAATAGGATGGGATGGGATGGGATGGAGCAGGGAATTGTGAGAACTAACCACCTAGAACTAACGAGCCAGGGGACCAAGGACAGGATTACACCGGGATTACACTACGCTACGCTACGCTGGATGAGAGAGAGTGTGAGGGTGGTCATGCGAGCCGGCCGGACACGAGAACGAGAGAAACGGGAAACAGGAGATAGAGGGAGTGAGAGAGTGAGTGAGGGAGGGGGGTACCGGTACAGGTAGAGAATACAGGGTAGAGAATGGGAGATAGACAGACCGAAGGGATGATTAGTACCGGGCAGTTGGCAGGTAGCCATGAAGGAATTATTACATACATAATAAATACTTACATACTTACATACGCGCAGACGACAGGCAGATAGAGAGGCAGGGTCGTCGGTCGGCCGGTCGGTCTCGGCATCTATAGCCAGAAGTGGGAATTATAGTAAGGGCCATTGGCCACTAATTCACTTTCTGATGGCCGTAGAAACAGCATCGAATCATCATCCGATGAGGGTGTGGTCGACAGATAGAACAGGGGGCGTGGGTGTATATAAAAAGTATATATGTATGTATGTATACTATGTAGGGGGGTTGCACTGCACCACCTAATAATTCTTCCTACAAATACCTACCTACATACTACACCTGGGCAGTGTAATACCTACAGGTAAATGGCGCTGAGAAATACTTGAGACTACCTAGGTATGATACGTACAATACCTGGCCATAGCTGATCTCAACAGGGTCCGTCAGAGGGAATTTACGGAATAGGAAGGCATCTAACGAGAGAACCACGGTTAGAATTGTTGTCTGAGAGAGATGAGACGAGGGAATGGAATACCTCGGTACTTACTTCCTACCTTACTATGGACTACCTTACCTTACTACTACTATGAAGTATGTTCCCAAAAGCAAGCTAAGCGAAGCTAAGCTTCCAACTTGTAAGTATGTCCAAGCCAAGGTTTCCCATTCAAGGACCATTCAAGGACCCCTGTGTTGCAGGTAAACGGGGGGGGACATGTGGTCTGTGTGTTTTACCAACTTATTAGTAGGACATGATGTATATTCCTTCTGTATATTCTATATTCTCCCCCCTAAATGTACCTGTCGAGTGTGATTGGTTGGGGAAACAAAGTAATACTACGCACTACTGTAAATCATTTAGAGTATACCTAGGTAGATGATATCATATCACACCATGCGACCCTACTATGAAGTTTATCATTCACCTACGTATAGGTATGTATGTACATACCTAGTAGATGTGTAATGGCGTTTTGCGCTGTCCCTGTAATTAGATAAACTGAGATGAATTGTGCCCCCCTGCATGTTTGTAGATATACCTAGGTATTACAGGCTGATAGTTGAGCCAAGTATATGTGCTTCATACAGGCTACACAGCGTTCAGTGCCGGCGATCGCATAAGTTTAATTGCCTCAAGGTTAGTTGGGTACACATTTACTATGTACGTATGTAGATATGTAGATACTTCAGTAGGTTACACGTGTGCTTACTGGGAAGAAATTAATGTCCTTCGTATATACTATTATGTCACGGTACCCACGCCACGCTACACTACGAGGTACACACACTTACAGTAGGTATACACACACTAGGTACACGTAGAGCATGTTTAGTTAAGGTCATTACAGTAACAGGGGTCCATCTTCTGTGGGGGAAAGGAACGGCGAAGAAAGGTGAGCCAGTCAATAGTGTCGGATATACACTACACAAGAAGTACTATGTACTGGTCCTACAAGAATTGCTGATTGAATTTGCATGCATACGGCTTGGCGGCTTGGCAGAACATGTGTATGTAAGTGTGCCCATACTTACATACATACCTAACGCATAGGAGCTTGAAGGCTTGAAGAGAAAGGTTCTTGCTTGAGCCTCTCCAGAAGAGGAAACGCGCTAGTGCAGAACAGATCAGATCAGAGGATGGTGAGCAGTGCGCACACACCACAGCACACACTGACAGGGGGGATCTGAGGGGGCTGATAGGGCAGCACAGAACTCCATGCACACGACCCATGCCCGCCTAAGTACTGCCCGGCTACTGTGGTAGGTAGGTATGCCCACCCTGGCTCGGTACGTATCTTCAGCCCAGATGAGTTTAGAAGTTTTTAGGCTGACTCCACATGTTCCAGCCGCAGATTTTGACGCGAGATAACCGCGTGCATGTGACAGGGTCCCGCGGCAGATCTAAAAAGGGAAGCAAGAGGAATGCCATCTCAATACCATGTAAAACAACTCAATTGAACATGAACTCAACCAACCCCATCGGGAAGAGGGAGAAAAGAAACAAGAAACATGTTATAACCGAAACATCCACAACCGTAATATAGTATCGTGACCTCAGCATATGGGACGATAGACTACACTATCCAAGGCAATGCAGTGGAGCACTTTGTTGTCATATACACAGTCTATAGCCTATGGCGCGTACTATGTGAAACAAGAAGCTAGCAAATCAGAAATGCCGCCTCCTCGGGAGTGGGCATTACCAGGTGCATGTAAGCGGTGATGCGCCAAGGTATCCAGAAGCATGGATGAAGAGGAGAACTGGATACGAGTCGAGAGTCAACTAACAGATAGCAAACATTACGTAACTACCTTCATTCCTATCCAAATTGTACCTAGAAGAGATGTTGTCTGTATTCATCAATTGGTAGGTAGGTAGGTACCTATGTACTTTTTATGTCTCAGCGGCGCAGATCGGGGTCCGCCTATCGGACATTAACCCAATGCAATATGATTCGGCTACTAAGCGACCTAGCGCTTGTTGGTTTTATAGAAATTCTGAAAGTGGGGTCGGAGATGCAGGTGTGACTTTTGAGTTGTCCCAGATAAGCATAGTTCGAAGCCAGCGTCACAGTGCAGCCATCATATAACGCATACGGTATAGACTAGGTTTATCGATCAGCCACAATCGAGGGGCAGCAAGCCTGTGCCTTTGCCGGCTGGGTGGGTACTTCGCTACTTACGTAGGCAGCCTAACACCATTTGCATCATTGCCATCGACTGAAGCATTTCACTACTCATTACCTACTCCGTAACATCGCCTTGTGATCTAATAATGGCTTCATCACCTTTTGTCCTCGACATCAAGGAGAAAGAGATAAAAGAAGCCAAGGCACCATCTTTCCCTCAGATCAAGCCAGGCGCCTCGGGATTTCCAGAACACAAAAAACGTAGCAAACCATCGGCATTCAAACAGAAGCGACAGGGCCTACAACCTGACCATCAGATACCGAAGGTCCCTTCCTCGCCTCCAAACAATAAACCTCTCGGGTCATCACATCATGAATCGAAACCTGCGCCCTCGGGCCAGAGCTTCATGGCCAACGAGAAGATCAACATAGATCGCGAGAACAGCCAGAAACTAGCATCCATGTCGCCGCAAGAAATTGAAGAAGCGCGACGAGAGCTATTTAGCGGTCTAGACTCATCCATACTCGAAAGGTTGTTGAAGCGCGCGAATCTTGATGAGGCTGCTAATATCTCAAACTTCGATGACCTAAACCTATCTTCAAAACCCTCGCCTTCGACGGTGGCGGAGACGGTGTTCGAGACAGGCGACGCACCAGAAATACGAGTAGAGGATACATCTGCCGACACAGATATGAAGGCTACTATAAATCAAAGCCCAAAGGAACAGAGCACCACGATTGCGCAAAGCGACACAAAAACAACACCTCCGAAACCATACGTTTCCGATGATACAGACGAGCGCGAAACGCCCCCTGATCAGACCACCGATCCAAAAAATCACAATCCAGCCGTCGACGATGACAGCGCACCGAAAGAGCCTCCCAAAGAACACATAATCGACCCGTCTGCCCCCGAGCTAGAAGGCGCCCACTGGCCTCGTGCGCCACAACCCGCAGACCTCGACCCTTCAGATCCAAACTTCCTCCAAAACCTGCACGAGAAATACTTCCCGTCGCTCCCGGCCGACCCATCGAAGCTAGCCTGGATGGCGCCCATCCCGACACCGAACTCGGCCGCGGACCGCGACAGCCCGTACTACCCAGGGCAGGACTCGCTGCCCGTATCAGCGCTGCGCTTCGACTTCCGGGGCGCGCTTCTGCCGCCGCGCATCTCGCGCGCCGTGCCGACGTCGAAGGGGCTGCACCACCACGGCGAGGCGCCCGAGGCGGCAGGTTACACGATCCGCGAGCTGGCGCGACTGGCGCGCAGTGCCGTACCAGGCCAGCGGTGCGTGGCGTACCAGACTCTCGGGCGGATTCTCTACCGGCTAGGCGCGGGAGAGTTCGGGGGCGTCCACCCGGACGACGTGAGCATGGGCATCTGGCGCGAATTCTCCGAAGGCGCCGTGCTGCGCAGTCTACACGAAGAGGTCGGCGCGGAGGAGGGTCGCGGTCGCGGGCATCGCAGCGCGAGGGCGTATGCGACGGAGGCGATCTGGCTCTTTGAAAAGGGGGGTTGGAAGGATAGGTTGAAGAAGGCCTGATTAAATTCAAATCCAAATCCAAAAAAATAAACCAAGCAGAAGAGAAGGGAGATAAAAATCCGTAATTCCATACCTTGCCAATGATACCACCACCACATTCCTCATTCCTTTCTACACAGTGAGATAAAAGGATTCATCACCGAGACTACAAGAAGAAAAGCAAATCAAGTTCTTCATCACTAGTTAGTACAGACACGAATGGAAAAACATACAACGCAAACCAAGTACGTATAGGTAAAAAAGTTCAAAAACAAAAAAGGGGTTTTTACTCCGGTGGTAGAAAAAGAACGATTTTTGAACACGGTGATTTGCTTGACGACAGACAGACAGACAAAATACAAGGCCATAGAAAACCAGTAGGTAGTTAAAAAGCCCCCAACCAGTCCAGTCCAGTCCAGTCCGGTCACAAAAAGAACAACCAAATTAAACCGCCCAACCGTGCTAGGATAGGAACCCCCTTCCGTCTTTCCCCCCTTTCCTCTACGCTCTTATTTCTCTCCCTTTTTTCGAGGGTCCCTCCTTTTTTTGCGTAGTAGACAGTTTTTCTAGACCATCCCATGAAAGGGTAGCGAGTGGGGTTAATATGAACTCATTCATTTTGACTTTACCCCCCACCCCTCCTTCTCCCCGGTATGGTAATTCGTGTCCATCAAAGTGAACCATGCCTTTCAAAATTGCATCTATCCATTGACCCGTACATCTACCAAGCAGATTCGTTCCATCGACCCATCACAGGGCTGCTTACACATCCGAGCAGGTGTGGCCAACACCCCTTTTCTCCTCTGCCTTGCCCTCTCGATCAAAGTGTTGGGGAGATTACTAGTCTCCCGTCATGTGCCATGGTACGAAGCCACTGTGTTTGCAGCTTCTCGTATCGATAATAGTATTAGAAATGAGAGAGTATTTGATGAGGGCTCAGTAAGAGACTGCCTCCCTTATAATTGGAGAGCAAACATGAGGCTTTTAGGTAATTCAACTTTATAGTAGTGAATCGAGGCGGGTGAAGACGCTTAGGCATGCGGCAACAACTTCGAGTTGAAGCTCCTTATTCTTGGCACCGTTGATCTCCTATGATGTAGTCATGGTATTAGGGACCGTTGCGACGAGTAAGTGGGAAGAAGTAGTAGACTTACCTCGGCAATAACCTGGGGAACGTTGGCGCCGATACCGGTGGAGCTTGGTTTCCGGCCAAATGGCCATTGTGAATACTCTGCAAGCAGCTCGTCTGTTTGGGTGAAGGCGCGTTCGCGAGCCTCGTGACCAAGAGTGGTTAGAGCATTCTCGAGCACATTGGCAGCGTAGGCAGCGCAAATCATGGCGATAGTGCGAGTGTATCGGAATTCAAGGGTTTCGGGAAGGAATTGGGAGCCAGGCAGGACGACAGTGCGTTGAGTGAGGACGTTCCTAACGCGCCTCCGAATCTCATCTTTAGCACCGCCGTCGGCCACAGGGTGTGTAGCCATGTCGAATAGGAGAAAATTGCGCTTTTCGGTTCGCAAGATACCCTTATCAACAAGACCTTTGCAGAGACGTTCCCGAACCTGTTTCAACTGATAGCCGATCTTCATCAGGTTCCAAGTCTCGCCTAAAGCACCGGAGAATATTAGCTATAGATTTCCGATGGCTTGCATCGAGAAAGCGCAGTAGATTACATACCGCTCATCAGATCAATCCATGTGCCAACGCTCATTTTCTCGCTCTGCTTCATCATCTTCAGCGCTTCGTCTAGCAGCACCTCGCCCGTGAGTGTATCATCGATGACTTCGATTACTCGGTCAGCAAGGGGAAACCTCCTCCGCGCTGGGTCGTTCTGCATGCTGATACGGCCGCGGAAGGCAAGCTCTATGACGATGCATCCTCGCAAGGCGTAACTAATGTTGTCGTTCCAAAAAGATAGGTACCCCTGTCGCGGTTGTTATCAGTATGGTGGAGTGAAGGCAGTGTTGTGAGAATGTCGGTAAGGTTGGTAAGGTCGGTAACGCTGATTTGCCTAGGTGGTGCAGCCTTACCTGCTTGTCTTTAAGTCCTAGAAGTACAACCTCGTCCATCAATGTGAGCTTGGGCTGCTTGCTCCTCTCGGCGCTTTCGCTGATATCGCGTGGATCGAAGGCTATCTTGTGACCATTCTCGCTATTCTCGTAGCTAGTCTCGGGGCCACTGTCGCGCACACCTGCCGAAGAATGGGAACGATTAACGCCGTTGCTAGACTCGGCATCGTTGGACGCGCCACCGCCCCCTCGACGTCTCGTCAATCCCGACGACATATTGATATGGAAATGTTTCTGGCAGCGGTCCGGGAGGTAGGGATGTTGGGCTGAAGGATCAATGCGCGTGTCGGGCTGGCTCTCGCGGTGTGTCGGGTTGTCCGACGGTGGTGTTCCAGGCTGATGCGCCGGAGTCAGTGTTGTCCGCAGCAGGCCGGGTAGTTGAGGCGATGTATGGTGTCGCTGGACTCGGCGGGAAAATGAATATGAGGAATCAATGGATGTGAATGTCGGGTTCAAGGTTGACCACTTTTCGGCTTAGTATTCTCCTTTCAAGGATGAATAACAATCTCAGCACAGAGCAGCTGGCTAAGTCGGCAATAGCGTGCTTGGCACGAGTGGACTAGCGATGAGGCTCAGTGTCTGGGGATACCTAAGGCCAGCTGGGATGGGCGCCAGACTCTGCCAGGACCTACCTACCTAGCTAGCCTCGTTCAGGTCGCAAGTCAACTCCTCTACTGTCTTGCTGGGGCTTAATTGGATGTATGGAACATGTACATAGGAGGTAGTGAATAAGAACATGCAAACAGCTCGACAGTGTTGATGTGAATGAGGTGGGTGAAGAATAGATGAGACCAACTCGCGCATACCTTACATAGTTAGTTACATGGTTAGTGGTGTCAGGTACCTATCAGAGAACTATTTAGACAAAGTACTCAGCTACTAATTTTAGCTGATAGATACCCATGTACCTATGTACTTCCTTTACTGTAAGTAAGTAAGTACTTCAAATGGCTTACTTAAGAATTCAAAAGAGGGCGAGTGAGCACGTGCGACGCCTCGTTCAATCTGTTATCTCGAGAAGAGTGTCAAGCGACGGAATTACGTAAGTACCTACATTGCGTCGGTGGCGTGTGGAGGAGGGACCTTTACCACTACCTAACCTAGCAACTTTAACTCCCCAACTCTACCTGGGTAGTTAGGGGTGAATATTTCTGGTATGAGCCCCTCTGCTTGGGGCTGATATATATCTATCTATATATACATGTATATGTACTAAGTCCCAAGCCGAGTCACGTAGAAACTTGAAGGCACCTGCTGAATTCAAGTGTACTCATCCCCACTATCTATCAAGGAACTAGCAATGTCAAGGTCTCGCTGAGGAATTACCTGCCGCCTTATACACTTGGGTATATGATAGAAGCATTCCAGTTTGAAAAGAAGAGAGAGAGAAAAGAAAAAAAAAGAGAAAAGTTAATTTTACATAATAGCAACAATAAGATTAGTTTAGTGCACTAGATACCTAAAATAGCCCGCCTACATACCTACCTAGGAAGCTTGTGTAATCTATAACTTCCGATCACAAAATTTCTATCATGAGAAGAACCCGACCCGCTGAGAAGCAATTCTTTCAACAACCAGTCTTACATAGTACGTAGGTTTTCTTTTTACTAGTTAACTCCGAACCTAAGATTAGAGTGCTCTTGTCTCACAAGCTACCCAAGTGACTAAAAGCAATAGACGGGTAACGGGAAGCTGGGTATAATAATGGATTAGACAGAGTACCCAATCGTTTTTGAACTTGAATGCTTTTCATTAGGAATCTAGAACTACCAGCACACCATGCGCCTTACATTACAGACTTAAGTATCTCGACGGAAGCAATATGACCAACAGACTTAGGCGCCGAAGGCCTTGTCATAGTCGACAAGAGTGAAGCGGTAATGGACCTTGTTCTTGTTGACTCGCTCGACGGCCTCGGCGCAGCCCTTCTCCGAGATGGGTATGGTCTCGACCTGGGGGTGTATCTTCTTCTCGGCCGCAAACTTCAACATTTCGAGGGCTTCCTTGCGGCTGCCGATGTGACTGGATCCGATACTGCAGCCGTTGGACGTGAGCTGCTGGGGCTTGAGTCCGTCGATGGACTTGTCGGGCAGACCGACAGAGTGGAACTTGCAGTCGACCTTGAGCGTCGACAGGTAGCCCTGTAGCACTTCCATGTCCAGCACATCGGCGGTGCTAAGGATGAAGTCAAACGTGAAAGCTAGAGGCTTGGCCCAGTCCTTGTCTGCGCTGCTCACGAAGTGCTTGGCGCCTAGTTTCAGGGCGTCGTCCTTCTTGTTGGGGGAGTGCGAGATGACTGTCACCTCGGCGCCGAGAGCGGCCGCGAACATGACAGCGAAATGTCCCAGACCACCGAGGCCAACGACGGCAACGTGCTTGCCGGGGCCAATGTTGTTTCGTACTAAGGGGTTCCATACAGTTAAGCCGGCACAGAGCATGGGCGCCGCCAGGTGAGAAGGAATAGACTCGGGAATAGGGAAAACCATGAAGTCTTGGGCCCGGATGTGAGACGCATAACCACCTTGGGCAATAGTCTCATCTGGGTCCTCCTCCTTAGGATATGGTGCTCCGTATGTGTCTGTATGCGAATGAGCAGCTGTATTATAACTAAATCAAAGGTAGGATGTGACTCACCGACTTTGTTGGGGCAGTAGTTATCGTTGTTGCTCTTGCAAGGACCGCACTTCAAGCAAGACCACACCTGTGCACCAACGCCTACGCGATCTCCAACTTTGACGTCTTTTACTTGGGAGCCAACCTTGACAGCCTTGCCTACGATTTCATGGCCAACGCAGATGGGCGCGGGAGCATCTCCCCAGCCACCAGTTATGGTGTGAACATCAGATCCGCAAACACCACAGCATTCAATCTTAATATCAACGTCGTGGTCACCAAACTTCTTTGGCTTGAACTGAAAAGCACGATAATGATCAGTATTGTGTCTTTGAGTGTGATGCTTAGAGTAGTGAGACATAAGGGGGAAGACGTACGGTCTGCTTTTTGAATTCTGTATATTTTCCAATCTCATTGATCATGAAACCTTCAAACTCGTCGGGGTAAGGCATCTTGTTAGAGGTAAATGTGTCAAAGTATTTTTTAAGATATAGGTTTGTATTGGAACGTTTTCCGAATTACTACTAATTTAATCAATATGAAGAAATCTTCATGTGCTCATTGAATGGTTTGAACTGTCTTTTAAAGGCAACCTGTTCTCTCTCTCCAGACTAAACAATGAGGGTTTATCGACCCGTTCTCTTGTGTATATGACGCCATTGATGATAAACGCCGACGGACAAGACAGCATGACGGTGTTGCTAGAGTCGTGACGTAACAACGAACTAGTTAAATATACGGGGTTCAATAGCCTCTCTAGTAAAAGTCGTCAGAAATGGCTCGAAAACTGCGGAATATGGGCAGATGTCGATCAAATGAAAAACTACATTGATCTATCTAACGCGAGGGCATTCACAATTCTATATCTGCGACGAACCATATGAACTTTGGTGTTGCAGTTCTCGACCATCAAGGTGTCTGATCTGAGGGATTCAATTGTCGAATTGGGATGGGGAAATCGAAACTAACTTAACACGGAAGAAGTGGAGAGTCATAACGGTAGCTCTAAAAAGACGGGGTAAGATGGGGGCTTCGATTTAAACATTATGCTCCGATAGTAAGAAATCATCATCTCAGCAAACCAGACATGGAACAACCTTGGAGCTATAGACTGTATCCCTCAATTGAATACAATACTAGTCGAGTAATAGGCTGGTGTATCTAATTGTGTCACATTTACATCTGCTAGCGAACACATATACTAGATACCTAGGTAGTATCCAGAGTCACATCATGCTCCGGTAAAAGTTAGCTTTGCGTGCCTGTTCTCTAAATCAAAGAGGCAACTGTATATTCAGAAACACCAACTCTTCCAATCTCCTGTTCTCTGCTGAGCAGCACTCGAACAATGACATGTCTCATAATAACCCTTCCCGCAACTCCCCAAACAGCAAACATCGGCAAGGGCCAAGCAAGTAGTCTCTCGGAGAAATCGGCTCTAGAAGCCGTGATGTGCAGCAAGCCTACACGCCGAGTTGCGGTGCTTCGGATCCCTTTCCATCTTAGTTGCGTAAACCCCTGACATGGTTCCCCGCCGCTGGATTAATTAATTGATCTGAAACGCGTCTACCTTCCCGGGCACCCGGGACGGAGCTGTGCTACCGGGTTACCTATTTTCCACGAGTCCCGGCAATCCCCTGCCTTGACCGCCGTTTACCTTCCTCCTCCAATTTCAAGAGTGGCATTCGTAACATGTCATTTCATACCGCAGTAAGCGTTGGTTTTGTTGTTGAAGCTTTTACCCCAATCAGGTTTCTAGTTTCATGATTTGTGTATCTTCATTATTGACTACCTATATGTCGTGAGCTAGTGAGCCACGACGCCCTTCGCGTCGATCATATCACAAAGCTATACCTCATAATACCTAAGGTGTTCTTGGGAGAAGCTAGAATAGGAAGTTACATAGCCCTTGCGAACAGCACACTGAGTTTAGATTAGTAGGTATGGAGACAACCAAAGTGTATCTCCCTGTTCGCAAATGGGCATAAGAATAGGAATAAACATAAGATCAAAATCAAACCCCATTCCTAGGCCCATGAGCTCTCACATAGAAAACCCATGATCCTGAACAACGCATGTATGCCGTGCCCAGCGGGGATCGGTCAAAGGCCCTTGCAGATGAGGCGACTAATCATCTCCACGTCAAAGGCAGAATAGGTATATAAAGTAGCGATGTCCCCGTGTGCGACCTCACCACGACACAGCAGAGTCAATCACACTCTCCAACACCCTCAAAGACGGCAGAAGCTCCAGTCCAGTTCACACAAGATGTCCACCAAGGCTATCCTCGCTCTCGTCGCCGCCGCCACCACCTTGACGGCCCCAGCCCACGCCGCCTCGGGCAACGGCGTGACAACCCGGTACTGGGACTGCTGCAAGCCATCATGTGCGTGGAGCGGCAAGGCAGCCGTGTCGTCGCCCGCTCAAACCTGCGACCGCAACAACAACCCGCTGACCGACGCCGACGCCAAGTCTGGCTGTGACGGCGGCGTAGCCTACACCTGCAGCAACTACTCGCCCTGGGCCGTCAACGACGACCTCTCGTACGGATTCGCGGCGACCGCTATCTCGGGAGGTAGCGAAGCCTCATGGTGCTGTGCCTGCTACCAGTATGTCCGCGTCGTCCCCACCCATCCCTTTCCAAGCACAGCAACCCCCTTCTCACGCAAATACTAACACCCACACCCCACCAGACTAGAATTCACCTCCGGTCCCGTGGCCGGCAAAAAGATGATCGTGCAAAGCACCAACACGGGCGGCGATCTCGGCAGCAACCACTTCGACATCCTGATGCCGGGAGGCGGCGTGGGTCTCTTCGACGGGTGCAGCGCGCAGTTCGGACAGGCGCTCCCGGGCCAGCAGTACGGCGGCGTCGGCAGCCGCTCCGAGTGCGACTCGGCGAGCATGCCCGAGAGCCTGCGGGCCGGCTGCAAGTGGCGCTTCGACTGGTTCCAGAACGCCGACAACCCTTCCGTCAGCTTCACGCAGGTCGCGTGTCCCGCTGAGCTCACTGCTATCTCGGGCTGCAAGCGCAGCGATGACGGCTCGTTCGGGGCGGCCTCGGTTTAAATTTGGAAGGAATTGAATCCGTTAGAGAGATGAATGTATGAATGAATGAATAAATGAATGCATGAAGAGCAAAGATGGGGGTAAGTGGTGTCTATTGCCGCAAAGACTCAAAGGTCAGGCAGTCTTGCTACCTATTTTGAAGTAGACAACCTTTCTAGTTCCGTCATTCGCTATGCCAGAGGGGCTGTTGGTGGAGGACCCTGACTGTCATTATGTCCTAGACTTCATGTACATATTTTGTACAGGCTATATTGTCCGGCACACTAGTAAATAAGCATCGCAATTGATATGAACCACGAATTCTTCGTCTCCCACGGTCCCAAAGACCTTTGTTTTCCGCAGATAATAGCTCGGATAGCCTGAGTCGAATCGCGTCCCTGCAATCTCACCTCACATTCATAATTAACGGTAGGGCAACAATCAAGTCGAATTTGAAGCAAATTTAGTTATTGGTATCGATCTCCTGGCAAGAACTCCTATTGTATGGTAAGCCGGAGCCCTAATCAAACCCTCCGCTACGCCACCAGTATTGTACAGCGAATATGTTATTACAATTACGGTTATGTTGAAAGAGCGCCGGTGCTGGGGAGTAGCCCCCGAACTACAAATCGCCACTCAGGAAACCCCCGGATGAGACGAATTGTACTTGACATTCTCGAAGGCTGGCCCAATTTCTGAGCTCTTCTTCTTCGTCCTGTGCACCGACTACGGCGGCTGTTCCAGATCTCTCGAGTTTAACTAGGATTTCAATGAACCTGTTGAGGTAGTCCTCGGCTTTAGTGGCGACGGGACCCTTATGTTCCGAGGCACCCTCTACTAGCGTGCTAGCAACCTGCCGAATCTTGTTGATGATTGACTGCCCATTTGGCTCTAGATTTCGCTGGCTGATAGACGTCAAAACGGCAAACAGATCTTGTACGATTGATTCTCGTTCCTGGGCTACCAGTTTGTCCTTGTCATCCTTCGCGGCTTCCGCGTTTTCATAGTGAGCCCCCCGAAGGTTGAGATAGCGCTCCACAAAATACGACCGTGTCGCAAGTTGAGAGGCATGTATATTAGCCTTTTGTATTTCTGATTGCAGCTGGCGTCGTTCTAGGGGTTCAATCTCGAGCGCCCGCCGAAGATCGTTCTCAGCTTGAGACTCGGGGAAATGAGGTAGACAATATTTCATTTCTCCCTGATCTAGCTCTGACGCATTGTTCTGGTCAGACTCGCCTTTAGCAATTTGTAAAGGCTCAGGAAGATCCTCTATTGTCTGCTTAGCTGACACAAGGCCATTACTGATGATGTTCTTCTGGGCATTCCAGTCGAAGAAATTGATGCCATAACACATCTCCACACCGATCAATTCATTCATTGTCATGTAAATGCGGATGTTCCTGTTGAACCCAGTGATGAGGGATATGGTACCCTCGGGCTGCGGTAAGATCTGATCGGAAGTTATATAGTCGTCATCAACCTCAACGGGTTGTTCTGGGTATGGTTCCTGCGTCGTTGGCGGAGGTAAAGGTAATTCGTTGATAGAGGCTCCTAATTGGCTCATTGATCTGAAACTGGCCTCAGTACTTATTCTAGGCTCTCATTGGACAGTGATGCGACTTACCGAATGCCAGCGACCATGACCCAGAAAATCCGTTTACTTATCTGATCTTTAATATGATCGACTGGCTTGTTCGCCATCGAGTTTGCTGCCGCAGCAAGATCAGGTAAATATCCACCTGAACTAGATAGGTCTCGTGGGCGAAGTGTGCCTAGCTCTCTACAAAATGACATGGTCTCAGCTAAGAAGCGTCTACATGGCTTCCATTGTAAGGTATACCCGGCTGCCAGACCTAAGAAGTAGCTGGTGGCAGCGTCGTCAACGCTCATCTCTTGTTTCGTCATGAAGGCGGTGCCCCGTGCTTCCAGGGCGATAGAGCGACAATGGTCTATCATGGAAATTGCCGTCGGAAAAAGTCCAGTACTATGATGAGCCTTGAGATGGGCGCGAGCGCTGCGAGGGAAAGATGCGACCAACACACCAACCATGCTGGCCAATAGCGCCAAGAACTCGCGATTCATCCGATCGGCTCGGTTTGCAAACGCCTGACGGAATGAGGGCTCGTGCGGAAAGGGCATAAGGGGGTGGAGATAGGTGAAGAAGTCGTCGACTAACGGCTGCAAGACGGGCAATGGCGCTATAGCTTCGGCATCAAGCGCAACAGGGCCATCTGCCGGCGCTACAGGTATCACAGGTATCACGTTATTGGCGGGACTATGCGGTATGTGTGGTATGGGTGGTATGTGCGGTATTGGTGAGCCGTTCTCAAGCTGGTGGCGCTTCGCGGCTCTGGCGGCTTCGGCATGCTTATTGGGAGGACCACGTCGTTTCATTTCCCGTCTGAAGGTGCACTCGACCTGGAGATCTGCGCACGGCTTACATGGTGGGCCTGATTCGTCGCACTATGGAAGTCCTGTCAACGTACTGTGGGAGTCAAGCGGATGCAAGAGGAGCATACCTTAACCTTGCGCTGACTACACATATCACAGGCGCGGCGGAGACGTGTGACCTTTTGCGGCGCATGGTCTCCAGGGACTGGAGCTGCGAGGACGGAATTCTCAAGTGACGGAGAGAACTGCGGCTCGCCCATCTGCAGCGCAGCAGATTGGGCATATTGCTGGGCTAAGTCGTTGCTCGTGGGTGGTAATGGAGCTGCGGAGGCAGCTTGCAGGGCTTGGAGGTCATGATGGATGACTTCTGTCGCGGGGATAGACGACGTGAGGGCTGAAGTGTCGGCGGTGGTTGTTGTTGTTGGTGTCGGTTGATGGCTGTGGTCATGGGTGTGGCCGTGTTCGTGGCTCTTCTGGTGGTGATGGTGATCGTGGGGTTGCGGCGGCGGCGGCGGAGTGGGGGAGGTCTGGGTCAAACTGTGAAGTTCGTGATGTTCGTCGGAAGCCATCTGAAGGCGGGAGCGGCGTGAATCCGCGATCGGTTGAATCGCGGCTTCGGTAGATATCTGGGTAAACTTGGTGATCTCGCGAGCAGGAAACGTCAAGAAGCTGATGGGCGCTTGGCTCCACTATGCACGCTTGCACCAATGAAAGGCTACCCAGGTACGTACTACCTATCTGATACCTATCTGATACCTGCAGGTACCTAACCATATAGTGAAACAGTGTAATATGGCAAGGGCCCTAATCAAGCCCGCTATTCTTATATGCCCTTGCTTCCGTTTGCACCTTCCTACAAGATACCTACATAGTAGGTATATACAGGCTACGGGCCGCCAGCCACATGGAAGTACCCCGTACTGTTGTCAGCTGCTTTAAATTCATCGCCATCTTCATCATCTTGCTATCTATAGACGGTTTACAGCGCGTCCATCATGGCAGTGGCCAAAATGCTCTTATATAAGCCTATTTACTTGGGATGAGGGTAGTAGATCGGAGAGCCCCGAAGAAAGTCAAAGGGACCATCATCTGGAATCAGTCTAATGCCTCTTAAACAAACATAACGCTTTCCTTCTGCTTTCATAGCTAGCACCCACTCCTCATCTCGCGATACAGACTTCCTTCCCTCTATAGAATCCTCACCTAAATGATTAGGACAGCAGTCCGATCAGCTTTGCCCCAAAAATTAGCTCCTGAACGAGATCCAGTGCCAATGCGCCGATAGACTCCAGGCTTGTCTGCCTGTTCTAAAATAAGATAATAATACGTCGAGGAACGCTGATATATAACCATTTCCGTGTCTTCATCGACTAATGGCCGCTTATCATAACGCTTCGCGATGAGTAATAGCCATATTCTCTCAAATCTTCGCTTGTCTCCACGATATAGGCCATCGAAGAATGCAAGCCCATGCATCTTGGGCACTGTCGAAACAAATCCGCAGCGCCTATCACCAAATCTTTCTGCACCCTCCGCTGTTGCCTCACATATCACCTGGACGTCGGAGAGCATACGCAACTTACCAGCAATCTCCAACATCGGATTTTGGGGGCCTAGGTTCTCTAGCATCATGATATCCTGCTGGAATTGACGATCTTGCAGCGGAATAATACACGACTCTAGAACATCTACGCACAATGGAAAGCCTACGCTGCCCTTCCATGCAGCCCATGACCACGATGGACAGCGCCACCCTGCGCGATAGGCGTCTCTCAACCTAGAGGGATACCTGGCGGTCTGGATCCACAAGAGGCCAACATGGAGGGATTCTCTCCAGAGCCCGAATATGAAACGGCTAGAGCCGCTCATTTCTTTGAAGACCCGCGCGAGGCCGGTAATCGCCGGCAATCTATCGATATCGCATGTCAATTCGCAATGGCTGTAGCGCTCGACTAGCATATACCACTGCGCCGGGTTGTGGAAAGCGTCCTCGACGTTCAATTTGTTGTCCTTTGGTAAATCGCCCGAAAGACGTACGAGACCCTCTTTCTGCACCAAATTAATTCCAGAGGCATCTTCTAGAAACAAATGGTGGCTGGTGAAGTGTAACATGCGTTTCGATAGGATCCGCTCCTGAAACACCCATCCCCTTCGCGACAGCCCGCTTTCATTGACAAGTTGATGGAAGCCGGTGTAGCTCTGGCCAGTATGAGCTTGAAGGAAAGACGATCGGCTCGCGGATAGGAAGCCTTCGTTATCATCTTGTGCAGAATGCGCGGCAATGACACAAGTTGCTTGGCGGTAGACGTTCGCCATCAAGGTGGACTCCCTAAGCCAGTCGTCGATATCGTCTTGAAGTATGCAAAGAGAATCAATCCACAGATAAGAGCATCCGAACTGATTCGTAACCTTGACAGCATCTTGAAATGTTCTTGGCAGTAATTGCGCAAGTATCCCGTTCTTCAGCGTCTTCAAGGTCTTACGCGTTAATAAAAGCTCTTTTGATGCACCCCACCTATGGCTTAGTGCAAAGTAACAATCAAATTGACCGGGAGCAGGCTCGATGAGATGGATCATTCCTGGGAAGCTCTCCGATAACTTAAGCACTCTGCTCGGCAGTCTCGAAGTCTCTAGCGTCAAAGGCCCGGGAAATGGTAGAATGCTATACATAGCGGCTTGGGCTTTGAAGATGCTGGTATAAAGCCATGCTTCAATATAGAAGTTCGATTTACACTCTATAGACATTAGCGTCAGCATGCCTACCTATATACGAAGCTAGGTAGACGTAGATACCCAGGGTTTGATATCGACTGACTTTGTGACACAATACGCGCCAGAAGTTTCGCAAAGCTATTTCTACGTTGCATTCCATTCATCAAACGATGAATCATAACCTCTTTCAGGTTATTACGCGTGTCCATCCAATAGAGATTTCGAAGCGGATGAGTTCCTCGCTCGTAGCGTGCGCGTAACGGCGAAAAATTCATCAAACTGAATGGGGACTCCATGGGCAACATGGCAGATCGGCGATTATGCACATCCTTCAAGGCGGCAGTAGGAGGGGGGGAAGTAGGGTGCCCAGCACATGGTAAGATATAACTGGGCTCAACTGGAGGCAAAGGAAAGCCGTTCCCGCCTGAATTATAAGGCAATCATCCTACATTATTAGCGACTCCTTCACAGCTCTAAGTGCGGTGATAGCAACGGTAGTAAACGGGCGAAGAACCTTGTCGTCAGCATAAGACGTTTTTGCGCATTCTGGGTAATCGTATCTGTCTTTTCGCAGACCGATCAAGAAGCTGACGCCTACTGCTACGCTACACTATACCCTCGAGACAAAAGTCGGTCGGCTATTTGGGACTCCTTGTGCAACAATAAGATTCAATTATAACCTCCATCTTTACCCACGAGAACGCGCAAGGCAAACCATAAGGTCGTGTGCTTACTACCTAGGTAGCGTATGCTGCGTTCTCGACATCTCACAATTCTAGTCTCTAAAATGCCATTGGGTATGTTCGTTTATACATACTTCACCTAAGTCACTTATTACAAGTAGATTTACTACTCTCACAACAACGCGTCGTATGTACAAGATATATACTTCGGTTTTCATTCATATTAAACAATGGGAATCGTTAAACAGAATCCAACACCAAACGCCTGTGCGCAGCAATGGGACCACAAAAGCCACCGACCATACCCAGCCTTTACCAAACCAAGCCTATATACCTAGCTTCCTGGGAGCAATACGTGCGCTTCTTTTAGTTATATCACTGGGATCTTCAAAGCTCAAATATTACCAAGCACCTCATTAACAAGCGCAGCCAACATTCTCAAACCAAACCACTCAGCCACACCGGCATAAACGCCCAATTTCTTAAGTATGTCCTCTCTCTTGATACTTTCGCCCCAGGGTCCCGAGCAAGTGCAATGTTCCGCAAACTCATTCAGCCGTGCACTTCCACATCGTTGACACTTGACATCCTGGGTAGTCCACTCGACGATCCACGAGTCCACATCCCCGAGCAGCCGTTCCTCGATCCGCAGCTTGCTGAACTCGGCGCCGCAAAATGTGCAATTCCACGGTTTGGCCGCAGCTGCTTTCCGTATCTCCGAGGCAGAAAGCCCCTCCAAGCCACCGTTACCGTTTGCTGCGAGGGAAGTAGAGAGCGCCGACAGATCGGGCAGTAAGCTCTCATCACGACACAAGTCCCAGTCTCGCGCGAGCGTGCACTCGGCACAGCTCAACTGAAGAATCTTGAGTGAATCGCTAGGGTTCACGAATGTGCCGTCGCGGCTGAACTCCCGGACATCGAAGAGCGTTAACAAGTCGCGGCGGAGCAAACGCGCCTCATTCGTAATATTTTTGTCGAGTGATAGTACTTGCATAAGAGACTTTACAAGCTCAAGTACCGCATTCTCAGTCCCGGTCCTCTGTGCGTGCGACTGCAAATGCTTTAGTTGAGGGTGTGGGTTATGGCTCCCACTGTTGCCTGGCAGCAGAGGGAATGACCAGTCTGATGTCAATTCCGGGTGTAACAATTCACGAGCCCGTGTTGAGATGAGAGACTGGATCTCTTTTTTCAAGGGACGTTCAAACGTCTTAGTAAGTATGATCGGAGTTTTATCCTTATCATCAACGTCGGTGCTTTGTGTGAGACTACGGAAGGGCAGCTGTGTAGGTCGCGGCGTGGAGTCTGGATCTCCATTGTGCGGGTGTTTGATACCATGCATCAGTTGGATGAACTCGACAACCCAGTGTTGGAATGTATCCTGGAGCCTGACGGGTAAAAACGTTTTGATCTGCCAGCACATAATTGTCTCGAGGTTTTGTTCCTGGGCTTCGACGACTTCCTGGCACGCTTTGCCGCCATAATTGAACTCATCGTACCAAACTAGATAGTCCCAGTACTCCTTGATCTCCAGGTCGATGAAATTGAAGAGCGGTTTGCTTTTGATGCTCTTTAGGATGTACTGACTATAGGCGTAAGCATTGCCTACTTCTGATTTTGTCGTCTGTAAGAGCAACCTGTTTGAGTTTGCGAAGATGACCTGTGATCCAACTCGGCGGAAATCTGCCATTAGCTGCAGGAGGGCCTTGCGGCTCATCATCTGAACATAATAATGCAGAGCACGGTCATACATAAACGAATCGGGTGATTCCACCCAGCGGACGAGATGTTGTACAAGTATATCTGCCATTGGACTACCTTTGCAAGCCTCGGCCCACCACGACTTTACCATCTCGCGGAGGACAAGAACACCGGCATTGGCAAAGGCTGATTCCGAGTGGAACATTTCGGATCCATCTGACGGAGCAGCATCAGAGGCAGGGTTGAAGGAGATCGAGTCAGCACCCTCCAGCTCGTTAATAAGAGACGAAGTGAGAATTGTGTTGATTGCAAGGTTGCGGACTTCGAGGTCAATACACACAGATGCATAAGTGCCAGGGTTGTTAGCCGATGGCATGACAACGGTATCAAGAGGACCAGTAACATCATCTTTTTCGTAGCCAGCATGATCTGGTTTTGATCCTGGCGACCACCATAGGACAACATTATTCATTTGCAGCCGTCTAGCATATGCAACATCGATGAGAAACCTAGGGTCGTCTCGTTCCAGATTGCAGAGTGGTATGTCGCCGTATCTTGCAAGAGCTGTGAGGTGAAGTACCCAAGAACCGAGACTCAGGTAATGAGAAACGAGTCTCTTAGCGACAACCGATTGCCAACCAAGAGGTGGAAGAGAGCTATCTGCCTGGTCGTACCTCAACGGAAGAATGGGGAACTCTGCGAGAATGGGAACATCGTGGATGAGTAGGTTGCGTTGGGAGGACTGAATAACGAGCATCATTGGCCTGATTTCGTCCTTTTTCATCTTTCTGACAATGTCACCGATTTCTAAGTGAGCTTTCCTCCGTGTTGTTACTTGTTTCACACTGAAATTGAGCTTCTCCTGGTATGTGAAACATTCCTGCCAGTTGCTTTCTTGGTCTTCCTGCAGCCTTCGCAAGCGCATGTCGCTGTATATCTTTGTGACATTGGGAAGTTCTGAGCTAGAATCTTTGCTCTTCTGTAGGATAACAATGTGTGCATAGTCTCTCGTTGAAGAGAAGAAACCAAATATTTGTCGTTCGCCTGCCGTGATATGGGATATATATATATAGGCAAGGGGATTCGATTCAAGATATGCTTTTGGTTTAAGTGGCCGCATCAACCCTGAAAGGTCGAACCCTTCCTCGAGTCCTTTGCCCAAAACACCAGGTTGGCTCTCATCGATCGTACAAATATTGCCTAGTTGAAGAACGGCTCGCATATTCAGGGGGACTTGCTTTTCATACACCCCTTCAACGCTAGGGTGATTGAACAACAATGAAAACTTGTCAGCTTCGGCAAAATATATATCTTCTGGAACGGTAATCTTGAAGAGATGAGCCGAAGGGTGGCCATTGGGAAGTGTATGAGTAACCTGCTCGACATCGCAGCCGTCCACATCTATATCAGGCAGGTCTTTCCCTTTCAAGTTGAGGAACACTTGACGTGGAACCTTGATTTTGAGCGCGTGTATTCTTGCATCAATCAGGACAAATGCTGTCACAATGCCGGGATTGTCTGTTGTTTGAAGTTGTAGAAGCTGCCAGGTATTTCTAAATGTAACTTCAGCTTGGTTACGGAACGTCTGCTGGATATTGCTACCAACATTGCCTCGTCGATCTCCAAAGAGATGTCGACGACGTATACGGGCCTGCTTTTGAATCTTCCACTTTTTCTTCTGATACTCTAAGAAGGCTGGGTAATCTTCAGATGGATTTGGCATAACCTTAGGAAGGGCTGCAAAGGGGTCCTGGGTTTCCCGTTCGGGCTCTGGAGATTTCCGCTTAGAAGCGAGCGCCGCTGTTTGAGAGGCATTAATGACCGCAGTTGTGCTTTTTGGCTTCAGTAACTTCGCACCATAATCCTCAAGGTCGTCTAATCGAGACCCATTAAGGTTTGTTATGTCACTCAGTGGCTCCTTTGTAAATAAATCAGTAAGCTTTTTCTGCTTCATTTTGTCGTCTTTGATATTGATCCTCCTTTGAAGCCAATCTGGATGTGCGACACGCGGGACGGGGTTGCGGACTTTTTGTAGCGCTGCCGGAATTGTGACCAGCTTTTGAATGACGGATCCAAGACGCTCGAGGTAGTAATCCCAGTCGAGCAACGCTCGTGGATCCATATCAGAAGGTTCTTCTTTCAGCCATTTCGTTAGAAATCTTCGCTTGATTTCGGGCTCAGCTGAGAAAATGGCGACTGGTACTGCTCGTTCTGTAACGGGAGCACTGCGTGGTTTGGCGCAAATGATATATTTACAGTTCAGTCCCTTGTCTTTGACCATCTGCTCTCCTAGGAACTCAGCTAAGCGCTTAGCAGTGGTAATTGAAGTCGACTTCTGATTGCCATATTCCTCGAGTGTCTTACTCATGCTTCGGTTTTCGCAGATGAGATCGATAAACTCCTCATCAGCTAGCGTTGATCCTTTGCTGTATAGAACATCCAACCATTTATTTGCTACCTTTGCGACGGCAGCATAACATTCCGACAAAGTACTACCTTCCAAAAAAAACTTGAAGATCTGTTGCTGGAAAATCTTGATGAGCTTCAGCTCACCTCTTCGCTTGACCTCGAAACCCTTGAGCTCTGCTAGACTGCCGTCATCATTGAAAACAGCGTAACGTTTCTTCAAGTTCTTGTCTTCTTCTTTGGAGGTAGGGAGAACCATAGCCTTGTACGGCCCATCCACTTCAAAGAAGATGGAATTGTCACTAGTCGTTTCGTACTTGAACGTCTTTTTATCAGTTAATGTTTGGTACTGATGGTTCGTGAATTTGTCGTGGACCAAATGGTTCAACATGACGCAAGGATAAGAGATTGCCAGTTTCTTTCCATTCTTGAGCTTGAACGCAAAATTCTCTGGGAATGTGGCGGGCAACATGCACCAGATACCATCGGTATCAAGCTCAAGGGGGCGCCCAAGCCTTTCAACTAGTGATCTAGCTAACTGGATGATTGTTGCGCCTGTCAAGCAGGTGACGCCAGCCATCTCCATGGAATACCACCTCGAACCCTTTCGCATGACGTAGCCGTAGAAAGAGTTTAGAATGACCTTGTGAGCAAGCTGCAATGAGTCATATAGAACGATCATCTTCTTGGCATTATCAACCTCCTGGCTGGGAGCGCCGGAAGACTTGAGTGCTTCTGTTTTCCCTTTCCATACTTTCGCTTTACCTTTATAATCGTATCTACGATCTCGAAAATCTCGCACGGTATCGATATAGAAAGGATTCTCACGCTGACATATGATGGCCTCGCGAACAATTGTTGTTTGATCGCGGATCTTATGATACACTTTCTGGCTGTAGGTTGTTAATCGCTTCCTGATGAGACCAGCTTGCTCGTCTTCTGTTAGATCTTGGAAAGTTCTCGTTGGGCCGTTCGGCCATTTGGGGGGAAATCTCTCATTCTCCAATGCGTGTCGAATCATGTTGTACTCGTCTCGTTTGGCGGGGAGGTATTCTCCTCTCCAGGCCCAAGGAAGCCTTCGGTCACATGTCTTCCCAGGTCTGTTGAAGTCGCAAGCCGCGCAATCTGATTCCTGGATCATGGAATCGGGTTGTAGTCGATTCGTCGTCATGATATTGGGATACATAGATGCGACATCAAGATGGTATATCAACGGTCGTTCATTTCGGTTAGGGGTCTCCTTCAGCTGATTTAAGCGTGCTGTAATCTGATCCTTAACCTCATCGTAGTTGGTGACGTCGTCAAGAGACTTTTTCTCTTCGACTTCGATCGAGAATTTTAGGGCAGCATCAAGATCGCGAAGAAGTTCGTCAACAGCACCGGTGTCAACTGCGAAGTTGACGGGAATATCGGCACGAAAAACGCCTGCTTCAATACTCTCAACGTGACCACCGACGTAAGTTTCCGCATCGAGCAAATGTCCATCCCAGAAGGATTCCTTTGGGGACACATGTTTATTTGGTAATACGATCTCGCCTTGGTATGCTTGGACCATTAGCAACATCTCACATAAGGTACCTGTTCCTTTCCGTAACACATCGTCACCTCCTAGTGGCAGGATTGTGCACAATGAGAAGATGAAGGGGTGTATGTACTTCATGTACAAGTAGTATGTGGCGACTGCATCTGAAACTGAATACTCTGCCAAAGTTTGTGGTCTCTCGCTTGCGTATGGTGTCATCAGCTCAGGATCGAGTTCATCTGGGTCGTACCCAAGTTTGGCGACAGTGACGGCTTTCAAGCCTCGGCTACCCTGCGGTAGATAGGAATCTCGGTTGACCCAGGCAAAACAATCCATGTGAACGCCGTATGTGCATTTGTAAATATCCTCGCTGTCCTTTCTCCATCCGATCTCGCGGTACATATCAATGCCATTGACGCTCGCTCGAGCCTCAACGAAGGGCCAATCGAAAAAGTCTCCGTTATACGTGGCGATGACGGTCGGCCTTGCTTCTTTGACGTGTAGGAAGAATCTTTCGATAACAGCTTTCTCGTCGGGCTCATTAAAAATCATGAATGGGCCAGGATATTCCGGTTTTGGTGTGTACTCGAAATCGGCAATATCTTCAGATACAATTTCTCGGTTGGTAATCAGAAAACCCTGACCGTCAATCATATACGATATCATCATAATCTGATCTATCGCAGCATCGGGGAATTTGAGCGGCAGTTTGGTAGTCTCGATATCGAATGCCATGACGACAGGATCGGCCTGAACTAAACGTTCCTCGTTGAGGGTTATGGATGTAATCCCATGTTTCGCCTCTACAAAATACCATCTCCCTACCCGAATATCTACACGGCGTCAGTCCGGAAGGGACGAGGAGCTAATTGTTCGGGGACTTACTCATATCAATCATTACTCTTACATGGTATGGAACGTCGAATTCTCTAATATCGACAACGTAATCGCTAGCGTCTGAAAAGGAAGCATTATGTCGTTTATCATCATCTCGTGAATCATCAAAAAGGTCAAACCCGGCTTGTTCACTGTACCAATATTAGCTGCCATGGACATCGATCCTACGCTACCCAGCGGAAAACTTACGCAGCGACCTCAGCATATACATCCACCGTCTCCATAGCCTTGCGGTTCTTCTCCGCGATAGGCATTATATCTCTTCTAGCAGACATCAAATCTCCAACGTTTCCAAAGCGTAATTCAAGGAATGTCCGTCGATAGCCTAACAAGTGGTTCGGTATAGAGAGATCCTCTTTCTCGATGCGTTTCACGCCGCGTACGACACCACCACCGGGCACACGTTTTAGCCATTCTTCAACCTCGCTCTCACGGCCCTTACGTACGGCAATCAGGAAATACGGTTCGTATTCCACCGTTGCTTTGAAAGTTTGCCCGTCTTCTTCGATAAAGTAGCAGTCAAGGGCTGCCCGACCGCCAGGAACACGATCATCATCCAATCCGACCGTTGTTGGTTGCACATTGACCAACCAACCTCCGCGAGGACGACCAGCTTCGTACCGAGCGAAGCCCATAGACTCGTCAATCTGTGTCGCGAGGAGTGTCCGTTCGGCTTTTTCATCTGCTGATGTGCCCTCTGTTCGTGAGGTTGAAGCAGCAAAAGTCCGTGTGCGTGAGGGTCCATGATAGGCTTGCTTGCCACCGCGTCGGACATAGCCTTTCTGAGGCCGGCGTAGTGTTGTGTTGGGCATTATACTTCTCGATCGTAGAGGTAGTCTTGTCAGCGAGGGGTGAAGAGGTTAGGTCCCTCTAGCAAGGGCGGGCTAGCAATTCGAGAGTTGGATTCGTCGATTTACGGGCGGCATTGGTGAATTAGATGGGTATATAGGTATCGGTAGGGGTCTTCCAGGATGTCGTCAGGTGAATTTATCACGCTGAAGGAATAGAACGGCGAGGATTGTGTTATGGTTGGTGGTGTGTATCTATCTCCCAATGGAGGAGGGCTGCTTAACAAAATACATGTAGCAAAATCCACTTACAAAACGCGCGACGCGAAGCTGCAGCCAGTACAGCGCGCATCCCTGCTCACCCGCTGCTGCACGCGCTAATGGGCCAGGGGTTTAAAGTGCCCCGATGCTACCTAGGTATTTTCAGATACTTAGATACATATGCATATATGCATAAGGACCTTCAGCTTTTAGGTAGCATCGTCATATGTGCATGTACCTAAGTACCGGGAGACCAGTACCTACCTAGCTCAAGTTCATGATTTTTATCTCGACCAGTTCCGCCCTCAAACGTTCATGCGACCGGCTATGGCGCAAGACGATAATACTCCTCCAAATCTGCGCGGGCCTCCCCCTGGCGCTACCGAACCACCAGACCATGTAAAGAAGCCACAGATCTACGAGGTTTTCCATCCCTCTACGTCGCTCGATAGAAGCGACATCGCCAGCGCATCGCCGGCGGGGACAAGCACAGAGGGGCAGCCTAACAGACAACCAAGACCAACCTTCAAAGATGGAATTGAATCCATCAAATCAGATGATTTTCTCAAAGTACATCATATACCATGCGCTAGAGAAGGTCTTATGACAGGCATAGGGGCCGGTGCGGTTCTGGGAATGGGGAGGTATTTTACGGGAGGTATGTTCTGCCGAGATCTGGAAAATGCGATCGCGGAGGAATTCTGATGGGCTGATGTCACTATTCTCTGGCACAGCGAGAGCACCTAAAGCGGCAAACTGGGCATTCGGGGCCTTCCTCCTTGGCAGCATAGTACAATGGGAGTATTGCCAGGCACAAAGGCGCAAGGAGCGTGCCGCTATGGCACGGGTTGTCGAGGTCATTGATCGCAAACAGGCCGAAAAGAAGGCACAGGCAGCCGAGGCCGCGCGATTAAAACAAGAAGCAGAAGAGAAGGCGCAACAGGCACAGAAAAGCTGGTATAAATTCTGGTAATTATCTGGAACCAAAAGAAAACTGCTTATGATGCATTCAAAGGAAAGGTTGTGGGTATATGGGCTTTTTCCATCATAACCTATTGTTAAACCGCCAAAATGTATCTGTCAAAAACCTACCATACTCCTGTAGGCTTTGTTCGCCTCGCCCTTCAACTAATGCTAGCTAGGGCCCTGTATATATCCCATAGACCTCATACCTATGTACAAGAAATTTGAAGTTTGCCTCTCGAACGAGGCTAATGAGCTATTGAAGAAGCGAACAAGCCCCTGATAACCGTTTTCCCATACCAATACCCTATCATTAACCTTTCAACCTTGACGCCCGACGCAATGTAGCTCAAATAAAAACCTAGTCAAGCAATGTTTGGGTAAATCAAATAGCAGGTTTGACCTATAGGCAATGACCTTCTCGTTTTCAGTTCCACTGAGGAGTTGATCACTTGCTGTATGTATGCGAGCCTAGCGACAATCGTATACAGCTGGCTTTCCGGGTCATTAGGCATGACAAAATCTTGGTGACCCACCATTATGTAGTCATGATAGTAGTCGGTGGATTGTCAGAGAAATGCACCCGTACAATTGAGTGTTCTCTAGTCATCCCGGCTCCCTCACCTGGCTGCTCTCTTCGCCGCTGATTTCTTCTCGCGCGCGCCTCACTCTCCTCCCGCTTCTTATACTCGGCAAGCTGTTGGCGTCGCTTCTGCGCCCGTTGGTATGCTACGGCGGCTGTAGGTTTGAATCCAATGCCGTTTATACCTGTTCCATCATCATCCTTGTCTTTTGGGTCGTAGATAGTGATCTCATCTTCGCGCCAAGTGAGAGCAGCACGAACAGGATCGACAATGACGAGTTCTTCTTCTTCGTCCACCTTTTTCGACTGCGATTGGCCTTGAGTCTTCCGCCTTGATGATGGCGGAGGTGTCCCGATCCGTTTCCGGCAGCGGGATTTTGAATCCATCAGGCGATTAATGGATGGATATGAATTCTGTAAATTGCCGGAGGTGTGAACTGGGGGTGCACTTGCGGCCGTCTCGTTTACCGGAGCCGACAGGTCATGGTCGATTGGGCCGTCAACGGAAAGAATGGACTGGGGGTTAGTTCCGTCAAGTTCGAGTGTCTTGGGGCGTTTGCGAGCGGCAGCTAGATCATCATCGTCTGTATCTAATTGCATATCTGCATGGGCAGCTGTGGTGCCGGCATCGAAAATAAATCTGGTCGGGTCGGGCGCCACTAATCTCTCATGACCCTTCAAGTCAAGGGTCTTTACAGCCGTAGTCACCCCACCCCCGCTTTCGGGAGAACCTCCGGTGGTACCCTTAAGGTTGTCACTGCTCTCTTCGATCGCCAGGTCCCTGAATTTCTGAGCCACCTTAGATCGTGGGCTATTGCTCCCATCTTCGGTTGGATGACCTAAGCGAACGGGGGACTGAAGTTTCGGTGGCTGGAATGAGAAGACGGTCTTGGCAGCATGATCTGGGGTAGGTGAGGCAGGGAGGCGCAATTCAGCCGTCAGATCGTCCCGCTTCCGCTTCGGTGTCGCGGTAAGTGGCAGGGTTGGCTCAGCCATGACCACAGGTGTTGTTGAGGTAAAAGTCAGACTGGAATCTCTAGGTATGATGGCCAAAGGGAGATAATATGAAATGAGAGCGTGTGTAGTTAAATCCAGAGCCGACAATCTTGTCGTCGAAATCCGCCGCAGTTCATCTAGCGTGCACGGCAAGTTATCAGAGCTCACAGAGCGTTGAAACGTGGCAGAATAACAGGGGAGTATGGATGTTATGGAGTAGATCGACCGGGAGAAGGGATCCTAAATGCAAGGGACTATATATAAAGGCGCCTCGGAATCGTGCTGGACGAGCTACGGGAGATTCTGGAAAGCCGACAGACCAGGGCTGAATCTGTATCCCAAGAAGTTGCAATGGTGCGTATAGTTTAGTAGAAACAACAAGATACAGGCAGTGGGCACCGATGACGGTAGTTGGCCGGGTACCGGTCAGCAATTAGCTTTGAAAGTCTAAGCACCCGAGTAGGTGCTATTAAATAGACTCTGAGAATAGATTGACGTGGACAAAGTCTATACTAAAAAGTCTCATCTTGTGTGTCTTGCACTGGCAAAGATAATGCCACATGAAGTTTCCGGCTGGTAAGCAGGTACGCACAGCTATTGTACTTACGGGTAGATCGAGTACTTACAGGGCTTCAAGACTCCAATAGGTAGGTACATCCCAGAAGTACAGGTACATACATTAAAGGTGAGGCAAGTGTAGGAGTACATACTTGTAAAGTATTTTGGGCTGTATTCTGTCAGTATAAACTACTAGTATATATGTCCATAAGTACTCCTAGAAACCTTGTTGCATGTACACTACTACAGTGTGGGAAGGTTCATGGTACCTACTACCTTGGGTATATGGGTGACCTTCATGTCCGAACTAGCACAAATCAATTGTATAGTAGGCAATCTACTAACCCATAGATTCAAGACATGTAGACTAGATTCAAAGGACATTTGAAGCCTCTTCACCTCGGTGTATAATCTTATCAAGACAAATCACTCGGAGGAGCTTTATAGAATTGTCCCACCTCAGCGACCTGTACAGTACCTAGGTAGTCAATCTCCAATCACTCCACTACCGGTATGTCGCAGATATCCAATGGATGGTTGACATCAGCACACTGAGAATCATACCCACTTACGTGTACATAAAAAACCAAGGTTAGGTAAGTACTCAACCTGTCGCAAGATCTGTTGACGGCACGCTGTACCGACTTGGAACTGTTAGTAGCGTCGACATCGGGCCGTCTTATCGTGACTCTACGTCATTCATTGGTGCGGCAGAGAGCCTCAGACATCGCGAGCTCACCATTACCCCACCATCTTACCCCGCCATCGCCGTGGTGTCTCCCCCGAATCCATGGCCTTATGAACATAAAATAGGATGTGCCTAACTAGGTACACAGCAGGCAGTGCGAACCTAGAAGTAGGAAAATTCATATGATAAATAGCCTGAATACAGCTTCCAAGTCCCAAATTCTCGTGCCAAACACTCACGCGTTTGAATCCCCCCCTTCAATACCTACCTCATATTCAAAGTACACGTAGCTGTGTTGTGTTCACAAGATTGATTCCAGTAAACAAAAGGCCTGTTCTTGAAGCTGCCATATCTGACAAATTCGGCTACGAAGTTACCGACTCCTTAAATAATCCGATCATATCAATCAAGCAAACAGCCACTTGAAAAGGACCCGAAGATGGACAACGAGGTGTCGTTCCTGCCTTTGGGGGCCATAATTCAGTCCTTCACAGTCAACTCCGTCAACATCGTTCAGGGATTTCCAACGCAAGAGCTCTACGAGTCACATAACAGCCCGTACTTCGGGGAGACGATCGGTCGCGTAGCGAACCGCATCTCGAACGCAAAGCTCGCGTCCGTCAACGGCGGCAACTCGTACAACCTCCCCGCAAACGACGGTTCCAATACCCTACACGGCGGTGTAAAGGGCTGGGGCAAGCGGATATGGGACGGGCCTAAGGCCACCGGGGCTCCAAAGCCCGCGGGACAGCAAGAGGGCGGCGACAGCGTCCAGTTCACGTTGCGCAGCGAGGATGGAGACGAGGGGTTTCCCGGTGAAGTCTTGGCAAAGGTGACTTACACAGCGGCAAAGCACAAAGAGGGCGGAGGAGATACGCAAAAAGAAGTCACGCTCCTGAATATTGAGTACGAGGCCGAACTAGTCAGCGGTGCTGAAGAGACTGTCATCAACATGACCAACCATTCGTAAGCCACACCAATTTCAACCCCTTGACGCCTGCGCAAATTAATTGTAATATCCTCGATCTAGCTACTTCAACTTAACCGGTGGTCCCTCGATCGAGGGGACTGAAGTACAACTCTGCACCCCTTCGTATCTGCCCGTCGACGATGGCGGCATTCCAACAGGGGGTCCGACAACATATGCCAAAGTAGCCACCAACGAGAAGTTCACTCTAGGCCCCCAGGAGCCCGACATCGACGACTGCTTCGTGGTGGATCCTTCTGCATCCCCTGCCTCTGTACCAATCGATACACGGGACCGACCTCTCGTAGTTCTCGTGAAGGCATACCATCCCGACTCCAAGATCCACCTCGAGGTTCACAGCACGGAGCCTGCGTTCCAATTCTACACCGGCAAGTACATCAACGTGCCCGCCGTCGAGGGCGTGCCAGCCCGGAATGCGCGGAGCGGGTTCTGCGTCGAGCCCAGTCGGTTCGTAAATGCGTGCAACGTCGACGACTGGAAGAACCAAATGCTCCTAAAGAAGGGAGAGAAATACGGCTGTCGGATTTTATATAAGGCTTGGCAGGATTAGGATACTTAAAATTTAGCAGACGATGATACCACCATATCAGGAGAAGGTCCGTCTGAATACCAATGTACTACTATAACGTAGATTAATGGTTGTATCTCGCTAAATTGACATTGCACACCCTGTGTCTAAGCCTCATCATCGTCATTATCATTGCCGTCATCTTTGACGGGCGGGGGCGGTGCTTTCGCCTCCTGCTTCCGGAACAATCCGGCTAGGAACTCGCTCGTGCTCGCCTCCTCTAAGCCCTTATCCTCTCGTTTGCGCAAGAATCGCGGAAACCGTAGACTCAGGCCGCGGTCTTGACTCACGAGCCCGATGGCGGCCGTGTACGTCGGCGACAGCGTGATATCCGCGAACGCCATCTCCCAGACTTCTTGCGGCTCGAACCAGACGTCGGGCGAACCCGCATACTCGACGAAAGCCGGTTTCGTCTTACGAATATTCTTATACCGCCGTTTGTTCCCGTGTTGATTTTCGTTCTCGTCTTCGTCCTCGTCGCCCTGGCTTTCACTGCCACTAGCGGCATCCACCTCCTCACCTTGTGCTTCATCCGCCCCAATCGTACCGTCGGGCTCCGGGTCGCCGGTCCCATCGTCGTAGAACCGCCGGTTCGCCTTATAAAACGCGTCCGTAAAGCCAGACATGCATTTACACACCGCTTCTAGCGCGCCGGTTTCTTCATTGCGCACGGCGAGCAAGATGGGCGACCACCATTTCGCTTTGCGACCTTGTCCGTGCCAGGCTGCGACGGGCACCAGATCGAGCGTGTCAAAAGAGGAGCTATAGTCTTTCTTGACTTTCAGCCAGGAGTCGAGACGCTTGTCTGGCTCATATGTCGCGAGGAGGGGTTTACGACGGGTTGATTGTTTCTCTTTCGTATCTCCTGGGTTTGCTTTGAGTTTTCCTTTCACAGCTCTACTTCGGCCTGCAGCAGTTTCTTCTGAGAGTTCGTCTGCCAAGTCTCGATCCTCGCCTGCGCCTGTGGGGACAGGAGCAGGCGTATTCGGCAGGTTATCGAGGATCTTGACCATTATACCTTCGCACTTGACGTCCAGGGCTTGCTTGAAAAATTCCAGCACAGCCTCCGAGTCTTGGGATGTGGCATCTAAGCTACGCACCCATGTAAATCGATTTGGAACCTCGACGAACAGGGAGCGTAATAAGCTCCTGCGCTCACGAAAGGGTCGATCAAGCAGCGGCTGGCCATTAAGATACATGAGGTCAAAAGCAAACAGGCAGACGTCGATAGTAATACTCCCAATCGCCACATCTTTACGTGCCCGATTCGTCAGTGTTTGGAAGTTCTTCAACTCGCCGGTTGTTTGATCGACCGCAACAACTTCCCCCTCCATGATAAAGCTACCGACTCCCTCGCCGCGGATCTTTGGCACGAGCGCAACAAGGTCAGGATACTTGTCGGTCATGACTTCAAGGTGGCGCGAGAAAATAGACACTTTTCCGTGCTCATCGCAATGTACCTGCGCGCGCTGTCCATCATATTTGTACTCACATGCGAAATCGCGACCTTGTAGCTTTGTGAGCATTTCCGAAAGATCGCGTGTGATACTGCCCAACATAGGCCGGAGCGGGGCATGTAGCTCCAATCCGCAGCGCAGGAGCAGCTCAGGACAGACGCCAACTTCGAACATGACCGGAATTAGGTCATTGTAATTAGGGCGCCGTGCAAAGCATGCCTTAACTATCTCCTCTCCGCGCGCCCAGATCTCGGCAAGCTCCTCTTTCTTGAGGCGACGAAGCTCCTCGACTGAGCGCTGAGGATACTCATATTCATCTTCCTCCTCACCTCGAGGTGCGGTAGGTGGCCGCGAGAGTAAGAAGGCCCGTGAAAGCGCTATCAACATGGTTGTTCTCACGGCTCCAATCCGCAAGTGCTGGCAAAGCGTTCGCACGACATATCTGCTCTCTTCGCCACCTCGCGCGTCCTGTAATAAACGGTCTACAAGCCGTTGTTTCACTTCGGCACTCCCTTGCCCTTGAGCACTGGCAATCTTCACAAGAGAGTGGTATACACCCTTAATAGTGAGAGGTTTCGGGGCACGCAACGTGAAGCTCTGCTTTTTCTTTGCTTCGAATGCTACATCCCCTGCGTCTCCGTACTTATCGTAGATTGCCTTGAGCGAGCGATTATCGAGGCCGCATACTTGCCGCAAAGCTTTCGAGATTGCAGAACCACCTAACCCGAGCTCTAGAGATATGTAAGGAGGTGAGATAGCGTTGGTAGATAGCCAAACCTGTTTGTTGTCAGTAGCTTTCCACCGATATGTGAGCTGAGTGCGCCAAAAGCACAGGGTAAAAACAAAGGGGCTCGCGCGCTTGCCCGTTGAGATTCCCAGGAATCCAAAACGTACTGCAGGGAGGAGGCTATCCGGGTCTTCCGCGATAAGTATACGCAGACAGTTGACTAAGGTGTCGACAATCTTGATCCGACTCGAAGTGGCGCTCACAAGCACAAAGCAGCGTGTCAATAATGCGTACGACGCATTGCCACCGTCCTTAGCCCAATGCGCACGCAGTTGTGGGATATACTTGTTCGGATCAAAAATGAGCGGGTTCGCGTCGAATGGTATCGATTCCGAGACTGTATCTACAGACGCAGCAACGGATTGGAGGGAGAGAGTACCTTTCCCTTTCCCTTTGCTAGGAGATTCTGCTATGTCTCTCTTCGGTGGCTCTGAAGATGCTATATCGATATTGACCTGGCCCGTCTCAAGCTGTGTATCCGACGACAGTACTTCTGGAGTCTTAGATCTTTTGTCATTTGAAGCATTCGCCTCTAGTGTAGTCGCTGGCACACTGACTGCCTCCTGGTCCCACTCGGCCTGCAGCTTTCGAGCCAGCTCTTCGTCGGTCATCTCCTGATCCTGAGCCGCATTTGCCACATTCTCACCCGGCTCGCTCTCAGTACCAAGGGAAGGACCAAGTCCAATTTTGCCCTTTTGTTTGGCGAAGAAGTACTCGAGACCTCGTGATGGTAAGCCACTTTTGGCATCGCCATTCAACTTCCTCTTCTTCGCAGGACTTGGCATCGTTCAAACCCTATATGTTTTCTCTTTGAATACATCTGCACCATATCACTGCCATGTAGATTATTTAGCCGAGTCTATGATCCAGTTTCTGCAATTGATAGGACTCATCATCTCATTCGACGCGTTTTCTGAGATCGAAAGGTCGTGTAAAAGCCGATGATGTCAGCGCTAAATGTAGCCTGATAAGTACAATACCTAGGTAGTAGATATCGAACATAAGCGTATATGCAATTATCAAGTATATAGCTCATTGCAACAGGGACGCCAGCTTAGACCAAACAATAATTACCAGATTTTTCTATCCCGATGCGTTTTAGAATGAACAGCAGGATTTGATTCGAGATTTTATATCTACGAAATTGGCCATAGATACAGAAAGTGACATTGAATGAGATCGCAGAGCTCCGTTTTCCCTACCTACAATACTACTCTAAGTACAACCCATCACCTCCTTAACCTCTAGTAGATCCTCCAGCTTATTCCCATTCAGTAGTCAGTGAGCTTGTTGCTTTCTCTATAAATACTGTTCCTCAAAAATCAAACGCAATGCTAAGATGAGCCTCCATGACAGAGACTCTGTAGCTGTATTTCCACGTGAAACCTATCCCCTTTGCCCTCTCTCTTTCAAATGTGGTACCAGTCATGGTTGTGTGTTGAGTATCTTGCTCAACTGCATCTATTACCACTTTTCATCAAGCTTTTGACGAGAAATTCATCTCTAAACGAATAACTCCCTTCTAAGAGCTATGCAGAATCCAGGCGGGTCTCTCCTTTCCCATGGCTACAACTCCTTTCCCGTTTCAACGCCCTCTGTTATGGTGAATGTTATATAGGAACCATCTGCGCTGATTTCCCACGGGGCTTGTATTCCATATGGTTCCACTTTGGGGACCCTCAAACGACCAATCGAGCCGCTCAAGGAACGATGAGTAATGGAGAAGGATTCCTTGCTGAGAGCGTAACGTCGGTAGCCACATGGAAGAAGAACGTTGGTGCATTTGTTGACGTAATCCAAAGCTAGATAATATGTTAGAAACAAGCCCCATGTCTTTTCTAAGGTAAGGACCCCAACAAAACTGAACTTACTCTGATAATGCCTCAATAGGAGTGATAGTCTCCGGTGAGCTGGCCCATCAGACGTTCTTAGGACTGGCATGTTGTACGCGATGAAGAAGACGTCATTCTCGAAGGAGATTAGGGGACCTGTAGAACTCGGCGTAGAATGACGGTCGATGACGGGACTCAAGCGAGAATACAATGATCTGGTCCAATAATAGGCCTCCCAGTTCACAAGGAATAACGGAGGGACTGGTGCGCGACTGACAATAATACCAGTCTGGCCCTCTGCCTGATATCCAATTTCGACATGTCGATTCTGTCCGTATATGGCGTTCTTCCAGATCAGTAAGCGCAACTCTCCCGGCAGATTACCAAAGAGATGGAAAGTTTGCTGTCCCTTAGTCATTCTATCGGAATTATCTGGTAGATCTGTTGCAAGCCTGTGGGATTTTCATATGGGTAGTCTCCTGGGAGCACTTAGCGTTTCTTGAACCAATCGTAGTGCTGTAGAGGAATCTCGAAAGACTATAAGCAGGTGAACACTCAATAAGAGTTGATGTGAATCAAGAAATGAATATTGATTAGGGATAGCACAGTTGTTCTGTCAATCGGCAGATTCACACCTAGTCCTGCATAGAAGATGGGAGGCATGCTCTACATATTTATACTCTGGGCATAGACGATTCTAAATCTCATTTCCCCCTCACAAGAACGCACTAACATTGAAGCACCATTGAGTACATACAATAGTGGGAAATGCTTTAATTAGCGAGCAAACTGAGGTATTTCCATATGGTCAATGCGGCGCGTAGTGCCTCTGGTGAATGGAGTGTGAGTGAATGGGCCATTGGGTCACTAGACTCAATTCACTTCTAGTCACACATTGTCCAACTCTTCTCCAATGCTCATTGGCGACAACATTTATCAATATTTCCAGGTCCCAACTAATACTCGGCTGATGACCATGTGTGCCAAAGCTGTTAGAAGGGGTTCACCAGAATGATCTTTAACTCATTGGAGTCAAAGGTGGTGCGCAAAAGATCAATAGGGTACAAAGGAGGGAATAAATCCTAACCTGTAATATGGCTACGAGGGAACATTCGTACGTGTAACCAAATTCTGATATAGTTACTGTAATGCGCCTCTATATATTTATATCTCCTTGTGAAAATTGCTGTGTTTAGCAATTGTTAGACAGCCATACACTAAGTCCACGATGTCGAGGAACCTAAAGGACGAACCTTGGTGGATGCCTGATAAAAGTTTAGACAGAGATTCGTCATATGTTACACGGGACAATCTGTGCAATGATGACTAGACTTGCAATTGAAGCTATTCACAATATGATAATCCACTAATTATGGCTGCAAAAGTCCCCAGCCAACCAACTCTGTTTTAGCTGACTTTGGCTCTATATACACTTGAGCTGACTGTCCAGACCGCCTAGATCTCATAGATCTATTTCATAGAGCGAGGTCTATATAACCTCACTTTCAATTTCGCCTGCATGTCTCTGCAGGATCATGAATGGACCCCATGATGTCTTTAGCCGCTGGCGAACTGCGTATTCAGCCGTACGCACATAAAATACAAATAAAAACTAAGTAAAAATATATAGAATAGCTCGAAGGAGAGCAGGGATTTCCAAAGTACGTAACATTACCTACTAGAATAATTACCTTTCCAGCCCAAACGTGAATTACATTGGTATGAGATATAGGGGTTGACGAGTACGCGTACTGTAGCCAAGGATCTGTACATACGGAATCTCATTTACAGCAGAGGTAATATTTGTGTCTGATATATTCACCCTAAAGTCGAACCGTAACAAATTATTCCCATATATTCAACTCTGACTGTGTTTATTATGCTCTAAGTAGGGGAAAGTGGTACAAGGACCTTCTGTAGGCACTTGGCCTGTAAAATCAATGGTAATTCTCCGTATTCCGATTAGATGTTATATGTTATTGAGTAGACGTTATGTGTGAAACATCACAGCAGCGGCGCAATTTTCGAAGATGATGGCATGATCACCAATGGCGCCACCTGACTTTTTCGCAATAGCTCGACCAAGCGTCAGGGTGTTTCCTAGGCTCATCGGCGACCTTTAGAAGTGTGAACACGAACGGCTTGTCGTCTTGGAGCCCGCGGTAGAAGAATTGGCCTTGAGCGGTCATCCCTGTGCTATCCAGGTCGAAATGACCCGTCCGTTCGTGGTCAGCGTCCAATACTAAATCTCCAGTGCCTGTGTCCAGGCCAGCCCACTGCAAGTAGAACCGGCTAGGGTTCCGAGAGCCTTCAATGCCGCCAGGTCGCTTTTTAGAATGTTTTGTAGTGGCTCCTTGTGAGCTTTTGAACTTGCGCTTGCCAGACACTGTCAAGGAGTCCAAGTCGGAAACTTCTTCATCGCTATCCGAACGTGCAGCTTCTTCCTCGCGCAAGCGCTCAAGAGATGCCTCGGAGGTCGATATCAGCATAGTACCCTCTAAGAGGCCGAAATCGAAGGCACCCGCGGTGCCGTTGGTGCTAGTTGACGGGTGGATGTCCAATGTCATTGTGCCTTGACACATGTACTCTTCCTCAAGCAGAGGGCATTGTACCATGTATGAGCCCACTAGATGCTTGAGCGTAAATGGCCCAGATGGAAGGGGCCGTTTCTCTCTAATATAGTCCGTATGTGGTTTCAATTTAGCCATGATCTCCTTCTCTTCGTCAAGCCGTTTCTGCTTGATGTCCAAGTCCTCCAATCGTGCAATGTCTAACTTCCATGAATGGGCCAGTTTCTTCACCGATTTAGCCCATCCAACGATTATGCACTTTCCACTGCGGTTCCAGGCATCATCTGTGGGCCTTTCTGTCTCTTGAATTAAGAGTTCTGGGACGCGATTAACAGCTTGTTTAAGCTTTTCAATACTGTTGCCGTAGGCGAACCAAGGCTTCAAGGCGAGAGGCTTCTTTTGCTTTTCGCACTTCGGTCGGCCGTGCAAGCCATCAAGAAAGTATTTAGCTAGGAAGAGCTCTGGATCAAACAGTGCCTCAAGCGTGGGATGATCGCCTTTTACATCTGGGCGATCTATCAGGGTAAAGGCATCGCCAATTCCTCTCTTGAATGCTGAGTCCCATGCTATGACAGCCAGGTAACCCGTGACACGCGCTCTCAGTCCAGGTATGCCATCAATGCGATGGCGCAGTGACTCAGGCTTGTCCAAGTCCCAGATGATGACGGGCTCGGGCGTCTTATTTGGGGCTGGTGACCCATCATCGTTCACAAAGTACTTGGAGACAAACCAACCAATATCATAACGTGCCTCAGCACTGGGGTCACTGAGCTTCGAAAAGTTCTGCTTGTGCCAGCTCTTTACATCAAGCTTATGCTTCTTCACGGCCTGTGCATACTCCTCTTGCTTTTGGGCGAATTGAGTTGCAAGCCGCTGCCTTATCAGATCAATCGAGGGAGGGCCTCCCTCAACACACTACATCAAGGAAAGTAATCAGTAATGGGGTGCTTCCACTCTCGCCGCCGCGTACAAGTCGCTCACCTTGCGGCCCTTCACAGCGGCTTCTAGTGTACCTCGAAGCTCGCTGACTTTGGCTGACTTGTTGAAGGCGATGTCGTATAAACGAAGTTGTGCTGTAAGCCACGGCTTGGTAGCTACAGCGCGGCGCGCTGATGATGCGTTTTTCCGGAAGAGCAAGGTTAGGTCTTCCAGCGAGGCGCGTGAGAAATTGCTCACGCGTAGGCCATTCCTGCTATCGTAGGAAAATGCCCCGGATTTGACTGACTCCGGCAATTGGGGCCGTGGAGGGAAGCCTTCAGCCTCGTCGGAGAGGTTATCATCATAGTCTGAGGAGTTGTCTTCCATCATCTCTGAGGAGTCGTCTTCCATCATCTCTGAGGAGTCGTCTTCCATCATCACTGTCTGGGTGCACTTCCCAGCAAAGCTTTGTTTTCTGTAACGAAGTAGATAGGAGGCACTCTGCGTCTCGAAGCGCGAGGCCCTCCTCTCAAGGAATTCTACCCTGACTATATTACCTGCTCTTATCTCTGTACGTAGTATTTATGTCATTGCTTTTGGCTCTGCCCCTTGGGCAGTGGCTTATAGGGTTCCATAGGTGCTGCCATAGGGAACTTCATTACAGCACTAAGGACCCCTAACCGTCGCTAACCATCACCCCTAGCTGAAGCCTGTCAGAGAGGTACCTCAGTGCTTGGTGTGCACCTACTAGGTACCAATAGGGAGGTACTTAGGTAGCTGCTCTCCGGCCTACAGTACCACTTGAAGAGCTCAGCTGCGATCTCTCAGTTGACTCTGGTTCATGAGGCAATCCAGGAACAAAGAACTTACTTCACCTACCTACTGCATAGAAATGTAGGTGGGCATCTGCATCAAATCAAAAGCAACGCGAAACTATTCTCAATAGCTAGAATTGACATGAGATACCCTTTCCATACACTGCTAAAACTTGCGCCACATACCATAAACCCAAGCGTGAGAGGCGCAATGGGTGACAAACAGAAGTGAGACTGCCGAATACATGTTTTCAATCTCCCCCTTGCGTGGCTAACAGAGAAATATGTAGAGTCGCCTTTAGTGCACTGAAACGCAAGGCAGATGGCGATCTCGATGGACTCAAGACAACAACACGCGCCCGGATATCGATCCGTATGAAATATGCCAATGGAGCAATTCGAATTACTCGTACACCCGGCAGGAAGCACGCCAAGAACTGTATCATCCTGCAAGATATAATACATAAGGACTACCTGGAATCTGCCTGCATCTATTCGTTCTTCATCGCCGAAGATGAGATCTACGAATATCTCCCCTTCTCTCATTCGGCCGGAGGCATCCCTGTATGTACGCGAAGCGTGTCGACGTTCAAGTTCAACTACTGACTTGAGTGTTTGGCGAGTAGATTTACATTGGTAGAGACCCGAATCTTGACGTGCCCACTGGTCAGGAGGCGGTAAGTGAATTCATGCGACACTTGTCACCAAAGTGAGTTGGGTTGCCATTACTGATGTGTATATATAGAGTATGCTAGCTGGCGTGAACTTCCAAGAAAAGGTATCTCGCAAGCAGCTCGACAGTATCCGCCCTGCTCTTCAACAACTGCATAGCCGGAGATATGGACAAAATATACATACTTTCTATGCGTGGGGGGCTGGATCTTGTCACTCCAAGGTTCTCTTATTAGTATACCCGACTTTTCTCAGGATCGTCATTACGTCTTGTAACATGATGACTATTGATACAGAGCTGGGAGATAATCATTGGTACGTTCACGATGTGCCAAAACGACACTCTCCTTCAACCCCCACTGGCTTCGAAGCCGATCTGCTGTCACATATGGAAGCCCTTGGCACTCCAGAAGACTTTCTCGAATCTATCCGAGGAGGATATGACTATTCAACGGTGAAGGTGCATCTCATCACCTCCGCACCTGGCACGTGTTCGGGTGCAAAGGCTGAAAAACACGGCCTACTTCGCTTGAGGCAAGTGATTAAACAACTAGACTTGAAACTGGCCGAGAAAAACCGTGAAGGGAAGCTCCAGTTAGAAATATGTACCGCCAGTGTTGGAAACCTTAACGCAAGGTGGCTCAATGGGTTCTATGACTGTGCTCTAGGTAAGGATACGCTGCAAACGCATGACGGAACTAGCGCTGTTCCGAAGCTTAAGTTGTTCTACCCGACCTTCCAAGACGTCAAAAACGCCGATCAAGTCGCGCAAGATGCCGCGAGCAACATCGGTTGCCACACACGTCCTTGGGAGAGTGTACCGCGGGAGGTGAAAAGCATATTTCATCATTATGAGTCGAAGGATTGTGGGAAGCTCTTTCATCAGAAGTTGGTCATAGCTTACAACCCCCGGGACAGCACGCAGCTACCTTACTACGTGTATATCGGATCGGCCAATTTCTCGCAGTCTGCATGGGGCGCGCTGGAGCATGACAAAAGGGGTAATCCGTTGACTTCAGACAAAAAGCTCATCAAGCTGTCTAATTTTGAATGCGGTGTGTTAATCCCGGGTCATCTTATCAGCGAACTCCTTGAAGATGGGACAGAGAGTTGGCAAGATGGTATTATACCGCATAACCAGAGTGCAGCAACCTATGATCTACCGAAAGACAGAGCCTGGAATGACTATAGGTGGACAAAGGACTACCGCGAAGCTGAATGACAAGGTAGCACCTATAATTTATGAAGACGAAGACAGGGTGACGTATACTCAGACTCTTAAGCAGTCATGGTTGAGATCATTGGCCTGTAATTGCGCATATGGCATACTGATGGGCTGGGCTATGGTCTCGATCATCGAGCAAGGCATATTACTTGAGATTCATTGAGACCATAGCATGTGACTTTGATTGAGCTATGCCATTTAGACCATAATGTCCGTAGCAAGAACATTTGCTAGGCCCATGATTTCATTAATACCCTTCGGCCTCCGCCGACTAGTCGGAGGGCCCCCGTGACACCACAGGGAACGGACCCGAAATAGGATCGGTGATTCTACAGGGTCTACAGGGTCTACAGGGTGCCCTCGGCCTCGTGCAAGATACATAGCGATTGGCTCTCCACGGCTTTGAGGTGACGTGCATGATGTTTCAGGATTACTTACATTAGACAAAGCAACTAAATTAGGCCCCATTGATTTGGGTCAGGTGAAAATGAAGACTTTGAAGTTGGGGCGATTCTTGGCAATAGGGGAGGTATCTAACGCAGGACCAATCTCGATACCCGAGCGCTTGATTATGTCCGGCGGAAATTGGCGTTTCCTGGCCGCTGTAAGGGTTGCGTATGACGGCATCTGCACATCAGACGGGCAATCATGACGATCTTAGAAGCCTTCGGCTTCAGGACTTGCCTAGCAGACGCGAGTAAACTACCCTTTGCTAAGTAATGGTTAGTGGAACTTAAGAACAGAAATTGTCAGCTTTAACCATGTAACCTAGTGTATTTCAGTGCGTTTACCTTATTAAACGGACAGCAAAAGCAAGGGACTGCGCTTTGTAAGCAGTGCGCATGTATTTGTATTTGTATTTGATACTTGATATAACGTGCATACCATTCCAAGCTAGATTATGAAGGTAGAATAGACATCTTCTCGGGGTAGGTATGTGTTGCGTGTCAAAGTCAGTGTTTGTACTAGTCGATTGTTGACACGGTTCACAAAATAAGACTTTCAATCAGCACCTCATCATAGCCGAAATTTATTCTGAAGATAAAGGACAAGGCTGAATAGCACATGTCAGGTGTAAATATCTCCAAACAACAGGCTAAACATCCAATCGCGCTATGAGTACAGCTTAGATCGACACTCCAAATTACGTTCCAAATTGTTCACCGCCATGGCCGATTCTAACCAGACTAATGCAAAATGCCATATGAACATCTGCCAGAGAATTCCAAACGCGATTTTTCGAGATGAATTTACTCCAAACTCATCTCGTTCCACTTTGACAGTAGGAATCCCAGTTCACCGTCATCCCACTGTTTTGCCAACACACTCTCATCGCGGGGGATATGGGTCACTACCAGACTAGTTGATATGTCCGTGAGTTCCTCTCTCTGAATCCCGAGACTCTCGAAGAACGGCAGCGCCGCCTCGGGGATTTCGATGTCCCTGCTCCGCAAGGCTGCCTCCCAACCTTTCAAAACGTATTTTGCAATGGGCATACGTCTCGAAATGATGTGCATAAGCTTGCACAAGCGTGGGAACATTTGTCTTGCCGCCTCATCTTGTATTAGCGGCAGTAAGACCGTTCCTGCGTTCAACGGTCCGATGAATGCCATTAACGAAAACTCTCCCGTCGTCCACCTGGCGAGATACTGCTCCATTAACTCTATGTCGAGCTCGCAGCTTCTCAGCATCATCGTCTCGACTGTCATGCCACTTGTCTGGTCTAGCACGACGTCTTTTCGCAATGTCCGTAGGATCGCATACATAGCCGTGTTCATGGCGATTCTGTTGATCGTGAAATAAAGCCCTAGTCAGCGGCTATCATAATTCACATGTGCCAAAGCAATTGACTGAACTTACCTAAGAAAACATGTTGATGGAGTGAAGTTCTGGTGATGGCGCAGTGAGGGCGGAAGCGAGTTATCAATCTCGTTCAATTTCATCAAAAATGCAATATTTTTGTTTAGATTCCCTTGTCCATCGGTACCGATTACTCCGTAACTTTTATGATCTTGCCCAAACGTCAAAATCTCGCTCATTAACACGGCCACACGGCATAATATGCCAATTGCCCCGGAGACAAGTGGGGGTTGCGGCGACGCAGAAGTGAAAGGCTGGCCGAAAATATCAAGGTTATTGGAACTGTCGTGATTATTTTCGGGAAAGGGGCAGGGGACCTGCGGTGGCTGGAGGACATCCGTGCCGCGGAAGTTCATAGTCACGATGCTAACAGGACATTGTGCTGTCAGCTTCAGATATCGATCGCTATTCTGGATAAGGTAAATGAGTATGTATTGTCGTAAACGGCTATTGATTTACCTTTCTAGGCAGAAATGCCCCCAAATCATTTTCGATATTGTTTGCTTCCTGGCATTGTCTTCTGGGTTTAAGCCATCCAAGTTTGGAAAGAAATGGCAAATTCTGGATCTGCTGAGCATGCCGTAGGAAGCAAATCGGTACAGGCCCCCATTCCTGTCATCTCCTTTTAGAAAGGAAATGGAAAACAGAATCCATAGTGCTTGAATGGTGGGAAGAATAGGTATCGTGGAGGCGGAGTGCTTTAGACTCTCAGTGAAAAAATGCTCTCTCAAATCCTTCTTCGTTACGTGTCGCACAGCATCAACTGTGTCTGAAAAGTACTAAAATTGGCATCAGCTTCATAAGCCTGCTTTTAGAATGCCTCAACTTACGCTCCTATATGCACATATGGCATTGACTAGAAATGGTGAACAGTATGTTGCGCTCCTAGGGTCGGCTGAGCGGATGTCTTGAAGAAAGCACTCGGAATCGACGAATGGACAAAGGAATGCACCATCCCATTTGAACCATGCAGATATAAGCTCGGAGACAATTCCATCACCAGCTACCGTGGTCCATGGTTGAGCAGGGACCTTTATAACACTCCCGTCAAGTGCATTGGCTTCTAGTTGCTGTAACGTTGAGAATTCGTCGCCATCAACCATGACTGTGGGCAGAAGGAGCTCAGCCTGTCTGATTGAATGCGTGAGGGATATTGGGTCATCTGTTAGCCTCAGTCTCCGATAGATGTTGTAAGCCTCAGCATCCGGTCGGCTGGAAAGGTCGTGTAATAGTGATCGGAGATCCGAGTTCTCGCGTTGCAACCGGTTGGCGATTTCTTTTCTTGCCGAACTCCTTGACAGTGCATCTTCCGGAAGCTCATAGACGCACTCTTGTCCCTTGCTACGGCACCTACGACACGACGGCCGCTCACCATCACACTAAGAATTCAGCCCTGCTAACAGTGTTGGTTGACAGGAGTAGAGGATGTACCTTCGCTTTGAGGCGACGACATGGCTCGCAAGCAACAAGAACAGAAGAGCGACCTTTGCGAGACTTGCTTGGCGGTGGATCGGGACTGTCATCATCATCCACCTGTGTATTGGGCTTCGGTTGTAATGGAACCAGAGGTCTGTTAGCCATGCCTAAACGGTAGGAATGTTTGTGTCTTGTGAAAGCCTGCACAATCTTCAAACCAGTGAATAAGGGGACAAAGTATCACGGCCTGTTTCCATCCACCTATGTATGCATAAACATAGACTACTGGTAAGTTCTAGGGAATTCTAGGAAAATCCCATGAAGATTTGCCAGATGTTCAGGAGCAATCATCAATATTGGCTGCGGTGAGCGATTGGTCGAGTTGCTCGTGGGAATCCCTCCGTATCCTTGGCGTCAGTTGATTGGTTTCGCAGTCTCGAGGCACGTGGCGATGCCGACGTTGTTACGGTATATTCACCGTATATGAACGTAAGAGGGAAATGTGACTGGAAACTTGAATTTCATCCCGCTATGGAAAAGTGTATCCTCGGAGTAATGCTGGGCGTGGTGGCTAGAGAGCACAGAATGCACGGACACGGGGGTGATAGTAGATTTATCTCTTTGCAGTACCAGTCAAGCTGTGGACAAATCACAACAGCATGTATCGTCATGGCCGCCAGACCCTGTTTTTTCAGCTTGAAATGCTGGCAACTTGCCCTCAAGTACCCGCATTTGCGTTGGTCTACATACACAGTGGAAAACGAAGCCGAATGTGGTGATGTCACTATACCTGTTATGAGCTGGAAAACGCTCCGGGTCATTAGAATAAAATCCCGGGCTGCTCTCGCTCTCTAAGTCCGCGCTTGAAAATATCTGTTGAGGCAGCCATCGCAATCGCACAGTCGTTGAATCTTGCAATAGAATAATACTATGGTTGTCGAGGTGTACAATACTCATGAGTACTTGCGGGAATTCAGTGCTGTCTGACGTAATTTGGATATCATAGTTGGTAATTGATTGCTATGAAAGAAGGAAGGCATGAGAAGAGTAACAGATCAGCCTAATGAGCAGGCTCTATTGATCAATCAGGTTGCGCATTGAGATTCATTAGGTTGCGTCGTAGTGTCAGCTGCATCAACGTCGACACATGCATTAGATGCCTAACGCATTCCCCTGTGGCTCTGCCCGTCCCCACCGACCCAACTCTTTGAATAGCCTTTGCAAGTCCGATTAGGAAATCGCTATTGAGCTCCGCGCCGTTGAATCGCCAATATTTACATATAATGTCTCGAGCTCCATGCTAGGAGCGATAGGGATTAGTAGAGCGAACACAAATCCGAACGGCCGTAAATACACAGCTCTTTAGCCATCATGTATACAAAGACAATACCCACACTTCCAGATAATGCACTAGGCAGGAAACTAGGAGGCATTAGACGACGAAACGAGGCGCACGTGAACCACATTGATGGTCATTAAGTGTTAGGAGCGAGGGTTGTTGCAGTTGCCTTCTTTTATGTGAGATCTTTTAACGTTAAGCAACACGACCTTAACCTCGAGTAGAGACTCTAGAGACTCTAGAGAAGAGAAACTGTAGTTCGAGTTTCGAACGCAGTTCCATATGCACTAGTCATTAGCAGCTATTTGAGTTAGAGCCTAGAGGGTTTTGGCCACGCTGATTATAGTGCAATGGCCTTTTCCCCTTGATTTCGATAGGAGATAATCAGACTAGGATGACGATTACCACTTGTTGCCGAGTCTAGCACAAACTTGCATATTTAAAGGCATATTGGGATAAACCTCCTGAAGGCTAGGTGGATAAGATACTATTACGTCCTTTAGATTATTATGGAATTTGGTGAGTGAATCAAAATCTAGCCCTTACTTGCATAACAGGATAAAACATGCTGTGTTTCTTAAATACACGAAAGACTAGCAAGAAAATAACAAATTGTTTACAAATCGATTATATACTGTGTCAACTAAGAGCTTGACATGTATTTCCAAACCGAGACATTATTGAATAGGCTGGGCCTATATGAAGTGCAACTAGAATTACTGTATGAGACTTCTTTAGTAACCGTATATTCATTTAAACAGAATTCAAAACTCACTGGCAACAGTCAATGTTTACCAAATCTTAGCTATTTATTGGTTCAGAAGATCCTATATTCATATACGGCCACCAATTCGGATCATAATTATGCTTCAACTTAAGCTGGAGTTAAGAATAACAAATGCTTCCCTATACCTTCGATTACCCTAGGGGAAGATACTTGTCAATACTCCTCCATATTGCGAATAAGATAGCCTGTTCTTCTCGATATCGTAATCATTCCAGTATCCACCCCCTGCGAGACCACCGGCTGCATTCCAGCTAGTGAACTTGGTCTTAGCCTGCGCGACAGTAGTTCCATAAGACGGCTTCGAGTCGTTTGTGACCCAAACAAGGGGAACAACTTTGAGGCCTAACGTATTAGCCCAACTCGTAGGGTTGTTTCCCGCGCCGCCATCGTAGCATTGCAGGTAGACACGGTCGATCAGCAGATTTGGGTCCGCTAGCCCTGAATTAGCTTGCCTCAGCAGCGAAACCCAGAAGGCGGAATTCGTGTATGGTGCGATCGTGTATTTATATCCCATTTGACCTAGCATTTTGGCGAAAGTGACGGTACTGCCAACATCATAGAGCGACTCGTCATCGTTATTGACTGCATCGAGACCCCACGCCGCTTTCAACGCTGCGAAGTTGCGGTACAGAGGTGTTGAAGAGCCTGGGCCTGGATTTGCCATTAGGTCTCTTACGTGCTGCGAGTTCATCGAGATCTCCACTCGATTGATACCCGTTGTCCCCGTCTTGAACGACCGGACTTTCGTGGCTAGTTCAGCACCACCTACATAGGTGCCATTGGATGCGGCGAGGACATCGCTGCTTCCCGGTGTATTTGAGTAGTACTTTGAGACATCCAGTCAGCAATTTGACCATCTCCTGATCCCATAAAGAGGCTTTCAGAGATAGGTAACGGTGATGTATAAAATAACATGATAGGACGCGCATTGAGCTGCATCTCCGATTGGAACTGCTATTACCCGGAACGGGAAATCCTTGGCAAAAATTCATACCATGATATCTCCATTTGCTAGTATGCCAACTCCAAAAATAATCACGCTGTTGAAGCCAGACGTCTTCAACGATGTTGTATCGGATTTTAGCACATCTTTGAAGAGGTAAATACTCCTAATATTCGACGTAGCTTGGCTGAGAGTCCAAGCAAAGGGCTGGAAGAGAATCTCAAAGAGCAGTGCTCTGAGGAGCAATGAGTACTTCATTTTGCGAAAAGGTTCTTTCGACCAATGTTCTGGAGGAGCCCAATCCACGAGACTCGCGAATATGTTTCTACCCAAGCCGACTAGATGTGGCAACACCGATATTTATGTCTGAATACGGGTTGGATGGGTCTGGTCGTAAGCGAGACGCTTGGTCCTCCATACCTATATCAAAATGTTTTATTGGGCTCCTCATTGGTGGCAGAAAAACAGTTGCGCCGTGAACTGTCTACGGCATGCCACAGTGTAACGTTTAGCCGATGGATATTGGCGGAAAATGCCCTAGGTGTAGCTTGGTTATACGACATTACCTTCCATTCTTCCGGGGATGTAAGTACGGAGCGAGGAAGCTGGATTGATCATGTTAAAAAGGTTCTTGGCAATTGTAGTTGAAGTGAGCTATTGACCATGAGATGCTGACAGAATAAACCGCGCGGTAAAATAGAAGTGAAGGACCAAAGGCCAGGCAAATATATAATATAGAGTGCGGATTACAAAGGCTTTGCGAGTTAGTTGGATACTCTATGTACGTCTGTACTGATGTGGTAGTCATGGCAAGTCAAAAATATATACAAGAATCACATGCTGTCCCAGAGCTTTCGCCACCAGGACTTTTCAGTGCCCTCTGAGGGTACTACCACCTCATCTAAATCTCGACGCCGCCCTGCCTGGAGATCTATTTCGTCCAGCCGCCAGAACCGAGTCTTATTCCAAAACTTGAATGCCACATAGATAATGAAGAATAGAGGCAGAAGGATATATGCATCAACGAAGTTCCCAGCGTTGAAGGGTGCAAAAGTTGACCACCCTTGCACCAAAGCGAGGAATATGTTGGCGAAAAGTCCAAAATAAGCATTCCAAGGATACCAGAGTGACTTAAAAGGAAGGTCCTCAACGTCGTAGCCCTGTGCTTCCCAGGCCTGCCGGAACCGAATGTGGGTAAAGCTGATCGCGCCCCAAACAAGGAACGTGCCCACGCCCGATAGGTTGATGATATATCCATAAGCATCCGCAGCACCGGAGGAGAGGTTAAGAAGCGAAAGCGCACCGAAAAGATTCGTGAATATAATGGCAGGACCTGGTACACCGCGCTTATTTGTTCGCCCGAGAAACTTTGGTGCTTTTTCGTCCTGAGCCATGAATAAGACAGTCCGTGAGGCGATATATATGGAGCTATTGCACGCTGAAATGCAAGTGATTAGGATGAAGGCGTTGATAAGATGGACGCCGCCCTCCCATCCAGCATTCTGAATGGCGATTGTCATAGGGCTCTTCAAGGCACGGCTGGCACCATTGATAAGGCCATCCGCGTTCGCTGGACATGTAAGTCCGAAAAAGAAAGCGGCTCCGAGGTAGACGAAGATGATACGCCAAAAGACTTGCCGAATGGCTATTGGCACAGCCACGCCGGGATTCTTCGTCTCGGTAGCAGCCACGGCAACAGATTCGACCCCGACATAAAAAGTACTGCAGAAAACGAAGACCTTGGCAACACCAGCAAAGCCATCAGCAAACGCACCGGGGTCTCTCCAGTAGCGAAATCCGATGGCGTCCGCTCCTATGACCCCCCCAGACGCGTAGCTATATATGTTAGCTTATGGGCAACCCCTTCAATCCAGGGAGAAGAAGGCTTACACAATAGCAAAGATATAGTATGCAATCAATCCCGCCACTTTCACGAGAGCGAGCCAGAACTCAGCTTCTCCAAAGCTCTCAACGCCAAGGAATTGGAAACCCAGGAAGGCCGACTATGCACAATGGTCAGAAAGAACTGCCCGGAACCAGGACAGTCAACTTACCCATAAGAGGAGAAAGTACCCCCAAATAGGAACTTTGTCGCTCCAGAACTCTAGGATACTTGTTACAACATTATACTCGTTGGCAAGTACCGTGAACCAGATAATGAAATAATTCCAGCCGACTGCGCAGGCGAACGCCGGATCAACGAAACGGTCGGCGAGCTTGATGAACGAGCCACCCGAAGGGTACAACACAGTGATTTCTCCTATGCTTTGCATGATACTGATGCGCATGTTAGTTGTTGGCGTGCTCGTCGATCCACGTTAGTCTCACCTGAATGCGACAATTCCGATGACGCCAAAGCCAATAATGAGGGCGGCTGGGCCACCTTGAGACAGAGCATTGCCGGTTCCAACAAGGAGCCCAGGGCCAATGATACCGGCGAGTGCCATCATGCTCAAATGCCTTGTCTTCAAGCCTCGCTTGACGCCCGAGTCGGGGTCGATGACCTGGAAATCCAATTGGTCAGAGTCCACGTCAAGCGGCCCCAAGGGCGAGTTTGGATCCTTTAGGGACCCCATGGTCGATGAAGTGAGCCGCGACTTTAGCGGTAGAACAGAACGGACAACAGCGCAAAGGAGAGTGTGAAAGAGGGAGTGTTGATCCTGGCCACCGTGGGATCATATACGCATATAAATGTATCGGCAGGAGATGACCTTAGCTTATTCAGGTCCCCATCTTCTCCCTGATAAGCACGAGGTTGACGATCATCTTCACTCGGACTAACTACCTACACTAGCTTGGGGTAGTGCTAGTTCGGGGTTTCAGTGGGGGTGGGTTTCTCGAACTCATCTTTCTGGCAGTATCCTGGCTCGACAGGGTCGGTCCTGGGACGAGTCTTGATGGCGTGATCGGAACCTCAGTGAGGCAATTATCTTTCATCCGTGGGCCCGGTATGCAGAAAAGCCATATATTTCATCTAAGCGAGAATTTCTTTTAAGATCTTGCTCGCTGAAGTTGGTCTTTGTCAGCGTCGCTCACTCATCAATCCAACACGCGCTTCCAATAGCTGTAACACCTTCGGGTAGTTTTGCCGGGCGTGCCCAACGAGAAATGCTACGCGTTGAATCTAAGTCTCTAGGCTCATGTGCGCCCGAAGTTCGCACTGCTGCTGCGTTACCATGGGAGGCGACGAAGCCGTCGATATACCTAGATGTCTCTTTAGAGCTTCAAGCAGGCCGCGATTAGTCTTGGCCAAAGCTCATAATTCGAGCCTAGCCGACTCGGTATTAGAGATATCACGCGACTACTGGACATGCAATCTACTGATTTTGGTTGATAATTTCGAATGCTAAAGGCTACCCTGACGCGCCACCCGTGATATTCTTTCGCACATATGACCTTCTTTTCACCACTTGCTCATGGTTATTCAAGGCTCTAGCAGGGCATTTACAGTACTGTATGCTGCTTCGCCCTATGGTATGCTGAGGTTGGCATCGATTTTGCAGCAGACTTCGTCCGCCTAATCTTCATATCCCCTGCCGTACACCAGGCTTATACGCCACCCAAGGGTCCGGCTGCCAGGTCTCCAGTCTTCAGTGGACCCTGTTGATGATAATTATGTCAAACATGGATGTCATCTACCAACAAGTCTGTGTTCGACAGACAATCGACACACAGATACGATACCACCCGAAACGTATGATCCTAGGCAGATAAGGCTGAGGGCAAGCTTCCTGGTCCAAAGACTGCGACTAGTGTGCTCAATTCACCTAATTTCATCACCTCTTCGCGAGGACATTCCTTTTGGAGATAGCATGCTTTTTAGTTCATACGCGCCGTTGCTCCCTGCATCCACTAACTTAGATAGTAGACTAACTGTACGTCACGCCAATGTTCCGTTCATCTTCTAGAACAAAGCACCTGATAGTATGTAGTCGAGATCGTCTGAATGGCCATCCTTCAGGGAGTACCGAAGTTAGTCTATGCGCGACGGCAAGTAATTCATCATACCCCAGACTGTTCATAGATACTTTAAATAAGGTTCCACATCGTTCTCGAGTCAGTCACCGAGTTGTCCGATTGGACTCCGCGCCTCCTAAAGAAAGACCTGGAGGTTTCATTGGGACACTCGCTATCTGCAGCAGCAACCCCTTTCATCCAAGTCTCACAGCGCTAATCAGATTCGACGGCCTTGCCCATTTTGAATATCTTATCATTGGCGAGAGAATTAATATGGGCACGTTAGTGACAAGACTATGCGATGCTGAAAACGTGTCCGGGCTACCTTATGCAGACGTCGCCTCTTGACCATACATGACGCCTCATGAAATACAAAAAAGCGGGAAGAATGCGGGCTACTATAAACAAACTCCTCCAGTCTACTCTGCGTAGAGCACATAGTTGTGATTCCTATGCTTACACTAAACTGAAATTTCAACAGATTGGCCACTAGACAGACTTGTCCGAATAATTTCACCTCTTTTGTCTATCCTATCGTCACCTTCCCCCGGGTCCCCTTACTGTCGTGATCATCGTCGTTACCGTCTTCTTCTCTCTAAAACTCATATTGCTTGCATCATGTTGCGGTGAGACGACCTGGAATACTTCTGCACCAGCAACGGCAGCGTACTTCCGCCGTCTCATGGCAAAGCTATCAAACGAGAAGAATCAGCACCGCATAACGATGCATTCGCTACAAGTAACAAACAGAACGAGATGGGGGTAGGCTACTTACTATATACCAACCACAATAGCAGCCAGGAAAGGCACGCCGAGGCCGACGCTGAGGCCGATGATCAATGGCCGGTTGTCTGTACCGGAGGTTTTCTGTGGCTGCTCATCTCCTCCACCTTGGCCGGCTGTTGTAGTGGCTGAAGAGGATGACGGCGAGGATGTTGTTGGTGGTGGCGGCGGAGGGGTATACGAAACGGGACTACCCGTCGTCGCAGCTACGGTCTTGATGTTCTCGGCAAAGGGAATTAACTCGGAGACTCCGTCTTGCGTCGTTGCTGGGAAGGCAGCCTCTGAGCCCGAGGGCACTTCGACGACTAGCGTCCTCGTGCTCGTGACCTTAGTGGTGCTTTGTAGGGATACGGGGCATTCATCAAGCCCTGTTAATATACATGAAACACCGGTAAAGGTGACCTTATCGCTGAGTGTCGTCGTTGTCATATCGTCATCTGCTCTCGCAACTACTGTTGGAGTAGGCGTCGTGGTGATGGTGACGGCGGTAGTTTGTGTGGCACTTCTTGCGCACTCATCAGCCAGAGTCGTATAGAAGATTGGGATCTTCGTCGACGGCGCAGGACCCCATGTTTCGGGCCCAATGGCAATTGTCGCGCCGGCAGCAGCGCCAAGCGCGAGCTGGTACACCTGTTGCACTCGCAATTGGCAATCGGTATCGTCGCCGTCAGGCACGGCTGTGATGTTCGTCGTGAATTCGGCCAAATCCGCGTAGACCAAAACCTCCGTTCCAGTACTAACCGGTATGAATGGCGATAACTCTTTACTTTCTAGAGATACCCCTGCGTGTACGCCGAAGCGTAACCTCGCCGTAAGGACGCCGTTCGCCGTCTGGACGGTGACGGGCAGGAATGCGAAGGTCCCTCCGTTGCTGATGGCATAGGTTAGCTGTCGTAGATTCGAAACCTGAAGCACGACAGGGAAGATCAACAGCTTACAAAGTCACACTAGTAACGTTCTGACTGAAAAGTGAAAGGTCCAAGGTCATCCCGTCATCAACCCTAATGTGCACGCCGCTACTTATGTTGATGTCTGCATCGGCGCCTAAGATAAGGTCAATAGAGGCAATGACACCCACAAACGTCTCGCTGTCCACAGAGAGTCCGAGTGGGGTATTCGTCGAGTAGAGGTTGAGCGTATAAGTTGTTCCTGCCGAGAGAACGGTGTCTATTAACATGTAAAGCTCCAGATCATCAAACTGGAATCGCAGACGACACTCGGGAATATCTGGCACATCGACATTAAAGTCTACATCCAAGGGCGCAAAACTAATGTCGCTGAAGTCAAGATCATCCGTCAAGTTCTTCAGAAATCCGACGGTCTCGTTGTGTAGGTAGGAAATGGCGGCATCCGTCACATTCCCGATCTCTTCTGCGACGTCTCTCGTGAAGTTCGTGATTGCTTGGGTGAAATTGAAATCGCCGTCGAAGCCAAGTTCAGCTGTGATGTTCCCTTTCACATAGCACGTTGTGCATGTCACTTCAATCCCGGCCGATATCGATGTACTTCCTTTGCTTGGTAGCCCGCCATCGCTACCCGTTGAGTCAGATATGAATGCAGACTATCTTTAGAGGTTGGGAGATGCGTCTTCTCACAGGCTGAACAATGTCGCACCATCCCAACTCTTCGCTATTGTGGTAGTGTTTTTGGGACTCTTTTCGCGTCTCGAAAGCTTGGTTTGATACAATGTCTGTGCTAGGGCACTCAAAGTGTCTGGTGGTGAAGGGTTTCTAGGGACATAGAGCGGATATGTTTCCTGAGCTGTACTGAAGTCCGATACCAGTACGAGACTGAGGATTAATGAATATCCGGAATGTATCTTCATTTCAACTAGAAGAGACCAGGTGGCTTGATACTCTTCGAACCGTACTAGTGGATTGGGTCATTGAAGAAATCACAGAGTTGAGAACTTCACCACATCAACCGCTCAGGCCATGAGCTTCTTATCAGGGTATTTTACATGTGTCCATCGAGTCCCCTTATGGCAGGGGAACTCTCAGGGGGTCCTGAGGATGGGCATCCTACGAAGGCCGCAATCTCAGCCTGGGATCGTTGAGACTAGCCTGTGTAGATTATCTTAGCTGGCAACACATATGCAGTTGGCTTAAGGCTGCGCAAATGCAACCTCATCCTGTTTCGAACCAGAGACCGGTCGAAGTATACCATAAATAGGTAAGCAAGGCTAGGGCTGGAGCAATACCTAACGATGTCAGGAAAGTGTCGCAGAGCTATATGCAGTGTCTGAAACGTTATCGGTAACAACTCTCAATGTTGCATGTGGTTTCGCGAGCCTGCAGATAATCCTTCGCCCCCAACTGTGGCCAGTGAATATGTAATGCAGCTGGTAACCAACAAGTCAATTGAGTGCATAATTCAAGGCACGTAGATCGTATGCCTCGTTTGTTTCGTGGCTTACGGGACGCAATCTTCAGTGAGATTGAAGTCGCAAGATACTACTCAGTGTGAGAGTAGAACAGCTGTGATTCTATGAATAGCATTCACTCAATCACAAACAAACATCTGGCTGTCGTGTGAAAGCAGAATGAGCGGGTGCACAGCCGGCCCGGATAGTGCCACCAACACAAGCACCTAATTCGGGTGTGTCAATCGTATCAACCAGAGGATCTTGACTGTTCAGGTGAGTACAAAGTGCAGCAGGCTGATAGATCTAATACTCTTGTGCTGCGAGACGCAGTATCCCAGGCGTATTCGTACCCAGTAGTTGGCATCTTAATACAACCTGGTCACCAGACCACAATGGAGTATCAGCCCGTGCTCACCTAGAGGCTTATGAAGTGCAGAATTGGAAGCCACTGACAACACCCTCGGCTTGTTGGCCGTTCTATCTTGTTAGTATGCACTTGTTGCCTATTGAATATCGTGGATCAACATCCTTTGGCTGAATGAATTGCGCCTGAGTTGCTGTTGAGATGCAGGGAGCCATCTTGGCTGAGCTCTAAGACAACGCACGCCTGTACACCGTTGGCTCTATGTTTGGATACGGCCGTAGCGCCTCGTGAACTGTGGCGTTAGCTTGGTTGCTATTCTGGTTAATGACCTTCGGTGAGCACTGTGCGAGCGTGCAGTTTCGTCGTGGAACATATTGTTCATAATGCTTGTGGAATATAGACCGGAGCGCTAGGCTCTACAATGTGTTATCCGCGAATGTGTCACAGAATGTCGAATTTGTCCGAGTCACCATGAGCGATCGCGGCGAGGATGAGACAGCAAGCTGCTGTGAAGGCATATGATATGGGTTTAAACAGGTTAATGTTAGTGAAGTAGCGAAATCCATGAACATTAGAACGTTAACTTCTCGTTCAATAAGCCGGCTCTGGTTTCTGTATCCTTCGGCTGGAAGCTAGGCGCTTCGAATCCCCAATGTGCTTTTCATTCTATCTTTTGTGAGAAATTCACGGTCTTGGCGTAGCAGCAGCCTGATTTTCACCGCCAGTATCTCGGCTTCGAGGTTAGATGAAGACGGTTCAAGTACGCGAGAGCACCCGACGCGTTGAAGGTCATCATTGAGTGCACAGAAAACGGCACTGGATATCCAGTTGCATAACAAGCCAGCTCTTATAGCGACCTCGCCTGCCTTGTCATTCACCCCTACTACTCATTCTCTCTTAAGCTGACTTGTTGCAATGTTTCCTACCACAGAAAAGATAACTCATGCTGAGTTGGAGATAATGGGAAGGAGGATTTAAGTGATTGAAACCTCGCGCATTCGTTGATCAAGGAAGACCTCTCTGGACAAAAGCTATGATTACTTCCTGACTTAAGGATCGCCACAAGGCGGGAAGTCAGATGGGGCATGGTACTTTTCTTCGGCTACAAGCTAGGCCTCATCCGATAAATGATTCGCCGTCTCGGTATGGGAGGCACGGGTCTTGACAATCCCCGCTCTCCCGAGCAGTACTGCCCGAGCATCACGGACCAGGTATTTAGATACTGCACTCGACGCGAAAAATAAGCGAATGCGAAACACAGTCAGAATCGATCTGACGCTGCCGCTTGATTCTAATATGTGATGGCCTCATCGGCTGTATCGATATCCGCGGAGCCATCGCCACGTATCAGTGATACATTCCACACCATATTCTGCACGCTATCCGCTGTTACAGCGCCCATGTTTGCTCGCCTAATGTCGACTTACAGGAAACTAAATACTACAAAAACGCACGTTGAGTTAAAATGAGTGGTCCGCCAGCACGAGCACGGAGCGATTTCACAAACCGGGCGACGCAACGTCGGGGGTGGGACGGCTGCGGTATTAGTACTACTTGTCACTATAATTTATCGGCGGTCGGATGAACATAAGCTGCGGACGGGCACGATGCAAGTTTTGGGAGTCGTTATTTGATCAGCGAGCTTACGCGATAATCAAGGATCCTCCACACACTAATTACGAATCGCTGCGGGCCTGCGGCCCAGTGCACACTCAACACAGAACAGTAGGTGTTATTCCTACGGCGTAGAATTGGTGTTAGTAGCAAATACGGGTAGAAATACGGGGTGAGCACAGGGTGCTTGCTATACACCCCTTAGCCGCCGCCCCGGTAACTAGTCGGAGTCGGAGTCGGGGTCTTGATAGAAGCTAGGATGGAAAATCGTCATGCCAAAGACATGGGTGGGTATTGGAGTTCTCCTTGCCAGGATTTCTGTCAATCGCACTTACTGTGTCAGACTATAGAATCAAAAGTGGTAGCCGTCCTACTGTAGTCAGGATGGTATAAATAATCACTAGTCTACTTTTTTTCTTTTTCATATTTTCACTCATAACCTACCTATTCGGAGAGCCGTTATCTGCTTAATTCGGATCCTTCCAGCTTGGGCTTCTGCAAGTTATGTCTAACTTTCGTGTCATCATATTGGGCGCAGGACCCGCGGGTCTCTTCACTGCGCATGGTTTGACCGCAGCTGGTATCGATTATGTAGTCCTTGAGAGACAACCAGAGATCGTGCGATACAAAGGGGCGCTAATCGTACTATGGCCACCTCTCCTACGACTCTTAGACCAGTTGGGAATATACGAGTCGGTCAAGCAGCTCTCAACACCTCTTCCTTCTCAAACAAAATTTACTCATAGTGGCGAACCCTTATGTGGTGGCGACGCCTTCGTAGCCCTAGAACATGAGTGAGTTGATTTCGGACGATTGGGCATCTGAGATGACACTGACGAGTCCTGTAGACTTGGGTACCCTACCCTAGGGCTTTCCCGTGGTAACCTTATTCGCACTCTTTATGAGACTTTGCCAGAACGCGCAACAAAAGTGAGGGCAAATGCAAATGTGGTAAACATCGAGACCCACAAGGACGGTGTACGAGTACACCTTGCAGACGGTAGTGGGATAGATGGCTCGATAGTGATTGCAGGAGATGGAGTGCATAGTCCGACTCGGGAGCTCATTCAGCGCCTTCGGCATGATTCATCCGCGACAGGAGACCTGAAGCCCACAGATCCAATGGTTGCAAATTTCATGTCACTCTTCGGCCATACTAGGAGTGACCGAACTGATATTGCGATGGGCGATTTTGCCGAATCGCACGGACCCGGAATTGCCTCGCAATCCGCGCGGCTGCGTGATGCCATATACTTCACGGTTGTCAAGCGGTTAGAAAAACCAGTATCTGACAAGCGAAGTTTCACGACGGAGGAAATCAACAAGTTTGCGCAAGAGATGTCCGACGTGACAGTATTCCCTGGAGTAAAGCTGAAGGAGATATGGCCTCTGCGCGAAGAGACAAATGCCGTACTGCTTCATCAAGAAGAGGGCATGGCGGAGAAATGGCACCATGGTCGAATCGTGCTCGTGGGCGATGCTGCTCACAAAATGACTAGCATGAATGGGCAAGGAGCCTTGTCTGCCATCCTTTCTGCTACCGTGCTAATCAACAGCCTACGGGCGACACTAAAGAAGAACCCGAGGCCGAGTACCCAAGAGCTGGAGATGGCGTTTACGCAGTATGAAACATCGCGTAAAGGGGCGGTCAAGCCCGTCCTTGACCTAGGTGTGTTTATATCACGCTTCATAACATGGATGGGCGAGGAGACGGAGGCTATGGATCGGGAAGTAAGTCGTGATCTGAACCTGGTAGAGGACTCATTGAAAAAGTTGTTACCACTGTTCACCCCCAGCCCGATCTTCGACTTTTTACCGTTCGAAGGGAAGCAGGGCCATACCCCGTGGGAAGTGGACAGCAAGCCGCCGATTCGCGCCCGGCTTTAAGGGTTATATGGTCTCAGGAGGACCAAGATTCGGCTTCGTGCTGTAGTTCAATATATTCAAGAATTGCAGTCTTTGTTAGTATAGCGAAATGTCACTTACGGTTATTTTAGATTAGCCGTGTCAACATCTCACTATGTCAATCAGAGGATAACTATACCCCGAGAGAATACCGACACCTATGGATCACCACATGACAGATGTAAGAGCAGCAGCGAAATCTTACCCATGTAGTCTTGATGAATACGTTACTGCTGTGTATGATATGTTCCCTATTGCTGACAATATCTATTTACCAACGTTACTTATCCTACTTCGTATGATGAGGGGTGAGAATGTCCAAACCGGCTTACGGCAGCTTGCCAAATCCCCGCCCCCTCCCTGCTTTCGATCTGAGGTCAAAGGCATTCAAGCGCTCACCGCCTGGGACATAAAAGCCCCAGTAGCCTGGTTAGATGCATTTGCGTCAGGTGCCACGTTGTTCTGCGGACCTAGCTAGCGTGGATTTACAGACAAGCAGCTGGCCAAAGTTGAGGCGAGTTCGTCAAAAGCCACGGTCGAGGAATGGTCGAGAGTGTATTATTCTGGCCGAGTCAAGATGTATCCATAGTTCCATAATACATAGGCAAGACTATATTCAACCCAATGTTGTGGGATGATCGCGGTTGTGACAAGATGCTGTTGAGTGAGGTGGTGGGTTGCATGAAGTGAGCTTTGCACTTGATTGCATGGATGTATGTACCTTATCTATCTGCTTATCTCCATTCCACCTATATGTATATTTCTCTTTATCCTTTTCTTCTCGACCTTGCTAGGCGAGTCTCTTGCATTCAAGGACACTCCAAGTTTTCCAATTCACATGGTCCAAGATTATATATACTGAATATCATAGTTTCTTAAGAGAGGAGACCATGGTGATATGTACCTAGGCAGCTGATTGAGTACGGCATAAAGCGTTTTAATGCATATCATTGCTGGTCATGGTAGAGGGGTTTATATGTATGTATCAACATGACAATTGCAGCTTCCATGCAATTTTGAACTCGCTACATGAATACCTACTCATGCACCTAATTTCTCCAGTGGTCCGGTGCGCGCTAAATTGGCTGCTAAAGTGTACCTAGGTACTTACTACTTAGACTAAGTACCTACCTAGACATAGTCTTACCTGGATGACCTTGGTCGGCATTTTATTCGCTGGCAGGGGCAACGGGGGGTAACAACACCAAAAATCTATATCTGTCTGGTATGATCTCAGGTCATGCCATCATCTTCGCTCGCTCTGTGCAAACCTTTATAACCTGGCACGTCGCTTTTCGTCCGAACCCTACGAGGCTGGCCAAGTGCGCGGCTCTTGTGCTCCTATTTCTTCGCACTCTCATACTTCTGTCCTCCTCCCCCGCCCTCGGCATTAACCACGGGAATCCCCCTAATCTTGCCAGCTCCGCCGAGTTTATGCAATGTCAGGTACTATGAGAGGCACGCCCAGTCGCGGGCAGGGGCGTGGAACTGTCCCCTTTGGGGCGACCAGCCCAGGAGCCTCGAGCATACCCCGTCCAACCCTGGAGAGTCACGGTCACTCGAGCCACAGTCAGCCTGCCCCTAGCGAGACCGCCTCCGGTGTCAGCGCAAGTCGACAAAAGCAGAGCAAGCGAGATGAGGTATGTTAAGTCACACTTCTTTCTCGAGTTTCGTTCATAGAACCTCGTGCGCTTGTTCCGCTACGAGACGAATCGACAACTATTCCTGCCCGCCATGGCTCCCTATACCTACATGACTCTAGACTACGATAGCTATATTGCGTATAAACGCGCCATGGATGCTGATTATTACCGTCAGGCTATCCGCCGGAAGCTGGAGAGCGATCTCTCCAAAAAGAAGCATTTGGCAAACCGCGCCCGACATTCTCGCAAGGCTCCTCCAGGAACTGTCCTCGCCCTGAAACCCAGTCCCGCCCTACAGATCAAGCCCACAACAACTGTAGCTGAGGCCGCTCAGTTGATGGCCGCCAAGAGAGAAGACTGTGTTTTAGTAACAGACGATGATGATCGAATTGCCGGCATCTTCACAGCCAAGGACCTGGCGTTCCGTGTCGTTGGTACGGGCCAGAAGGCGACCAATGTCACCATCGCCGAGATTATGACCAAGAACCCTCTATGCGCCCGAACCGACACCAGCGCTACCGATGCCCTAGATCTGATGGTTAGAAAGGGGTTCCGACATTTGCCTGTTATGGATGAGAACCAAGATATTTCCGGTGTCCTCGACATTACGAAATGTTTCTACGATGCTATGGAGAAACTGGAGCGGGCATATGCCTCTTCAACTAAACTCTACGCTGCTTTGGAAGGTGTTCAGTCCGAGCTGGGCACAAGTCAGCCTGCTCAGATCATTCAATATGTGGAGGCTCTCCGTTCCAAGATGTCCGGTCCCACACTCGAGTCTGTGCTAAACGGCATGCCTCCTACTACCGTCAGTGTCCGGACTTCTGTAAAAGAGGCTGCAATGCTCATGAAGGAGAACCATACTACAGCGGTTTTGGTGCAAGACCAAGGTCAGATTACTGGTATTTTTACTAGTAAAGATGTCGTTCTACGAGTCATTGCCCCTGGTCTTGATCCTGCCACGTGCAGCGTAGTGCGCGTCATGACGCCCCATCCCGATTTTGCGCCCATGGACATGAGCATCCAGGCAGCTCTGCGAAAAATGCACGGTAAGAACTTCAATAATACAAACCACTTCATGTCTTATGAAACTAACATAGCGTAGATGGCCATTACTTAAACCTACCAGTCATGAATGGGGAAGGCGAGATCGTGGGTATGGTTGATGTTCTCAAACTCACATATGCAACTCTGGAGCAGATCAACACAATGGGCTCGGGTGATAGCGAAGGTCCTGCCTGGAACAAGTTCTGGTTATCATTGGACAATGAAACCGAGTCCATGGTCTCGGGTGACGGCAGTCACCACCACGGCACAATAGGGTCTAGATCTATGATGACGCCTGACCATGGACGAGAGCGTATCACCGATTCCGTTGCTCCAGGCGATAGTGCTTCTCACATGGGCGTCGATTCCCCTGGTCACTCAATGGTGGCCGACCAGCCCCCTGCTGAGATTCCCTTTGCCTTCAAGTTCAAAGCACCTAGCGGTCGAGTACACCGACTACAGGTTATTGCTAGTCAAGGTATTGGAGAGCTTGTTGCAAATGTTGCAGCGAAACTGGGCAATGAAGCTGAAGCTATTGGCGGTGTGCCTGCTGTGGAAGATGGTAAGGTCACCCCGGGCGGCTTTGCCCTAAGCTACTTGGATGATGAAGGAGATACAGTTAGTATCACAACCGACCAAGATTTGCTGGAGGCAATCTTGCTTGCTCGTCAGCATCACCATGACAAGGTTGATCTCTTTGTGCATGACCCTGAGAAGCCAGCTGTCATAGTCACAGCGCCTCAGCCTGATCCTCTAGCAGCTGATACTCCCTCCGCCAGCGTAGCTACATCTGACGTGCGACGGAGACGGGCTGCTTTAGAAGATGATGATGAGGATGATGAGACAGAGGATGACGACTACTCGACTGTGAGACGTCGCAAGAAGGTTCATTCTCGGGGTGAACCTGAGCAAGTCATTGCCGGCGTTCCCAACGAGCTTCTTCTTCCAGGTGCCATTGTTACGTTGGCTGTTGTGATAATTGGCGTATTCACTATTGCAAGAGCCACAAGCCGGTAATCATGCATTTATATTTTGTTGCCGAGCTCATTATTTTCCGGGTCATTACAATGAGCCGCTTCATCAAGATACATTAGGTATACATAGACGATGACGATTTCCATTGAGTAGAATAATACCTTTTGATGAATACCTAGGAGAAAATAAATAGCTTTTCGCATTTTGATATTCTGTAAATTCCTGCACTTCCTGTGCCCCAGAATCCGAATCTATTGTGAATCTGTTCTAGCTATGTATTATGTATGGGATGGATAACTGAAATGTTGAGAATCAAGACAACCGATATCCTATATAAGGATAAGGCCTCACAAGCACGTATGCGTATAATTACTTATGCAAAATATGCTATTTATGGGTCGAATGACTCCAGCCCGGGCGCTGCTCCACGAAGTTTGGCCCATCACATCCCTGCAACTGCAACCCAGCAGCCGACCTATCAATTGATATCGGCGCATTTCGAAATTTCAAAGTCGTAAGACGATTCCTACGACACTGGCAATTCTATGCCAACAACGCTGCTCCAACCATGATAATAAGGGACTTCGGCGTGCGCCATGGTACACAATTCTAATCCCACTCCATGTCGCCGCGGCAAAGCTAACATTCAATCTTCAATCGGCAGCCAGACGGGCATTGGCACAATCTGCACGGCAGACCTGCTGTCTACGAACACTCTCGACGCAACCGACAACGACACTGACGCAAACAGCTGTTCCAGACTTGACACCTAGTGGACTACAAGACTCGAGCTCACAATCTAAACCCAAGCCCCCGTCTATCTTCATCGCCAATGCGAAGGCAACCCGCCGGAGGAGAGCTGATGAGGTCGACAAAACTGTTGAGTTCTATCATCAAGGGCAACTCTTAAAAAGCCAGATAGGGAAATTGGGCACAAATGTCGAAAAGCGGTACCGACCCGGTGATTTGTTCATGAACCCACCGGGCCCCAAAGATGTCACACTCGAGCTCCTCATGGCGTCCCAGGCGCATATGGGCCACCACACCTCTCTCTGGAACCCGGCTAACGCGCGCTATATCTACGGTATTCGCCAGGGCATCCACATCATCTCCCTAGAGACAATAGCTGCTCATCTACGACGAGCAGCGCGTGTTGTAGAAGAAATCACTTACCGAGGCGGCCTGATCCTTTTCGTGGGAACGCGGCCAGGTCAGACACAGCTCGTGACACAGGCAGCACGGCTCGCACGGGGATGCCACTTGTTCACGAAATGGATCCCTGGATCCATTACCAATAGCGACGTCATCTTGAACGGCATGCAAATGCAGATGCTCGACGAGAACGATAAGCCCCTCGAAGGATTCGAGCGCCATCTCAACGAACGACGGCCCCTTATCCCAGATCTGGTTGTCTGTCTCAATCCTCTTGAGAACTACACCCTTCTGCACGAGTGTGCTCTTGCGAACGTGCCAACCATTGGTGTCGTTGATACAAACACCGAGCCGACTTGGGTTACATACGCAATCCCGGCGAATGACGACAGGTATGCCATCACTATTATACGGCTTCCTCGTCGCTACCTGCATCTAAAAGGGTCTTTAAGCTAACTTGCACTTTTCTCAATAGTCTGCGTTGTCTGGCCGTCATCAGCAGTGTACTCGGCCGTGCTGGTGAGATAGGACATAAGCGTCGTCTCGATGACGCCAAGTTGGGTATTGTAAAATGGACAACGCCGTTAGATGTACAATACTTTAGTAAGTAACCTTGTGACAATATCACCCTCAATCCCGGTTATTCCCAGGGGATACAGAGATTCTGTACGAGGAAATCATGAATCGAGAGTCAATAAGACTAGATCAGTTATATCCTTATTGCGCTTGTCACGACAATTACTAACCGAGATAATATAGTGGCCATCGAACGTAAAATGGCAGAGAGGGAATCCAGAAAAGGTTCGGATTCCGAGGAGGAGCTCTCCGAGTCTGGTAGCACCGCGTCCTCAACCCTCGAGGACTCCCTTTCACTGAACGATGAGATCATCTCATAATCTGGGCTGATGTTAGCTGAGTTCCGGTTGGAGAGTGGTCTCAAACTCGAGTTAATGTGCAGCAAGAAAGGCCCGAATCAGGGACCAGGTTGGATGTTGACCGACAGCCCTGCTTAGCTTACTAGTGTAACTATACGACAACTATATGTATGTAAGAAACAGCAACATGTACCTATAGTAAAAGACGATTGTGAATAAATGAACGGACTAGTACACGGCTATGAAACTATATTATACTTAGCCTTGAGTAGTGTTTGCTCTTTAAGAGTCGCTTTTCTTGGCTTGGGTTTTGCTCCCAAGGTTGAAGTACATCCGTACGCAGGAAATAATGTGATGAACAAATTGGAAGGTATTAGTTGGGAGGCGAGCGTGCGTAGCATGCTATTGTATGATTTATCTGGCCGTAATCGGTGTCATGGATCACCTTAGGGATGTAACAGGTATATCGTAAGATTTCATTGCTCACATTCCGTCAAGGGTCGGCGATATATGTATCCTAATTCGACTGCGATTTGTTTCTTTCTTCTTGTGATTTCTCGTTAGATGTCGCAAAAAGGATGGTGTATGTTTCCGCCTGAACCCCAAATAGGGCCCTAATAGAAATCGTAAAAGGAGCTTAGGGTTACATCAGTTCGAAATCATGCTTAGAGCCTTGCATGCGAGGGCACGTTGAGGAAGTCATGCGGCTATCGGTCATATGGTAACCGAGGCTGAAGTATCGGACACCGTGTCCCTTGGGTGTTTAGAATGCAATGAAAACGGTGAAAGGGGTTCGTAATTTTGATGAGCAAATGTACCATTTTTACACGCGTACAAGTCATACTAGCTGAATATGCAGTTCGCCTCGCACTACGGCCGTACGAAAGGCCATTGCAAGCTGTTCATAGTCATTCAAAGACATGCAGGCAATATTGGACAATATTGGAGAATGAGATTATAATACAGACTTCGCTTCTTGAAACGGACCCTTGAGACCTAGGCGGTCTGGACTAGAAGACCAGTTGTATATAGATTCGAGTCAAGCTACCAAGACCAAGATGGAATTGGTTGACCAAGGACTCATGCAGCCCTAGTTGATCGTTGCAATCTGAAAGTTCCAAGCCCAGATCTCTGCCTTTGTTATAATAAGCTCAGAGCCCCCTTTTCTCTAAATATTCATCCCTAACGATAGTGAAATCTGATACAAAATGAGCTTAGCGAAGAGGCAGTGATAGTTATCGTCATTAAGGTCAGCCTCAATTAGGACCTCGAAGTACTGTAAAGTCTTTCAAACAATAATCTTCATATGAGCTGCTAGTACGCATCGTGACATACAAGATGAATGACAAGTATTCTTGTCGATCCAGATTATGAGAACCATGCTCCATTTGCAAGTCCCTCTCCATCCAGGTTCCTTCTCATTATTTTAATGGGCAAACCTGAAATCCAGTCTTCTACTACCCGTCTGCATTGTGGTTGAGATATAATAAGCCCGCTCGTCCTCTGTCATTGCATTCCAGACTTTTTCCTTCTGCTTATTTCTCCACACGTAGTAGGCTTTGGTGGCGAGGAATATGGCAATACCAAAAATATTGATAGCAAACAATACGCTGTTGCCCCTCTTGTATAGCGGTTTGTCGTCATCCAAGTAGATGAAATTTGCAATGACATTACCTGCTTGGACAGACATCTTGGTCGCAAAGTTAGCTGAGGGTTAAGCATTTACCCGAGGAAGTTCAACAAGCTTACATTATACACGGCTGCTGACACACTTCTTGTTCCTACGCTGTTGGAGTTTCTGGATGTCCATGCGACCAGAATCGCATCTACCATTAACACTCGATTAGCCTTTCTCCCATCATCAAACAAGCACAGGTAAAACTTACGGCAGTATGGATACCCCAGGAGAACCGTAATTAGTGTATATGTCCCCCAAGCGTCTGTGACTGTTCCAGGCCACCAGCGCAATGCTGCCAAGGTAGGGACAATCCAAATGTTCTGTAGCGATGAGACCAGGGTTTTCTCGTTGAGATACTCCGAGAGGCGCGTGATCAACAGAAGGGTTATGATATGGAGCACGCTCTAATGATTGATTAGGAGGGATTGGTAAAACATAACCACGAAAGGTGACTTACGGAGGGAATTGTCAGTAGATTCGTTGTAAATGTATCGAACCCGATGCCCCTGAGAATCAGAGTGATATATCTTGATGGGGGTGCCTGCGGAATGTAGATGACGAGACCAAGCAGATACAATGGCCAAAGATCATAGTCCGTGAGGCAGGACCACAGTATCTGGGGAGTGATCGCCTGGCGGTTGTTCATGTCACCTTTGGAGGGGTCGTCGCGCAGAACCCGATTGACAACAATGGCCACTTCGCGATCCGAAAACCAGCCGTTGGGGCGGAACCAAGTTTTTGTCTGTACTGCCGAAGCTGGCATCATGAAAAAGGAGACAACACCAATCTGTATGCCGCTTTAGTTGAGGTCCTTACTTCAAGGTCTTTGGAAAGGCTCAAGGCCGGTGAATTAGGTCTCTTACTGTGAACGTAATGATGCCTTCGATCAAAAACAACCACCGCCACCCACCCCAACCTAGGACGCCTCGTAGTCGTAACAAAGCAAAGGCCAACAGGGATGTGACAACACCAGTTACAGACAAGGTTGTCCAGAAATAACTATTCGTTAAAGTGAAAATCAGCAACCTATCACATACGTACTATATTCTCTGGTTACGCATACCTTAGCCGAATAGGCAGCTCTTTGGAAGTATAGAAGTAACTCAGCCAGAGTACTATATCTGGGATGAACCCACCCTAAGAACGAAATTATCAGCATGCGTTTATGACCAACTGACGAAGAAGGTTATGATGGAGCTAGCAATACACACCTCGAGGATTCCTAGAAGTGCTCTTGTCGCAAAGAAACTGCCTCGCCCACTAATGAGGCACTGAAGAGCGGCAACGATTGACCAAAGGCAGATTTGGGCTGGGACCCAACGGTCAGGCCCCAATTTCTTCGATACTAGCTGGGACGGTAGTTCCGCAAACAAGAATGACACCAGGAAAATAGTGTTTCCGATGTTGTAATCTTAACAGAGGTTAGACAGGGCATTTTCAGCGTTCATTTAGCTTCAGTATCATACCATTGGTGTTCATACCAAGATCTTCTAGGAAGTTATCTGATACGACTTGTGTGAGATTGCCACGGTCAACCTGTAAGGCGAAAAACATGACGCACTATGATATAGTTAAATGTTAATTGAGAACTGCGATACCGAATCAAGATGACATGTTTGAACGTACAGCCCATAAACAGACTCTCCAGTCTAATTTTCGAATGATCCTTTTCTCCTCCTCTTCAGTCCATTCCAACGTGGGGTCGAAAGCATAACGGCATTCATACTCGCAGTCATCGTAAACTTGCTTCCATTGAGCTGCTGCACGGGGATCGGCGAAGGGATTTGCTTTGAGTGATAGATCTTCTTCAGAGGGTAGTGATCTGGACGAGGAGGGTAAGCTGGCGATTTTGTCGTCCAACGATGAACTTGCTCTCGAGCTCACAATTGGCTCAGCAGTTGTCGGAATAGACGCCTGGATCGGTGGTACTGCCATTGTCTCGGCTCAATTGCAGTGACTCGGGCGGAAATTAATGATCTAAGGTACCATGACACCAGGAAATACGAATGGCCAATGCAGCGAGGGTCGTACAATTTATCAGATTGCTGCATTGGGGGTGGTATTGAGCGATACATGGCGATAAAGCTCAGTCTTATCTCCAATTGACGATATGTTCATCGATACCTCCAATGGCGTAATGTGGATTTGCTTCTTGCGAGTGGCTGATCATCATGCTAGAGGGGGCCTCGCGCGTTGCTTGTTCCAAATTGCGTGATATCCCCCCAAGACGCACGCGAATGGCGTCAACCCTGCCCCTCATCGCCATCACACACCGCAGATAACATCACGATCCGACCTCTCAACTGAGGTTTACGGGGGAAATAAACACAGTCTAGACCGGTGAAGTGGCTCACGGGGCTCTCACCTTCATGCAAGCTACGCCCACATGGTGTTGGTGGCCGTGATAGCTGTTCCTACGCATTCTCGCGACATCGCACCAGATAGACGTCGAACGCCACTCTACCGACAATAACACGGACCGTTACCTCGGATCAGCAACCGCATATAGAACTCTCTATATGGCACACGTGGGGGAGACCAGCATCTCCCCGGATGTCGCATGGCATGATGCCGAACCCGGAAATGAGTAGTCGAGATTTAGCAAAAGCGTCCCCAATGTCGTCTCTACTAACGTTCAAAAGCCTTTGATAAAGGATCAGTAGAATAAATTTGCCTTGGTACTTCGTAGCTTGTATTCATTCGAGACGCCGACTTCTCCATTTCCACTGGTGACACCGCATGGGCCTAGAATGTTGTAACATGCTGATTGAGTGACATAAGCACCAGCCACCAAATTCTCGAGAACTTTCATTATCCAGACTAGCAAATAAGGATCGGGCCGACCTTACAGTTCCATGGTGTTGGGATCATGGTCTAGATAAATTACTTGAATTATCTAGGGCCTCGGCACCGCGTGTTTACCGGGAATAGTTGATGTTGGTGCGACAAGCTCACCATCGCACGCAACTCTCTAGGCCATGCCACCTCTCAGCTGGCGGCATCCAGGTCCATGGGGCTGTTGGAAGTAGCCATTCACAAAGCGCTTCATCTACATGAGGCAACGCTCAGAAATGAGGCTCCATAGTGGTGGTTCGCATAACATGCGGCAGCTGTAACGGCGTGTGGGCCGAGGTGAGGGTGTGAATCCAGACCTGCGGATGACGGGAGAGCTGCAGATGTGGTGGTCATATAATTATCCCAAAGAACAACCGTGTCTCGAAGTGCGTAAAATGCCATTGAAATTATACTGAATATACAGAGAAAGTAGAGGAGAAAGAGATAGAATTTATTATGTCGATGTTCGATGGCGAGATCCAAGTGTTTTATTGCACTTTTCTTCTGATTACTGTGTGCCTATGGGATGCGCAGTCAGACCGAATGACTCACAGCTCCGGTGACTGGCAAGTGCAAATGATTATCAACGTTTCTTATCCGAAATATACAACTATCAAGACGTTCTCGATTTTACTCGATTTCTCTTTTGTTTTACAACAGATAGAAATGTCATAACGGAGACTAAGCCGTCATCGTAAGCAACCCTTCCATCCGTGGCCAACGTCAACGTCTAGCCGGCTAGGCCTTAGGAGGTCTTCTTCCTCCCGTGAAGGGAATAAAATTGTTTAGGGTAGAAGAGGGGGAGATACCAATACCTACTAAATGGGACGAGAGAAAGAGGTAGGACTTGTTGCATACAAATTCGAGGATGTCACAACACTATATATTACTTGGTTTTCAATATACCATAATTCAAGAGCTAAAGCATAATTGGACTGCTAGTCTTGATCGCCTTGAACGCGATGGTCAATATGAAGAAGAGAGTATTCTAAACATAATTCAAGCATCATTTTCCCTGATTTGTTATAGGGCATATGTGATGTTTAAGCTATGAATCGATATATAGGCTGTGCCCGTTATCGTTATCATGATTGATACCCATCCAGTAGCAGTCTACATGATATAGCTAATGCTCTGGATTATTCTGCATAATGACATCGTTCATGTACGCCAATGAGAATGTTCTGAACAGCTTTTTGGGCTCCGCTATCCAGCGTCGCACCTCGTCCCATACTTTGCGTAGTGCGCCGCCGTTATCGTCGGCGCGGAGCTTTTCTTTCAACTGTGCATAGTTGCTTAGTGCCTCGGCCCCCAAGGACCTGATGAGCTCGTACTCTCCATCGTGTATATACCGTGACGACAGCCTTGCGCCACTCTAGTTGGTGATCAGGGGGTAGTACAAGATATGAGGTGTCCGGCCATTGGCTAAACCTGTGCTGGCTGACCAGGCAGCGAGAGGACGATACAAAAGCGTCTCCTGATAGATTCCAGCTTTACTTGGACTTGTAACACGGATATTGTGTACGGAAGCATCGACGAGGTGCGCCATAGTGCGAAGCAGGGCGCGTACTGTAGAATCCGCCTCCAGACGAGTGACCTCTTCTCTACGAGAGAGGTGGATGGTGTAGTCACCATGACGAGGACAGGAGAAAGTGATAGCCCTGAGATCGGTGTCAACACCAAGTCGGTACTCGTCCAATTGACCGTGGCGACTAATCACAGCAATGTCCGGAAGTTCGGCTGTCGAATAATACCGAGATCTGGTCCTGATTAGAATATAAGCAAAATAATATATAGGCACAAAGTTTAAAGAGGTAGGAAGTAAGGCATTCAGACTCCTTCTGATTATATACCTGCTATACCTTTGTTCTTCCGTCTCTTGACCTCTACCATAGCGAACAATGGCCTCGAATTTTAGATGATAGTCTAGGCTCCTGATCTTAATCATATCATCACTGTAGTTGTAGATATCGTAGATCACATATACCATTATTCCATACCACCTGTTTGGAGTTGACTCTGAACAAGATAGTCTGTTGTAGCTGCTGCAGTCTATATATAATATCTAGGTAATTATAGTACTTCTGATTACGTCAAGGTCAGGTCTATTCTCATATTAATGAACCAGAGCCTTTTCCAAATCTTTCGTCACGGGGTAGTTTAAAACTAAGTGCGCTGGTATTCAGATCGTAGTATGAAAACATATAAAACTTGTATACGATCCGCAGGAATTACAACTCTGTTGATCTGCTGCCATCTTTGTTCTTTCGGCAGGGCAGCAGCTTCAACGCTACGCCATAAATTAGTTGCTTATAATGAGGGTACCTAGGTATGCATGATTGCATGATGGATATAACTATTATGCGACTAACCGTAGTTATCAATGTAGGTGCCTAATGGCTAGGTAGGTTGGTAGAAGGCGCGCCCTTGGCGGGAATTCGCCTGTAAGACGGCAAGTCCCACTCGTTTTAGCTCAAGTACTTTACAGCGACCTCGGCCCCTGCTCGGCCTCCGAACCCCTCAAACAGGCACTGGATCCTATAAAGCATCTTGTATCACTGGCATCGAATATCTGAGAACGCCGGGGTTTGAGTCTGCAGTACGCATATTTGTGTGGCATTTTCCTTTTTGGTTCTTGTGGTTTTCTTTTTGGAGTCGGCTCGAGCCCAGCAGCCCTGATTGGACGGCCTTGGTCCGTCGCTAGGCGTGTGTCACTGTAGCTGGTAAGAATGGGTGCCAATCGCGCTGGGGCATGCGGTGTCATGATGTCCCTTGCTTGGTGTTTGTTGTTATTCGCACCCCCTAGCCCGCTCGCTGATGCCCGATGTGTGTAGATAGAGACTCCGTTCAGCCACGCCATATTGAAAATGCCGGCCATTATGGATGATCCCTCGGCTCCGACCATCCATCGCGTGTCCGGGGCCCTTCCGTACCCGGACCCGAGTCGGCCGGCGCTGCCCGCAAATATCCGGCCACGCCAGGTAACCCTCAGAGACCGCCAGAGCGTTGCCACTGTTGTGCCCTTGGTGTCGCGTGACCAGGTTCCGCCCTCGTTACTGCGTTACCTGTCTGACCAATTTGCTAAGGAGATCGAGTCCGGGGATACTTATCCCATGATAGAGCCTATGCCCTTTGAGAAGTTCTCTGCATACTGGCTCCAGAATTTCGCCGGCATCATGCTTCTTGGCCAGATAAACAGCCCAGACGAAGTTGTCGAGGGCAAGGACTGGTCTCGGGAATGTCTAGGTAGTTTCTATATCAAGCCTAACTACCCCGGCCGAAGCAGCCATGTATGCAATGCTGGGTTTCTGGTTACGGATCTCGCTCGCAACCGTGGCGTTGGCCGCCTCATGGGTGAAGCCTATCTGGACTGGGCACCGAAGCTAGGTTACACGTATTCCGTGTTCAACCTTGTCTACGAAACAAATGTGGCATCGTGCAAGATCTGGGATGCTCTCGGCTTTAAGCGCATCGGTCGTGTCAAGGGCTGCGGAAATTTGAAGTCGTATCCGGACAGGCTAGTCGATGCCATTATCTACGGCCGTGACCTGGGAACCGACGCCAGCGAAGGAGGCGACCCGCTACTTGTGAGTGAAGAACGTTTCGACAAGATCAAATTTTACCTCAAATCACGGCGCTACCCCAACGGATCTGACCGCGCGGAGAAAAGCAGGCTCCGGAGCGCAGCGACGCACTATAAGCTTCTCGACAACGATGTTTTGATGCTCAAGGATAAAGAGGTCATAAGTGATCCGATGCGTCAGATGGCCATCGCTAGAAAAACCCACGAAGAGGGTGGTCATGCTGGCATCAATAAAACCACGTCGGTGATTGCCGAGAAGTACCACTGGAGTCGCATAAAAGAGACTGTCTCGGATGTAATTAGGACTTGTGAGCATTGCAAGGACCTGGGCAAGAGCCCATCTGCTCAGAGCCAAAACCAGAACCAGAATATAAGTCAAAATCAAACCCAAGATCAGCCTGAAAGTCAACAACAGACCTTTGCTAGTGCTCCAGGCCAATTCCATGATGTGAGCGAGATACGAAATATCCCAGACTGTACCACTGACTTCATGGCACCCCAGCCGCCACCGCCTCACGGCGTCGTGGAAGCTGCCAACAGTATTATTGGCTTGCACTCGTCTATGCATGAAACCTCGCATCTAGTGACACACTCCAACAACCCCTATGTGCATGCTAGTGATATAGCATCCCTACTCAACCCCCCTTTCCATGCCCCGTCTAGTCCCGGTATCCATGGGCCGACTCACGATCTCATGTTGCATGGAGGGCTTCACGATGCTTCTGCAGTGGCCGCGCGGGTTTCCCTGCACGATGCCGAAATGTATCACCCGATTGATCCGCAGATAATCTCACAACCCGTCACAAGTCACCCGCACCATCACCACCCGAACACATTCGACAATTTCCGCCCACGCATCCCGCTATCGCACCATCACAGTCTCCCCGAGCATCACGATCCAAGAGGTTCTAACATATCGCATTCATCTCTATCAGCGCACGATCTAGACTACAGTCCACACGTTTCCCACGCACCACTCCCCAACGAGGCATTACACGGCGTGGTGGCTACACAAAATCCCTCCCACGACCCCGACTCCTTTCAAGCACTCCTCAACGACGCAGACGCCGACGTAGCCCTATCATTACATCCCCACCCCCATCACCATCGCCACGACCACGACCAAGACCAAGACGCCGTGGACAGGGACATGGCGATGCTAATCGAGCACGACGACGACACGCCCTCGCCGTCTTCAGACCCGTCGCTGCGGTGCGAAATGGACATCGACGACCTCTGTCTCGGCACTTCTACCAAGGCCGCCGCGCAGCAAAAAAGAGCCATGGACGGGAAGGAGAAAGACGGCGGCGATCATGCCGCTGACGGGGACATAAGTCTGGCGTACGGGACGAAGAGAAGTGATATCTACGACGTTGTATTCGATGCGCAGGGGCAAAGCCAAGGCGAATGAAAATCCATGAACGGCTTGGGGCGGGGGTGGGTTCAGCTTCGATTTGGTGATGTGAAATGACGTGATATGACCTCTGTTAAATACATAGCGATTAGTAGTAACCCTCTTTGTAAAGAAAGCGAGAAATGTGTTTTCAGCGGATATATATACATATATATATAGCTTTCTTTAGATGAATTTCACGGGATGGGTAACTGAGGAAAAGGGGTTGCTTGAAAAAATACTGCCTGTTAGTGAAATCGGATCAAACACACGCATTCTGACCTTATCAATGCTCAGTTACATACACTAGGGAAATACCGTTTCGTACTTTCATTAGACGATTTGTACGTCATCTAAAATTGCCAATACGTGAGTCTAGCCGACGAGCCTTTTTAGATATCATACAAGACATTATTATGTCAGATTCCCGAGCTAGTCTTCTTATTGTGCTCACCGGCGCGGCATGCCCCGTCCACGTCCTCTCAAAGCTCTTTGGGCAGCTCCAGGGGGTAGTGGCTTGCCTGGAGCCTGAGGTTGGGCGCTCTCTTCGTTCCGAATTGTCTCGTCCACGCCCAGAATCAGACAACTAGCCTCGGTAGCAGCCTGAATGGCGTTAATCTTGACGAGGGCCGGCTCCCATACAAATTTCTCCATCATGTCTGCAACGCCTTCGTTGGTGAAATCGACACCCGCCCAAGTACGTCCTTTTCGGTGTTCTACACGCAGCTTGTTTAAGATATCGGTAGCATCAAAGCCGGCATTGTCGCACAGCTGACGTGGGATGACCTCGAGGGCCTTTGCAAAGGACTTAATAACACCCTGCTGCTTATCGCGGACGTTTTTATCCGCGAAGCGGTGTAGATACCCAGATACCTCCATCTCGCAAGCACCGCCGCCACCCACAATCGTATGGTTCTTAACAGCACGCTTTACGATCATGATTGCGTCATGGAGAGATCGTTCCACTTCTGCAATAAACTGCTCAGCCCCGCCACGAAGAACGAGGGTGCAAGTCTTAGCCTCGGGACAGTCTTCAAAGAAATTGAAACGTTCACCGCCAATCTGTCGTTCCTCGAATGATCCGCACAGACCAAGATGGTGTGGTAGGATATCTGAGCATGTTGACTGAACCGTGGCGCCTGTGGCCTGAACTACACGCTCCATATCCTCTGATGAAACACGGCCGGCACAGAAGACATCACGGTCAGCGAAGTATTGAGTCGCTAAATCACCAATGGGTAGTTTAGATAACACAACCTTTGCTCCTGTGTTGTATGCGGCCTCTAATTTCTTGTAGATAATCTGCCACTCAGCGTCGACAATGGCCTGGTATTCCGAGACTTGCTCAACTCGGACCTCAGCATTGTCTTTCTCTGCCTTCAATTCGAGTTCAACGTTTAAGCATAGAATTTTAGGTTTTGTAAAAGATTTGGGCTGTTGTTCGAAACCAGCGTAGGAGAAAGTCTTTTTAAAGGCAACACCATTGATGAAAAGGCAATCCGTCAGGGAGCCGCCGGGTATCTTCTTGATGCCAATGAGCTTTTCGTTGAGGTCATCTTGATCTAATGACAACACAGCGTCGACGACCACTAATGGTTTCGTTAGTACTCAGCACTTTGACGCAAATAGCGGTGTACGCCTACTTTTGGTGAAAAATTCAGTGTTCCTCTTGATTAATTTGCTCGTCATCGCTGTTCCAGCCAGCTTGCCGAGCGTTTCTCGCTGGTTCGATTCATCTGTCCTTACGGCAATCTCCTTGATCTTGTTGACAGCCATCGTTGACGCTCTCCGCAGGCCCTTGATAATGACTTGTGAGCTAACACCTTGCTCGACGTGTTCCTTGATCTCTTTCAAGATTTCTCCAGCTAGCACGACCACCGATGTGGTTCCATCTCCAACCTCTGCATCCTGTGATCTAGCAATGTCGACGAGGATTCGGGCGGCGGGGTGAACGATGTCGAGAAGCTGAGAGCTAGGTAAGCATGGGGTTGTGCATGAGGCGGTAAAGGTGAGCGTGAGCGCTTGCCTTCATTACAGTGGCGCCGTCGTTTGTGATGGTCTGGCGGCCATTCTCGTCAATCATCAACAGATCCCCGCCATAGGGACCGAGGGTTGACTTGATTGTAGCTTGCACAGCCTGGCACGCGCTTATGTTGGATATTATCTGTCCCTTTCCTTGCGATGTATCGGTGCCTAGAAGTGGCACCACGGCCGAGTCAGCAAGTTGACGCTTCGTTATCAAGAAACCAACGAGGCAGGTGTGTGGTCGGCGAATGGCGAGGGGTACTGACCCTCTTTCAGGACGATGATGGTGGGTGTTTGACCCCCGAAAGACATTTTGACCAAGCCGGGAGGGTTGTCAGACTACTCGATATAACTCGTCACCAAGGTGAGTCCGTCGTGGTCACAGGTGTTAAACAGGTACTCGGCCTCGAGGACTGGGACTCCTTGTCGATTTGCTGACTTTCTGATGTGATGGTGGGGGGAGCTTTTCAAGCTTCAAAAAATTGTGGTAGCCTTTGTACAATGCCAAGATAAATCTTTACTGTAGGGTAGGTACATACGTTAGGTACTTACTTAGGTACCCAAGTGCCTACATAGGTAGGTACCTAGACAGGCTGCTAGATTGGGGGCTTACAGGGGCTGGCTCGACCCCATGGGCTGGGCCAGTCCAACAGGGGGGCTAAAGCAGGTTAGATAGATATTTTGATTTAATTGCAATTTATAATCTCTATATATTCAATGTCTGGAGTAGTTGGCAAGTCGGGTCTCAATCGAAGACCTCGAAGACCTCGAGGATCAGGTTTCAGGTTGTACCCAAGTACCGTGGCTATCTCCCCTAACCCGTGGCCCTTATCTGAGTTATCTCGACGCCATACATTTGGCAGGCACATCCAGGTGCTGGAGATAGCGTACCTGCCGTTGGCTCCCCGAACTGACGGGGCTGCATACACCGACGGGGATTTCATCTTCCAAAATCCGACCGTGCCAGCGATTGGCCATGATATACCATGTTATACCATGTTATACCTAGGTATACCCAGACCTCTATCAGATTGTAGCCTACCCATCCTCCCAATGGCCTATGCTGTCCCGTCCATTTTCCGAGGTACGATGCTGGATGTAATGCTGTGTAGCACGGGAAAATGTGACTCGGCTTCACTTGACCTCTCTACATGCAGACGGTGATGATCAGGATGAACGTGGCAGCTCTCGACAACAGCGTTGCTTCGCCTACTAGGCAGATGCCGCCTGCGGCTCTTCACTCAACCTTATGCTGAGTGTAAAACCGGAAAATATCCCCTGGGGCCTAGCAGTTTAAGGTTATCTTCAACCCTAATTCTGTGACCTGCAGACGACAGCCTGCTTTCGTATCGGCACGGGAGCCGCGTGTCATCGTGAATCACGATTGCAATTACCGAAAGTGTCGCCGATGACGGCACCTGGTGTATCATCACAAGTGATCATCGGCCCGGGCTAAAGGTCATGTAGTAGGGTAGTCCACTTGTTCTTATATATCATGCGATGTGAGGGACTTTCTCGTGCACTCAAAGTTTCTTCGGCAGTGACAGCTTCATTCTTTCTCTAGACCCCCCAATTGGGAAACTGAGAGAAGTTGTAAGTGTGCCTATGAAACAGAAAGCCCCAACATTTGCTGAGCTCGATCAAACAACATCAACCGTCTTCATCCGGCTGCTCGATCCTCGCCGGTCTCTGCCCGTCAGCTCCGCAAGGACGAGCCAGGCGGGACTCGGCGAGGCACGGAACGGCGCCGATGGAACGGTGATTATGTCACAGAGTTCTGTTGTCTCCACATGCTAATCAGTCGTGATGCTAGAAATTACTAAGTCGTCAATTGCAATCCCGCTATTGCCAAGAGCGGCCATTTTTTCCGAGGGCGGAGCCTGGAAGACTTTTACCGGCACCTTACAAAGTAGGACCAACCCCGTTCCCCAATGTCAATCACACCTCCAGTCTCTCGTTCATTATTTCCCAATGCTAGTTGTTCTCTCTTGCTAATTCTGTTTGTAGCTTGGAAAAGGCTGGTCCAAAAACCCCTACTCCCTATGTTCAACTGATCATCTGTACTGGTAATATTTCAATAATTATTTTTGTACCCTCAATGATTATTAAGCATAACGCCACGATGAATGAGAAATTCAGTGCCGCCTCCGAAGTTCATAGTGATCATGATACTATCACATCATGTACGTCGGGCGACTTAAATGCTATACATGAAGTTTCAGCCGAAAATGGAACCGACTCGCTAGAGAAAGGGATTTTCACAGGCGATAGACGCAGCAGTATATCGAGAGCCTCTGGAGATCTAAGGAGGACAGCGAGCAATGTCCTGGCACAGGTGGCTTCCCGTATAACCACGAAATCCTGGGCTGAGCCACCACCTCCACCAGATGGGGGTCTTAAAGCAGTAAGCACAACTTATTGAAGCTTCGTGCCTCAACCGGTTTTCCAGTTATAAACGAGCCAATTCCTCCACAGTTGGGTATTGGAACTGCGCCCCTGCTTCTTCAAACTTCCCAATGACCCTTCTCTACTAACGACTATGAAAACCCATAGTGGACACAAGCCGGGATGGGTTTCTTCGTTCTTTTTTCAACTTGGGGTTATGCAAATTCATTTGGAGCCTTTCAGACGTACTATACTCAAACTTTGCCTGAGCCCCCTTCAACAATCTCTTGGATTGGAGGCATCCAGGTGTTGTTATCGTTGGTAACCGGGCTTGTGTCGGGCAGATTGCTCGACGCTGGCTTCTTTATGCCGGTGTTTTTTGTGGGAATTGTAGTCCAGCTTTTAGGCATCTTCCTTATGAGTATATCGACCAAATTCTGGCAGTTGTTTCTAACACAGGGCGTTATCAGCGGTCTTGGAGCCGGCATCTACTTTACACCAGCCGTTTCCTTAGTCAGCACCTACTTTGACAAGCGTCGCGGACTGGCTGTTGGGATAGCCACAGCTGGGAACTCTCTTGGTGGCGCTGTATACCCTCTGATCGTTCGAGAACTCATTCCAAAAGTGGGATTTGCGGTATGTACCCCTGAAAAGAAGCGTGCGACCATGCTACATTATCTTGCTAGATTACTAACATTAAACCTCAAAGTGGACCACAAGGGTCATAGGATTCCTCAACCTCGGGCTGCTTTCTCTTGCTTTTGCTTTCATGCGACCACGCCTACCACCTCGAAAATCAGGCCCGATTCTTGAGCTTGGCGCATTCAAGGAAATCAAATTTACTGGATTCCTCTGTTCAGCCTTCTTTGTATTCTGGGCTAACTACTATACCTTCTACTATGTTGGTTCTTCCATGGCGCTGCACTTATGAATGGCACTGACAGAGTCGTTACAGATAGCTTCTTTCGGGACGCAAGCTCTGAATCTTCCATATTCATCAGCTTCTCTTCTCGTTGTTATCATCAATGGTGTCGGGCTCCCCTTTCGCATCATTGTCCCAATGTTAGCTGACCGGATCGGCAACCTGAATGTTATCGTCCCCGTAGCACTTATCTGGGCCATTGTGAGCTTCACTTGGCTAGCCGTGCATAGTATCTCAGGTTATTATGCGTTCACAGTTGTATATGGCATAACATCGGCATCGTTCCAATGTCTTTTCCCATCAACCGTGGCCAGAATCACTCCCCGACTCGACACGATCGGCACCAGGCTTGGTATGGCATTTTCTGTCAGCGGGCTCGCCTCTCTTACTGGACCTCCCATCGGCGGCGCCATCCAAGCTGCAAGCGGAGGAGGTTACTTGGCTCCTCAAATATGGGCTGCGACGGTAACATTCATTGCCTTTGTGTTGTTCACCGCAGTTCGAATACATATCGGTGGTCTAAGTCTGAAGGCGAGATGTTAATGGCAGGGTATGAGAACGTTTCTGAAGGGTTTGTGGGGTTGGTACTGATAGAGTACCGAAATGTTTTTTCGTTGCTTTGTTTTCTTCATAACTGAACTCGTGCTCATGTTAACCATAGATTCTAGATCCACTTAATCAATAATCAACAGATCAAAGTGCATTCAATCACTATACAACGATCTAGCTACAGTACACCCTCATTTCGTAGACTGTTCTCCTTGCCGAATTGGGTCTTTCTAATGGCCAAAAGGCGGACTCATCATAGCAGGCAACCGTAGCGCGAGTCATGTGTGAAATGAGGTGGAATATTGTAGAGCGTGGTCAGCAACTCCTTCCGATGCGTTGTATGCTACGTCATAGCGAACTCATAAAACAAAAATGTTTTACAGCAGGTCAATATGCAATGGGCCTGATATACTTCTATACTTACCCATGACCTTTCATATTTTTCAACGGAGCACAGCTTCAACCGTGACTTCCCACTGAGAAGTCCAGGTGACAGACCGAGGGAGGCACCAGTTGACACCTAGGTACCTAGTACCTAGTAGGCAGTTTCTGTGACATGATCCTTCGAGCCGGTTAAATCTTTCCAGCGAAAACCACGCGTGCTTGCTTCACAAAAAGGTCGGTAATATGAGCAAGTCCACTGGTCATCACCCAAATATTCTGTTTATCCCATAACCTCTACATTCACCACTGTTTATCCCAACTATGCTAGTCTTACTACGCCTTTTGAAATAACTGTTATAGACCCAGCACATACGTAAAGAGTGTATCGCCTCTCCGAATATTTTATCACACCACAAAGAGCTACTAAAAACACCCCGCGCCGATTTGTGCTAGGCCCGTACTCGAAACGCCAGATCGATATACGATGAGAACCTCGGTTATTCAACCGAACATTGTTTCTCCATATTGATTGAATCCAGTGCGTATTCTCTAAGCACCCGGGCTGTAGGATATTGATGATGATCTTAACGCGGAGGCTAATAGGGTTACCAAACAGTTAATCTCACATTCTCATCGTGAAGGATCGTGACCAAACAAAACATGATGGACACCGGCAATATAGTCAATCCGGAGAATAGCGCCAAGGTTGAACGAACCTATAGAATGCGTCAATATATGCACATGGGGATTCATACCCGATGGTACAGGTTGGTTACCTCAGACGGGTTTCCGGTGCCATCGGGATGTAGGCAGGGCTCCAAATTATTCGCAGATGTAGATATGAATGGTCGGGGATTCGTCTGGGATTTGTGGCCTACAGATGAGACAAAGGTGATTGGGTTTCCCAAAGCTGCTTCAAATGAGTGGATCGCTGAAATACATGACGGGAGTCACTCTGGAACTTAGTTGGAGAAAGAGGTATCTGAGTGGAGATTGGATTTCATCAACGATATTTTCCTCTTCAGAAACACCAACCGTGCCCCTGGCGGGGATCGTGGAATCATGGCATTTCTCCGCTACCCTGGCAGCGAAAATTGGACGCTGAGGAACTGTAAGCACTTCTTCGAGGCATTTCTGAAGAACAGAGAGCCCCAATTGTGGACCCTATATGTTCTTTTGTTCCTCTACTGAAAACTGCTTTTACTCAACTGTGTTCTGTGTATGACAGCTGCTGACTGCGGGTTTTGTAGCATGGCTTCGGAATATCCAACACGTGGCGTTGCGCTTTGAGATGGACCAAATCATCACAACCCCCGACATTACCACGCTCGAGGAACTAGTGAATCTTCAAACGGTTTTTGTAATTCCCATTGAGTTTTCAAGGGATCTTTACAGCAGCGGGTTCGAGCCTCTCTAGGAGAGCGGCTTTGCTGATTTGGAAGAGTGCTCTAAAGAATTAGAGAGACGCGGTGACCCAGCCCTAAACCCTGCAAGGTGGAGGTCCATGCAAAAGTCTAGATCGGTGGGCATCAGTACGGTCTTGCAACTTGGGGTGATCTTCCCTGTAATCCAGAAAAGAAATGTCAATGTCAGGTTGATAGTAGATCGCTGTTACATGACATAAGCTGACTCTACGAATACTTTTCTGGTCTAGATATGATCAGCCGAAGGCTGGCGGTGCACTTTCCGATAATATCTGACCACCTGCCTGTCCCAGTAATGGAAGGTACGGTGATCTCTATATCTCTAGCATAGAACAAAAAGAGGACTCGGACATAATATAATTAGCTTGCAAGAAGTCCGAGCACAGTCACTTTCGATATAAAGTATTACCTCCACGTCTCAGGTCTCGTTGTGCTTATCGGTATCAATAGCCTCGCTGCTATGTTGCACGTGCACTAACAGCAATAGAAGACTTTATTCGAGAAAATAACTACATTTTACTCCTAGTAGTAATGCCGCGAGGCGGTCTTAAGACCTTGTTCCACAACATTGACTCGATTCCGAGGCCCGAAAATCGCTTGCGTATATAGACTTCTTACATACGACCTACGTCCAGAAGCTTGTAAGAGATTCAAATTGAGCACATCGGCCGTCAGAACCCCGCAGCTGCGTTGAAGCGTCCCAGGCTGGCAACCTGTAGTTGGCTCGCATAGTACAATATAGTGTAGTCTGAATATAGGTCTCCATGGAAGTACACTCAACCAATCAAGCATAGCTTGGCTTATGTTACTAACACAGGGGTATGCGCCTTACGTAATTCAGGGTAGGATCCAGACCAGGCCTCAGCTGTTTCAACAAGGTATATTCACCATCGCAGCGAGCCAGTCGAGCCAGTGGCGTAGCCGCATCACATTTCCGTGCAACTAAGCCGGCCAAGTAGTGCGGAGCGGGCGGGGAATATTGCACTTCGGCTCAGCTCTGGTCATCTGCGGGACCGTATCTTGCATGAAGGGCCTTGGCCCTCATAACGCTTATGAGGAGGAGGCAACTTTATGATAGGGAATAATTTCTCTTCTGATGTAAGGGCCGCCTAGAGCATTAGTTTGTTCTTGCAAGGAAATAGGCCGGTAACCGGCTCTCCGGCGAAAATGACTGAATAAAAGCTGCAACACCCCACACTCTTATGGTAGATTCTATCTACACTGTTGTCGCTTCTCGAACTTACGCGATAGACATCTGTCATCATGGGCTTATACAAGAATCTTGACGATAACTTCGGAGAAGTTGATGTTATCATCGCTGGAGGCATGTGTGCTACTCCACAGTGTACCTGAATAGTGTTGCTAACACGTACAAACAGGTGGTACAGCAGGATGCATTGTTGCAGCACGATTGGCAGAAGCAGACCCGGGGCTCTCGATTCTGGTAATCGAAGGTGGCCAAGATAACTACAATAACCCTGCAGTAGTAACGCCGGCGATGTTCCTCACTCATCTTGCACCCGATTCGAAGACTGCGCTCTTCTACAAAGCGAGGAAGTCGGACCAACTCGCAGGACGAGAAGTGATTGTCCCGTGCGGTGGCACTCTAGGTGGTGGATCCTCAATTAATTTCATGATGTAAGCTTACTCGTTGTCACTGCGACCTGTTTCACGAAACGTTCCGTCGTTCTTATGTACTGGGTTCATGAAAGGTACACACGTGCGCAGAGCGACGATTTCGACTCGTGGAAAACCCCAGGATGGACGGCCGACGAGCTTTATCCCTTTCTTGAAAAGGTACAGTAGAGCCCTGTTCCATTTACTCTTACCCAGGCTAGATAGAATTACAAGCTGATTTGATAACTCACGTAAAAGCTAGAGACATATCATGGCACAAGCGATGGGGGACACCACGGCCACAACGGACCTGTTCAAGTCTCCGACGGCACGCTACGCGTGAAGAGCGTAGAAGATGACTTCCTCTCCGCCGTAGCAAAAATGGGATGGCAGGAGATACCTGACTTACAGACTCTCAATCACAATCACGCATGGGCACAGTATAAGAGATATATCTCACCCGATGGGAAGCGATCCGACGCCGCCCACATGTACCTGCATCCGCGTCTTCACGATGGCAAGCATCCCAACCTGCACGTTCTCGTTGAGTCACAGGTCGTGCGCGTCTTGTTCGACAACGATAAGCGTGCCAACGGCGTCGAATATCAATCGAACCCACTGTTCAACCCTCAGGACAAGCCCGCAAAGCGTACGGTTCGCGCGCGCAAGCTGGTGATCGTGTCGAGCGGCGCGTGTGGCACGCCGTTGGTGCTCCAGCGCTCAGGTCTTGGACACGCCGACGTCCTGGAGAAAGCCGGCGTGCCACTAGTGGAACACTTGCCTGGCGTCGGTAACGACTACCAGGATCACAACCTGATTTTATTCCCATTCAAAACATCGTTACAGCCCCATGAGACATTGGACGAGTTGCTTTCGGGCCGGCTAAGCTTCGAAGAAGCTGCGAAGAAGAAAGACCCTCGACTCGGCTGGAACACGATAGACGTCGCTGGCAAGCTGCGTTTCACTGAGGAAGATGCGGCGTCACTCGGTCCTGAGTTCAAGGCCGCGTGGGAGCAAGACTTTAAGCATAAGCCGAACAGGCCGGTGATGCTCATGGCGTTGTTGAATAGGTAAGTCGGTTTGACACTTTTGGTCTGGTCGAGGGAGGTTTATCTCCACACGCTTTCCATGGAACTGCTCGTGATGTGAAGGCCGCATCTAACATATAAATAGTTACTTTGGCCCGCCAGGTGCTGTCGAACCAGGCCAATACGCCACCATGGGTAATTATACAGCATATCCTTATTCGCGAGGGCACATCAATATCACGGGACCCGAAGTCGGCGACCCGCTGGACTTCAACGTCGGGTTCTTTACAGATGCGGGAGACAAAGACGTCAAGAAGCAGGCATGGGCATACAAGAAATCGCGCGAGGTAATGCGACGCACATCGATGTACCGTGGTGAAGTCCCAGGGTTCCATCCGCCGTTCCCCGCCGACTCCAAAGCGGCGCTCGTCACGCTCGACACCGCGCTGGACACATCTACTGTTACGGACATCGAGTACAGCGCCGAAGATGAGAGGATCTTAGAGCAGTTCCTGCGCGAGAACGTTAACACGACGTGGCACTCGATAGGCACTTGTAAGATGGCGCCGCGCGACCAGCTAGGTGTCGTGGACAAAGACCTTAATGTGTACGGTGTCAAGGGTCTGAAGCTGGCGGATCTCAGTATTCCGCCCGAGAACGTTGCTGCTAATACCAATAATACCGCTCTTCTCGTGGGCGAGAAAGCTGCGGATATTTTTATCCGGGAACTGGGGCTAGCATAGTCGTCTGACTACTTAGAATACAAAACGTATCTGCTTACATGTAGGGATCAAGGGCAATCGCTACCACAGGCAACCACTGTTGTCCAGAAGGCTGGGCGTGTTATGAGCATCTCTTGTCTGCTCACCTTGATGATTGATGGTCTAAGTTAGCACTCATTGTAGCGCTTACGTATGTAGAACGATGCCCACCCCTGTCATTTGCTTCCCTCGATTTCATTCTCTTGCATTAGTTTCGAGCTCGTAAGGAGCTAGGTGCTTTCGGAGAGTTTCTAGCCCAGGGCAGCCAGCGAATCACGTTAGTATACCGCAAGGGATTCTCACGGATATTGTTGAATTGCCTTGAAAGTGGTACCGGTATGTGCAATCTAATGAGCAGAGAAGAGCCCAGTCGGTTACATTTTGAATGGCTACGGCAGAGGGCTCTCATGTGCCTAAAAAGCAATCTTTGGTATTATTGTGACCTATCACTAATGCTGCTTCACTGCTAGACTCGCGATGCCGAGGCTAGGGGTGGCGTCCAAAATCTGCACAGATACCGTACTAACATGTTAAAGATTTTCCGATGTCTGTCTCACAAGCCAGATCTATTCCCCGCAGCATGGCTGAAGCGACGGACCAATCCCCCAGCGCAGGCCATACCGTTCTTACTGAAGCTAGTTCAGCCGGACCCCAAGTCATCGTGGGGATGCCCAGAAGCTGTCTCACAGCTTCCCAGCTACGGCTAGCACGAAAATGTGTGCACCATGCCGTCGGCAACCAACATTAATGGTCAACGACGGACTCGGAAACATGTTCGGTCGCACAGCAAGTATGGTATTCTCAATCCTTTACATCAGTCCTAATGTACACCCATGCCAATATGCCTCTAAGTGACAGTCAATGGGATGATGGATCATAGGTTTTATGCCCCATCTTATATACATCCTGCAGTCATCCATGGCTTCATAGTGTTAGTGCATGGAGCTGTCTAGATGTCAGACAGTGGGTAGCACAATGCTTTCCCCTCTCCAATCTATCCCAGTCACGATAGCAATTTTTCATGCGTTCCAATGTTAGCATGCAGCTACTGTACTGGCACCGACCATTATCTGAAACGGTCTACAGTAACTTGCGCAGAGCTCCTGAGTAACCAACCGCCGTGTGTCTAGCCGTTCCAATTTTACGTAAAAGTAGGAGTGTCCTATTGCCCATGTTATACTGTGCTATATTTAGCAGCGTCTTGCAAGGTGCCATAACAAATGTTAGAGGTAAGAGTTGGCTTCCTGCTGAATGAAGACCACCGATATCCGGCTACGATGCATAGACGCCTGGTTACTTCCATGTGCTATTGGTGACTTAGGTAGTCAGGGACCCTGCATATGCATGTAATTATCTGACTATGAAACCCAACGGCTCGCACAGGGTTTCTTGGAGACGTCCGGACAAAGGGATGAAGAGCAGTCCCTCAACAGACAACCCGACTCCCAATTTGTAACCACCCTCGTATCGAAAAGGGCGTGTGCAGAGGCAGGTTGCATCAACTAACCCGAGGACTTCCACAGACAATTTGAATCAAAGGAATTGCTGACTTTATGCTCCACATTTTCACACACTCTTGCCCTTCGATATAATCTCAGTCTTCGTCACGTGCCAAGTTCTTGACTACATCGAAGCTCCGATGTAGAAGATTCGAACATTCCAGCTCCCATAAACCCGAACCTTATACCATGTATATTCAAGAGTTGCGGATGCCTAAACTTTCGGTGTCCTCAGGCAGTGGACTTTTGAACTATGTATGTTAGACCACGTTAGAGATAGGGGGGAAATGACTCACGATTCCAGATAGAGCAAAGAAACAATAGGAAGGACAGATAGATACGAGACCGTTCTACGGTCCTAGACCAGCTTTCTTGTGGCGGACTGAAATGAATTGCGATCAATGGGCATGGCACGCCGAGTCTTGCTTGACATGACCGTCTCGTACGCTTGTCTCGTCTTCGGTGCCATCTTTAGGAGTTTCTATATTCGGTATCTCCCCATTGTCTATTCTAGGGTTGAACAGTTCGGAATGGGTGTTATCACTCTCTGTTTCACTCACGACCGGTATCGCAGAGCTTCGTCGCTGGTCTATCATATTATTGGTAATGTCACTCTCAGTTTCTCCGTCCTTGATGAAGTCGGCAATTGATTGCATTACTTCGAGGTCAGGGTTTGAATCGTCGGAATTGAATTCGAGGACCTGCATCTCGCCGGTATCCTGGATGTCTGTAATGTCCAGGCTATCAACATGTACACTCAGGCTACTAGCTTCTGAGAGTGTACTTGGCGTGTAATTGCTATATTTCTCGTAAGAAAGGGAGGTACGGAGTTGCACATGCCTATCCTCTTTGTCATAGTTACTAGGCGTGGCGCTTTGCAATGGCACGGTATCAGTCAAGGGCCAATTCGGGGGAGAACGAGCATGGATGACACCAAGTTCGAGGTCAATAGGCCGTGGAGGGGAGTTCAGCAACTCTTCTGCGCGTTGTCTTTCTGGGTTACGCCGCGAGCGGCGTCTCTGATACCACTGGCGGAAGCAGGTGTACCAAAGCAACCAAACAATGAAGGTAACTATGATGAGCTCCAGGAAAAGACAGATGACAGTCAGAATGACAATCATTTTATCCTTGCTGAGTCCAGTATTCTCTTGCTGCGATTGGCTGCTGTCGGCGACGTATTGGCGCCCCGTGAGGGTGATCGTGTATTGAGACGGGACCGAGGTCAATGCCGAGCCTATGACGGGTGGAATATTGATAGATAGAGAATGATCAGCTATGGGAATAGCCTTGATAAATTTGCCAACAGCAGGCAGTAGAACATTGTACATTGTTGCAGCGACGACCAACGCAATGAGGAATTTGAAATGCATAGCTCCTTTCGCTGATAGATGTCGTTGTGAGAATGCCAATTTCATTCAACATTCTAGCACAGGTCTGATATCTGGCGGTGCGCAGGTGCAAGCTCGAGCAGTGCCGTGAGTGAACATTGACCAGTATTTTAAACAGAAGTACTCGGGTAGTTCCTAAAACTAGCAAGTGTTTGTTTACACAGACACGGAGACGTGACGTATTTGGTTTCCATTCCCGCCGTGATTGTGTGTCCTTTGCTTGCGTATGCTTATTAGATGGTCATTACATGTTTACACAGGTACTTCAACACATGTACCTAGGTACTTCTATTGATGGATGGCCTATCGAACTTAGTATCCTAACTTGAGGCTAGAATGATGGTCGACCGAACATTAATACTCCCATTCATCAGCTTTTACTCCCTGCTTGCAAATGTTCATATACAAAGAAGCAATGATGGTAGGAGAATCTAGATAGCTCAAGATCTATCTCTTCCATGATTTTTACTACAAGTTTATAGATTTGTCACATGAATCATCTAGCATTAGTAGTTGCCGTGTATCGAATTAGTCAATACTTAATACTATGTACCTCACTTTGAAAGGATGCCTTAGAATTCTCTAGAATAGCAAGTGGCTCGCGCATCTAGTTGCTACTGAGGCCATGCCAACACACCCACATTAAGTACATCGGCTTGGACCGATTAAGCTAAGATACTGTCTTTACCATATATATGAACAACTTCTAAGAGTAACCTAAGCTCTTGAGGCTCAATGATTAAGAAGAAGATCAATACGCCGAGAATATTTGTATGGAAACTGAGATGATGCGAGCATTTAGAGAAATATACCATGTTCATTTGCAAGCCGTATTTATTTTCGAGTCTCACGCATCTTTCGTACTAGAAACAACATTTATTTGAGAAATACTATTGTGCTATAGGTGACACTAGGAGAGACCAGTAATAACTGTAGTGAATAGCCTTACTACTTTATGTAGAGGATAGACTCTATTGAGCAGCTTATAACGACGTTTGTCCCAGTCCTCAGAATGCAACAAACCGATTTCTGTGCGTAGCCCTAGCATAAATAAGAAGGCATCAACACCCTCATCATGTGACAAGCATTATACAGGGCTCCTGTATTTACGGTTCTCACAAGGTGCATCAACCTGAAGGAATTGAGCTCTATTCACAGTATCTCACTTACGGGTCTTGTTGCCCTTGAATATTTGAAGGCCTTAGATTCTTATTATATCACTGATACACAAGGTCGATTCCCGACCCCAAAAGAATCCACTAAAAGGCTGAATTAGTGGTGATGAGTTAGAGTATTCATTTCAAGACAGAGCTTCTAGACTAGCTTCACAAGGCTAACCGCATGACACAAAGTTATCATGTAAACATCAAAATTGTGACGTAGGGTAAGGAATTCACAAGGAACAACACTCTCTGAAGTGCCTGAGTTGGAACGTATCCGGATGTCTCGAAGCTTCGGGGTATATTTCATGGCTACGGCACTGGGAACTTTTAGAGAAGCTGAATGATGCCTACCTGCGTGTAAGTGGACAGAGGTAAAATCGGCAACGGGATGTTGATGCGAGCCAGAAAATTCCCTGTTGTGGTTGGCCTAACCCAAATTGACAGGTAGGTTTGGCCATTTGAGATGACTTGCTAACAATAAAACAATGCTCCAAAAATGAACTCTATATCTCAAAGTATTGAGGCCAACATGGTTATTCTAATACTACAGAAGCCAGCAAAGAAATCGAGATTGATATTCATGCATTGTAACACCTACTACAAGAGACAATCCGCCGATCAAGAAGAAATAGGTATATGCCAAGATAACGTTACATGACTTAGGAACCAACACAGCATGGGATCAATCCGAATTGAGTAGTCGGTTGTTTGCTTTCCTACTGAACATAGCTTAGCCGCTTAAAAATGGACATCGGGACCAGGGTCTAGATCCTCCCCTTGATTTGTGCCTGTACGATATGGATACGCGGATGGCCAACCGTTGGTAAGCTGGGATCGATTTGGTGCCTTACCCCTGCATCGTGACTCTACGGCGCGGTTGTTGAGGAGCCCTGCGATTAGCACTCCCATGATAGAGAATACGAGAAACCCCCATACAATGAATATCATTTTCTATGGTACAGGGCCTGTACGTTAAGCTTCTTCAATGGTGTTCGGATCGGTTAAAAGATGGATCCTTCGTGTTGGCTATCTTGGCGAGCGTGAAGCGGTATGAAACGAGAGGTTGGTTGTATTTCCATACATTCATTTGAAGGTATATCAAGAAGCCAGCCCACCCGAGGATTTCATCCCGTACATACACTCTATCACTTACCCTTAACTACTGTGATTCAGTGCTCCTCGCTTCTCACACTCAGTTCCCTCGCTCTGACATTCCCCAAGATGCTCACGCAAGGAGTACTTGCGCTGTTTGCAGCATCCCCTGCCCTGGCAGCGACAATTGGCGGTCGCTATGATTCAAGTGTTCTGAAGTATTCCTCGCGTGCCATTGCTAGGACAGTCCGCAATTGCAACACGCCGGCACCTCCTACTGTTTACTTCCCCTTGAACTTTCGTAGGTCTCCGAGAACAATAGACAGATGAGGATGAGCAGAGCTAATTTGGAATACAGGGTATGGATCGGATCAGAAAATCACCACCGATCTCGTAATACCCGGAACCAACAAGACCATGCCGGTCTGCTTTGATCAGGGTTCCGAGGATTTCTGGGTAGCCGAGCCGGGCGCTGTGTTGAACTGGGGTGCTCAATACGCCGGTCAGGTTGGCCCTTGCAATACATCGATGTCACCAGTTTATGACTACTCTGCGTCGCCCGATGCAACAGAACCTGCCCCATACGATTATTTCAACGTCTATGGAGGATCGTCGAAGTACGTTCTGGGAAATGCCACCGTCGACGACACCATGGTTTTTACGTCCGTCGCTGGCCAACAGTCTACTATCGCAGGTATTCGCACAGCTCTTACGAACCTCGTTAGTGTACGGCTAGAGGATGAGAGCGGCCATTGTGAGGTGACAGAGAGGGTTAGCAATTACGACGTGGGAATCCTAGGCACGGCGCCTTTTCAAATTGGCCCTGGCGTAAGACCCTCATTCTCATTACACTACTATACACCAGCAGGGAGTTTTGTTTCTTACTAATATATCGCACTATCATGTAGCACATAACCAACGGACCACATGTAAGACAACAATTTCTCGAGCAAGGCACGATTAAGGCAGCAGTGCAGTCAATGTGGATGGATGAGCGCCCACATGGGATTGAAGACACTTATACCGGCGGTGCAATCTTCGGAGGTATCGATCTATCCAAGTTTACAGGGCCTCTTGTCAAGGTGAAGTCATTCCCAAATGTGGGGGACACTGTAGGATATCGCGTCGCGAAGCCCATATTTAGCGTCCAGGGAAAACAAATCACCACACAGTCCGACGTGACGAGGTGCTTCATCGACTCGGGCACTCGAAACGACGCCATCCCAATCGCCTTTGGTCAGGAAGAGGAGTTCTACAAGGTCACTGGCCTAGTCGAGAGCCCTACTTACCAGGCCTCTTGGCCTGGTCCGTGTGAGTCGGTTCCGTCCAATATAACGATTGACATGAGGTTCCCGGGTAAGGCGAATGGCACATTCGTCGACATTAAGGTGCCACTGAAGAATTACGTCCGAGCGGACAATGGGGAAGAGGGACTATGCCGCCTGAACTTGTACCCGAGCGCGGGTGACTGCACGCTCGCTGCACCTTTCAGCACTGCGGCCTTCTTTGCTGCAGACGACGAGAATGATGAGGTCGCTTTTGCTCAAGGTGGTATTTCTAAAAGGGGTAGCGGGCCGGATAAAGATTCGATTGTTTTGAGGATCCCATAGAATCCTTCAAGAGTTCCTAGCCCGGCGCCGGCTGAGCTTGAAGCCGGCCTGACGCTTCGAAGACGCAGGGAGCTTGGGACGTGCGGTTGAGCTGGCGCAGTCAATTGCCCCGGATGCTATGGCGCGAAGTCCTTCTGTACTCAACACTACCCAGATAGGGCCATCTACAATGTACAGTCAAGTAAAACGTGATGTGTCTTCAAGATATATCAGCATGCACCTATTCAAACTTAGGCTTCATCATGTAGCCTATACAACCCACTAAACATGGTATATGGTGTCACAGGCAGCACGAAAAGTAATGATTGAATACCTAGGTAAGCTCACTTATTGACCCTGCCAACTAGGTAGAATATTCGTGGGAATGGGACTGGCCCTTCGGAGATGAGACAGCCTTCGCATTTGTTAAACTCACCATATCCCAGATTAGGATGAAGTAACTAGGTAAGACTATTCAACAGTCCGCCGCATGCTCAGTCACCGAGTCCAAGCACCAGCTCGCCAGACGACAGACAGAGCGAGTATAAGAGAAAGTGAATGCTCTGAATCCGAACCTTATCAACTTTTCCAGAATTGAAGAGGGGCAAATAGTTAGTTGCACAGGCAAAAATGCCCCTCTTCAGCAATGAGGGTACTAGGCCGGCGGAGATAGCCCAGCTACGACAATCATTTGCTTGATTCCTTGATCCGAGCGAATGTTGCCAGGAAAACCTCGGGGTCTTGAGCGCCTCCAATGTTATGCGCGCCTTGGATAGTAAAGTTCGGAACGCCAGAAATACCGTCGGTATATGCCTCCTGGACTTCTTTATCGACCTCTGCGCCACCCTTGCCGGTCTCTAGCCATTCCTTGACCTCGCTCGTCGTTAAACCTGCCTTCTCGCCAGCAGCAACGAGCGTGGCGTGGGAGGTGATATCACCTTCGCCCTCAAAGTAGGACTTGAATAGCTCGGCGACGACGCGATTCTCGACATCGTTACCCTTCGTCTTGCCCAGCTGGATCAGGCGATGCGAGTCGCGCGTGTTTCCAATGCGTCCGGCGAAGGCGAAATTGATGCCTTCTTCTTGACCGACCGTCGTCAGCCGGTGGTGTATCATCTCGAGTCTGTCCGAGCCGAATTTCTGGGCCATCCGTTCCTTGACCGGTATGCCGACGGCGGGAGAAGTCGGGTCGAGGTAAAATGGCGCCCAGGTAATGGTGAAGGTATCATTCTGACCAGCCGGATACGTCTTGCGATACAGCTCGATGGCGCGGTCGAGGCGTCTTTTACCGACATAGCACTGTTGCGAACTTAGATCGTTTCGGTGCTACGGGCAACAGCTACTCACCCACGGGCAGACGGTGTCTGATACGATCTTGATGTTGAAGTTGGTCATTTTCGGTATATGACACTTAGCTAAGGATGGGTCATTACAGCAGTTCTACATGATTATGTTCGAGAATATTGTCTATAGGCAAGGATTGCTTCTAACGCTTTCGCAGGCCGCTGACAAATGCGGTTTCAATCTTGAAGACGCCATCTAGTACCGGTAGTGTCCGCCCGAGAGGGTCCGGAGGCTCTTAAAGGCACTATCAGCCGCCGACTTCCACCCCTGTGGATCAGCACACAGCATGGCATTATAGCGGGTCAATATCTACCTAGGGCACTGCTACGATACCTAACTTGGCCGAGAAGTATTTAGTGCCCTATGATCATAGCATGATGAATACTGGTGTGCTACGTCCACTGCAAAATTTTCCGATAATATAGTCAATATATCTCAATTCGTAGATGGTTGGCAGTCAGGAATATTTAAATCACGGCGCAGTTATGAATTATAATAGGTGAATGATACTATATGCGAATTGACTTGGGGTATTCCGAAGCACTCGACTTGTGTACACTCTGTGTGAATTCACCCGAACGAACAAGCTTATCTAGGACACCATATATCTCTTCAGCTCTATCTAAGATTCTGTATTCCAATCACATGAGTTATTAACACAACTGCTTTGTATGGTGCATGATTGCGAGGCTCGATAAGGTAGGTAGTCGCAACTTTCCCTTCAGGGTATCATATACATACTGTGAGGAAATGTACATGAATCAGGCGTGGATAGTAGGGCAAAAAGAAAAAAAAAACTTTTCAAGTTAGTAAGAGAAAGGACAGACCGCCTGTCCAAATGGATGGCCGGCTAAAATATTGAACAATCTGTGACTGGGCTGCGGGAGGCAACATGCTTGTCACTGGTAAAGGCTGTTCCGTACTATTCCTCATATTCTTAGCTTCATGTATACTGCAATCCGTGTCCATCACTACCTGCTTATTTCTAGCTAATGTTAGGGATTAGTCCGGATTATTTTTGTGAGACTGTGCTAGGTTACGCAGGTTTGAATCGGCTTGACGGTACACAATCATAGAGTGATATGGGGGATGATGAGGGATTAGCACCTGGATCAGCCCGTCCATTAGGGGATTTAGCAGTGATTTAGTGTGGCGCGTTGCGCTAGAATCCGGGGTCAGAGTCAAAGTCCGGGGTAAAAGTTGGGGGAAGGCGCAGGAGAGGCACGTGACTGGTGAGGAGAAACCTGCATAGAGGCCCTCGGCGCCCAAAGCGAGAAGCATGCAACCTCCTTTACCTCTCTGACCTCCCTGGTCTTCCCTCTTCCTCTTCGGCAAAATTTCCTCCCAATCTCACCTTTATCTTCCTGCTCCTCAGCGGCAATTTTGCCGACTTCCCCAACCCATAAGACGCCCAATTGGCATGTCTGTCTTCCAGGCGTCAAGAACCTCTTTCCCTAGGTGAATCCAGTCTGTGAAATACCCTTGTCAAGGCATCTGTCCAAGCCACCACTTGTCGTACGATGCAAATAAATCCAACTCGACGCGTACGATTCTCACGTGCTCGATCGGCCCACTGCGAAGAAAGCATTTCCGCTCTTTTATCTCCATACGCTGTGGAAATTCATTCCTGTTCTCCTTCTCGTCGCAAACAAATCCGTGAAATGACCAATGCTAAGTGGCATCCGGCGTTTAGATGCCCCAAGTGGCTGCAATCGCTGTCAAAACAGCAACTCGCATTGTGACGTTGTCTAAGTTCATTTGAGTCTCCGCCTACTCTCCTGAGAATCCTATCACTACTCCGCACTTCACTTCCAGGAAATCAAACTGCGTCCGCTGCAGCATCCCGTTCCCAAAACAGGACTGTTTCTTTCCCAGAAACTGTAGCCACTGTCTACAGAGATGCACTGTTCGGTTTGGCGACTTTTCGGGATTCGCCTGTTTTGACCGTCAAAAGATGGGCAGGTCATTGTGTCCCATCAATATCGGCTCCCCTAATCACATATGATTTTCTCGATGACACGAATGATTGGGCAGTGCGTTTCCAGTTGTCGAGCATCGGACGTCTCGGTTCCTAAGCACATATCTTGCTATAGACAGTGGGCTCAGACCAGGATAGTCGTTCTCATTAGAACTTGTGTGCTCCGACTGGATCCGGACAACGAAGCAGCTGTTTCTCTCGCTACATATAGCGCATTTTGCAGCGTCGAAACTGTTTAGTTGAACCTCGATAGTTGAAGGCAATGCATCAACCAGCATCTAGTTCTGGGGTTCCTATTGTTACTATTTCGATCCACTAGTCGTCACTTAGCCTCCTGGCCGGCCCGGATTGCGAGCCTCCATAGCTGCTCTGGCTTGTCGATTGAACGGATAGCGACGAGCTTCGACGTGTAGTTGCAGCCATTACTGAGTCCGGGAATGGATATCGAAGACGTACAATGTCTTGTGTATGGTTGGGCTCGGGGTGTATCGGTACCTAACTGCCAAACAAGACTTTAGCTCGCCTAGCCAATCTGCTCAGGAAATAGCACCGGTGTGCTTGAAGGCGTCAGGATGGAAGTCGGGATAGTGACAATCAAAAGGGGGTCTACCCTACATATACACCTGGACTTGAAGAACCACCTACCCAGGTATCCACTACTTCTAGCTAAGGCTTTCTATTTAAACCCGCCCTTTCATTCTATTTTCATTGAACTAGGTGGATGGGAAGTTGTTCAGCAGCGAACTACTACCCGAAGTAGCTAGGCAGCTTCAGATTTAATCACGTATCGTCATTCTTGCCGCGTCCACCTCAGGATCTCGCCTGTGCTCCGTGTTGAGCCCTGATCTCATCATCCATCTCTAACTGCTGCGTTAGCCCTAACCATCATATCCACATAAGACGAATCGAGTCTGCTGATTGGAGAGTATGTCGAATGAGGGGGGACACTGGGTGGGGGATGAGTTGGCACTATGAAAGATGAAGCAAGAAGTGAGCGCTACACACAAACTTGTGGGTCAAAGACGAGCTAATTGTTATCTAGGTCGTTGAGTTATCCAAGGACAAATTCTCCTGAGTAAGCCCGGCTCAGTCCGCTATAACGCTAGAGCTACACTATGCCGGTTCAGAAAACCGCTCATTGCAATGGGGCATAGCACTAAAGTCGCGCACTGAATCAAGCAGGATGATCTTGAGAGCCTGCCATATTTTGACTCCGGAAACGACAGGTGCCAAGTGAGTTGGAATAGGTGTCAAATTGAGAGGGGAGCTTTGGTTTTAATCGACCGGAACGATGCCATTTCATTTTGCAATTCAAACGCCAATCCATGCCGACACTGCTTGTGTTCAGAACAAAAGGGAAGAGAATTTGTGCTTCCAGTTTAGTGATGAAGATGGTTTGTGTGGTGGTATTTTACAAGTTGCTCGTTGCGGTAAGGTGCCCGACACCCTAGCAACAGCCAATATATTCCCCTCTTCCATCGTTACACACATGCCTGAAGGCTATGCAATGAAGCCCCTCGCATAGACGGTTTCATACCCCGATCTATAACCATCCCTCAGTCTAGAACCGTCTATTACTCTATGATGGATTTTCCATGGGATGTATTGCCGCGACATCGTACTAATAACACAGCGGTTGGGGTCCTCGGCTCGCTTATTCACATGCACCGGGGCGCAGTGCGAATCCTGGTCGCCGCAATAATGGGTATTAATTTGTTTAGGTCTATCATGAAGTCAGCATGGGTACTCAGATATGCCTGTTGATATTGAGAGTATACGTACGAACTTGGCCATAAGGGCAACCATGAGATCGAAAAGACCGATGGCCTCAACGAAGGCGAAACCCAGAATGGCGTATGAGAAGAGCTGGCCACGGAGAGCAGGGTTGCGGGCAACACCGTTGAGGAGGGCAGCGAAAACGAGACCAATACCGATACCAGCACCAGTCAAACCAATGGCAGCGGAACCCATACCCAAGTTCTTGGAGACCTCGACCATGGCCTGAGCAATCTCGGAAGAGTAAGCGCGGCGCTGGAAAGCCTGGCGGGTGGTGGCGCTCAGGATCTTGGAGGCCTGCTGGCGCTTCAGGGCCTGCATGGGGGTAGCATTGCCTACGATAGATCATTAGAGCCAGCTCGGATTCGTCCCATTCCATCGCAATTCGTAATTCCGATTACTCGGCTGCGGCCAATTGGGTCAATATTCTGGGATTTTACGCAGAAACATACTGGTGATGGTGCGCTTAGCAGCGGTGCTGGCGATAGAGGCACGGACAGCAGGGCGAGCGACCTTGGTGCCCATAGAGGCAAAGGCGCGGGAAGCAACGCGAACGGAGGCCATTGTGATGGATGAGAATGTGTGGTTGGTGAGGAGAGGAGAGGTATCGTGGCACGAAAGCACAGACAAATGAGCTGATGGAAGAGAAGATAAGAGCTTGAAGTAGAAGAAGGGGAAGCTTGTTGGCGGTGCGGCAAAAAGGAAGAAAAGTCTGATGGGGCTTGAGGGAAACGACCGAGGAGTTGTTCCGGGGCTGGGCATTGACCACCAGCTGGCTCCAGCACTGTGTAGGAAGAAACGAAGCTAGACTGTGGTCTTCAATGGAACCCACACAGCGTCAACACCATTTTCTCATCCACCATGGGGATGTTGGAACAAACTTTTCTCTTCAATAGGTACTGAAGCCTACCCAAAAGAGACAAGGCTGACAGGTCATTATTCATTGACAGGGATCGGGCATTGCCGGGTGCGGCGCTTGTAGGGACTACGAGACCTCACCGTTCTTGGCGCGACATTTAACTTCGAGCGCTTTTTCCCTCATCGCTAAAAACACCCGAGCTTGGTCGGTAACAGACTACGGTGCACAGCAAGCAAGTAAAAGCAAAATGCTCGAGCATTCTAGATGAATTGGGTCGTCAATGAACTTGAATACATGGTTTGGAATATCCCAAGGATTTCGGCCACCATTCGGCAGCTCTGTGTGGTGAGAGGCGAAGGGAAAGTACATGTACACAATGTCGGAACACAACATGAACCCCACCGACTAAAGTCGGTCCTCCACTTGGTTTTATCTGAAGGATAGTAAACATGGAACCTAGCTGGTATCAACGCAAGCTCATAGGTGACCACTTATGTGTGGAGTTTGTCTCACGGGATGATGATCTGGGTGGTAGAAATGAAGCAACATAAAAAGGAAGACACATCCTCAGCGACAACTGCGTAGACATTTCCTCTGAGACCACAGCAGCTTTACAAGCTCCCGCTCAGCATTGTAACATCTATGAGTCAGCTTGCAAAGAGTCACACAGCTACCTTATACTATAGGTACATGTATATCAGATTGCCGGCATTCCGCATGCGCCCTATTTCGGGAAACAAGAGAAACAGCCAATGAAACCCCCAGAATCGTTCTGAAATTGGGGTGGCCATCAGTGTTCTGATGGCCAGTAACTTGTTTGTTTGCAAGGGACATTACATGTGTACGCCGCACCATGCAGCACTGATATTGACCAGGTAGCCAAGCACCCAAGCACCCAGGGTATTGACAGTTACGCGCATGGGAGAGCTGTCGGGTAGGAGGAAGCTACACCGGTTCCAGGAGATCGGGAGTTTAAGCGATTGTGGATACCTTGATTGACCTCACTTGTTCAGGTTTTCGAATGGGTGCCTACTCCCACCAGCGCAGGGAGAAACTCGGCGTCCAACTTGGGTGGTGTGGCATTGGTGAGAAAGAGAAAGGACCAGAAGGTTGCATAGGGTGCCTACAGCGTGAGTTATGCTACAAGTGCACATTACAGCGCCGATGAGAGGTGAAACCGCTGTGTGAGGAAAGTGATTAATGGCCTGAAAAAATTTTCGCTCCAGGTGACACGAAATGACGGTCAGATCTGGTGCTCACAACTGTCAAGGGATTGGCGGGAGCACCCACCCCTGCTCCCAAGTCTTAAAGGGCAAGGTACCACCAATCCACCGGGTCAATGGCGTTTACTACATGTACACGTATTGACGGACATGGAGATGTCCGTTTCGTCTCGGCTTAGTGTACCTACTGTAGTGTAGGGGCCTCAAGCACCGTCCTCCTCTACTATTACCTAGGCATCACTTCACTGACTCAACATCAATGCTTGAGTGAAAATGTGTGTGTCAAAAAGTTCACAGCGCTATCGGGAATTTAAGGGGAGCTTGGGCTAGACAGAGACAGCTACCTGATACCTACCTCAGTAACTAGATAGGTTCAGCTGAGCTGAATTGTACAAGTCTGTGTATGTATGTACTGACTAGGCTAAGTAGTGAACACATTGCTATGAGTAGGGATATACATCGAAGCTGAACCCCGGCTACCTACTTATAGTAGCTATCTTGATCGGTAGTTATGCGCACAGGGCACCGATACGAACTAGCTAATTGCATTGCATCGCATCATTGAGCTGCAACACGCATGTTCGAATCTGGCTTGATTGACCTTTGCAGGTGTCCTGCGTATGCCTAGCATTTGTCGCATAGATAGACCAATTTCGGCATCTGAAGATATCAACAAATGCACGTATGCATAGTCTGAGTCAATTACCTACAATACCTATTGCATAGGTATTTACAGTATGTTCGTGATTACCTGCTATGTGAGCCCGATACTTATTTAATGTAATTATCGCGTGAACAAATAGGGTCTTGAAGGATATTAAAATCTTTCCATATCTAGGTACCTACCTACCTTGAAGACCACGATCAATTCCTGCAAGGACTTGTCGAGGTGTTGGAAGCAGTTATCAGCTACCCCGATCTGGTCAGAGGATGTTGATGGTGGGCGGGGCAGAGGTGTCAGAGGCTAGCTAATCAATTCTACAGATGAATATCTGTGAACTCAATAGCATTTGGTCATGGAGGAGGTATTAAAAATTTTAGACAGATCACATAGTGGAAGAACAATGAAAAAAAAGTAAGTTTTTTTCAAACAAACAAAACAAAAATGAAATAGTTAAAATCAAATTTTTTCTGTAACGACGCATCCAGGACTCGAACCTGGAATCTTTGCCACCGGAAAGCAACGCCTTAGCCATTAGGCCAATGCGCCGAGTATTAATTGTCTGATATACAATTAATCATTATATTTAAACGTTGCTAGTCGCTGTGAGGGTTTTTCAGGGGCAATGAATTTGTCACGGGCTTAGACGGTAAGCTCAGCCCTACAACGGCTGGATTTCATGAAAACTGCCAGGAAATCATATCTAAATGTGATCAAGGGTTCGAGGGGTATGGAGGGTAAGACCGCTTGAGATGAGCCAAATGAAACGAAATGGGATCCAAGAGGTTATTCTGGAAATGTGAATATGAATCGGCCGTCCGGTGTATTCTACAACGTGTGAGATGGAACGGCTGTGGGATATATTCTCGCCCTCTGTAGAACTAGCTAACAAGAACACTAATATCAAATGAGAATAACTTCGATGTTCTTGACCACATCAGAAGTTTCAAGATAAGGAGTCATCAGCTGGAGGATCGCTCAGTTGAGAGGTCATAGTCAGCAATAGACAGAGATCATCGATACGCGTGACATGAAGACGCAGTGTAACTATCCCTTTCTATATGCAAGGAGCCAGACATTTCGCGAGTAGTAGCGAAGACTAGACATTCCAAGTTTACTACTCCAAGGCAGCCTCCAAAGCGACAGCGCCAGTCCTATAATTACTGGCCCGGGCGTTTCTTCAATTCCTTGAATGTTAATCACCACCGCCAACGAGCTTCGTGCTTCACTCAATCCCGAACAAACGTTATACCTTGTCACGGAGAACAGTTCTTGTTACCCACGACTCTTGACATCACTATCGACAATGTCACCTTCACTGGAGAAGAAAGATGCCGGCGAGTTTCAGTCAGTCCCTGATGCTATGCCTTCTCCCCTTGAGTAGATTTCGGGCCTGTTTCGCTTGCATGCCCCTGAAAATACATTCAGCTCTTTCTCCGTCGCGTAACTACTCACCCCCAACGCGCTTTAGGCTTATCTATCTGAATTACCCTAATCCGCTAAAGAATGCCATCGCTTACACCATTCGCGGTGTCACTGTAGACTCACTGCTGAGCATGATTGGAGCAACACCTGGGTTCATCAGATAGCTGTAGCTGTCACATAAGAGGGCCATCATTTTCCTCGCATCTTATGCCGTGGGCTGGAGAGCATGTGAGAAGGAGTAAAATGATTTGTGTTCTGTTTCAGCCGAGCGCCTCGAGCCGAAAAATCTGCATTGACGGGCTTACCAGCAAGCGTTGAGCCTATTGAATATGCCGAGTACATCCGCGACTTGGTTGTGAGAGAGAAGGAAGGGGTATGAAGGATAGGGAAACTGAAAAGAAAGAAAAAGAGAGAGAGAAAAGGTGAGTAGACGAACTTGGATACACAAAGAAGAGACATGCATTCCCAGCATGCTCCCAGTAATGACTGATCTAAATCACTAGCATAAGACCGAGAGATTGGAATCCTGCTTTTTGGCCAGCATAAAATCCAGAATTGATTTTCTGAAATTGCTAGCCTAGTCTTGGGATTTCAACGATGGATTATAATCATCGACAGTGACACGACACAGCGAACAACAGCCTCGATGATGATAACAACCTTTCCATCATGACATTATTCTGGCCAGATATAACCACCTACTGATATCACCAAGGAGCATGCCTCAAGATGATTAGTATATTTCTAGGCCGATTAGATGCACAAAAGACAACACAGTAACCTAAAGTTCAGATATGTAAGCGTTTATGCACAACATGATCCATTCTCCAAGAGGGAATGGTACCCCCTGCTTACCCTTGACTCCTATGTAACTCACTATACATTGCCATCACGACCCCAGTTTCCCAAATACATGTAAACCCCCCTCGCACCGACTAAGCCATCAGCCACTCGCAATATTCATTCTCCCCTATCAAAGACGTAACATCCACTCTGCTCCTCCCTGCGTGGACTCTACTGTCCATACCCAAGCCGGACAAACTCCGCAAGATTATGCCGCGAGTCTGCATCGACGACATCATGCGGCGGGCGCACAGTGACGTTGTCGCCATGGATCTCTAGCACCTGGCCGTTCAGCTCAACGTCGTTCAAGAGCTTCTCCACGCCCTTGATCAGCGTACTATCTGGGGTGAGGATCATATTATTGAAGAGCGCGTCAGTACCCGCGATATTCGTTGCTGTGGTTTGTACATATTAGTTACGGAATGCATAGTCACCACCTTTTACCACTCTTCACTCCGAGACAAGCATTATACCACCAGACTGATGCAAGAGGCAGTAGGAGAGGGGAGGAGGGAAGTAGATACCTAACACTGCCGGTGCTAACGCATTGATTCTGATACCGATGTGAGCCATCGCGTAGAAAGGGCCAAGAGAGCGAACAAGGCCGACGACGGCGTGCTTCGACGCCGCGTACAGCGGTGCTGGCGGAAACGGGTACAAGCCCACGTTGGACGCGGTGCAGATGATGGCGCCGCGGGACCCTGTCGTAGCGTCTGGTGTATTGCGTCTCATGTAATATTGGGCTAGTTTGACCGCTGTGAAAAAGGAGGTGTTGAACACCCCCTGGTCAGCGAACTGATAACAAATTTGTGAAATGAACGTCAGGCATAGCTATGAGTGGGTATGAAATAAAGGCTCAAGTTTAAGAGATATCAAAATCATGACCGCAAGCAAGTTTTCTTGAGTGATTTGTATTCATGCTGGGAAAATGTAAAGGGGGATGAAAGGAGCCACGCTCGCGCCCACGACCGTCCGCGTACGGAAGTAAGAAATATAATGAAAATGGAGACGGGAAGGAAGGGAAAAAAGGGGCAGAATACATACAATATACAACCCCATTCAGATTAATATCCAAGACCTTCAGCGCAGGCTCCTTCTCCAGCTCGTCGTCGTCCTCCTCTATAGACGGCACAACCCAGCTGCGCGCATTCTCAGCAACACCCGCATTAGCCACGACCACATCGACGCGTCCGACGGCGTCATACACAGCCTTGAAAGCCGCTTTCTGCTCTGTCCACGACGAGACGTCGCATTTCTCGAACCGCACCGCACCTCCCGCTCCCTGGGCACCGTGCGTCCTCTTCTGCGCGGCGTCGAGGTCCGCGGCGACGGCCTCGCCGTCCGCGGCGTTGACGTCGAATATCGTCACCGCGTCCCCGAGCGAGGCGAAGTGGCGGCTCATGATCTTGCCCAGACCACTTGCGCCCCCTGTGACGATCACGCTGCGGCGTTGAGCCATATTTCGGGGGAAACTTCAACCGCCAAGTTTTTTTTTTTTTTTTTTTTTTTTTTTTTTTTTTCCTCGCTCTTCTTATTCCTAATGCTGTTTTTCTTTTTCTTTTCTATTTTTTGGATATGGCTCACGTAAGAATTTGGCAGAAAAGAAAAGAAAATACAGACAGAAATGAGGTCCGAATCCGAGAGGGGCGGACGATGTGAGAGTGAAGAGCGGGCGCGGTATACGCAAGTCTATGTAAGGCCACCGAATGAGCTATCCGGCTGTCGCCACGAAATGACTACAACAAGTGCGTCCGTGATATGAAGGTAGAGATGAACAGGCAGATTTATTCATCGGAATACATATATCTTATTTCATCCTCTACCTACCTATATACAAGACATACAGACCTAAATGCAGATTGCCCGAGCAAAACGGCACATCTAATGCGGGGGGCTTTCCCCCGCCGGCATCTACTTTTAACCTGTGAGACTGGATCTATTTTTCCTTTCGCGCTTCGCCTCGCTGCTGTTCTGTCACAGTCACCCTATGAACGAACTCGGTTAGGTGGTGGGGATTCTCAGTTCTAGGCATTCTGTATACCGTATGTTGATACAGCGATGATTTATGTCTATTTTGGGATGGTTAGCAAAGGCGAAAGGAAACAATCGCTGGAGTTTAGTCAGTCCACATCATGATTGATATACCCGAGTACACTCCTATGTGTCTCGGTTCGACTGGTTGTTATGAGATTACAAGGATATTGAATACTGGACCGATAACATTGATGGAGTGAATAAATATTCGAATTTGCATTACATTTGATCTCGGACACACGATAGCAACATGTGTTGGTACACGCCATGATATTCATCCTCTAGACGCCTTGCTTGCACACCCCATCCTACCTATTAAAACTGAAAACATATTCCCAATGCTTGCCTGCCCTTCTCTAGATAAAATGCGATCGAGAACGCTACTTCACTCTTCCTCGTTGTTTTCTTCGTCTTGTTTGATAGCATACCCCTCCACAAACCCATCAGGATCGCAAGCCCGGGTTAGGTCAATCTTATTCTGCTGCGCCCATTTACGGACGGCAGCTTTGTTAATCCTTATCCTAGGGACCTTTGGTATTTCCGCTTCCTTTTCTTCCTTTTCCTTCCCATATGTAGCTACATCCGCACCTCCGCCCCCCCCGTCTCGAGGTGGCTCGACCTCTGCCTCCTCGATAACTCCCATCTCCCGGAGCACAGCGAGACAATCTTCAGGGACAATCCAGGTATGTCGGGAGCACTGCTCCACATCGATGATAAGGTCTTCTTGTTCTGCAACACTATTATTCACTTGATTGTTTTCCTTCTCTTTTTCTTTTCTCGCATGCCTCATAGCATGAACAGACTGGACAGAGGATGTAGGAACATCTAGCTCGAGAATCCACCGTACGATCTCACCGGCCCAAAATCGCTTGTATCCCTTGCGTCCTAATTCTGATATGGGCTTTTCCGGTCCTCCTAAAATACCCTCACGTCGTGATATTTCGTATGAAACACCCATGAGTAAGGCGCCAAGACCTTTGCGTTGCCATGGTGGAAATACCAAGATGCAGGCCAGATTATTGTTGTCCCAAGACATTTGCTCTTTGGAGAAAAAGCCTACTATCTGCGGTCTAGGATGCGACGACAGTGATATAAAGACGTCGGTGGGTGGATTTGATGTATTAAGTGTGGTATTTTCGGGTTCGGCAAGGGACTCGGGATGTGAACTGATGTGTGTCGGAGAGGTCGTATGTGTTTCAGAGAGCGGTGGTGTGTAGACGAGGAGGAAGTAATTAAACCCTCTGACGTCGAAGAAAACCGATTTGTTATCTAGGAAAAGCTTCGCGAACAGGGAGAGATTCTGGCAGAAGAGCTGATTTTAAATTAGTTCTCAGAAGCCATGTCTGTGAGAAAGACAGCAGACTCACACCGTCTTTCCCACCGTCTACTTCCCAGACACTCCACTCCCCCTCACTGACAGTCACACCAGCCGACTGAACTTTATCGTCACCCCTACTCTTGCCTTTCCCTTTCGCTATTGCTGAGGGGCTTGTTGATGTTGATGAGCCTATATGCGGGATCTTCATTGCCTGGGACTGGCGTGGATGCGTGTAGATTTTAGTTCCAGGGACATGGCCTTTTCTTTCACAATACTGGACGTGCTTCCACCATGGGATCATCTCCTTTGAATACTTGAAGCAACATGGGCAAATGTATAATCGATCGAGGAAGGGGAGCTCGCGCTTTCCGCCCCCAAATTTTGCGTTGCCTCCGGCATTGGCTGAGATATCGCCTAAAACTTCCTTCCCATAATATGAGGGGTACCAGGCTTTGAAACAAGTATTTCCAAATACAACTTCATCAATGTTGCGATCGGAGCGAGGTGTGCCTGGGGGCTTGGTGGCCTTGACCTTCTTTGATGGAGTACGTTTCGGTGTGGTAGTTGTAGCACAGGGCGCGGGTGCTGGTCGCTGTGAAGACCGTGCAGTGAATGTGCGCGATTGAAGAGTAGAGGAAGTTCGTCGTGTGCCTGATTGCGATGGGGAGCGGGAACGTGAGCGAGAGCGTGTTTGAGTGCTATGGTGATGACGAGACAACTTAGATTGAGCCGGGGCTACGTGTTTCTCCTCATCGTCCGGAGGGGTTGGTGGTCGTATATTCTCTTTTGACACGGGTAACACGGAGGCTGCACCGATTCCAATATCTGCTGACGCCGTGACTTTATTGTGCCGGGTCGTTCTGGTCGATGTCATCGTCGCGACGGCGGGGTCGGTGGGTGCTGCAACTCTCGGCTTTGGCGCGTCGGTTCTCCTCCCCCCAGAGAGTGGTCGCGCCACATCTTCTCCATGTGGTTCTTCAATATTACTGACGCGTAGTCGGCCGCTCCTTGATTGGTAGCTGGGTTCTGGGTCGATAGCAGGATGTTGGCGAGTCGACCGGCGCGGAGGAGCATCAGACGCAGAACGCTCGACGCCTGCATCATGGAGCTGTTTACGCTTTTGAGGCGCCATTTCCTTTTCAACAAAATTTCTACGAAAGCATGCACATTTCGAAATATGACGAACGCTGCAGGACGGGCTATAGTGTTATGAAAATGCGAAAATGATGGATTTTGGCAAGTGATCAATATTCCAACTTCTCCCGATCCGATTGGACTTTGATTACATAAGTGTTTGGGTAGGGACCCCATACGTAACCTTTGGCGCATCACCACGAGCACTGGCAGTATGCGTCTTCCATTAGCACGTGACATTGCTAATGACCTCTTATAACATCTATTTATGCGCCAGTAATTGCAGAATATACTCATTTTAAAGTCAATTAATACACTAAAGACGCTCACATGTCTCGTACAGTATCCATTTAGGGCGCGATATAAAATGTCACAGAAGAGGCTCGAAACCATTGATAAGCATGAAATGGATGACTCTTGTGCAGGGCTATGAATGTTGAAAGTTGCTGGATTATCCGTGAGCGCATCACTCCATCTCTGCTTTAAAATAAAAGAGTAATTGTAGTATCTATACAAGGCTGGTGGCCAATGATGTTTGTTCGTGGCTGTTTGGATTGTCTACAGCCTGGCCTTTAATTTCAGTCGTCAACTATAGCAGTCCCTCCTGTAGCTCCGGGTCGACCATACATCCCAGGTAGTGAATAGCCCCGGAGCACACGGAAGGCAGCGCCATTGGAAAATTCACCAAATCCATAATACACGGGGTTTGATACTTTACATGCCCTCGAAATCACCACCAAGGTCGTCTTCGTCCAAATCACCGTCCTGTATCTCTTTGGCCATTTCTCGTTCGCGCTCGCGAGCCTCTTGAGCATTCTTTAGCTCAAGTCGATGTTGGTTCATAGGGAAACGCATAGCCTATACCGCCAAAGGTCAGTAAATAGTTGCCCACGAGAAAGAGAAAGTATATAACAAGACGGCAACACATACCTTAACACTTTCATCGTGAAGACCGAGGCAAGCCCTGATACGATCATGGAACGCCTCACCAGGCTCCCTTGTAGCGTAGACATCACCGACCTCTTTACTCTTCATGAAACCATGCTCGCGATCGAGAGTGGCCTCAATCACACCATCACGGATCGCTTTGGCAACTATATATTCAGCACTCTCTTCACTGCCTAAGTGTAGCCGAATGCATATATCTCGTAATGAAATTCGACTGTAGCTTAAGCTCATCATGCGAATACCAGTCTTGATGACGTTTTGGCGTAGGCGAAGGATAAGAGAATAGGTACCATCGCGGCGGAATGTACTAGCATGATCGGCGATAGCTGTTTCAAAATCTTCCAAGTTACCTACCCGGACGGCTTGAACGAGCAGGAAGTACGGCCTCAACGCTTGCTCCATATTAGAAGCGCGGAAGGTAGCACGCTCGGGAATGTCACCCATAAGAAGTTCAACCACAAGCAGGAGCTTTGTTGCTGTTTGTGCGAAACCAAGAGCGCAATTGCTTGCTGGCGATTTGCGCGTTGCCGCAGTTAAATGCTCGTGAGCTTCGGTGTACCGTAGCTGGATTGCTCGGATACGACCAAGGTAGTACAAGAAGCGTGCAACCTGGGTATTGGCGGCATTCTCTGGGAACTGGGTGTGAGACACAAGGAGATCGGCTTGTGAGATGTGGGAAGTGAGGAGATGGTTTCGAAGCAGCAAGACAATGACAGAAGCCTGCGTGTCGATGTCCTTGCGTAGTACCGCAGTTCGGAGTGCAGTCAACAAGGTTGGCCTAATCGCGACGATGGGAGACCTTGGTGATGGGGGAAGAGGAGCAAGTTGCTCACAGCAGAGTGAGTAATAAAAATAAACCTTAGCAGATAGCGAATCCAAGGTTCGCCGGTTAAGAGAGTGTATACGATCAGCTAGGGACTTGGAAAACTCGGCGCCTGCTTGGAATTGCTTAGAGTCAAATAGATAGACCTGAATGAGAATGGCGAGGAAGATGTCGATTTCAGGAATAACATCTTTGTTTTCTTTCTTGCTACCATTCTTTGCGGCTTTCGGGTCGTTGTCTAATTCCATGTCCGTGCTAGGTTGTCGTCCCAGAGGCACATCACCCTTGCCAATAACAGCAAGAAGCTGCTGAGCTACGGTAGCTGATGCACTTGTGGGAGGAAAGGTCTCGGCGATGACCTGGGAGAGGATATCGGGAGTGAGGCGCTTGCGAAGGGATGAGATGGATCGCAAGGCGCGCAATGTGAATCTAGAGTCAAACAAGGCTACAGCGCGGTCGAGAAGGGCGAAATTGCTCTTAATATCTGTGAAAGGAGAAATGTAAGCCATGTAATTCATGTCAAGCTTCGGGGTGAGCTGGCATAGAGGGTGACGTACCCGTGATGGTCTGCGTGACGGGGTCGATTTTGACCTCGAGCTCCTCTGCCTTATCCCGGTCATCCATGGCTACGTCTCCTTCGTTATCAGGAGGTGGCTGCGATGATTGCTTTGTGGCTTTAGAAAGCGGAACAACTACTGTCATATCCTCGCCCTCCTTGACATTCTTCTTGCCCTTGCCCTTCACTGACGACTTCTCGTCGGTCATTTCAACATCCTTATTATTGTTTCGAACACCGTTTTCGACAGGCTCTTTGCCGTTCGAATGAGGTGTCTTCCCTGGCATATTGGCTGTGGAGAGGGAAGAATGCGGAGGGGGAGGGAAGCGAAGTGGTGATTAAAGAGGAGTCAGCGTCCGGCTCGCTCGATAGCTGTACTGACACGATGGTAGTGGTATTTGCCGGAGACGAAGAGCTGCCAATGTGGAGGATGGTCCGCAGCACGGGCTACGTTCTGGCCGACGAAGACGGCCGGGCGTGGTGATTGATGACTGATAGTTGTGTAAAAGCAAATTAGACGATGAATCTAGAATACGACAGAGGCGAGAAGCTGGCGGGAGTAATGGGTAATACCTCGAGGCACAAGGCAGCCAAAAGAAAATGGCGATCGCTGGTGGTTTGGCAGTGGACAATGCAGGTAGGTCAGTGAAGACGCGGATTGATAAAAAGAAGGAAAAAGAAGAGAAGTTGGCGCTGGGTTGATGAGGACGGCGATGATGATGACGGTAGTCGAGATACTGTGCTGCTGGCGTGCTTGGTGATGTGCTGGTCGTCGTGCTAAGGCGTAGATAGGCAGTGGATGGCTCAGCGAACTGCCTAGCAATCGGACAGATGACAACGGATGTCGATTTGTCCAGGTGATGCAAGCGCGCTGCAAGAGACCTAGGTACGGAGTACGTGTAGCTACCTAAGGGCTGTCGAAAGCCTTCCCACAGGCGACAGGCGGAAAAGAGGTAGATAAGTACTGGATCCCCCGCAGAAGTACCTTTTCCGATAATAATCCATTTAATCTACCTATTTGCGCTAGCTAGGTACCTAAAGATAGGTCCTTTACTTAGGGACCTTATTTAGTGCGGATGTCTGTTGCATGTACAGTACCTCTAGTAGATAGATATGTACCTTCTACGTTCCATAGGTGTCCAGCTGTCTCTTTTCTATCGGTAGTTGTATCTACTTTACTTACTCCGTCCCGACCGGGTAGCTCTGGTGGGCTGCTACGGGCCTACAATTCCAGGTAGATATCTTGTTGCGCAGGTCAGCAGATATGATCGTACCGCCCAGTCTATTTGTATTGCAATACTCCCGATTTACTGTGATATGATAGTTATCTTTGGCTCCTATCGGTTAAGATAACTTAGCAAATGTGAAAGGCAGAGAGTACTCTCCGGAGCTCAGATACAACCGCAGAGTGTACATCGGTACTTGGTACCTAGGTACATTCTATGTAGATAGGTAATCAATTCTGGTGACGTTGTCGAGTTGGTGCCTGCCCTGTCTTGCCTCCCTTACCATTCTCCTCCACTTAGCTAGGTAATTTTGGATGACTGTCGGTACATGCTACGCCTACCGGAGTTGAAAAGGAACATGGTGTACCATTATTGGTTGCATTGGACCTAGATTTATTCCCTTCTAGATTTCGAGGCTGCACATAAATATTTGCACAGGTATTTTTCTTAGAATGCATTTCTAATGATCCTAGCGGTTTCGAATAATAACAGATAACCCAAGTATAAGGCTTAGGCATGCCAATGGGTTTAGAGATCTACGAGTGCATGGAAGATGGCGACGTCAGTCCTGTTGACACTTAGTAATACAGATACATTTGCTGAGGTACTAGTAAGATCGGGTTTCATTACTGCCTGTCTAGCTACGGATTGGTATCATCAAATCAAGACGCCTTAACACCGAAACCTGTCCATCAATGCGAGTTGTCCTTATGTCCCAGACCATGATCTCACTTCTGTACATGCCAAACGCCGACCTCTCTGAAGTCCGTCCTGATGATGCGGACGGAGAAAAACGAGAAATAGAAACAAACCACGTCTTATTGCAATCCTCTTCTCATCCTAGCTGAGTTTGCTGATGATTAGGTTGCTGTCCGTGACGGCATCTCTCTAGTTTTTCGCAACTTATCGTGCCTGCGATTTCCTAGTGGATCCAAGAGTTTAATGTGCACGACCGCTGGGATCAGAGGCAATGGCAGATACAGCATTGTCCGTACCGCGTTGTGCTTTAGAATTAGAAACTGATGATCGATGTCGCTTTCTCTTGCTATCGTTCACACCGGTTGGAAGAGCCTGGTCCTACTTGTCGTCCTTTCCAGATGTGACCTTGGCTGCCTGAATAGCGCTCATCTTGGCGATCCAATTGGGAGATGGTTGCACCTTGCGAACGGTGCGGAGCTCGTCGGAAGTGTAACCCGGGATGCGGATATTGTACACGCGCTCAAGGACTAACTGAATGTCACGAATCTCCAAAACCTTGCTGCCACGCTCCTTGGCCAGTCGGCAGGCCATGTGTAACACGTCATCTACAAAGGTGTCGGCTACGCTAAGAACGGCCTAAATACGGTATCGTGAGTTATAGTGAACGTGAGTGTGGTATGAGCATAAACATGATGTTTCATTACAGAGAGAGAGGCCGGGGGGGGTCCTTACCTCTTCAACATCAGGTGTGAGATACTTTCCATCGGCTCCGGGGGAACCGCCACCACAGACTTGGCGGACAAGCTCATCAAGCTTTTTCTTGGATAAAACATGGTCGCCTTCAGCATCGAATTGAGGGATGGGCATTTTCGCGATGACAGGCTGGTTAATGACCCCGCCAGCACCGTTGCCTCCACCGTAGGTAGGTCGACCCGGGGTGTTTCCTCCACCGAGGGTGACAGGTTGTGGTGGTGCTATTGCTTTCTCAGGCAATGTTTTGGGAATGGGCATCTTAGCCGCCAAGGTGGGCGTCGGCTGCGGATGCGCATGGCTATGGCCTGGTTGCGACGCCATTCCAGTCATATTGGGGGTGTTTGTCATGGTACCTGAAGCACTGCTTGGCTGCCCAGTAACGTTGGTTGAGGAGTTCGCTCGGTTCACTGCAGCTGCGTGGGTGAGTGGCCGAACGTTTGCACCGGCAGCTTGTTGAGCAGATTGAGGTGTTTGGACTCGAGTTGGTGTTTGTGTTGGAGTGCCCGCAGATTGTATATGTGAAGCAGAAGCAGTAGCAAGAGCCGTATTGACGGGTGGTGGGTGTTGTACATTGGTACCAGGCTCGACTTTGACCTGTGTTGGGGGTGGCACCGGTGCAGCGTGCGATGGTTGCCCGGGCACAGCTGTAGAGGGGGTTATTGGGGTTTGGACTTGCGGTTGGGTGGATGGTGGTGCTTGGGACTGTCCTTGCTGTGGTTGCTGTGGTTGCTGTGCTCCTGCCGCTGAACCGAATCGATCTCTGTTTGCTGCGGCAATCTGAGTTGTTCTCGCTGCGTCCATGGCCGCATTGATTGAAGCCGTCGGAACTTGCATTGGATGTGTTGATGTTACTCCAGTAGAACTTCCTGGTTGCATCGGTTGAGGCCGTCCTGGTTGAGCAGTGCTTTGTGCCTGAGTGTTGTTGGCCTGCCCAGCTAGTTGGGCTCCGGTGAACTGGTTTCTGATATTCTTCACATACGCGTCGGCCTCGGCGTGTATTTTCTTATCTTGAGCCATTTGTTCTTGGAGCCGTTTCAATTCTTCGGGAGCTATAGGGATCCCTTTCTCATGTCGATCCTTGATAGCGGCTTCAACCTTGGCAACTCTATTTCTGGTAACGTCCATGTGCCACAGGAATTTCACGTACTTGGTCTTAGTGTCAGTCAGAAATTTCTGACCTTGCTCGGGTGGGATCTGGGGTGGTATAGGGAAGTGTGACCATGGAAGCTTGTTACAGTGATCCATGATATGCTTCGGCACTTGCCCGGGATTCGTAATGGGGACATTGTTGGATGCCAAATTTGCTGTGGCAGCTGCGGGATTCGGGGTGGGTTGAGGACGATTTGGGGGAACCGCTGGCCTCTGAGTAACCCCGACTGTGGGAACTGGAACCGGAACTTGAGTTTGTTGTGCTTGAGTTTGAGCCTGCGCCTGCGCTTGAGCTTGAGCTTGAACCTGGGCTTGGACTTGAGCTTGAGCTTGAGCCTGCTGACTGGTCTGTTGGGACCCCACCATATTGGCCTGGCCTTGCGCATTGGCTTGACCGCGGCTGTGAAGAGCCTTGATCTTGTTCATGACCATTCGGGAGAACTCTGAAATCTTCTGCTTGGCTTGTTGGTACTCAGCCGACTCTGGAGGGTTCTGCTCGATCCTAGCCCAGAGTGTTTGAAGACCTTCCTCGTATCGTTGTCTCTCTTGTGGGTTCAGATACTGTATTGTTCTCATATTTTCAGGGCGGAGAAGCCGTAAGCCGGGCTGTTGCCCCTGAGGGGGCTGGTTTGGCTGTTGCGAGTTCATTTCGGCACACGAACTGATGCTGAGGAATACAGGTGTAAGATCAGTGGCAGTTGACACCCAGTGAGACTGGAGAGAAAGGATAGTTCGAGATACGTAGGTCTATTTTGAAGTCGCTACCAGATCTGACGGGATGGGCTCTCAGCTGCGTGCGCCGACACTAGACGCTCTTGTGTTGATGGTCCTTGACGTTTGGAGTGTCATTTATTAAACGTGAAGTGAAGTGTGGTAGACGCGCGACTGGAACTATAGGTACCGATCACTGACCTGCGAGGTTTGTGTGGGGCTGTGGCTTACGCATTCTCTCCATTACCTAAGTGAGTACCTAGACATGTGGCACAGTCCTTATCCTCTTACCTAGGTAAGATTCTTTATCTTATCCTTAGCATGTAAAGCATGTCTTGCTAAATTGTGCTGTTTTTCAGATATTCAAGACCTTTTACACTGGTGGTGAACGTCTAGACATAGACAGTTAGGCAGGGACTATTGATACTAGGTGCTTGAAGGAGCATTGATTGAGATCAAAGACTACCGGTATAGACCTCAATGTAGAAGTTCCACAATACTATTAAGTATATTGGATACCAGAATATCTTTGTTGCTAGTTATCTCCAAATCTAACGTATTCAATGCACAAAATAGCACTAAACAACCCCCCCACGCCATGCCACTATTGATAGGCCATCATAAACATTATGATCATCATCGTCGTCATCATCGTGAATGGAGTCCAGCCTGCGTGTGGCCGAACACTAGTCTATGAGGTATATCGAACAACATCGAAAATAAGAATGACTGCCTGGTATGCAGAGTCCAGCTCGCTCATCGATAAGAGGAGTGGATATATCCCCATGGTCTGTGTTACAATCCCCTGGCCAGTGAGGCCATCACTCTATGTAAGCCATTTCCTTTATATCTGGCAGATCCAGTTCCAACCCTTTCCCTGGTAACTGTTCGACAGCTCCCTGAATCGCCCGAGGGGTGCACGAATTTAGGATGTTATAATTCGTATGCGGAGAACAGAGGGGTACGAGAGATATAGAGAAAGCAGGGGACAGTTGAGAGCTGAATAGGTAATCATATGCTCGAACCCCAGATCCAATAGCGGAACTGATAGCTTCATCAAAATAGGCACTGCGGAACAGCAGCTAATTTTAAGTCGCTAATTGCTCCTATTATTGCTCTATGGGGCCTCTCAAGCATAATCAACTTCCATGAAAGAGAAGTATGGCAACTCGCGAGCGAAGAGCTCAGCATCATCGATAATGACTTCGTCATCGCTATTAGGCTCCTTGAGCTCTTCAATCCTCTCTGGTAGAGGACCGGAAAAATGAATACTGGTGCGGTTTTCTCCTTTTCGTCGGACCCGCCGATAGACAGGACCGGGGCCGGGATCATTCGCATCGACCCAGGGCAGGATATCTTCCCGATCGGAATCGCTGTCTCGCTCGCTAATTGTGCGTTTGCTAATGCTGCCGGACTTCATTCGACGTATACGCCGTGCCTGACGATCTAGTCTCAGTTGCATTTGGAACTCATCGTCCGGATCTAGCTCCTCACTGTCTGAGTCGAAAGTACTTAAATGCCTAACCCCAGCTGTGAGGGCAGGATCTAATTCATGTGCCGCCCGGGATGCCGATCGGCTGCGTTCAGATTCTCCACCATATTCAATGGCATACGGTCGAATTACGTCTAGATCTATCTCTTCGTCACTATCGAGGGAGTAGTCACTCAGGTCCTCGACCGCGAAGCCAGCCTCCTCGATGCGGATAGTTGCGCCACCGCTTATAGCAGCAATGGCGGCCGCTGCAGTAGTGAACTGAAAGCCATGGCGCTTGTGGAAACCATGCCTACCCGACAATAGGGACTCGGGTATGCTTGCTGACGACTCAGATTCATCGTCACTAGAGTGCGAAGACCGTGGAGAGATCTCCTCAGCACGTGGATCTCGAGTGTAGCTAAATTTATTCCCACCCAAGGGCCGAATGTTGGGCCCTGGACCTTTGTAATGGTGCGCTTTCGCCTGTGACGACGATTTAGCGCCGGACGACAAGGGTCGATTTTGCATGGGCGATGTTCTCGTTGGTGTCTCGGGCGGTGAAGTCGGCTTACCGCCGGCCACAGTGTGGCCGACGTTTAAAGCAGGCGTTCTGGGCCGCATAGTAGACTTTGTGTCTTGGGTCGTGGGATAGCTCCCGCTGGAGCGAGTCAAGTCGCTTGTAGTCTTATCTACCAATCCAGCCGGGTCTGACAGTGTGGGGTAGAAATCGCGGGGAGATAAAAAGTCGGGTGCGTGGGACGGAGAGTGATAAGTGAATGATTAAGGTGTGAAGCCCCAGAGCAGGAACCTCCAACGTGGAGAAGTTAAAAGAGTCCGATAGCTTGTCATGATAATCTTGGAGAGCAGAGTTTGATGCAGACCGGGCGCGGCTGCACAGTTTCTTCGGCGAAGAAAAGGGAACCGGAACCGATTTGCGGGTGGCGTGAAAGGCAGACAGACAGGCAGACCGACCCTACTAGACCCTAGAGGGAGCAAATTGGCACTGCACCACTAACCAAAACGTAGGTATGCGTATGTTCAGCTAGCAATGTCAGCCTTTAGCGAACACCGTAGGCCGATAGTCGTGTATAACAGCAGCGGTTCAGCACGCGGAAGAGAGAGACGAGATAATCTCAATGGGATTGATCAGTCGGACACACGAATCCAGTCGGGTCGCTGGCTTTTATACCTTCCGACGGGGTGGCACGAGCAAAGGCAGAGCAGGAGGGGCAAGAACAGCGCTGGCGCAATACGCTGGCGCAATGCGCTGGCTGCACGTTTCAACAATCGAGGAGAAGAAAAAAAAATTCAACAGGACGGAAACGGACACGGGCTGGTCCAGTATTTCTGCCGGTTGAGCTCACAGGAACGAATCTCATGCGTCCAAATGCCAGGGGCCTGGATGGGTTGGGGGCGGGCCCAGCAGCAGAATGGACTGATAGACGCCAGCCAATATCGGCCTGCTTTATCACACAGACAGATGGTGAGCGATATAAAAAATAATAATAAAAAAGGATTTGTGCACTGCGGAGCCAACTTGGATGCGGCGTTAATGTAGGTATGTATGGTATGTATAGGTAACAGACGCTGAAAAGAGGAGGCGGCGGGCTGGGTCGACCTCATCTACATACATAGTACAGCCTATGTCGGAGGATCTCGCCGTGTTGATGCGGGCTTGGGCAGCAATACTCCCTGGATTCCCAGGTCCTCCCTGGTTCCTCTAGAGCTAGGCCATACTATTCTTCACAGTAACACCGGGCAAGGTAAGCAGGGGCAATGGATAGCACGAGGCATGTCGAGAATCGGTCAAAGAGATGGTGATGACTCTTCTGAGATAGGTACCAACTGCAATTGGGGCGGTGGGAAGTCAACAACAGACCAGATTTGGATGCATGAGCTGTCCGTGTCCAGAGCCCCTGTTTATTTAATAAGAGGGAAAACCTGAGACGGCCCCGGACGAGGATTCGTCGCCATGAGGCTTGCTAGGTATTTCAGGCGCTTGCATTGCATGCTGTACTATTTAACGCTGCTATCTACTTGACGAGACAGCTACTCTAAGAGCATGGAGCTAATGTTGACGGGTGTCAATCAAGGCCGACCAAAGACATCAGGAATTACTGAGGCATAGCGGCAGTCTTCATGCCTGATGACCAGTGATCGAAGGACCCGTCCTGCAGGATAGAGAGAAAGGAAAGAGTTGTTGGATGCGGTGGAGGATGGGTGGAGGATGGGTTTCTTGGCCAAGACCAACTAAGAGCTCACGATTGGATCCGAGTCCAGGTTCCCGTATCGAAACTTTTCGAGAACGCAACGGACAGAACGGACAGAACGGACAGCACTGGCCAGTGGAGATCGTGGTATATACCGAAAAGGAAAAACCCACCTCAATTCCTCTGGGCAATTGAATTTTCCCCCTCCCCTCTGTCCTCTGGTGTTGCTATCGGGTTAATATGGTAGATGTGCTAAAGGTTGCGGCTGTTCACAGGCACATCATACTCATACATTCTTTTTGGCAACGGATGAGCCCATATATTCGGAATACCTCATTAGTAATGTATATAAAGTAATTGAGTATTAGTGTGGTAGATAGCATGGCACCTCAGGCTATGACCTGCCCAAGTGGGCAAGCCAAAGCCGGGAAGACGGGACTAAAGATCCCCCACTAACTGATCGATCGTTGCCAGGGCTATATTGGAATATATCTGAATGTACTGTACAGACTCCTGCGTTGATTACATCGGAACGGAGATCGTTAGATTAGATCTTCGCGAGAGATATTACTTACGTGACGTTACTTGGTGTGTAGATGGGTTAGATTGACAAAGCCGAGGCAATTGATCTATGTAGAGCCGCAAAACACAAGTCGTAGATGTTAGAGTTATAGGTATAAGAACGGGAAGAATGCTTATCAGGAAAGCATGAACAACTGACTTCGGTTAATAGAACGCCTAGCCGCATCAAGAAACCTGCGGATAGTGCTCACTTGTAGGAGCACTATATCGTACATTCTGAGACACCTGCTCACCGAGGCAACTACCAACTTGCCAAAAGGCACTGCGGCCAGAGAAAAGTGAGAAGTATATGCTATCTCTTATTACCTAACTTAAGAGTCGTGCTTTGAAGATGATTAAAAGCCATAGGTAAGCGGCACATTGTGGCTTCCACTGTCCCAAGACCCTGGGCTCGCCTGAGTTACAGGGGTTGCTGTCTACTGTAGGTATGGGCGGGTTACCCCACCGAGGGGTTCTATCACAACGCAACAGTGAAGTAAAGCTTGGTTGCCGTATGCTGGGCTTGGCGACTGTACCAAGCATCAACAACAAGACGTCGTCACAAGTCGATATAACCATTTCCCAACTTTTATCAACATATCATCTATCTACTTACCAAAACTTCACTTAGCTAGCTGCTAAGGTTAGTGAGGACCGAGGACCGAGGACCCAGATCCGCGACCCTCGGCTGCGGATTGCACACTTGCGCCTCTCCTGCACACGGGTCATAGCGCTTCCCATCCACCATGTCTCTACTATCAGCACACTTTGAGCAGATTGCGATATCATGCCAAGGCATTGACAGTCTCCCGTGCGTGATGCCCCGAGAGTTCCATCAACATTTGAAGATAGTCTAAACAATTCGTTTCAGATTCCCGCCGCCCAGGATCTTTACCAATGCCCTTCTCTCCAACCCCGACATCACGTCTCTGATCCGCGACACCGAATCCCACGAACGCGCCTTGTTCTCTGTCCCGCCCCCGCCACCTCCAGTAACGACCCAGCCCCACGAGAACCCGAAGCCGTCCTCGCGTAGACAAACCGTGTTCAATGTCGCATCCGGCGAGGTCACCACCTCGGCAAGCACGAGCCGAGCAGGCGCAGCTCCCCGGCGCAACACAGCCGTCGCAGCAGTCCTAGGAGGCGATCTCCACGAGCAAATCCGACGAAGCGAGCGGCGCGGCGGCAAAGACGCCGTCGACGTCGAGATGCTACTCAAAGGCGCCGAGAAACTCTGCGGCGTATACCCCCTCCCCGGCGCCTTGGACCGGATAGCGGCGCAGCGCACCAAATACGCCCACAGCCAGAACACGCTGGCTTACTACGAGGCCAAGGTCGATGAGCAGGCAGAGGCGCTGAGGCAGATGCACAAAGATCACTGGATGGACGAAGATGAAGATGAGGAGATGGAAGGTAGTGGCGGTGGTGGAAGTGACGAGATCGTCACGGAGGAAGAGCTGAAGATGACAGAGGCTGAAGTCCGCGAATTAGAAAAGAAGAAAAGGGAGCTCCAGGAGAGGTTGCGCGGTATGGACAAGGACCTGGGAGCTTTATTGAATATGTGAGACGATTGATTTTATGATACCCCCCTTGTAAAGAATGGCGTTTACTATCACGAGTCGATTATATTCACTCTGCTAGACACAATTGTAGGACGGAAACTCAGAAGTGTGAAATATATGGCCAGTATGAAGACTGAGCTTGGATCGAATTACATGACTAGAAAATATGCTCCGCTATGTATAAACCAGGGTTATGAATACCTCCGGTCGCATCTGTACCGTCAAGCAGTATTTCCGCGTACCAAATATCTGAAATATCGGTTATAGACGCTCCATCAAACGGATCAACTGCTATGAGAAACGACGATTGTAGTAGGACGTGATTATCTCCTATTCACTGCCTGTTCATAGAATAGAGTGCCTTGTGGGTGTATGATAAAATCACCTTTGAAGACAATCCGGAGCCCTACCCTTCTGACATAGATATCCCTCGTTTTGCAAGGAGCATCAAGCTCTACAAGAACACTGTCTTCATTCATCCTCTCTCTTGGGAGCTATGCAACAGTCAGTGAGTATAAATGTTCCAACCGTCCACGGAAAAGAGACAGAGAAATAGAGAAGGGAAGATGGAAAGGTTTCATCTCAACCGCAATTCTTGAAATAGATGTATCGCTTACGCTGGTTCTTCTCCCACTGCCTCGGCATGCCTCGGAAGTGAGAGCGGAGTACTTTCGGTCCCGGCCCGGTCTGCTGTACTTGTTCTCGCGAGGCACCGGAATCCGTGTTATTTTCAGTTTTGGAAGTGTCACTTGCAGATATTGTCTCGGCTGTCGACTGCTCTACCTCCTTTGCGGCATTCTGGCCTTGCTCTGCTGTAGCACTGCTCATATTGAATGCTATAGTAAGAATCTTTAATGGAGCTTTGGTCTTTTTGCCGCGGTGTTGACTAGTGATATTGGCAGCTTGAGTGTGTATGTTCCTGATAACTCTCTGAGCATGCATCTGAGATCAGGGGTTCACGGCTTTAAGTAGATGTGCCTTCAGGCAACTGTTTGAAGGGAGTGCTGCGCGGGGCTTGAAGGCATGATGTGACTAAGATGACGTCATTTCTTGTTTTGTCAGTCTGGGTGAGTAGCTGGCTACCTAGGCAGACATTCTCGAGATCAGTTTGAGCTTGATTAAGTTTGTTTCTTGCGATATGTGTTGGCTAGTACTTTGACTGTGGTTAGTTGAGTTTAGAGCAGTAATCTGAGAGTTATGATAAAGCAACACACTCTTCCATTAGCCTTTATTATATATGGCAATATTACACAACATTAGCTGTGTGCACATTGCCTATAGGGAATAATGATCACCAGGATCAATACATAAGTGTCTGTTTTCGCAAGCCTCCAGATTTTGATTTGCATCCCAGTACACGATTAATGTGAACCAAGTCAACCAACTGCTCGAATCCCCCAACACCCTTTCCAACAAAAATCGTCGTCCTTCATGGCTACCGATGTCTCTGGAGACGTCACCATCCTTCTGTGCGTTTCGTACAATGCCCGTGGCCAGGATCTGCGAATCATCAAGAGGGCTTATTCCCATATAAATGCCATTGATTCTGGAGTCTGCCACTCAAGAAAAACAACGTTTATCCACCTCTTACCGTCCCAGTATATACTCTTCCAGCTGCCATCCTCCTCTAACAAGACCATAGCCCCTCGTACTCTTCCAGACTCTGCGAGCACGCTCGCTACTTTCTCGACATTGGGTATCAAGTCTTCTGCAATATCCGTAACCCGATTGCCGCTCTCAACAATGTGAGTATGCTCTGATGAGCTATCAAGCGCGACGAGATAAAGCAGGAACGTGCCTCCTTCAACTTCGGGGTCGGGAGCTGAATAAAGCTTGGCAGAGGCCGCTGAATTATTTCCGAACCCAATGTCCAAATATTCCGAGATATCTGACTTAACAAATGAGTGGAATACTGTGAGCCCCAGCTCATAAAACTTGCGCCTCATTTCTTCCGGGTCTTCCTCCCCTATGACGTCCTGGATTACATGGATGCCAATGCCCCGCCTCTGCCTCCAGTCCAACCGGTCGTCAATTACCAGAGCCATAATAGACACATAGATAGTGCAGTAGGTGCTAAAAACGCGAGCATGCAGTTGCTTTGGCTTGCTTCCATGATAGCGATGTTGATTGGTCCGTGGGTTATGGCGCGGTATCCTGGGCTGTGAGAAGAAGTGCCGTTGCCATGAGAGTCGCTGTTGCGGCTTTGGCGATCTCATGAGGCTGGACATGATTGAAGTGAGGCTGCGAGATGGGTTGCGATACCACGCTCGGAGCTGGCGCAACATCTTGAGTTAATGTCCGGGCTAGTCGAAGAGACCAAAATGGGGGAATGATGACCGAACCAGACTCGAGGGGATGAAGACGTGGGATGGGATAGTGCTATGAAGGAGAGACCATCTTCACTCGCTCACTGACAATCCTACTCAGCAACCAGGAGCCGGACTATCTGTGTCTAGCTCTGAGCCTGCAGCGCAGGAAGCAATGTGTTGGTGCAGCCCCCGAAACTTCAACTTGGCGATGTGTGATCGCGTCTCTCGATTCGTGCACTGGCAAATCAGGAATTAGTAATGTTTTTGGGAGGGGGGAGAGGGGCTAAGTACCTGAGCAGACCCCTGAAAGTCTTCTAAAATTAGTACCAGGTATCACCTCGATCTGATAATCTAGATCTTCTAGCATGGGTACCTACCTGTAGAATGATTATCCTTAACTACTTTAATCTATGCAATTTAAAAGCAGTTTGGGCTATTGGAACAAATAATGATGGTTTCTATACAAGATCTTTATATACCTAGGTACCTGATCACACTGGTGTGACCCCCCAACACAGTCGCCATACACTGAGCAGCAAAAGCTCCCCTCCATAAAAACATTGTTAACTACTTTTTAATCACACAATAAAGAACACAAGCCAGATCCTAGCTGTGGCTTAACTGCCCAATACTTAACAGGGGATCTTAATTCCTGAACATAAAAGTATGATATTTTGAAAACTGATACAGCTGGTGCAATAGGTATATTCAGTGAGATACTTGTGATCTTGTCTAATCTATGGCCTTACGCAACCCTACATGAATTAATACTTTTAGAAACACTCCTGAGACTATTATATGAACCCACATACATTGCAAGTCAGACCCTGACACAACGACTCAAAGTTCAAGGGTTCCTCACAGACAGAGCAAGTAGGACCAGTAGCCATGCTAGCGAGACCGTCTCTGTTTACAGAGTATAGCTCCCGCTCCTCTGCCGTGACTGTTATTTCTCTCAGATCTACTCCGGGCTCTTCCCATAGTCTATTGAGAGTTGATGCTTCGGAGCACTGGACTGTCGGAGCTTTGACTGAATCAGCATTTTTCAGGGGGGATTTATCCGCGCTTTGTTTCTCTTCACCTATACTATTAAAATTAGTATCAGTGGACTGAGGCGTAAAATGGGGATGATCCATAAGGATGGGCTGTGTATCGCAAAGGGCCACAAACTCCTGTAACTGTTCGAGTCCAGTATGACCCTGGGAGTTAGGTTCTTGGCTTTGATTTTGCGAGTCCATCTTCAGCGTGTTGCAATTCAGGCAATTTTCCTTGGTATTACTGGCGTTGAGCTTTGGTATGATTAAGTTGAGCATCTAAATTAGATGCATATAGATATAGACACGCATATTTATCTCATTGCCAAAGTGAACAATTTTATTGTTATAACCGCGCTTTATCCGCAGAATTCATTGTTTCCGGTATCATCTTTCTTCGTGCCGAAACTCCATCAAGGACGTTTGTGTTTCAGAACAAAAAGACGGTCACAATAACACCATTTTTTGAAGTCCTTGTTATAATCAGAGCTACACTAAGTGGATGCATGTGACGGCGTCCTACCAGTAAACCACTGAGCCAATTGTTACACGTGTAGCCTCTGTGCCAGCTGAATATGCAGTTCGCCTTGCACTTCGGCCGTACGAAGGACCATTGCAGGCTGTTCATGATCTCTCAAGACATGCAGGCAATATTGAGCCATATTAGAAAGTAAGGTTATACAGACTTCGTTCCGTGAAATAGATCCCAGAGGCCTAGGCGGTCTGGGCTGGCAGACCAATTGTATATAGAGTCAAGTCAAGCTACCAACAGCCGAGAAGGAGTTGGTTAGTCAAGGACTTATGCAGCCCTAGTTCATTATAATCTGAATTGCCTAGATTCCAAGCCCAGCAATCCTGCCCTTGTTATACCCGTAGCGAGACAATATTGCTATTCAGAATTAGAAGAGGGACGATTTCCCCATTTCAAGTCCTCTTTTGGATAATCGTTATTCTCCCGCCATCACGTGGATTCCCACATCTCAAATCGATACAGTAATCATCGTAACATCGTTTCAAGTCACAAGAACATATGTCGTTATTTGGAAAAATGCTATGCAGTACCTGGGGCTTTAAGCGTGCATTCCACTTGAGAATAAGCCAGAACTGGCTACGGCTAACTAGGCAATGGGCTGGCACGGAAATGGTGGAGCGAAAGGGAGAGATAGCTATACGTTTTAACAAGTTACTACAAAACCAATGATCAGGTGCAATAAATGCTCCAGACTTACAGTGTCGATGCAGCATGCCCCATAGAGCCCAATGGCGGCACAGGCGTCCTTCACTCCCTGCGCAGTTGTCGGCTGATTTGGAACTTTGACAGTTAACTGTACAGCCCTAGCTCTTAATGAGCACAGAGGCGCTGAATATACCATCTTGACACCTTTTCACGAAATGGTTAGCTTCAGGTTGGATGTTGGTGGTCACGAGGGAGTAGGTGTGGGGGGTATGGAGGCCAAAACATTAAAAAGGTGCAGGTAAGGAGAAAATGCGTACTCTATGTAGATAGGAAGGCCAAAGGTATCATCCTTCTTACAGCACTGCGCAAATGTATTGATCCCAGGAGCTGCTGGACAGGGCATTTGCTGTCGGATCAGCAGCTGCGATGGCATAGCACGTACAACTCCGAGGCTAATTAACGTAATTGGCATTAGGAACTTCATCATGTAGGAGACGTATTTTAATTGAGGGCTCATCGGTAGTCTTTTCTTCCTAAGAGTTTAGCATGCACATAGAGCCGGAGGGAGAGGTGTATTTATATAGACCAGATTACAGTAACACAGATGGCAGTAATATAACTTACGGAAACTCTATGCCTGCGATCTACCAGACAAATAACCACAATGATTCAGCCTGTAAGATGACTGGTCAAGACATCCATATGCATTAATTGAGCGGTCAACTGACCAACGCCACAGTTGACGGTTCAGTCCCAAGAAATCGAAAACATCTCAGCCTGGTAGCGAGAACATGCTGAGTGATTGTAATACCTTAAACAGCCACCTGTTCGCCTCTTGAGGGAGTAGCGCATGACAAACCAATGAACACATTGCGTTAAGCGAGGTATGATCAAGCGGCGCAATTAGGGATTTCCGTCGAGCAGACTTCAATCATCGTCCGAGTTGTATTATTAATCTGAAAAGAAGTCGGATATTGCTTACATCTTTCTCTTGTGGTTATGACTAATCTTAAAATTTGGTTAAGGTAGTGAATGAAACTTCCTATTAGTATCCATAATGTTGAGATTATACCTTAGGCGACTTCTCCCGATAACTGAGTATAAAGACCTATGTTTATATAACTATTAGAGAAAGAGATACCTTTTCGTATCATTATTTATATATTATTCCCTAAACCAATACCAGGGTTGGAAATTAGTAATACTACTGTAATATTTAGTAATACTACTACTACATGTAGTGTAGTAATAGCACTTACTAATACTACTGTAGTTTAGTATTGCTATTACTAAATACTACAGTAGTATTACTACATACTATATGTAGTATTACTAATTTACTAATGTAGTAATTTTTTTAAATATAAAAATATAGAATTTTATTATTATTAATGATTAATAAGTATAAAAGTATATAAAATTTTATAAAGTTTTATACTTATTAATTAAACTATTATTTAACCTATTAATTAAACTATTAACCAAATCATTATTTAAGCCATTAACCTAACCGCTAATTGAACCATTAACTGAACCACTAACTGAACCATTAACTAAACCACTATTTAACTCATTAATCTATCTATTAAAAGACCTATTACCTATATTATTAGCTTAAGGGTTAAAAGCTTTAACTCTTTTAAAATAACTTAACGCATCTCCCACTTGACCTGGCCACCCAATTGACCTGGCCACCCCACCAGCGCATACAAAAAACGTCGGTGCGTTAATCACGTGATAATTTAATAACTTTACGAATATTGGTTGTATATAATAATAAAATATACCATTAGATTCATAATGAAGAGAGCTATTTAACGGTACCCCTTACTAATTCATACGACTTATATCCGTAGAGTTATTAAGCAATACGCTAAAGTAAGCGCTAAATTAATCCTTGCTTAGCGCCCCTTTAGCGTATTGCTTAATATCTCGCTTAATAAATTTTATAAAAAATAGTAAAAAATACCGCTGGATTTCTTATTAAATAACGGATCTAACGGTACTAATTATTAAATTGTAGGGCTAATATTGGTTAAGTTATTATAGATTGAAACATTGGATTTTTATATAGGTTAAGGGGGTGGCTAGGTCAATTGGGTGGCCAGGTCAAGTGGGAGATGCGTTATTTAAATAATTTAATATCTTTATAATGAAATTAAATATAAAATAATTAACTATAATGTATATTTTTTAAATTATAATTAATATAGATTATTAATTTATATAATATATTTATATAATTTATTAAGGTTTTTTTTTATAAAGTTTCTTTTATAAAATATAAAAATAATTGTAGTAAATGTAGTAAGTGTAGTAATACTACTTATAGTATGTAGTATTACTAGTAGTAACTGTAGTGTAGTAATTATACTTACTAATACTACAGTAGTATTTTAAAACAGTTACTAATAGTAATACTACAGTAGTAATACTACACTGTAGTAACAATACTACATACTAATTTGCCAACCCTGACCAATACAATACATTCATAACTTCATATTGTCTTCGTAGGTAGGGACTGGAGAATGAATAGGTGGAACGAAGGATTTCATCACATGACGCCGATGGTGACTGTGTAATCTGAAATACGAAGCTTGATGCAAGAGACTGCTCATCGGTTACGCTGTGGCAATCAAAAGGCTGGTGAGGGGTGTGTCTGTTCAATGTTGTGCATGTGATGGCGATGATACCTACACTTATTTCCATCATACAAATCCTCAACTAGATTTCTTATCGCGAGGCTAGCTACATTTGGGCTTGGCGAGATATTTGATGGCTTTTTTCGGTTTCTAGATGTGATCACTTGTCGTTCTAGCATCTTAATCTTGTGAGATAGATGATATCCCGGACATACTCCTATCAAGCAAGGAGTAGCTGTGTGCCGTATTTCTTTTACCACGTTTCCTAATAATACAGAGATAACCTTTTAACTCCAGTGATCGAAAGGATTATTTAAAATGATGTCTAAGGGCAGCATTGACGCGTCGCTGGCTATGACGGGAAATATGAAAACACAACTCAAGTCTGCGGACCGGGGTTGACAAGCGTGAAAGTAACTGCACACTCAAGGAGATCGGTGATGGCATTCAGGGTCACATGAGCTTCTATTACGCTGGCGTCTAGTTAAACAGCTCTGAGAAGTTAACTTGGCTAAGGCGGCTGTTATGACGGAGGCTGGCGTTACATATGTCCTCAATGGGCGCCGGCACTGCCACCAAGAAATCTATCCTCTCAACAGGAGAGTTCAGCGTCATTACATCTCTGTCGCGGCGCACAAAAGCACCTGTTGTACTCAAGTGAAGGAGAGCCCAGATACCCATCACGCTTCTGGGCCAAGGAACCCTCACCACTAAGTTGACCTTGATTACTTCATCACCGATAGAAACTATAGTCTTAGCGATAGTGCGGTCGCAACTTGACCAAATGAGTGGCCTTTTGGGGGCGCGTACTTCTTGTCCCCGTTAATACCGACGACTTTCGCCCGCTACCTAATGCGACAATGGCAATGAAGACACAGTTTCGGGCGCAGGTGCTGTCTTTCAGACGCTTACTAGATGACCACGGAGGTATCTCCATATTACGTGTACCAAGTGTTTATCTCTTAGTCTTATTCGACTTGCGTGTGATTAAACCAGGCAAGTATGGCAGCAGCTGTGAACCCAAGGATGCCAATAATCATACCGATAATCCGACCTCTGTCATGAAAATATTCACCTAGCGAGAGTGCTTATTCGATTAAATAATCCTATTACTTAATCAATGATTTCATTTAGTGTTTGTGCGGTCAAGTTTATGCCAACATCTGGGCGAGCGTGATTATGGGGAGTTTCAATTTCGGATGCGTTCGTCAAGGGAACTGCAGAACTACAGTAATGAGCACCTTGTGAGGAGCCACACCACTTTCTGCTTTCATTTCGGGTGTCCTCATAACTTGAAGCGAGCCACTCTCATGAAAGGGCAAATCAAGTAAAGAGATAAAGAAACCTGTTCTGCCCCCATTTGTGCCTGTTCGTACAAGCTGAAAACACAGCCACTCACAGTACCAAAAGCTTCGGATACACTGTAACATGACACTGTACAGGGATTGCTCACGCGACTTGGCTTTCAAAATCCAAGTCCAATAGTACTGGAGCCAAGTGAGTCGCGAGCTCAGACTCTACTCATCGTATCTGCGTTTGTGAAATGTTGAGGACGAAAATGAAAGCCTTTTTGGCAAAGCTTCATCGACCGGGAGGGTCTCGTGCCCCTGTGCAGGACCGCGATGCGCGTGACGTTTTCGCCGGCCTGCCGTTTGAGCTCCATGTGCTGATCATCGACTACCTAGAGCCGAGAGACATAGACGCGGCCCTCAACGCTAGTCGCGTGCTGCGACTAATTTGGCTGAGCGATGAGATGTGGCCCGCTCTAGCTGATCGTTGGTTTCCGGGACTGGCCCAGCAAATCCGTCTGGCGGATCTTGATGAGTCGGTGAGAAGTGAGGTTTTTCGTCGGAGCCTTCATCGCTTGTCAAAGCGGATCGCTGGCAAGTTCAACGCAGCCATGCACTATGGTTTCGGTCTTGCATCAGATGAGTTCTTTCATTTCAGCAAGAATGTTCCCGTCAATGAGGGAGGTGTCCATTCCTACGACAGCGTGGAGAATCTAGAGATAGATGATGCGCAGCGGTTCTCTCGCTTCTTGATGTATCGCGACGGCCGTGTGGCTTGGTTTCCCGAAGGATATAGCATGCCAGTACGTCAACTCTATCATTTCGAGTATTGTTGGGACATCTTACAACTACTAGTATCCTTGCGACTACTGACACTAAATGTTGTAGTATCTCGCTGTTGTCGATGACCTGCGATCAAGGACAAGAAAGGTGTACCTATTTCCTGATTACGGCGAGTCGATACGTGGGTACAAGACAGCTATGTCCCAGAAGCTTTTTATGATGGGCCATAACACTATGCTGCATGTCTGGCACCTGGAGCTCAATCGTATGGAGAGTATTGAACTGCCCGAAAACTTCCAACGTTGTATTACAGAAGGTGAAAGGGTATTGGTGGTTTGTCAAAGTTCCGATCTATATCTATGGACTTTTGGCGGCAAGCTGGTATATGTTGATAGTGAGTTAGCTCATTTGCGCATTCCAACATCTTCTGAGTCGTCCCAACTACTTAAGAAGTTTGGTTTTCTTAGCAAGCCATTTACGCCTCAATTGAGCAATCTCTAACTTATATCTTAGTGAATAAGCTTTCTTGCTATCCGCGGGAGTTTGTTGTTTTGGGCGGACCCCCTGTTTGGACTCCAAGAATCTGGCTCTCCTCTCAGCAAGGCTTGCATCTCAGGAATAGCCAACTGCTCATTGACTTCATTCTCTCGCCTGCTCTCAGCAACGTCTTTTTTGCGATCACCCTAGCTTTGGATGAATCTGGGAAGCTGGCGGTGTATGAGATATGCGACGGGGAGATAGCAGCGACGTACGTGATGAAGGAACGCATCTACTCTGATCCGAGGACAAGTGAAAGGGGGCTTCTGAGATGGGAGAAGCTGAATTCTTATGGAGGCTACTGTCTAGTCCAAGTTATTCAGGAGCCGTTGACCGCAATCGATGCTGCAGATGAAGAAGTTTGCCCATGCGGTCGGAAGTCTCGACAACTTGTGTCGTTATGTTTCAACATCTACACGAAAACATTCACCGTTCTTCGACACCACCTTAGTGAGCTAAGCCCTTGGATTTCACATGTTTGGAATGACAGACTATTCATAATGGATGATCAATTTCATAGACGACAGGCTGGGCTGAATCGAAGGCCCGTTATGTCGCTCGCCCCTTGCATTGAGGCTGATACACGTCGGGAGACAGCCAACCCTATCGTTATGTACACTACGATGCATGAGAACACACCACTCATCTACCGCCGACACCAAGTGTCCTTTGATGCTGGGGAAATGGGCGAAAAACTTAATATTGAGCTTGGGCTTGATGTCCTGCAGGAGTTCTCGCCAAGCCCAACTTGGAAGGAGGCTTTCATCCCTTCTCCCTCCGAGATAAACCCTGGGCGGCTGGTAGGCGATGATGACTTCTTCATTTTCGTCAACTCGCCTAGTTATACCCTCCTCAGCTTCGGGGAGGGGTTTCCACCAAAGCAGCCTCTTGCGAACGAGACCAAATATTGGTGGAGGAAGTCTAGAGTGAAGGATGGCACGAAATGAAGTTGTTGTTGAGGCAGATGTCCCTTGCTTAATCAATCCAGATAAATGGCCTAGCATTAACCGGCGAGCTAGATTGGGTTTAGCGTTAACATTAGCGCTTCGGTATGATTCGACGCCGTTTTATACTATGGACTTGATAAGGTCTATGTATAAATCTGGGCGATTTCCAATGGGACGGCTCACCTCTCTGAGGAGCCAAGGATTCTTTCGTTGCCCCTTGCTTTAGCTCCAAAGCTAGTCATGTCGACAATCAAGCCGTTCGACCCATTTCGTTCAAACAGACTAGTCTATCGCGCTGTGAACGACTCTCCTGGAGATGAGGCATTCGTCCATGCAATTCAGCGTGACGCCGAGGCGCAGTCTGGCTCTAGCTATGGGTTGCTGCGACCGGAAAGCATGCAAGCTAGCAAGGAGTTCAAAGAGCACCTAGGGAAGTCCTTGCTTGGCGTTATCATCTGCCTGCCGCCGACAAGTGAGACCGAAGTTGCCGGCGAGCCTGTTGGCATCTTATGTTTGAAAGCGAACCCGCCGTCTTGGGCTGCGCATAGGTGGACTGACATTAGCATCGATATTTTGAAGCAGCACCAAGGGAAGGGATATGGCGGTGAAGCTATTAGATGGTCGCTCTGGTGGGCCTTTCAGATGGCCGGATTGCACCGCGTCCAAATTCAGGCTTTTTCATTCAATACTGGTGCCATGAGGCTCTACGAAAGGCTCGGGTTCAAAGAGGAAGGCCGAATACGTGACCACATGTGGTTTTCTGGAAGGTAACTAGACGTACACCCTCACCCCATCATGATAATCTAAGTTTAATAACTTTTCTTCTTAAGCTGGCATGATGGTCTCATCTATGGCATTCTCGAAGACGAATGGCGGGAAGGACAGAGACTAGCCGGGAGAGACCTCACATCTTGTGTTTGAGAAAGCATACACATCATTGTTCATACTGAAGGGTCACTATTAGTGATTATTGGTGCAGCTTGTCAGCTCTGGAATAATGTGCATAGAACAATCAACCCTGTTCTGAAAAATAGTCGAGCAATTGGTTACGTGGAACCGATTTTGCATGACATATTTCGTTGACGCTTCGGTTCGCACTAATAAATATGACGAATCCTATCTCAACTGTCTTTATTGGTTAGGTCTATTATTCCCATAGCCCAACAAAGTTGCCAATGTCTGCAACATCCATATCCTCATTAAAAACACAACAGTACCAAGATCTATCTGGCCTGCGGATGATCGCGCCTGACCACTATTGAAGCGACTAGTGGTTGGAAGAGCCCTTCCTTCCTGCTCGAGCTCCGTTTGGGGGCTTGCGAGGTTCGAATTCTGGCTCTCTGTGCTCTCTCCCATCAGGGACACGTGCTCATCATGGTGTTGAGAAGGTGGCGGGGTCGAGTATACTGTGCTAACGGGCCTTCTTGAATCGTCATTATTAGAGTTGCAGATAGGGTTCAGAGGAATGACAGGTGGTGCTGTCAGCCACCTCGAGGAAAGCGAAGCTATGTTCTCAATCGTTGGTGCGGTGGGATCTTCGTGCTCTTCTAATAGCGCTTGGGGGCTCGTGTTATTGACAACCGAAGGTTGTGGAACTGGTGCTTGCGGCGGGTCGTCGAAGAATGTCGGCTGTTGGGCTCTTCTTACTTCAACTGGAGCAGTCATGTTTTCATGTTCCATCGCTAGCTCGAGGCCTTGAACGAGACCGTCGAGTGGTGTCGTGAATCTATGTCGCCCGTTGAAGTTGACGAGCGTTGTAGCGTACTTCGCGTTATGTGGATTAGATGCGAACTTAAGCTTCCTCATCTTGTGTCTAATCTGATGCCCGAGGTCTGACGTCCTGCTCTCGAGCTTCCCGCTAACTTCAACGCGCATGAAGAAGGGCTGACCGCCATGAACAAATGAGAATGCAGTGTGGACAACGTTATTATGTGACGACTGAGCTTCCAACTCGTTCTCGGTGATTTGCCATTGTAGAACTTTGTATGCCCAATTGTCTTGTCCTCTTTTGCGTCCTGTCATCAAATGACTCTCAAATGTCCACCGACACTCTCTCACTGTAACTTTGGCCGACTCTCTGCCCACGCCCCCGGCACCTCCGAACGGTCCTACCTCAACTGAGGGGATGAACCTATTATGAGTGGTAACTTGCTCATACTACAGTTTACTAGAGTCAGTGACTGCTCTCCCACGTTGAATGGGAGTAGGTTTCGGTTGTTATATAAACTTGGGAGACATGCTTGTGGCTCTCACAGGCAATCACGGCCTCTACGAGCATCTAGAATAGGAGGAAATGACTGAGAATAGCATACCTGTGGCTGCCCGGTCATTTGTCTTGGACCATACTTGACGATTTGAACCGGCGTTGTGGATCCCGGATGCGGAAACTCCCTGACAAGATGCTCGTCGTGATCGTCTAACGTCACCTGCACAGTTGCGCTCTTCAAGCGACAGTCGCTTGGTTGACTAAAAGCCAAATCTAGATAGACGATGCCTGCCGAGTCACGACCCTCTAATGTCCCCCACTTCGACTTCTTGAATAGAAACCTGCAATCCACGTGAATCTTGCCTAGCGAGGCCGCGCCAAGTGAGGCATGGCTAGAAACAAGGTGATCGAACCGCTTGAAGTCGTATCGTCCAAATTTCCTGCTGTAACCATTGACAGTACTCAATTCTGGTCGGGGCCGATCTGAGGATATGGCTTCCATTATGGCCACGGTTGCTGCGCGTTTACGCCTGAGATAATTGCATACATACTCGATAGAAGAGAGGCGTGATTGACTTATAGAATAATGCACTGCCTCACACCAGTGAAGTGGCCAGGGGAGGATCAGTATGCCTAACTGGGCGGGGATTGTTCAGCTGGGCTTAGCACCAGCAATGTCGGCCCATGCGAACCCATGTCTGGTTCTGCCTTACTTACATATACGGTCTAGACCAGTTGGAGGCATGGTCGCATCGTGTTACATAGTACTTAAGCCACTTGATTTTGGACTAACGCGATCCCAGCACTGGCTGCGTGACCTGATCATCTCACAAAGTTATCTGGTGAAGATGTCTGTTGTCAATTCTAAGCCTATGATGGACATCGTTCATTATCATGTCAGTTTGGTCATCTTCTGAATCTAGCATGGTTAGCGACGACCAATTTCCGGAGGCAGAGCCATATGATTGGCACAGGCGGGCTGGGCCGTCTACACGGCCCGATCCCCAGCAATCTTGGTATCCCCCAAACAATTATTTTCAATATCCAGGAATTGCTCCATACTCGGCCAATAACTTAATGTCATATGCACAGCACCCAGCACAAAATCCAACCTTCAGAGCTAGATGGGATGCGTTCAATCTCTTTGACGAGGAGGAGCAGGAGCGAAGAAAGAAGGGAAAAGAAATCATGCCAATTCGGCCAGTCATGAACGGACCGCCGCCGCGTTGGACTTTTTATCCGGGAGGGTATGGACCGGCACCATATTACGCACCTTTGGGGAATCCCTTTCCGTCTGGCTTACCGCAATCCCAGCCCTTGCCATTGCCTCTCCCAACTGCAGGAAACTCGGGGGACACGTCGAAAAAGCACACCAAGCATGTCCGTCAACCCGATCAAGTGCCGGGGACGCGTCAAGGGGAGGGTACACGAGGCGGAGAAAGCAAGATTATTCAGAAAATTGATGGCATTCTAACCCCGAGTTCTGAAGACCTGACTGTGCACCTTACGATGCACCTTGAAGAGGATTTAGAGGATTTCCTTGACGAATTGAGTTGCTTATCTAGGCTCGGACATTTTTCGTCTGCGCAAAAGTTCTTCCAAGAGCACCTGCATCACCATATAGATAACCCTTATGTTCTTGTTTGCTGGGCCGACCTTTTGCTTCGTCAGGGAGACTTCAAAGGTGTTACGCTTATCAAGGATGACGCGATGTATAAGAACGAGGGTGAACAGTCAACTGCGGAAGAGTTGAAGCTTCTGCGACTCAATTGGGAGCTTATTCAAACACTGGCGAAGAGCATGACATTGGATACTAATAGTGCTGCTTCTACTGTCTCGGAGGAGGCAATTGAAGTCTTAACTGCGATAGCTAAGGGTTCGACTCTGGATGGCTCTATAAGTTCGATTGAAGTGAGTACCTAGCTATCCTTAGAATCGATTATGAATTGCTAATAGTCAGATCGAAATTATTGCCCTTGCCCTTAGACTTGCTGGCCATCCTGTCCTCATTTCTACATGGGTGAAGCATGGCGCTAAGGATATAAATACCCCTTTTTCGCGTCTTTACGGGACTCTACTTCGCCAAGGACGCATCTGGGATTTCCACGATCTTGTTGTCTTTTGGCCTAAAATTGAGGATATAAAGACTTTACTACAAGATATTTTCGACAAAGATTTGATTCCCAGCTTGGAGGCGATGATATCAGACTGGTTAGAATCTATACATGGTTACGATTCCTCGACTACGCTGGGCTTATTAAGCATAATGACTTATGTTATGTTGGAGCCCGTGCAAGCTTCGGAAAAAGAATGCATCGATATTCTCAAGTTGTGCCTGCCTCTAGCCATATCAGTTGCTAAAAATGACCCCAGTGGTCTAAAGTCGCGACCGTACTTGAGAGTCCTGCTCGCGAAATCTCGATTCTCCGAAACGGCAAGCCGACAAGCAATGGATAGCCTATCGGCCCAATTGCAGTCAGCGCAGGGTGTATCTTATTGCCCTGATGTTGCATTGTTACCAATATACGTGCCATTCGAGAATGAAACGCCTCAATGGGCGGCGATGGACCAACCCCGCGAACTGAAAGACCCAATTAGACTAGTTTTGAGAAGTGTCGTGGAGCTAGGTGATTTGCAAACTGAAGTTATCGCCCGACGGGAGCTCATACGACTCTCGAAAAACCCACGGGATGAATTTGACTTGCTTTGCACATTGCAATTGGCTCGCCAAGGTGACCTAAGTGGTTATGGCCTAACACTCGCTTCCAAGTATCTAGTGTCAAACACGAAGGAGGCAAAGGAAGAACTGGCAATTTTAATATCACGACTCTTATCAAAGATCACAGCCATCAACTTCTGGGACCCTTCTTGTGAGTGGATTCTCAACATGCTATTGTATAAGCTAGAAGGAAAATCGCCTTCGATAATCCAAGAGATGTTGGAAAGAAGCCATGCCAATTATCAGCAGATGGATGACTCACTGCTCCGAGAGATTTCAAGAAAGATGCCGATATTGAAGGATTGGGTAAGTCAACAGACCAGAGTTTCCACAGAGGACCGGCCTAGAAATACGGCGCCGCGGACGAGGTCTGCCTCCCGCCGAAGTAAAGAATTGAAACCAAACAAAACGAAGAGCCCAGGAATTGCACAGGCAACGGGACAGCCAACTACCCGAACACAGCGTGAATCGTTTCACGAGAGGAGAGAAGCGCAGGACACTCCCCTGGCGACGGGTTCGAAATCCACGGATAAGCGACAAGATCAAGAGCCCAACCTAGATGGTGCACATCCACACACGCAGATGCCGAATGATGAGCAAATAGGTACTGCAGACGAGCCAAGAAATGTCCAAGAAATCCCCATCAGTACATTTTCTAGACCGAACGATGAGTCTCAAGGGGGACGTGAATCGGTGGATGTCAATATATCTCAAGCCACGAGTCTTCCAATCGAGTCTCAGAATCGCCGAAGGTCGCTCCATACTCAAACATATAGGGCTGCGAATCTCCTAGCAAGGGAAAGACCTAAAGATGACATCAAGCTCGCAGAAGATATAAGAAAAAGGTTGGCAGCTGAGTATGATAGAAAACTTGACGCCGAAAGGAATTTTGAACAGGAGCGGCAAAAGGAGCGGAGCGCTTTACTCGAAGAGCTTAAGAAAGGTATGGCACTAAGTCTCCTGATGATGATATGATTTGGGCGGTATCAGACGAATATTAACACAGCATGCAGAAGTTGAGGCGATCAGAAGAGAAGCAGTAGAGCAAGCCGAGAAGAAAGCCCGCGTAGAAGCCCAAGAGCGCGCCGAGCAACTAAGATGGGAGAGACAACTGCAGGAGAGCAAGCTGCAGAAGGAAATAGCGACGGTGAAAGCTAAGGCGGTCGAAGCTGAGCGAGATGCCAGATTCGAGGCGGAAAGGGAAGCAGCTCTCCGACAGGCAGAGAAAAAGATCAAGGAGGAAATTGAGATCCAGAAGATGGTAAGCTTCCTTCTATACTGTGAATATCTCAGGTATCTGTCTAAGAATACCCTCATATCCTTCCTTCTTCATTCATTGCTTTCTAAACCCATCGCTGACCTTCCCAAAAGAAAGATGAAGAAGCACAAAAAAAGGCCGCACACGAGCGCCACCAAAAGATGGAAGCGGAGAGAAGAGCGCGCGAAGAAGCCGAAGCAAAGAAAAGGTACAAGGAGGAACTAGAGCGGAAAGCCGCAGCCGAGAGACACGAAGCGGACAAAAAAGCGCGCGACGCTGCCACGAGGCAAGTCGAGGAAGAGGAGACGCGGCAATGGGCCGCGGAACAAGCGCAAAGAGACCTGGAGACGCAGAACCAGATCCATTTCAAGGACGCGATAGGGCGGAAATTCGCGATCCCGTTCAGCGAAGGGCGCACGTGGCAGGTAAGACAAATCGGACTATCATGCAATTCATTTGAAGTCGCGCGAAATGACTAATGGCGGCACAAGCGTATGCGAGAACTTATCGAGGCGACATTTGCTCATATTGACGGCCTCGCGGCGTAAGTAACTCCCCTCGACCCCAGACTATGATACATCTCTTGGGTAAGGCCGGGCTAACCCACTGTTGTCCCAGCGAGGTCCAAGCAGGCCACTATGACTTAGTCGATCCCGACGGAAGCATCATCTTGCCGCAGACCTGGGACCAGATCATCCAGCCTGGCTGGAACATTCAGATGCAGATGTGGCCAATGGTACCCGGGCCAGCGCAGCCAGCCGCGGTCCCACCGCCGCCGGTACCATTTACAATACCAAGCGTCGTCCCGCCACCCCCCGCCCCTCCTGTCGCGAACCAAGGCGTGACGGTCATCGAATCCGAGGGTCAAGGACGGGTCTCGTCGGAACACGCTGACGCTGACGATGACGACGATATATCATCTGGTTACGGCTCGGATCCCGGCGCGCGGAGACGGTCGCCTCGGAAGAAGATAGCGCATGCGTTTGCGGCGCTGAAGGCGAGTGTTCTCCGCAGACGTCGGCGCAGCGCATCTATTACGTCGACGGAATCATCGCTGCGCAGCTTTGACGATTGATTGATGGGCGTATCTGCTAAGCTGTATGTAGCTCTGCTTACATCGTCGGCGCGGGAACAAATACCAAAAAGCGAGGCAATATCCAGTTTGGAAAAGTCATGTTCTGTATATATTTGAGCTCTATTGTCAACGTCTTTGATACCCCCCATGCGATTGATTCTTGTGGGCAATCCCTGAGACACCCTAGCTGGATTTGCTATATCCTATTTCATATCTCGAGACACGGAGAGGCGAATGTGCGGCAACTAATTAGAAAATCTGGCTTATGTATGTATATGAGAAGGACATGTATATGTTGATATGATGCAATGAGTTTGCTGAAATATTGCGATAGTGCCAAAGTGGCATTAGCGTTGACTTTTGCATTTCATCAGAGTTCTCAAATGTAGATGGGTACAGGTCCGAATCTAAATATAAACACCCTTCTAATCGTAGGATTTATTCTAAATATATGTCTTCTAAATCATTCGTCCGAGTCTGGTCTCTCATTGAAGTCCGACTCCTCATCGACTCTAGAATATGAGGGTAGTTTAATGAACAGCGACGCGCAAAACATCACAACACATAGAACAGATATGCCAAAATAAGGTAATCCGATCCAGGCACCGCCGTATCGCATACCGAGCGAGAATAATGCTGCAAGTGCAGGTGAAAGCCAAAGGTCGCTTGCAATGGCCGAGAGACCTAGGATTGTAAATAGTCGGGTTCGTTGCTCAGCAGTGACATAGAGTGTGGCGATTCTTTTGAGATAGCCCTCGCTTGACACGCCAAACGCGAGGATAATAAGTCCGAAGATGAAACCCGGTATGGAGCCGGACAATCCGAGGATAAAGGTTCCTATCATCGATGCGATATACGACGCTCGAGCTAAGAACAGGTCGCGTCGCTTGTCATCCTCGAAGCGAAGCAAAGCCGGGGTTCCAGGGTATACAAGTGCGGATGTGATCCAGGGCATTATGAAGAAGGAAATGACAATGAAACCAACGCCGTAGGTGCTTTGGATGTAACCCGTGTCTGCGATGGGGATGTGATACCGCTTGGAAGCGAACTGGCTGAGGAACTGATAAGTACTGAGCACGAGCGAGAGCTGAAGCATAGTAATGAGCAGAACCATGATCATTGACAGGGAGGCGAAGGCGCTAGCCGATTTCTTCAGTTCGCCAAGTGCTTTCGTGAGGCTTGACTTGAACTTGTTGCCATCTAGTACATCGCCTTTAGGGTCGTGCTTAAGGCTCTCTGGTACGAGAAAGATGATGGCGGCGGAAAGTAAAACTAGTATGACTGATAGAAGGAATGGCGGCCAAGGACCGACCGCCGTCATAAACATTGAGGCCAGTGCCGGAGAAATCAAGTTGCCGATCATGCTGGAGGCATGGATTCTCATGAAGCTAACGGATCTAATTGCTGATTTAGTAACAGTACCCTATGGCTTGTATTTTAAGACTCCTCACCTCTGAGATTCCTCCACCACATCTGTTGCCATACTGGTGAGGGTGGCGGCGACTACAGGATTGCCACCCCCCATTAAATAGAATACTGGTGATATCCAGACTAGTCGGGGAGAGAGCGCCTGAGAGAACCATCCCACGACCATGATCCAGAGCAAGGAGATGGCCATGCCAGTTAAACCCAGCGCAAACACCGGACGACGGCCAATTCTAGATGCGGTCAGAGCAGATAGCCTTAATAGAAACAGCCACACATAATTTTCAGAAGGGGGAGGCATCCCGACTTACACGTCAGCGACTATACCCCAGGGCAGAGCAGCTACTACGCTCACGGCGGCATTGAGTGAATTCATGATGGCGAATAGGTAAGTCAGCTTGGACTGAATGGCATCAACCTTGCACAATTCTTCATCGATAGGCCCGTTGTCGCTATGGATCTGGTCGTAGTACTGGCGACACAGGATATCCTCGAAGATTCTCGTCATGGCTAGATTTTGGAAGCCGCCGCTCGCAGATCCAATGAAAATGGAAATACACAGGATAGCAAGGATCGTACTAGGCTTGCGAGCCCTCGGGACTCGGCCAACGAGCCAGGTAAAAGGAGACTTCTTCGCTCGCAGCCCAGGCTCGTTGGCGACGGAGTCATGGGCCGTTGGCACTTCTGAAATGAAGGGCGTTTGCTCGGTGATGTGGGCGATGTCATCGGCGCTGGAGCGCTCGTCAGTGGGTGACGGGGCAGCCATTGTCGCCGAGGCTATTCGGGCTGGGGTAGTCCCCGACTGTACACAGAGTAAATAAAAGTTACAAAACGATAGAAATAAAGTAGATCTCTAAAACTATTCATCACTGCATGCCTGTCTACAATGAGCGGACGTCCTGGAGGACATGCTTATCTTCTAGATTCTAACATAAAGTCCAACATTGAGGTCAAGATGAGAGGAGAGCTATAGATAAGTAGGGCATAGATAAGGTATTGGAAGTGTCTAAGTCCCTGCCGAAGCGCGAGACCAGAGGAGACCATTGAGGGGCTTGTCAGCGCATCTAACCACTAAGAGCAGGTCCTGTAGCCAGAGCAGCGAACAGCCAGCTCGATGGGGGTTGGACAATTCAAAGTCATCGGAACCATGACCATTAAGATGTTGAAGTTAGTTTCTCATCCTCATAGATGGATGCCTCCCAGGGACTCTAGTATTAGGGTAGTTAGTCACTGAACCATTCTGAGGCGCTCACTGGGTCATACCTACACATTGAGCTCATAGAGTACCTACACGCTAAACCAAGTACCTACCGGATATCTACATAGGTGCCTATATTGCCTATATAGATACCTACAATGTAGGTACCTAGGTAGGTTCAATGTTGTTAGTGCCTGCCTATAGTACACCCCCTCTACATAGGCAGTATTCCGAACTCCGACCAACGCATTCAATAGGTAGGTACCGATCATTAGGTAGGCAAGTACCGCGCAGGTACTACGTAAAGCTTAGGTACAGGTACATACATTATGTCGTGGGTGCCTAGTATCGATGCACCCAAGGAGGTACTTACCTAGTAGGCTCGTGGGTATCCGGATACCAGGTAGTCATGTACCTGAAGAATAGACCCTGAGTGAATGTGATGCCGTCTTTCACTCCATTGTTACTGCGTCACATTGTTCCTCAGGAAAAGGGAAGCAGTAATCTCAGAATGTCTAGAGGTGAACGGCTGACCTACCTACCTATGTACATATATATGTAGGTAGGTACATAGTAGGTAAAGTCCCTTGCCTGGGTTATTCAAGTATCTAACCTTACCTAGGTAGGGATCAACACAATATCATTAGTCAGCAGAAACCATCTACATATCTACCTTGGCAGATATCCAGACCTCCTATTATCCAGAAAGATAATATGATATGCTTCATTGAAACTTGCTATGTTGTCTTTGTGAAACCTTAGAGGCTATATTGCCCAAAATTTGAATGGTGCTCACGGCTAGAGGGATACTAGTCATAGACTGCTGCCTCTGATCCGGAGTGCATATTAAAAGATGAAGTAAACAATTTCGCCTGTACCTTTCCTAGCATCACAAATAACCATACACTTCCATACATTGTTACAAGTACACTGGAATACCGGTAGCTAACATGTAGGATGGGATCAGATTAACAATGGTACATGTGGAAATGAACCAAAAGGTCAAATAACTTGCATAAGGCAATAGCCAGCCAGGTCTTTCTCTTATCAATCACACCTCTTCTAGTTTAGCTTGATCAGTCTTAAGGTAATCGCACTACGGACAATAGGAAACAATTTTCTTAACAGTACATTATATTCCTATAATAATGAAGGGAATCTATGACTTTGCGTGCTAGTAAGTAAGGTAGAAGAGTATCATATGCCTGGACCATCAATATAGCAATGATTTCATGCTACAAAGTAAGAACTGGACAGGAATGTATTGCATCTTCAGTCTAAATAGAGTCTGGGAGAGAACAATTCCACAAGCAGTTTGCCTTTCAGCATCCTTAATGCCATAAATATACCAAGGTACTTGCCTAAAGTATACAATGTTCGGATTGATCCGTGCCCATTGTGAACATACTTTCTGATATGCAGAACACAGGTGAAGTAGCTAGGTTTTCCAACTAAACGCTATAACCGTTGCTACAAGAGATATTAAACATGGAAATAGAATTTCAGCACAAAACTGTTTTTGTGGTAAACCCCACGTGATTCATTCTTGATAAATAGAGCATTTGCCGTCCCCAGCCTTCCTCTTCTCTCTCTTCCACCATCTTTGATCCCTTTATCCAAGAGTCGTTAGGCAACATTGGCTTTTACTACCTTTGCATCTATCAACCGCCCAAGACTTCTTTGCATTTCCATCATTGTCTCTAATTAGCATACACAAGTCTCATCACAATGAAGAGGCAACGACATGTGCAGGAGGACATGCAGTCTAAAAGACATTGCCCTGCGACTCAAAACAACATCACGGCCCAGGAAAACGGGCCTCAATTCAGCCCGTGGCCACCTAACATCGCTCCAACTCAGACTTGTGATCCCCGCCAAATCACACAGGATCCCTCATACTATGACCCTTCGACGCTCAACGGATACTGTTCTCCCATGGCCTTCACCGGAGAGCAATTTGACCCCACGGGAGTCTCTAACCAAACTTCACTACAGTTCACAAGCAATAATGGAGGTTTCATCAACAACTTCTACTCCCTGCCAAATCCCTCATTCCCCATGAGCACCACGCTACAGAGTCAACAGAGCCCGAATGCGGCCTATCCCACCCCCCCAGCAACAAGCCAACCTGTTTCGAGCCAGCAGACCTATGAGCTACAGCAATGTGTACCAACTATGCCTTCGGTGAGATTACCTTTCGCTATGAATAGAGAATCTGAGCACCAGACGTGGTACAATGTTCTTGGACGGGCACCTCTTCCAGTCCCGGCTACATACCAGTTCACGCCTCGTATGCCATACAATGCACCCAATCGACCTGTCTCAAAAGACATGGTTGGGGTTGACATGGCAGCCTATTCAAAGCCCCAGCGGAAACTGCCAGTGCCCACACCTTTAACACGGGAATCGCCAACTTCAGGCACTGAGATTAACAAACCGTTAATGCCCACTCTTGCCAGTGGCGACCTAAGCGTCCGGTCGCCTATTCCAACATCAATCTGTGAAGTCGAGAAGCCGACAGACCCTGTCCCTGCGGCTGAGCCACAGACTTCTACTAGAGTCCCAGAGGTATGTAACGAGCAGACTGTACTAGTATTTCCCCATTCCTATTCCGCACTCTAGATGCAAGTGTAAAACAAACCTAGAACTAACAGCTTGTAGACCGAAAGTGACTGTGACTTCACCCTTCTTGACCGCTACGAAGGCACACTCGACCAAATAGATTGGCTCCAGAAATACGTAGATGACCATGATAAGAGCGAAGAGGAAGAGAACCGCAAAGTCGAGGAAGAGCGGCAAAACAAGGGAAAAGGGGCTGAAGAGAAAGCTCAGAGATTCCGCGAAATGACACAGTCAGCCAGCTACCAATTCCAGGATCCCAAGGCCTCCTCCGTGAACCCGGCATTGCCAGAGGTTCAGGTTCAAGAGAAGGTGAACCTGGCATTGCCAAAGTCTCAGGCCCCAGAGAAAGTGATCCGCCTCGGAAAACCAGGCCCCAAATGGTTCACAAAGCGAGACAGACCCGAAACGAAGGGTTAGTAGCGTATGCTGTACGGCCACCCAACGATGAAGGGATCGTGTTCAAGGTCGTCGAAGCGAACTGCTCTATCCAGGAGATCGCGCAAGGTCTGGAATCCCCAATCCGAGATATTAAGCTTAATGACACCTTTTCTGGCATGAACGAGAAGGCTGTTAAGCGCTGGTGCAACTATCTCCTCGGCACTGTTCCCGGCGTCGATGATGAGGTAATTGTTTGGGCGAAGTGAAATCGCCGTCAAGTCGACAGATTTCGTATCTCAGCGTGACCATCTCTACGATTGATGGGACTCGTGGGATTGCCTAGTTGTATCGCGGCAAACCTTCCAACGACAACCATGATGTTGAAGATACGCATACATTCTTTAGATGAAAAGCAATAAGAACAGAAAAAGAAAAAAGAGAAAGGGAGAAAGAGGATAGTGATCGTTTTTCCTTTTTTCCTTTGACATTGGGGAAGAACATTCATTTTACCTTACACAAGATGATTAAGAAGGAGTTGGGAGTTTTCACGTATAACGAACTTGGCGCTCTCCAGCGCTAGAACTGCATTACGATATATGGACCACGGAAGATACGCAAGAAGCATTCGCAAGAAGCATTCGCAAGAAGCATTCGCAAGAAGCATTCGCAAGAAGCATTCGCAAGAAGCATTCGCAAGAAGCATTCGCAA